GTACTGTACATGATAAGCGGGCGTATGTGATGACAATTGGGCCCTTCAGCCGCGGATGATGTATTTGAACTATTGGAAGGGGTTTTTAAGCGCCGACTGACATAACATCTGCCGTAACTGTATCCCATAAGCAGGAGGAGAAGAGAACTCGATGCTTGGTAAGATAGAGCAGTAAAATTTGCCGCCGATCTTGTCTAAGAATGCTTTCGGAACCGATAGGAAACCTTTCCAAGTCACTAGACTAGAATAAATGAAATAGTGTCAGTACTAGGTATATACGGTGATCTGATATCTGTGAATGCGACACGATTCTGGTAGCTCGTGTTAGGTTGACAGATCTGTGTGGTAATCTAGTGTTTGGCCATCGCGATAGGACGGTCAACAATCGAGACAACCAAGCTAGAGAACCCGTCTTTTACTGCAACGTGGCGGCGGTGGGCTGTGCCTCTCAGCTTTCACTAGTGTTGACTGGATGAGATGAGTTTGGTATTTCTACTTTCGCCTTCGCTTGTGAGAGCCTTGTGCCGAGAATCATCACTGATGCCGATGGCCTCAGCTTGCGCGTCCTCACGACATATTAGGTTGCAACTTTGCCATCGTAAATACCCCCGAAGGACTGGTAACTGGGTCACAGCTGCGTATCAGAGAAGCGGTGTGGTGTTAGACCGAAAGGCTAAGTTGAAAACGGGCTAAAGAGCCTAAGTAGTACCCAGTATCCATCAAGATATGGATATGTAGGAAAACTTGCAGGATGTCGATTTTTCCGAGCCAAGAGAAGCCTCGTCGATTTTAAGGGGTCGATGGCAATGGTACCTGGACTTACTTATTTAAAGGGATAACTATTAATTAGGTGAAACATACCTCTTTAACATTATCACCGACCAGTAGACAGAGAGGAATTGGTTGGAGATACGCGAAAGGCGGCGACATGTTTCGCTTGCCACATTTTAATAGCGTAGCCGCTCTCAGCTCATCATGTGTACTAATTTGGTAGGTTAGGTCCATATATAGGTAGTTGGCCAAGGCTGCTACCTATTATATGTATATGTATAATGTACGTATGAAAGTAAACGAAGATTAGAAAAAGAAAAGAAAAGAAAAAGCAAACTAGGACGAGAGCACTCCGTAATCACTACCTAGGTAGGTAGCTGCATACTGTTGCTGTTAGATGTGACATTGACAACCTTGAATTAAGACGGCTTGGATACTAGGTAGTTTTTATGGGGGGGGGGAGGTTGTATTGGCTGAAGTCAAAGTAAAGAATCTTGGATCTTAACGAGAAAAGAAAAATAACTATCAAGCACTTGAAAGTTGAGGTGAAGAAAAGAAATTTGAACTTGAACCTTAAGGTTGCAGGGCCTGTTTAACTGAAGTGGGGCTACAGGGCTAATTACTCCAGTTTGATGGTCACCTGGGCACATGAGTTTAGGTAGTACCTACTACCTACTACCTACTAGGTACTACCTAGTACTAGGTTGGCAGGCAGTTGCCGAATTCCTTCCCATTACACTCATACATGTAGCACCTGCAAACATCATCCACATCCCGAGGCAACATGGCGGACAACATGGCAGGCACCATGGAGCAGGCTGCAGGGCCTTTTCAGGGGCCTACATGCATAGTAATGTGTTAGGGCTGTGCTACGGCTGTCTAGGGTTAACTCTAGCTTCCAACCTGGAAAGTTCCAAGGCTCCCTCTTAGAAGTTCCGTAACTGGTCGGTTTGTGCCGATTCCACTATAAGTTTCGCCCCCAGGTACCAATGGCCACTATTTCGACTTTTACGTCTTGGGTTTTCATAATCCAGCCTCTCACAAGCTTTCGTAACAGTCCTACGCATCTCGTGTGCAACGCTTTCCAAGATTCATGTTAATTCAATGTTGATTCATCATCGTCATTAGCCACCTACGGATGTAACCAAGATCCATCCACTATCGACGACCAACGGCACTTTCATCATCCACTACCGACGAAGACAATATTTGCTCTTGTTTACCCAAAAGTTGTTCACCCAATGACTTCCGCGCCGCTCGAGCGCATTAACAAACCTCCTCTTATAGCAAGGTACGTGCATATCGTACATAGCACTCCCTGAGCGATCTGTATTGTACATACTACATACTAGTGCAGGTAGGTATACCTAACGCATCTTAAGACGACGGTAAAGATAGTTAGTCCTTGGCGAGCTTGCACTTACGTACATGACATGATCACACATCACTTACAGGTCGCCAGCGAGCTAGAATTCATGTCACTGGGCAGCTACATTAACATCGCATACGTACCTACTTAGTACCTACCTACGTAACTATATGTAGGTACATAGATTTCTTATTTGCACGTCACTGATAACTATAGAACAGTTTTCCTCAAAGCTATGTAGGTAACTAACCTATGGTACGTTTTGAAGCGACACCAGGCGTCAGATCTCAACTACTACATCCTAACATACAGTAATAGTCCCTTGCGTATCATGAATTTGGGCCACTTAATCTAACTAACCTAGAATCCTCGTATTCTACATTATGATCACTAATAGTTCGAGGAGGGACCACTAGTCAAATGCCTCGCAAACCGTTTCCTCTAGTTATCAACATATCTCCTCTTTTATCCTTCTCATGTCTAGGTACACATCTTCCCAAGACACGTTCCTCTTACCTAGTAATAACGCCAACTTCGCGCTACCAGCTATCCCCGGTCTTTCGGCACCGGGGGATCGACCACGACTGGGCAGTTAGGGCCGCATAGGGCTCACCTCAGCTGAACCTGGTTTACCACATTAGTGACGAGGTGGGTTGGTAAAAATGGAGCTAACTCGTTCCAGGAGTCCCCCTTTGTGGTCAAATCTTGACACACCAACGGCCATCACAAGGTCTAAAGAATCTATTGGATATCACTGACATGTTCGATCTTTGTTCCCAAGCAACAACACCCATCTGTCTTGGTCCGGGTACCATCTTTCAGCTTAGATCCTGTGTTGATGTCTCTCGGTGTCTCTCGGTAGACTTGTCCCGCTGCTTCATAGTACCAAATCTCCAGGAACCTTAACTACACTAATGAGGCGCTCCACCCAACACGCACAGCCTCTTTTTTAACGACGATCGTACTGTGCATAACTACATTGTTCTATCAGCTATCCACAACCTTGCAAGACTAGGGTTAGGCGCATATTTTAGGGGACTAGATGGAAGGTAGAGGACTAGACTGCTCACATGCCGTGCATATTTAGGGCATTCTACCTCCTTTTTTCGACCGCTTATTGGATCCTTTTCCAGCCGTGACGAGGGGAACAGATATCCGATTCTCCCCCCATCTAGCGTGTGTGCTACAGACCACCAGTCTTATTATTTATGGCTCTACTATGTAGGCAGGTCGCAGGGGGTTATGAAGTTTTGCATTTGTGAATGGCTGATACTTAGTCTCTAACGTTACGGATCCTACGTCGTAGAAGACAGCATATTAACGCTCTTACATTTGTTACCTTCGTATCCGCATAAATAATGACCGAGTCTAAAGCTTCCCTGAGCTCAAGAACAAAGGATGACCGACCCCCTTTCGATGAGCAAAGACGAACCTTGAAGCTCTTAAGAGCCCCACAACACGTCCACCAAGACATGCAAAAGTCCGAGCCACTAGCAAAGCAAGTAAATCTCACTGGGCTGAAAACGGCAGGGGTCTCCATCTCAGTTCCTTAAGCCTTGGTTAGGCCGGTACAAATGGATGTTGTATTGACTCTGGAGTTCACGTCCCAGGATGTAGTTACATTTTCTCCTTGTCCCGTGGTACGACACAGGCCCGAAGTGCCCGGGCATATCCCGACTGAGCGGCCAAGCTTACGGTACCTCTGTTGTACTTCTCGTCCTCGCGTTGACCACGCATATCTACACGCCCTAGTAGATTTGCCCCAGTCCGTATGCACGATAGAGAAACGATCTATCGTGCAGCATGACTGCAGGGGATGTGTAAGTTCTGAGCATTATTTGTGGCCACTAGTACTGCTGATTTTGTTCCCCGTGATGACGGGAGTTCAAGCCTGCCATACATGCCGTTAACAATAACTATGCCGGCCTTGTCACATCTACAGTCGGCCAAGTGATAGGTAGATCCGGCCCGCGCTGTGCATAAGCAGAAAATGTATGCCTAAGTACATAATGGCGTTTCTGTTTCTGTCTATTTGTAAACAGGCCCAAGAGGCAAGCCGCCCAACATCCATCTATCATAGATTGAGGCTGACTTAAGAGGATGGCGGGGCTCGAAAAGGAAAGTAGCTCCTCTCCCTCTCCACTTACACCCACACCCTCCCCAGACGCCTGGCTCGTTTGCGTCTACAGCTGTACTTCAACCATTGATAGTCTAGACTCCTTGCTCTAGTCTTGTTTACGGGAGCTTGTATACCATGTAAATAGGTGATGCTTAGCCAAAGTATTCTCTTTATATATCTTTCTTCTTCCGTCCTTCATTACCTTCCAATACCTCGATGTTATCAAGGCACGTTCATTATATTCAACGCTCAGACGGTCCACCTGGAAATTCTTTGAGCCTGGCTCCAAACCATCAGGGTTATCGACCAAGCTATCTCCATCTTCTTGTTTACAGACGCGATTAACCCCCCTCCCTTTCCCTTGGGACCCCAAATTGTAAGCTGCTAGCGGGATTCCGTTGGTCGAACGTGTTGGCCAACCGAGTGGCCGCAACTCATATATCCTCTACGTATCGAGTAATTCAACTTGCACACATACATTAGCCTGTACTTCCCTTTGTTTCTGGCCTACAAGCCTGGCCGCTCCATGTTTGCGCGCACATCACCTTATTTTCCGAACGTCGTGGAGAGTCCCCGCTGAGTAAAACGGTAATCCTTGCTCGGTCCTGAGGTCGTTCCGATCGACAAGCTCGGCCCACTCTCCGGGCTTCCATACTAGTACGAGACACGTCGGTGAAGACCCGACCCTGACCCTAGACGGCGCAGGAGGCACTTTGTTATTAGTTTCCCTAACAAGCAACAATGCCCGCTGTCAATCTCCCCCAACAGCAGACCCATGGCGACGTCTTCTTATATCCGCCAGGGTCCCAGCTGCGGCTCTTATCTAGAGCCACTCTCACCTACGTCGGATTCGTAGTCCTCGGTGTGCTATTCCTCGCATTCAAGAGGAGATATAACTCTACTTCTCGAGCCCATATCAAACAGGTCGATTTTACAACATCTACTCTTCCAAGCCTCTCGTATTCGGAGAAATCACGTAGAGTTAACCTCCAGAGCGAAGCCATGTCTGTCAACCAACCATCGGGGGTCTCTCAAACAAAGATGGCTGGAAAGTTGAGTGATGGAGGGAAACAGCATACTCAGGATGGCCCTAAAGAGGAGGGCACGGAAGAAGGCCTCCAGGAAGGTGTGGTGTCTTCTACCAGCATAGATACAGGCACGCCGCTTACTTTCATGTCTGGTCTGCTGCCACCGCCGCTAACAGCACTTCCTGTCTCAACAGAAGTCAACAATTTTCAAGATCGTCGGCTCAGCATCGCCGCATCCACTATGGGTGATCTAGATACTAGCTTCTTCCATCAGCCAAACCCAGACTACACTTTGTCGCCCTCGTCAGATTCAACGTCGACCGCATTCACCCACAGCCAAGAATCACCTTCCATCCCAAGAAGAAGATCCTATGCAAAAATGTTACCTCTTAGTCCGGTTCATACTAACTCGGAGAGCGATGGCTTGTCCTTCTCGCCGAGTTCGTTCCCATCGTCGAGTCCCATCTTGCCACTCGCGCCACATGAGTCACTCGAGTCAAGGGAGATTAACGTTCAAGGTGAAATTATCTCGGTAATGGACGATTCAGGTGCCGAGTGGAAGCGACATACGCGCGTCTACGGTGGAGGCGTTTGCTTAGCTTGCCTCGCTTCTAGGGGCCAAGGGGGGTTTTACGGCGATAATGTTCCCCCTGAGCACCGTCGATAATTAACGGAAGGATCCTATGAGCGACGTGAGATCATTTCAGCATTCTAAGTCGGGAGAAGCGTGGCTTTTCGCCCCTTTAAAATGGATTAAGAGCATGGGCGGCGTCCCCGGAGGAGCTGGTGGTACTTCAAGGGTTCTTGCCGATTGGCTGCATTGTCAATTCACGGCGCATTCTCCCCCCCGCCCCCCCTTGAGCCGAGGTCTGGATAGTGTCGTTGGCGACAGTTCCTGAACTGTTATGGTAAATCTGTTATTTCATCAATCTTTACTAGATTCCTGGCCTGTGTAGGGAGCGTTCAGCGGCAGACGGATATGCCTATATTTCCTTCCCTCCCCCCCAATCTCAAGTTATGTTGGATGTATGGATTGGGGATAATGAAATTACTCTACTAACGCCCCTTATGACCATTTCCTTGCTCTTAAAATTACTTATATTTGTATATATATAATTGCCCCTGATATTTAGGTCGGGGTTGTTTAGAGTTATCGGTTTGCAAAAGCTCCCCTGTTTGAACAAGTTTTCTTATTCATTTTATCTCGTTTTCTTCAATGAAGTACCTGCCTATCTAATAGGTAGTAAGGGTACCTAGGTATTTACCTACCTATCCAGTATCTTTATCAACTCCTTTATACCTGCTTCTGGATATATTAAGTAAAAGCCCCTTCTTCTTTTCTATTATTACAATTCCTTGCTTATTGCGTGGAACGGCTTCGGTCACGCCGAGGGAATTTTTGGTATCGCGACGGATGGTTAGGTTCGGGGAATAACTGCGAAGTTGGCCTTTTCAGGGTGAGGCTCAGCCACCGGTTACCCTCGAACTTGGCCTCCTTTATGCGAAATACTTCATGCCTTCATGTTGATGAAGATGATTTTGACGTCATTTACACTTCACCTACACCAGCTGGCGAAATGAGAGGCCATCTTTTCTGTGGACGCTTATGCAAACTCCTGATCTACAAATCCTCACTTGACGATGGCCATAGCAGCTGCTTACTTTAGGCAGACGCATTCTCGCGACTCCCCTGTTTCGGCGAATCCCTTAGATACTCACATATTCCTCATGCGCAAACTACCTCGCCGTAGAACCACCGGCTCGTACAATAATCAAAACCTACTTGAGTGTGTGTCTGTAGGATAGAACTCTCCGTCCGCTCCGATTTGTGCAGGTGATTAACGGTTCCCAATAACTACTACAGCTTAACGAAATATGATAGCTCACCGATCCTCCAAATGAGGGATGGGGAACAGTTTGACCCCATGTACCGCGTCGTGCTTCCGAACGGGTTTAGGGCTGAATCTTGGATGCTTTTAATTAATCTTTCCCCAGGGGACCCTGTACTTCCATCCTTTTGGAGTCCCCAAGCGTATCGCGACCCTTGTGTTGATCACTTTTCGTCTATTCTACCGTGGCCGCTCCCACTCAAATAAGGAAAACAGATTTACGTTTCGGGCTGATTACACAGCGCAGCGAGGGAGGATTTCGCTTCGTTGACCGAACCATCTCACGTCATACTACCTAACTAGCCTACTAGGGAGACTTCTTTGATAGCAGGGTCCAGTCAAGGATTCCCAACCGCGCCGAGGACTTTCCATTTGAGGTCGAAGCCCACGCCGAGAGAGGGACGATATGAATATCCACACTGACCGAGATACTGAAGTTAAAATGCCGCTTCCATTTCTAGAAATTTTACAGGCTACCGGACCATGTAGCTAAAAGCGAATCAGGATGAAAAAGAAAAAGAAAAAGAAAAACGAAAGGGACTTTCCTTCATTTAAGGCAAGATATACGAAAGATAATGATCTGCCAACGAAACATCTTTTTTTTTTCGCACCCTGCCGCCGCAACGCAACGTTGCGGCTCAAGGGCCTCGCATTCGCTCATATAAGCCGGGTACCAGACGGTCGCACCCGAGGTTACTAACCCACGAGAAGCAAAATAGCGAGGCTAAAAGGACTACCTAGGTAGGTAGGTACCTACCTATGCTTGTGATATCAAACTCTAGTCTCAACATTACCCCACCCGTTCGTAACTTCGGCTGACTTCGTACCTAGCACACCGCCGAGATTTGCGGGATACGCGTGGGGATATAGAGAATTAATTACCCCGTAATTCTTTGAGCATAATTCTTTTCTCGGGCCTGGTCCCTTGCTCATGGCCTAACGTCGGCGTGGCGTCATTCGGACTCTTGCTTCTTCTTGCATGGGATCGGTCTGGTGTGGGGTGGACCACTCCGAGGTCCCCCCCCTCCTTTATATCTCGGAGACGAGGGCTTCGTTGTAGAAGGTGGCAGTTCTATATCAGCCAGTGCCTACCTAGGTATTCTACCTACCGACCTACCTAGTAGGGGGGGATGGGGGCTAGTCGAGCATCCAGAGGTTGCTCGTTTAACCTAGGGGCTTCCCCCCCCTTACTTGAGTACGTAGAGTAAAGAGAGGCCGAGTTCAGGGAAACAGCCCAACGCAGTAATTTCGGTCAGAATATATTTAAAGGATTGCCCCGTTATTAATGCAAGCCGCGCTTATGGCTCCAACGACTGCCTGCCATCCCGCCCGGGATATAAATCCAACAGGATAGCCCTATGTCTTTAGATCAACACCCGGCCGTATCGTTCTGTCACACCCCCTTTCCTTACCCCCTCAATGATCCCCCGCCTTCCTCTTTATAAGCTTGTGATGAGTTCTCGGCCGAGAAGGTAGGCGCGGGAAATACTTACCTACATAGGTACCTTACATACATACAAACATGCATACATGTGTATCCCAATGCCGACTCGAGCACATGACAGGACTCGAGAAGCGGTCGTCCCCCCTCCTTACGTGCATAGGTAGGTACCTACCGACCCAACAGTATCTAGCAGGGGGAAGACAGGGAGGTACAGGGAGGTAAATAGATGACGAGAATCTACCTATGTTCGTAAATGGAAACGAGGTGGAAGAAAGGTACCTGCCGCTAGGCAGATCCTCAAAGGGCCGGAGAAGGGACTCGTTGAAAAATGGAATATTGGTAGATACTAGGTACCTAAGTAGGTACCTAGATAGGTAGTTATCGTCGACGATGTTTCCGTTAGTATACCGGGTGAGTCACTCTTCTCCGCGATACATACCTAACTAGTAGGTAGGCACGGTGTGACCTAATCCGGTGCTATCTTACCCACCTGACATTGGGTAGGTAGGTAGGTAGGTGCATATTCTTTCTGATACGGTTGCTAGGTGTAAACTACCTACCTAGAAGTCACACGGCCATCACATAGACTTTCGGTTACTTTCTTTCCTATCAACTAGGGCATGAATAGCTGGAGTAAGAGATCATGGCGTGGTGCCTGAATAACCCCTCTGCTTTTGAGATATCGGGGCGGAGAGTGCTGGCCTGGATGAGTTCAGTTATAGGTACTATGTTTGCCTAATGGTATTTCGCCCCTCCTGGCGCTATAAGCCATGCTATAACTTGCCTATGTATGTGGACTTAGTCATTACTTAGCTCCGTGTCTGCCTGTGAATGAGCAATACCTACCTATCAGCTGCCCCTCTTTGCCATATCATATATACAGGTCACGGGTAGGAAGGTAGGAGCTCGTTTCTCTGAAAACGCGTAAGGCATTCCCACTATGATCTTCCTCGGTTTTCACGAAGCGCGGTTCTAGTCCGCTGGCCAGGAATCCCCCCCCCCCCCTAGCTGACCGGTAGACGGTCATGTTAGCGTGTCTTCGGCCACAATAATGACTACGCACGATCTTGGTGTGAGTCACGCTCGATCTGGAGGTGAAGTAGCTGGCTTGAGGAAGCTTAAACGTGTTAGGGTAGGGAAGTGTGGCCTTGTTCCTGTCTGCTGAACAGTTTTTCTAGGTATACTGATATATTTACTATGATATGCCTAAGGCCTCAACGCTCGAGCAGACCTTGGCAAGACAGTAATTATGTATGGCATACCTAACTATCTGTCTACCTAAAATAGGTCCCGAGGTAGGCAGATATCTGTGAGTTATCCGTTGGCTTTTACTCCGCTCCGTAGACACTGCGGGTATGGACCGAGCTAAGACTCTGGGTGTTTCTGCCATGCTTTGCTTGCTGGGCGCTGGACGCCGAACATTCGTGCCTTTCTCTCGTCAAATGGCTTAGGGCCAGAGGGTATAACGATACTTAGCCTCGATCAAGAGTACGCTATTGATAGGACTGCTTGCTGCTTGCTGGCTGCTTGAGCTTGACGTATCGTGTAGCATCTACTACAAGTCACCCATGACTAAGGCCTTTTCAGAAGAGGGTGTTGTGCTAGATAGTTCTAGTATGGGTTCCGGTTGGTTTGGAAAGGGGGACGGAGACGCATTGTTGAGTTATGATTACAAGTTATGGAGAGTTTGTTGGGAGTCGGCACACCCCTTTCTACTCGAACATTGGCTCGTACCTAGGACGGTACGTTCGAGGTACCGCCATGAGGCTACTCGATACAGTGGAGCGAGGTCGTCGATTCTGGAAGCTACGTATCTACATCTCCATAAGACCTGGGACGTTCCCGGATGTGCTACTTGCTGGTTAACCTACCTACCTATTGTTGGCAATATACGATCTCACTGGGGGAACTCTAGCCGGTACTGGCCCATTCATAGACGCTACACTAGCCCGTGACAATCTATCGACGATGATGGGTCTACTATAGTTACTTGGCTCCGTGACTTGTGGCACAGCATCGCTGTCAATACTGTGTATAGGTCCTCTACTACGGGGGAAAATAGGGTTGTCTAAGGCGTGGAGGCACCACATAGTTCGTGGGAAAACCCCCTTTCACCATAGCACATGCTTGCAAAGTAATGGAGATAGGTAGGTTGTCTGATATGTATACGCAATGACAACAAGGACTTGTCGCCGTTGAATTTGGGATGGAAGACTTCTTGATGTAGTTCTAGGCCGCTGCCTGGGACTACTATACCTTCCTACCTAACCTACCTACTTAAGTGCCTAAGTACACGTGTAGGAGCCAGATGCCCTCCCGCCACGTCGGGTCATACATCACGGTCAAGTCTGACCTATATCTCTCGGCATTCATGAGTCATATCCAGTGTGGGCTTGAAAATTTGCGATCTCCAGGATATCTCGTTCACAAGACCAGACCAATTACCAAACTCCCCATGCTCGGCAAGGCTTGATACCTACCTTCCTGGTAGCGATGTAAGTCATTTCTACATATGAACATCTTAGCCTGAGGGAATACTAGATTGGTGCTGGAGACGTATTAGTGGAGAGCGTCATGAGGCTCAATATCGTTTAATTACTAGTGATTCGCAAGGTCTTTCGATGGGTTCAGAGTGCTCAGGTACCTAACCTTAGTAGTCTTGGCGGCAGTAGACTCGCTAACGACGCATCGGTGCTATCGAAAGACTAGACGTAGAGAATTGAAAGCAGGTAACTATTGGTGTACTTACATACCTACCTACCTACCTACCGAGGTACCTACTTACTTATACCAGCCACTGCGATGAAGATACCAAACAGGAACGTTCCGGGTCAAGGAAAAGATGGGGGGAAACATCGTCGTGGAAATTTGCACGGGCTGGCTACCAGACTGTATTTATTTTGAATACCCTGGTTAAACGAGAACGAGGCGATCGGATATTTGAGATACAGCGTGCAAACTTGGTCCGATTAATTACATACATTTCGGATCCTGGTAGGGCTCGGTCCTTGATCGTATTCATTGAACGTCCACGCGGGCCATAAATGAGGCGAACTATAACTACGCCGTTTTTCGGACACATCCCTTTTTTCTTAATCGTAATTGTATTGTACAATCTTTAAATCGTGGCGGGAGGTGCTCGTGAATTGGAATGATTATGTACCTCGCGATTCGAATGGTATTGGAGAGAGAGTGTTGAGTTTGGCGTCATGCCGATAACGCAGGTCGACTTTTTGAATAGCACCAGTTCTAGTTATTGGTTCTTGATGCTGCGCACATGACCGGCGTCGCTGAAAGATCTCGGGCTGTGGCGTTGTGATGGCGTGTAGCAATGAGTGACACACATCTAGGCTACCTACTTGTACCTACCTATCGAACGGCCTGCTTCTATGTATCTACACATAGTTAGTTACCTACCTATGGGACTAGCAAGCATGTTCATAATGCAAAGTTTATCTTATATGAGGCTCTACTGTTGTCTTTGCGATATCACGTGGCCCCTGTTCGCTGGGAGAATATTTTGAGTACCCACACGAGATCGTGATTTTTATAGGCTTGGTGGTGTAGTACATATGTAGTTTCCTTGTAGTACCGGAGGTTATACACAGCCCTGAGCAAAGGATAGTTAAAGCAATACCTCTCCAGCATCGGGTACCTACATAATACAGTAATTCCTACCGGACCCCTACATACCTATAGCAGGTTAATAAGGGATGCAAGTGATGGCTGTCGCGCACGTGGAGGCTGCGGGCTTAGCGTAGGACTCGATTTCGATTCTCCCCGCAGAATAGCCCCCAAGAGGGAAAGATCCAGCCCTTTCCCTCCCTTCAACCACTTCGCGGCAACGACCGTCTGACCAACCAGCTCCCGCGCGTTCGACTAAACTTGGGCACTTTGCGCACGGCGAGTGGTTCTCGTTAGTGCCAAGGCTCATGGAACCTTCCAAAGCTAAACGGAGCCTGGCGAATAGGAGTCGCAAACGCGGGTTCGCCGCCGCCAATGGAGCCACGTATGTAGGTAGGTTTAAATAGTCACCTATGATTTACCTACCTACCCAGTCAGCTATGCTAGTTAGTAGTATTTATGTATGTATGGCACCAGCAAGCAATACTATGGTGGTAGTAGATTAGCCTGCCGTTGCCGCGTGCTGGACGGCCTGATGACGCTTGAGAGCGGTTTGGGGGACCGGTTCATTCGAATATTAAGCGCCGCGGCGTATGCGCAAGGGGATATTTGGTATTAGGGGTGGTTGCATTTTGGGATTGTGGGCTGCAGGTTACGCTTCCCAGGTTAGAAATGCTATTTATTTACCTACCTACATACGCACTAGGTATCTAGCTGCATATTTATATATTGCACGTACGACTGAATGCAGTGAGACCCGGATCTTGTGGCTGGGATTGCTTATTTTGAACTCGTCCGAGCAAGGGAAGAGATTGTCTGCAATTGTGAATATTTAGTAGGCGCTAGGTCAGGACGAGCAATTCCTGAAATACTTTATTATGATCATGACAGCTTAAGGAAGGGAGGGGCGCCATGTGGTTAGATTCCAGGCTGATATCAGATTTTGTTTCGATCAAAGATATCCGACAGCTTGGGTCATTGGTAGGTTGATAAAAGCAGGCCTCGGAAAAGGGTCAAGTTCAATTGTGAAATGGGAGTATGCGACGATTTTACGACCATCTGACGGGCCCATTAGCCGCGGATCCATGTGTATATGTATGTGCTTCGCTGTCTGGCGCCAATAGACGACGTCCCGATACCCTAGTGTATGTAGGTATGTACGAAGTATGCCTGCTTAACTCGTGGGTGTCCAAGGTTGGATTGCGGCGCATTTCAAGTCAACTTACTCCAACGGACTTTCTACTCTCTGACGGCCTTGTCTGCCGAAGGTCAAAGGTCATATCCCATAAGTGACTCGAGTGGGGTTTTTTTCGAGACTACCTCCCTGCCTCCTAAACGTCTGTGGGTTTTGATTCTCTGGAGTATGAGGTACATATAATATGAAAGTCCATCATAAGTGCCCACCGTCTAGGGGTAACGTGTATGGTGGAACTGCTGGGTCGTGTTAGTGAACGTCTCAGATCACTATCGCTAGCAGCGGGAATGGCTAGCTCGATTTTGGGCGGTGGCTCGTAGGAATAGTTCGACGTCGATCGTAAAAACTTATGTTGTAATAACTATGTGCACGTCTGAATATCTGGTATTATTGTACGGGCCAGCCTTGTCGTTAACAAACCTGAATCAAGTGAGCCTGGCCTTAGATTTTTAATTGCAACGGTAACTAGGAATGTCTTGATATGATACAATGCCCTAGCAGCCCAGTAGTGCTCGGTCGCACTTTGTTCTGTCCTCGTACGTCGCACATGGCAGCATGAGCTCTTTTTAACGAGCGATGTAGGAGTGACACCGACCAAGAGCTATGGCGATGAACGAGAGTTATAAGAGTATGTATCATCCAACCTACTATTCTTATCAGCCAAGGCATGAATGGGATTACTACTTACACGCAACAGTACCTATCTTCGTGGGGAAAGATGACAGATATCTCCGTATACATACTTCGTATTGTAAGCTTGTTTGGACTTTCAAGTGTATTGTATGTATTAATGCGATGACCAAGTTTGTGTGCCCACCTCGGCTTCGCCCCCCTTGGCTTTCCATGACAATGTGCTGGGTTTCAGGCACATGAAACAACCATGTAAGCATGGGTAGCGGTCGATCACAGGGATCTAATTTCCCCATACACATGGTAAAATCCTGAATTCCTCATTTGGTAGACGAGACAGATGGCTAAGGATGTTGACTTTGCCTAGCAATTAAGATCCTTTAACCTTTTTCTTCTTTTGTTGTTCTTTTCTTCTATTGTAGCCTAGCCTCGCCTCGCCTCTTGGAAGCAGAACTTGAGGGCTAGAGAAAGGTGGGAAGGTAAAAGAATTGGTTGTAAATTCTAGAAGTGACTCGATTTCAACCGGCTATTTCAAGGTTGTTGAGGGGTTGATGGCATGGACACTTGTCTAAGTCAGGACACGCGCCGGATCATCAGGGGAATCAAGTACAGTGGGTGGCATTAAGTTTGAAACTTTTTTCTGTACAGCAAAGTAGCACTAAGCCGCTAGACCGGTTTTGGACAGGGTCTAGCTCAATAGTGGCTAGCGTTTGACTTGGAATGCAGCCACGCTACATCTATCACGTGACTACCCCTAGCAACACCATCTCCTTTAAGTATTTTCTTCAATTTAAACAGATGAAACAAATCTTGTCGCAATATAGTGCAACAAAATTTAAAATGCTTCTGGGCTAGATATATATATTATTACCTTAAATTTATGTTTACGCATCTCATTTTCAAAAAGTTATTTGATTTGAAACGGATTGATCATTCAATAAGCTGGGCACCATTAGGTGGGGCAGGTGCTGTTGGGTAAGTAGTTGCAAATGTGGCGGACTTGCAAAGCTAGCCGGTATGGGTTAGTATGTAAATATTGTGGCTCAGCGGCACCTTGCAGTACGAAAAAAAGTTTCAAACTTAATGCCACCCACTGTACATGCTAACACAATGCTAATCAACACGTGGAAAAAATGTGAAAGCCAATATTCTTTGAAAACCCTCGTTGAAAGAGAAGTTTTCGAAATGTTTGAAGGATTAAAACAATTAATTGAAGAACTTTGAACCCTTGGAAGAAAAATGGAGCTTCAGGAAGGAATACTATGTATATGTACTATGTAGACTTGGAGACTTGGAGATTGTAAACTGATTGGTTAGCTGATATGCAACTTATCCTAGAATGTGTTACCATCAAAGGAAGTGCTTACATGTGTACATGCATATGTATGCGCATAAAATATACATACATAACTATGTAGTAAAGTATGAATTGCACATTGTAGGGACATAATAACCTAATACATGTAACTAACTAATTAGTTATCCATTAACTTCATTTGGAATACCGTATTATGTACGTAACTGCTATAGGTAAAAGGGGCGGCGTTGTTTGTACTTAGTTATGTGCTAGAACTGCAGAACATCAATAATATGTGAAGCAGAAACTAACTAATTCCTTACCCGTTCTTTCATCGTCTTCGTATCTGGTTTTTCTTTTCTGCTGCACCATTACTAGCAAATATCAATCTTGGAATCAAGATCCATAGATTAGTACCCTAGGTATCCCTTATGTTGGTAAACTTCAATAGTTATGGGTTTAAAAAGAAGCAAAAGAAGCGACGCTAAATTCGGCTATACCGTATATTATGTAATTCCGTAGCGGGATCTGCCCCTGTCAGCGAAGCAATGCTTGGCCAAACTTTTTGGTCCTTGTGCGGACCCTATGTGGGACTCCCAGGTGGGACTCTAGACTCCTGGTTGGCCAGGTCTTGATCCCCGCGACGAAAGACTATCGTCCGTGCCTGACGAATGGGATGGTAGCACTCTGGAACTGTGTTGGCCATCACACCACACTCTTCTCCTTTTTGATCCACTGTGCGTCAGTGATGTACGTATTGAACCAATTCTCTCTTCTTCATGAAAGGCATAATCTCCAGGCAACTACGTAATACATGGATTTTAGTTCTTTTGTTTTTGTGGTGTAGAATATCAACACTATTATGCATGCATTTATGTAGGTTAGTAGCTTCAATTGTCTAATGCAACTTGTTAAACATTTCATGGGCATTGAAGATCACGATGCGATGTGTGATGTAGGTATATTATTGTAGGTACATACATACAAGGTAGGGTACATACCTACCTAACCTAGGTAATTAACAGGCATATCTCAAGGAATTCAAGGATAATACTTCTATGTTCTTGCCTACTACGTACTTGTACATATGTGAGACTAGGGTTCTTGCTATTCTAAGTTCAACATTGAATGTCAGGGTCGGCCTTGGGATTTTAGTGGTCAATCTAGTGCTCCTGGTCCACCTTAGCACGCTGATATCCACTGTCGCGGCAAAATTGTTCTCTCGTGTAGCCAATCATAATTCCGGACCCGAATTATCAACCTGGTCCTTCTGCTGTCTTAAGCACGCGTACACAGTGTGGATGATCATTTGTGACCGTGCACGAGCGTGCTAAAAAGCTCAGGTTTATCGTCCCATAGTTTATAGTTGAGCCTGGGTACGGTGGTACAACTCACAGTTTGCATACAGTATGTACAAGTAACATTGAAAGTGCAATTGCATCTGGCTGCTGGCTCTGGCCTTGCCCACTTCTTTGTCACCCACTGCAGCAATTTTCACCTTTTTTTCTTCTGCTCCTCCTACTTGCTCAAGTATCTTTCTCTCCTTTCATCCTCCACCATCCTCAACTTTTTTGTCCATCTTCTCTTTCTTCTTTCCCCTCCTTCTCCCCCCCATCGCAAATAGCCCTTCCTTTATTCTCTCCCTCTCTAACCGTTGGTTCCTAATCCTTACTCGAGGTTTCCCGCCTTTTTGTGTGCGCGCGCCAAATCAATTAAAGTGTTTCGTCGTCGGCTTGCCCTACGTCGTTGCGTCAAGAAAAAAAAAAGTAGTTGTTTATACGCGTTCTCGAGAAGAAGACAATCCATCACCATCGTCAGCCAATTCAGCATTTTCACAGCAGGACAAAAGGGGAAAAAAGAAAAGAAAAAAAGATAGAAAAGCCGGAAGACTCTCGACCCAATCGTATTTTTAATCTTTGTACAAATTACTCGACTCGACGTTTTTTCACCATTTTCAATTCGCATTATTATACGTATAGCCGTATACCTAAACATACTTCGACCGACCATAATTTTCGCGTCCTCCCAATTACGTTACCTGATCGCAAGGAACTGCACACAGCACGCTCAGAAGAACCTGGAAAGCCAGTAGGGAAGGAAAAGAAGAAGAAAGAACAGCGAGACTATTGAGTTGTTGCGTTAGTCCTCCTCAATTCTTTTGATCGGAGTATCTGGAACCAAGAAACTTTACCATCCCGAGGTCACTGGTGGATACTCAGACGAGAACAAAGCAACAATTAATACGAATCGGTGTTGTTAATTATCAGTTTCAGGTCTTATTCTCACGGATTACGCTCTCGGACGACTCAAGTCAACAAAGAAGTTGTACCTTCAACCTCAGGTTCGACCTTCTCCTTCGTCTTTTCGCCATTTTGAAGTTGTAATCCCGCCTCTCCTGATTCTTTACATCAACTCCCGTTCACTACATTCTCTCTGGTCTGCATAAACTCGGACATCGCATCGAAATCATCACCGTGCCTTCTTCGTTTTATTACTTCTCTCTTCAAACCACACTGCGCAGTTTCCCATCATTGGCAAACGTCTGTCGCTCATTCGGACAAGAGCTCCTTTCCCACTAGAGAAATACTTAATTACGCCCACACGCATAGTCACCACATACGCATCTCTATTTGCATCTTCTGTTTCTTGTCTACAGCTTACCATCACCAAAACTGCCTCAGTTTTGCTGGTCTCTGCCGGCAAACCGCGTTTGATACGACATCCTTCAAAACTGATACATTGTTAGCCAGTGCATCAGTTGTGTGATCATCCACACAATCGACGGTAGCAACACTACTATTATCGCATTAATCAGACCTGCTTGGATCGCTTTTATCCCTGATTTACTCTTGTAATACCATTACGATCGCCCTATTTTAGAGGCCATCATCCATTCCTTATTCAGACTTCATTTCTAATCCTTCTTCCGCCACCGTTTGCATCTGAATTAGCAACATCGATCTCTCAGGGCCATTAATCCTTTGATAGTTCGCAGCAATTCATTTAGTTTGAGCATGGACGCCGGCGGTCTCGCTCAAATGTCGCATAACGGTTACGCTTCGCCTTCTGGCTTGGGCATGCCCACTGGAGGCTTGGCATCGCGTCGTGGTGGTGGCCAGAACATCAAACCGCTGTCTTTCGATGCCATTAAGGGTGCCTCGGACCCCAAAGACAACGGAGCTCCAACCCCACGGACTAGCCGATCTCACCTGCTTGCAGGTCTCAGAACGGCCCCCAAGTCGGCTACAGCGACTTCGTTCGCTGCCTCGGCCACTTCTGCCGCTCCTCCTCGTGTCATGAATAGGAACAGCATTTCTGGAAACATGTACGGCAGTCAGGATAATGCGTACAGTGGTCCGAAGACATCGCTTCCACGATTCTCGTCCCAGCAGCAAATGCCACCTCAGCAGCAGAATTACAATCCAATGGTGAACATGGGCCACCAACACTACACACCAGAACAGATATTGGCACCTCCTGAGCTTCATCTCGATGAGCAGGTCCAGGATCAAATGGACCCTTCACTCTATGCTCAGTTGGTTGCAACTAATATGTATCTGGCTCAGCAACAGCAACGCTTGCAGCAACAGCTCCTCAGTGTTCAAGCCGCTGCTCAGCAATTTCAGGCCATGAACCTGAGTGGCCAATCGGTATTACAGCAACAAATGGCACTTCAGAACCTTTACCATCAGCAACAGCAGTTGAAGAATTTGCAGCAGTCCATGGCCACGTCCCTGCCCACTCCACAGAACTTGTATGCATACTACGATCCTTCGACTGGCCAGCAGGTGTACTATGTCGACCAGAACGCTTCCCAGGCGACCAACAACTATGTGGACCGCACTCCTGCCACTCCTCAGGTGTACAACCGTCAACAGCATAGCCACAACAACAGTACTCCTCGGGTTCAGGTCTCGCCCCCTCCTGCAGAGAATAACCCTCCCGCCTTCCGAACCAATACGCCCCCCAAGAAAGTAGAACAAACACCAGAACCGATGCCTCTTCCGCCTCCATCTGCGAATGCTTTCCGTCGAGGTCATAAGAAGTCATCGTCTTTGGCGAATTCTAACAAGGGACTGTCTCTGTCCATGGACGATGCTCCCAAGTCGGCTGGCCCGAAGACGGCTTCTTTCCCATTGTCGCCCATGGTTAATGGCGGTTATGGTCCTGGTCAGGGTCGTGCTGGTGAACACCCAATTCGTCAGCCTCGCGGCCCTCCCGCGCTCGACGAGCTTCGAGCAAAGCCTACTGCCAAACATGAGGGCAGTAAGAACTTCGCTGCCCGAACTCGCCGCTCAGCTGTTCACAACCTTGTTAAGGCTGGGTTGGTTAGGCGCAAGGGTACGGGCAGTAGCTGCGGAAGCATGAGCCCCGTATCTGAGTGCGCCGAGGAGGTTTGCAGTCCACTGACTGACAATGAGTCTGATTCCGGGCGTAGTGGCTCGGGCAGTCTCTCCGGCGACGCTGAACCAAGTCTGGCTAGTTCTAGGACTTCTACCAGCGGTAGTTGGGGGGCTATTGGCTCTGATCGACCAGGCTCTCGTCAGAAGTCGCGAAAGAGTGTGGACAGCTTATCTAGCACTGGTGAAGGTGAGGGTAGCTTTGCGAGTGTTTTCAAGAATGGATCTCAAAAATCACCAAAGACCGACTCAACTGATGGGCAGCGAAAAGCACCTATGCTCGTGCTTACCAGCGCTGAGAAGCGCAAGGGTAGCGTCGCAGTAGCTTAAGGCTTAGCCGGACTAATTTTTCTTTTCACGCAATAATGATCGCATGCTCCCGACGTCTTTGTCTTTTCACGACTATTGCGATGGAGTGGTAGATCCCTCTAAGCAGAGATTACGCATGAAGGGACGGGACTGTATCGGAGAACAGAATGGCTCTTTCTTTCCGCGATTTGACTTTTTATTTTGGAGGGCACTGGAATCTGGTTTCGAGGATGGCGGCATCCCCAGACGTTGATTTTCGTTTGCAATACCAATCTGAGCCCAGCATCCGGTGGTACGCTTCTTTGAGAGGACTTGGCGGCTTGGAGAGAATAAATCCCCATAGGTGGGATTCTTTTTGCTGTTCATACTTCATGTCATTCTCTCAGACAAACCACACATGATGTTCACTTCTCAGTACGTTGCGTTTGGAGGGAACTCCGATGAGGGAACATCTCACTTACGACCCTTGTGGATGCCTCTTCCCTTACAAATTGTGTAGGCTGATGCTCAGCCTAATGATCATGGCATTTAAATCCAAAGAGGCAATTGCCCCCAATTCCTTAGGTAGAGATCAATGGCTCAATGGGAATGTCGTCCATATTTCATCTTAATCCACTTTGTCGTGAATGCCTTTATTTGTCTACCATGTGATCCCATCATGACCTTATCTTAGTTGCTGTTGCCCAATGTGTAGACACAGCCCTGAAAGTGGTACTCGAATAGTCTGAGCTCCAGGGCTATGTTGGTCACAACCATGATGGTATGTGCTTATAGGTTGGAGGTCTTGTGACGGATTGATGTCGCTGCTGCAAGCCATCTACCCTGTGTAGTTACCTACCTAACCTAGTAGGTTGTAAAATCGTGATTTTTCAATTTGCCCCTATCTGCGTTAAGTAGGTTAGGTACATACTAGGTAGCTTTCTCTACCTAGTACCTATCTCTACCTAGTACCTACTTGGATGACAAGATTGTATTATCAATGTTCTATGATAGCCTGGTAATGTGAGGTTGGTGGGTACTCGGTAGGTAGGGAGGGACCTAGGTAGGTGGGTGGGTAGGTAGGCTGTAGTTATCATCGTTGATGTCGTTTTTTGTAGGTTGGGTTATTTGCTGGGTGTTGGGTTGGGTGTTGAGGTAGGGTAGGGTAGGGTAGGGTAGGGTAGGTATTATTGGTTACGTTTTATGCTCCTGGGTTGCAGCTGCTTGTTTACTACATAGTCGCCGGTCATCGTTAAGCATTGCTGGGTGGATGACTAGGACCTATGGACATCTAATAAGTAGATGGGTTATTAGGTAGGTAGGTAGTATTGGAATGCGAAAAGGGGGGTTCCGTGGTTTGTTGGGTGCCCGGGTGGGCTGAGATAGGGGTTGAGGAATCGGGGTTCTGGGGGGAGGGCATTAATGTGTGTGAGGGGACGAAGTTACCTAGACAAGCATACGATTAGGGGGTTGATCAACTTCACGTGGGTCTCTATTGGTGTTGTTGTGCTAGGTTGTTTTTATATCCTGTCTATGTACCTGTGTACGTGTTGCGCTGCGCGCGTCTATGAACTCATGCCCCTATCCTCCCAAGGTTATCTAGGAAGTCATGTTACTAATCTTACAATGATCGCTCGTGATTCACGCTCCGTAGATAAGTAAGTGTAGTGGCGATTCGTATGATGAAGAGGGGGGGTAGGGGGGCTCTCTCCTGGCTTTGTCGTTCTCATCTAACCTGGGCTTGCTGATTGAATGGAATCGCTCTCGTCGTAAGTAGATTAGGTACTTGGATAGGTGCCTAGGTAGCTTTGGTTGCTGAAACACCCCTGATGTCTCCAATGCTTAAGTACCTAACGTATCACTTCAAAACCTCCTCATTTTACTCCTATCCGTTCCTCAGATTTCTCAGATTCATCGTTATTCAGCAGGTAGTCACCCGTGTCTTCACGAGGAACGAGGCATCTGTTATCGTCGACCACAGTCGCCTCCTCGTGAACGCTGGAGTCGAACGTATTCCGGATTCTCATTAGCCATTCAACAACTGTTTCCCTAGAATCGTTGACTAAATTCTTATCCGCGGCGTGCAATTTTGGCTTTGGTATCTCGAGGAACCCATGTTTAAAACAACCATGAGTTGTCTCCACATAGCATCCAGAGCACAAGACAGTGCAGTTGCATCCTTTACAAACTTTCCATCCGTTTTGATGGAACAGGCCGGGCTCGGAATAGCAATGACCGCACCAATGATGCATGTTAACCAACTTGTATATGCCTATCCAGTCATGATTGCATGCATTTCCCAGCCCATATCCACGATGTAGGCTGTAGAAGACTCGCTGGTGTTGTTCATATGCTATCAAGGCTTCGTCTTGTTTGTCAAGGAGGATAAGGCAATGGCCAAGTTCATAGAATCCCGGTAACGTGTATCGGCCGTTGTTGTCCAATAATCGAGATGCAATGATATACACAGTACGTCGAAGGCGAACGTTTCTCGGGCGCCCTTGTGGTTGCGACGAGACCTTTATCCCACTTTTCATATACAAGGTCAGTTTTGGGTCTTGGTGTATGTATCCGAAGGATTTTATCGCATTACATTCCGGAGTATGAAGAATAGCCACCTGGAAAAGTTCATCCACGATAGCCACATCGTCGTGCCTGTGTTCCAATAGCAATGTTATATCATCATCGCAGTTTCTAAAAGCTATTTGGAAGCATGTGTCGGTAATCTTGACATTGGGATTTGTCCCTAGCAGGGATTTTAAAAGTTTGCACGAACGTAAGGCAGCAGCGATTGCGATCACACCCTCAGTAATGGTGCCTTTAATTTCGGGTACATTTTGCCATCCATATCGGATGTTTGTCTCACTGTCGTCGTGTACTTTCGGATCTGGAAGGGCTTAGAAAAAAGTGGTTGTTTTGTGTATGGATTCGACTGATTTCGTTTTTGATCTCCTCTTGTTCTGCCTCCTGAGCCGTTATGTGTTGATGCCAATAGCTAAATGCATAATGGACGAATGCAAGGAGTGGGTTGTCTGTTCCATAATAGACCCATATGTTATCTCTTTGTTCACCCTTCAGCTCTTCTTGAAGGTCTTCGGCATTCATATATGTTAGGCACGTGCGTCCTAAATAAAGGTTGAGATCTTATACACCCCTAGGTTAGGTAGATTTTGATTTAGACCTACTCTTCACCCCCTTTAAAGACTCGGGAGGTTACACACAATTACGATAATACCAATGGGTCACATGACCGAACCAGAGTCAATACCCCTTTTATTTTTCAAAAACCTTTCAGAGTTATACTTCTCTTATCGTATTGAAAGGATAGTTGGAAGATATTCTTGGCATAATCCAGGGGTACTTTTATCGTGGTTTAAGATTTGAATATACTCATTTTAAGATCGCACCTATTTGACACGACCACAATGAAATTCGAGTTATTTCTTATGACTACTCGGCAATATTATGGCTATAAATACCTAACTCCAGGCTATATACATACCTAGATGTATTTCTTATTGGCTCTGTCTTAGAAAGATGCATCTTGTTTAAAAAATATCGGTTCTACCAACCCATAATGAAATATTTATAATTAGCCCATGTGAGCGCTGTAATAGTGTAATGGGGGCTATATTCTGCACAATCATCAAATTTTGCCTACGCTACCTAGTTATGTCATCAGACTTGCGACAGGAGAAATATCATTATATACGAATATGCCACACTTTTAAAATTTAAGAGGTGCGCAACATCGTAACCCCCTTAGGTCACAGAGCATATGTATGTTTCAGCGACTAGCTTAATACATGATATAAAACTCTTCGTCTCTAGAAAGAAAGGATAAAAACTACTGGATCGGTACCTACCGAGTACCTACCGAGTACCTAGGTAGTCAATTAGTAGTAGCCTTGCCTTGATTGAAAGCTAGCTTACATCAACTTCCGCGCCCCATCGCGGTGGCATCCAATCAACATCAACAACCTCATGGGAAAGAAATTAATATATTACCCTTTCTCATGGGCACATGACGAACGAGGCTTGCTGTCACAGCTTACACCTGATACCCCTCGTTTCTATTCGCAGGCTTTTCTTTTTCCACCAAGAGCAACGGCCCCCCACCCCCCCTCGAATACGTATCGCACATGTGAGCCTGAGGTTCATTTCACAGCAACGTGTAAGTGTTATAAGCGACAAGGATTGTACCTATATCTATGGTACTCCTATAGTCACAAGTCCACTCGTCTGAACTTCTACTAATTCGAGAGAAAGCCCGGAGAGCTTGCAATGACGAAATCAGTCATAGTGGTAGGTAACACAGTGTTCTTCCCCCTTACTTCTCGTGTAGTTTCCGTGTTAGCTGATTTTGCTTTTTAAAAGGTTGGCGGGTCCATCGCTGGTTTGATGCAGTAAGCACTCCTTACTGCGCATTCCAGCTCCTCTTCATGAGTAACTTACTTTATTGTTCACCACAGCGGCTTACAGCATAAGCGGAAAGGCAACGATGTCACCATCATTGAGCAAGAGCCAGGCCAGAGGGCAAGCCAGGATGCAGGTATAGGGTTTGGGGCCGAAGTGAATGAGTTTCTCAAGAAGTACGACTTGACGGGCTCTCAAATAGCTATACGGTCACACTCCCAGCGGGTAGCATACTACAAGCGACCCCAAGTCCACACAACGCAGACGTCCTTGAAACTTACGAGCTGGGGGTTGCTGTATCGGCTACTACGGGTCAATTTCGACGGTTTGGCCTCTGCGGCTTTCCCGGTTCCCCCGAAGGAGCACGAAAGCAACGGAAGAGCAACTTACCTCACGGGTAAGAAAGTTGTGAGCTTGTACTACAGCTCAGGGGTAGTCACTGTCCGCTTTATCGACGTAGAGACAGGCAAGGAGGAACAACTGTCAGGAGATCTACTCATTGGCGCAGACGGCATTCATTCTACCATCCGTCGATTAGTCGGGACACCCAGCGTGGAACAATACGTCGGATACGTTTCATGGAGAGGGACGGTTGAGGAAGCGCTCGTGTCTAAAGAGACGGTCCGGTATTTTACGGATTGGCTATGCATGAACATCACGAAAAACGGCTATCTGGTAGGGTGAGTTACTCCTTAAAATTAACACGCGGAGTACCCCCAGAATATTAACCTTGCACGTAAGATACATCGTACCAACCGACGACGGCAATTTCACCCCCGGCCAGCGCCTCATCAACCTCGTCTGGTACTGCAACATGCGCGACCGCTCCCCCGAGCTTGATGAGACATTCACCGACATCAACGAAAAAAAGCACCAGAAAACCGTGCCACGCGGGCTCGTCCGCGCCGAAGTCTGGGATCGGGCCCGGCGGCGGGCAAGGGGCAAAGTGGCCGAGCCGTTCGCGGAAGTGCTCGAGAAGGTGCAGCGGCCGTTCGTGACCAGGATCCACGATGCGTTTAGCAGCGCGTCGAGCTTCCACGACGGACACGTCGTGCTGGTCGGCGACGCATTCTCGTCGTTTCGTCCCCACGCGGCCACTGCTACCGAACAAGCCGCCTTTCACAGCAATACTCTCGAGAAGGTATACACAGGAGAGATGACACAGGAAGCCTGGGATCGCGAGGTGCTTGTGTACGCGAGGCGCATGATTCTGCTGAACCGATTGATCGGCAACTTTGGGCGTGGGGCCTTGACCCCCTTTCTTCAAGCGGTGTTCCTATATTTTATATTTGTCCTACAACAAAAGTTGCGCCGTGCATGAACATTCCCGACAACACAACTGAAGATGTAATTACGATGTGGTAGCCAGGTAGGTAGTCATAAGAACCACAATCACAGCCAAACATCACATCAAATTGCAACTCAAGCCACCCACGATGCTACAAACGGGGACTGAACACCCAGGTAAATCGTAAACAATGTCGGAAATTTGAAAAAAAATCTAGACCCCGGCATTCCGGCCAAGGAAGTCTATACGTTTATATATCGGTAGGTATATATAAGCTATAAGTATAAAGGTGAAAAAATGGACACAACCAAATCCTCTCTAACCCGAATTCCATCATCGCCAGAGGAAAAGGAGAAGAAAAAAAGGATGATATACAGAGCGCTGCATCCCAAAAACGAGAAATGCCCAACTCTTTGCTTTGTCGTCCTTCTTCCCCCTCTTTCTCTGCCTGCCTCACACCCCCTTGCGCCAATCATCATATACAAGCATTCGCTAAACCCGACCAACCAACCCACCTACCCACCTATCCACCATCCCCTGGATCCATTCATTCGTCCCAACTAACCTAATCAACCAACCAGCCAGCCAGCTATCCAGCGCGCGTCCTGAGGGAAAGGAAAGATCCGGTGCCGTCCCATAAATGCAAGAAGTGAAATTGCGCGACCAAACAGGCACCTATATCTGTAGGTACCCATCCGCATCTACGCAGATATATATACCCATACCCATAGATACCTATACATCGATCTACTGGCTCTTGCTCGCAAAGCCCAGTCTCGGGGTGCTCTCGGTCTGGTCAAAGACGACGAAGGCGGCCTTGAGGGCGACGTCGCCGAAGATGGAGAAGCCAATGCCGGAGTCGGACTGGATGCCGCCGAAGCAGGTGGAGTCGTCGACGGGGGCGTAGTTGACGAACTCGCCGGGGATGGTGACCTTGGCGCCCTCGACGCCGAAGACGAAGTCGGGGAGGCTGGCGGTGCAGGGGAAGACGTAGCCGCCCTGGGTGTCGTCGTTCTTGGCGCCGGACACCTGGCGGTAGTAGGCGGTGACGACGGCGTCGGGCAGCATGGCGAGCGTGGTGCCGGTGTCGGCGATCCCCTGGATCTGCGTGTCCTTGAAGCTCGTGTTGCCGACGCCGTACCCGGACGCCGTGAACATCCAGAACCCTTGGCTCGAGTCGACGTCCGTGTAGGTGATCTCGCCCGTGTACTTGGAGCTGTCGATCACGCCGAAGTCGTAGGTGCCGGCTAAGTATTATTCACAAAGTCAGTTTCACATGATTATATTTCGAGAAGAGGAAGAAAGTGGGGGGGGGGGGGGGGGGGGGGGGTTTGCCTTACCTTCGTGGAACTTGAGGTCAGCAGTCCAGACAGCAGTGTCGAGGCTGCCGGCGACGTTGTCGAAGAACGTCTTCTGCGGCGTGGGCTGCACGGTGTTGATGCTGCTGAAAGCAAGACCCAACAGACCGTCGTTGTTGGTGTCGCTCGTGAACTGCCTGGAGACCTTGGTGGCGGCCTCGACAGCCTGGGCGTCGAAGGTGACGCCGCCCACATTAACGGTGTCGGTGAAGACGACGCCGTTGGACGAGCTGCCGTCGCCGTACGAGATGTCCCAGGTGGCGCCGCTGACGCGCTTGGCCGTGCTGCTCTTGCTCGGGTCGTACTGCGCCTGGCCGTTGACGGAGCTCGCGGGCATCTCGGTGCTGAAGACCCACAGGTCCGAGGAGCCGGAGTCGAAGTCGAGGTTCAGCACCTGCGGCGGCGTGCCGATCGACACGGGCGTCAGGTACTGGATGTCGTACTGCTCGGGGGTCGCCTTGGCGCTGCCGGTGTCGCGGCGGAAGATGTTCAGGTCGGCGAGGATCCGCGCCAGGCCGTCGGGCAGCTTCGCGCCGTACTTGATGTACGTCCTGGCCAGCTGCGCGGGGCCGTGGGGCTTGAAGCCGGGGTTGCGGACTTGCGGCACGGAGAAGGTTCCGACCTTGGTGCGCGGCGGCGCAGGAGTAGGGGTTGCTGCTGCGATGCCGGCGAGGGCGGCCGCGAGGGCGAGGGTACCAGCTGAACCGACCATGATGGCGAGATGTATGTATAAACGATTCGGAATCCTGAGGTTGGGAAAAATAAGAATAGAATATACAAGTTCTAACGAATGAAGAGAGAACGAGCAAGCGGATGGATGGGGAGGCACAACGAAGTAAGTAGAAGAGTGAACGTAGGTATTTATGTTCAAAGGATAGGGGCTGAGGTTGTTGTTGGTTGATGGTTTGTTAGAAATAGAAACCCCCTTGCGTCACGGGAATGACAAGCTAGAGCAAACTTCCTCTCATCAAAAGCCGGATGGGTAACCAGCTATTTATAACCTAAGTAATCTGGGGAGAGGGAGGAGTCAAGTGAAAATGCGATCGTGAAAAGCCCCGGCCGGAAAGGGTAGGTTAGTTGATGATGTAGGAACTAGCCAGGGGATCTGTAGATCTCTTGGAATCGACGGCCGAAGAAGTTGCGCTTGGGTAGGTTAGGTAGGTAGGTATATAATAGTAGTGCCTGGCTAGTCCAAGGTAGTATATGGTAGTATAAGTTGTAATAATAAATGCTACCTACTCCCCTACCACCCATGTGAGTGGGTATGATGATGGAATCGCAGCTTCCGTGATGGGCAAGAGCAAGTGAGAGTGAGGCCTGGTTCAACGAGTGATACAGAATAAAAGCGAATGAGCACGTCTTTTTGAGTCAACGGTTGGCTTATCCCGTTCGACTCAGTTTGTGTGAGGGGGACCGGGGGGAACGGCAGGGCTTCTGGGTTGTGGAACGCGGAGGCTTGGCAAAGCAGATCTTTGGACCAGCGAGCTTGGAACAACTGGACCAGAGTTTGGCAACTGATTGGCCGCTGGGCAAGTCGTCAGGTAGGGCAGGATGGGAGCAGGGTAGGGTACGTAAGATGGGCTTTGAATATGCTTAATTCATCATCTAACCTAACGGTCTCTTCCACCTTGGCTGCTTGCTTGGTAGGTAGGTACGTAGTAGACAGCTTGTTAACCGCGGGCGGGTGTTTTGTCCGGTTCTAGCGAACTTTATCTCTCTTCCCCTGACCACGGAACCGAGTCCTACCCGGCTTAGCTATGCATTTTTTTTTTCATTAGGCCTCCCCCTCCATCCCGGTCTCCCCCTGGCGCGGATCGCTAGATTGATTTCCTTTCGCCGTAGGTGCGGTGGTTGCCCTTGCCCGGCTGGTTAAACTACACAACGGCTCCTGATCTATCTATCATCGATGTCATGGATAATCGTGGATACCTATGTACTCGGGACCACTCTCGGGAGCATGTGAGAGAAAGGCTGTGGATTTGGGAGGCCCCATCATCCTGGAGATGGCTAAGGATGGCTGTGATTTGATCGATAAAGTGAGATAAAGAGATGAAAGGGGATGCGCGCATGGATCATTGTTGTCGTCAATGTCTTACGACAGGGTGGGCAATAAGCTTCTTCTTAGGGTCTTGGACCAACCACGTTGGCTGGCTGGGGGAGGAAGTAGTTTTCTTCTCTTGGCCTTGCTGCAAGTATACTACTGTAGATATTGTACCTACTTTGTCTGCTGCATGCCCAGCCTACTGCATACCTAGTACTAATAGGTACTACATAGTACAATACCTACCTGTCTACCTACCTGTCTACCTACCTGTCTACCTACCTGTCTACCTACCTGTCTACCTACCTGTCTACCTACCTAGTGTATTGTACCTACACTACACATGTGCACTATGCGCGTATGCAATGCGGCCCCCATGTCTTAGTTCCTACATACATACCTATCTTGGCAGCTGCTTGGTAGGTATGTACCACTATGTTTGACTCGTGCGTGTTCTAGCGCGGCTGGACGTGCCACACAGCGTTAAAGATCTGCGAGACCATGCATCATACCTTGCCCTATAAGTGCCGGGTGTAGTGGCGTTTCAGATAGGGGACTTATACCACCTTAGGTCATCTTCGGGCCACCTTAGAGTATGTCGTGGGGGGGAGAGAGGAGGGGTGCTTGGCCTCATTTGTGTTATGCGGCTTATTATTGAATGAGACTTGGCGCTTTTTGGCAGCTCGTTGAGTTCGTCATTTGGTCTCATTTTGTGCTGAAATCACCAATCGCATCAATCAAACAGCTTGATGGCTGCCACACACACTCATCTGCCAGCTAACGCTACCTACCTACCTACTTAGGCACACTACTTGTGCGAGTGAGACCTCAAGACTTGGACTAGATGGAATAAGCCTTTCCCCAGATCTTGGCCAGTTGGCTGCTTGACTGCCCAGATGTCTGACTGCTTGGCTGCGTTTGTTCCCTAGATTCTAGTGTGTGGGTAGGTAGTATCGTGAAAAAAAAAACAAAAAAAAGGCGATGACGTATGTGCTAACGTATTGATAAAGTGTTAATCACAAGTCTAAAACTCATCGTCATGACAATTTCTTAACTCTTAACAAATCATGTACTAAATCCCGGGTTTTCCGCATCTGCCCACATATACCTAGGGTAGGAAGGTAGTGTATAATACGGGCCTCTATCTAGCAGCAGCAATGCGCTAAAGGCCATAAAAAAAAGAGATCTATCCATAGATGCACTAGAAATTCCAAAAAAAGGTGGAAGAGAGTGGGAACAAGGTGGATTGCCGGAAAGAAAATAATCATAAATCATAATAAAGAGGAGACGAACTTGACGAAGAGAGCATTCCAAAGAGGCTCTAAAGCCGTTGATAGGGCATCCAAGCCACCAAACGAAACCCCTTCCACAAATGATGAGTGTTTGTCATGCTTGCGCTCTCGTCCAACCACGCCATCTTTCTTCATTTTCTTTTCTTCAAATTCCCCAGTATTGCCACTTATGATCGTCGCGCCCCATCGCGCAAATGATTGGGTCATGTCGAATTCATGCAGATAAACCTTACTAACCTACCTTAAAAGGCTTGGAGGGGGAGGGGGGGCTCGCCCATGTTCATAGCAGTCCGGACGACTTGAAGCTACATATGTATCTATTATCTTCCTATCGGGATATATTGCTTTAGGATCTGCGCTACACTTCTAGATAGGAGAAAGAAAGAAGAGCTGACATGTGGTAAAAGGATGGATGCATACAACTCCAAATCGCATCGGTATCTCGAGAAGGCAGTGTAATCCGACGAAAGGGGGATTCGATACATTAGAAAAATGCATTACCTACACAGTACCTATTTCCAAGCATCGCATTTTGATTTGGCCAACAGTAATATTACCTACCTCATTACCGCGCCCCCCTTCCCCTTGCCGTCAATTCAAACCATGACCTACCTACCTAATTAAGGAACGGTCCAATCGTATTGATTCTGCTTCAAGGGATTCACAGATAAAATTATCATACCTATGTATTCTCTCAGCTACCAACAACATTATCCAACGCTAGGGGGCCTATCTAACCTAACACTCAAAAGGTATTGTACCTAGGTAAATAATCAATAGATAGATATTCAGAATCGAACAACCAGACCAAATAAATACGAGCAGAAGCGGCCCTATCAAGCTTTCTTCCCGAGTAGAGGGCCCCGAACGATGTAACCGCCCGAACACTAAGGATGACTAAGTTGTCCTTCCACATCGAGGCATCCCGCGCTGCTAGTCTGTTTCCGGGTAACACGATGCATGCATGCACGACCGCATGGACACCGGCAGCGAACGAAGCCAAGCGACCCAAGGCAGCGGTGGCGTTTCCTACCGCCCCAAGAGAGATAGTTGTCCTACCTACCTACCTACCTATTATTAGTGCACTATGTATTTGGACTATTTGGACACTTGCATGCACGCCTGAAGCTTGCATAGGTACCTACCTAGATACCTGCCTCTCGGACTTAGTATGGTACTACCTACTACTACATAGCCTCCACGAGCCTCGTTCAGCGAGCTGCAGTCCAACGCACATGCAAGAGAGTCACAAGACTTCGATCATTTCCCAATCCATGCCAAACAACCTTGAAGTACCTATTGACGGACTTCTAGCTCCAATGACATACCCGCATGCTGGAGTTCAGGAATGATGAAAATTGCACTACCTGCCTACCTTGTATCAATCAACTAATGAAAGGGTAGCTATTCAAAAAAAAAAAAACAAAGCTACCAGTGCGGTTTTACTGATTCTAATCCGATCTTCTGACACCTCAATTCAGAGTTCCTACTGCAAAATATCAACAAAATGACTATGTCAACATTACCTATCAACGTGCCTGAATCACGATGGCGGTACGGCACGGGGGCTCCACCCATCTCCGAGCCCCACCCCCTAAACGTCCCAACTCCGGCATCAGTGCCGGTCTGACTGCTATTCAATTGAAATTGTCCTAGCTTAAATTAATGAAATGTCTATAGGGCTATTGCGGGGTGATTCAGTCTAGAGTACGAGAGGATTTGAAAGATCTTCTCAGGCCCATCTTCTCCATCACTTACCTTTTGATTCCTTCATTTCACCCTTGGGCCGTAAGATAAATGGGAAGTTCATGATTCGATACAACCGGTCATTGTACTTAGTACCTGAGGCACGTTACCTAGTAGGTACCGTGCATGTAATAATCAACAAGCTAGGTAGGTTAGGCGATTCGGACCCAAATATAAGTAGGCCACCTTTCATAGTAGGTTGCGGAGCCACTTTGAATAATTTAGAACTAGAATGACTATGTACCAGGAATCGCCTTCCGTATGAGGATACGGGTGGACTGATGTTGACTAACCTCTAAGCGTGGTGTACTAACCCCTTGCTCGCCATCGGGGCCCGAGAACGATACAGCAGCCAAATCTTTCTTAGACTCTTGGACTTCCATGACTCGCTGCGAATGAATTAGCATTTCAATCAGCATCACTCCTGGTACTATCATAGGTTGTGACTAGATATCTACCTCTTCGAATGTATCACGAACGAAGAGTCGAAAAGTCGTGACTTCTCTTGTCTGTCCAAGACGATGCACGCTGGCGAGTGCTTGTTCCTCAGTGGTCGGGGTCCTTCGTTTCAATCAGCGAACTCTCCGTATATTCACGTAGTGATCGCGACGTACCAATGTGGCTCCATAAGGTATGCATAAGATGCCTCGGTCAAAGTCAACCTTAAGTGCTCATTGTTGATGGCATGGCCTAAGGGGCAGACGGTTGATTAAGTACCCACCCCCCTGCACCGCAGGATAAAGTGAGAAGCATGACTTTGAATCATGAATCTTTCCGGAACTTCTCAATCACTGACTGCCTGTCCTTCTGAGAGACCTTTCCGTCGAAGCGGAGATAGCCTATCCCGGCGTGTTTCATCCCTACTTCAAAGATGTCTAAAGTCATTCTCCAAGCTGAGAAAACAACTCTGGCCCAACTGCGTTAGATTATCTATTTTCAAGAGAGGGGCAATTCACCGCCTCGTCTGCTTCCCCTGACTTCCAGAGATCGGTGATATCCTTATCAAACTGGCTGCTATTGTTGTAGGGATCGTCCTGCAAGAACTTCAAAAGAGCAGAAAGGTCTGACATGCGATTCTGTACAGGAGTTCCTGATACTGCCCAGCGAGACTCTGTTGAACAGTCACTCATAGAGTGGCCGGATCTTCCACAAGCTTCACAGGGGAATTGTGATAAGCTTCTTTACCGCTTCTCTTGTGTTGCCTCTCTCGCGGTTGAGTCTGTTCCGGATCTTTTTCTAGATTCTTGCCTAGGTCTCTCACCCCTTGAGCTCGAATAGGCGGGCGGAAGAAGGCGTGAGTTGAACCTCACTGCGTTTGCCGAATACTCATCGTCTTGTTGGAGCTCCCTTCCCCTAGGCATGTCGAATTCCACTTGATTAGCCGCTCTAGTAAACTTTGAGGTAGCTTCTCTCGGCTTGCTTGTGGTGCACAGCTTCATCATATCGTAGTCGGCCGAGAGCTTGTTCGATACCTCATATATGTTTATTGCTTTTCCTTCGTTTAGTGCATCTTCTAAGCGATTGATAGATCTCACGCCTGGGACTTGTTTCCACATGAAGGCGAACTTATCCGTCCATCTGATCTTATAATCTGGGTCGAGTCGATTAAGATTGGTGACGGTCTTTTGAAGGGTGTCGAGCCATTCTTTCGGTCCATCTTTTGGCCATGCTTTGAAGTATCCTTCTGTGTGTTTGTCGAGCTGCTTCTAACTCTCTTATCTCCTCATACACTTTCGGCTCGAGGTTTTGCTTTGAGGTTGTTAACCAAATTCGAATCGACCCGGAGCCTTCCATAAAGTGCTTCACTAAGATATGAGTGGTTTCGAGAATATATGTGCGGATCTTTGCCAGTTCTTTCTCATGGTTTTCATAGCGGCAAATCTTTATCTTGTAAGTATCTAGTCTCAACGAACAGATACCTCTATCTGCAGAAAGATTAAAATTATTCAGAGCTACGATCTCTTATGGGTATAGTTCATCAATACAGGTCAAGCGTAATTTCCCATGATGTCTAGTCCATTTAATTTTGGAATCCGCAACGTGTCTGTTTATCACATTGAGTTTAGTTAGTGACCTGGCATGCTGACTTATAGGACGTTGATACACTCACTGAGTTAACTGGCGTAGAGATCAGTTAGCTTCATGGTATTAATGTAACAAGTGATAAATAGAGTACTATTACTAACGCGGCGGTGGTATAATAATCAGAGTTACGAATGTAACCTAGTCGCTGTGTCTGTGTCTCGAATGATAGAAAACTTAGGGTCTGCAACCATCGCTAGGGCTTTTCCCAGTCCCATTGGATCAGCAATTATGCCGCCATAGAACTGCGAGGGCTGGTTGATTTGTGTAACGTTTGATATCCTGTTATTGAACCTATTTGTTGTGTTAGATTATCACAACCGAGTATGGAATACTCCCGCTCTTAAGGTTGAGGAGTAGGAGCATACATATATCTGCGACCATCGTGGATAAGCTCCCACATCTCCATATTTTTTGATTCAAATGTCAGTCCTCTCTCCTTTTGTATCATGAACGTTAAAGCTTGCTTTTGGTGGCTTCATAGCGAGTTAGTTTCAGATGTAACTCTGAGTTCCATCTTGTGGTTTGATACGGCACCTTTTCAGAAGTGTCCTGATAACGAAGGGTTGTGGTGATTCAGGTAAGTCTCGCTTTGAGTCCAAGAGACCAAGCAGTTCAGACTGTTGAGGTAATTCTTGCAAATCGTAGATTTTGCCCCCGCCCACTAGTATTTCCGATGTCATGGGACATGTTTGGAAATCAGTGCAAGATAGGCGACGAGGATTGCAGTATCTCACATCTTTCACTGCACCATAAGGGTCTTGTAAGTAAATATCATGTTCTTGGCAAAATTCACCAATTTCAAAAAACAGCTCATAAGGCCCGTATATTATGGCTGAGAGAAAACACGCTGTGACCTGGTGTGCCAAACCGCCGTGTTTTCGAGTTTCGACGTGGTAGGCTCAATTTGGCATGTTAGCTCCATCTCCAGACGACCCGCTTCAAGTAATGATTTGAACATACTTATCCGTATATGGAGGTGATTTTTTTCCACTTAATTCGTGTTCTAGTGTAGAGCTGAAAGCTTTGGCAGAGTCGAGCTTAACAGGGTGAGGCTGCGAGTTGAGATGAAGCAAGTCATTGGACTTAATCCGACATTCTGCTCGGATACCACGTATCTAAGAAAACAGGGTCAATAAGACTGATTTTATTTATTTATCACCATTATTCACTAGTTAGGTACCTAGTTATTGATTTATTTCCCACCTAGAGAGGTGTGTGTTTGTGTGCATATATACCTACTAAGTAGTAGGTAACCTAGGTAGTATATATAGGGGAATTTGTGATCTATAAAGGGGTCATTAGGTATATAGTAATCATTGAAAGCTTCGCTCTGTATGTAGTTCTCGAGGACCACCTGCTGTTCAGTGTTAGACTGAGAGCATGAATCTACCCGCTGTCGTTTCGCGGAGGGCTCTGAAGGTTGGCTCAGCAGCCTTCCAATATGGTTTCCGCTTAAACGCCGAGATCCCGCTTTAGAGGCTACAAACAGAGACTCTATCGCAACTGGAACCGCCTCCAACAATTGAATATGCAAGAGATCGACGTAGAAGAACTAGCGAGACACATTGCGAGAAAGGCCGATGGTTTGTAATACCAAAATGTAAAGAGTCAATTGAAGAGGATTGAATGTTGATAGAGCATGGTATGGAATGTTAGGGTTATTTGGATTGATGTTGGAAGATGGGACTCGCTGGAATTGCAGTTTCGAAACTATTCGAAACCAACACAATGAACACATACCTACTAACATACTAGGTACTACTCACATAGATACTACTCACAAGCACCAACACACATTGCAAATTGATGGTAGTGACTTCCCAGTATGTATAGTTACAGTCACGCAAAACCTTCACTCAGTTCTACCGCCCCCAAACTGATCATAAATGCCGAATACATCCCCCCGCCTTCCTTCGCGCCACCTCTTAGTTACACCTCCCATCCTCTCCACCACTTCTTCTCGACATTAAACCCAGAGCGCAATCGAAAACTAGTTGCGATAACTATATCAACGTCATGAGGCTACTTCACTTGAGTTACCTTGGCTTAATAGCCACATGCATATCTATCAACGTCAATGTCAGTGGACCAGGCTGTACAGCTGTGGAAGACATGAGAAATTGCTAAGTCGCACCAGAAAGATAACACGAAGAGAGATGCCGAATCCCTCAGCACAAGTACCTTTAACGATCGTGCGACAACGCCGCTTGCACTTCGAGGAGCTGTAGAGCCAGGTGGCGTCGACGTATCCTTTAAGGGTACCGTTCAAGTAAGTGCACCAACCATCGAGGATTGCTCCCCCCCTTTTTTTTTCCTCTAGGACCAGGGTTGATTATATAATCACATAGGAGATTGACGCGCAAGTCCATCGCATCAACCCCAACTTCTCATGGCGAGACTTCAAGCCCAGCCCAGGTCGCTTCTCTAAATCGCCCAGAAAGCGCAGCCCAGTAAGGACTCTCAAACCCATGCCCCACCCCTAACCTAGGATACTTGGGCGATTCCCCCCCATGCCTCGTTTTCTAACAAGGCGCCTGCGCAGAGCAAAGTCCTCTGCCACGTGCAGGGCCTCCCGCCGGCGCCGAGGGCCGCGCTGGAGAGCAGCCGCGACTGGCTGAACGCGCTCGCCGCCGAGCTGTCCGTCGACGCCCAGCGCTGCACCAAGGTCTCGTGTGTCGCGGGCGCGGCGGTCTGGTTCTGCAACGATAACCTGGGCTGGATCCAGGAGGTCAGCCTCACGCTGGCTACGCACGTCGATGCCATCTTGGACCAGGAGGGCTGCGGGACGGCGGGGAACAGCAGCTTGGTGCAGGGGCAGTCGTTTGACAGTGATAATTATAATATCATTGTAAATGGAGATGAGTGCGCTTAGTAGGTATATGGTATGGGCGCGGGAGATTGGTGGTGTGGGGTTTGAGTATCGCTATCACACACTCATCGACTAGGTATCGGGTATGTACTTAGACAAAAGAAGAAAAGTATATATCCCGTTAAGCCAAGGCATGGGAACTTGCTAGGATGAAGTGTTTGTATGAGTTTCAGGGGCAAGATGACCGACTTGGTTCCTATAACAAGGAACTAGCCTACCCGGAATGCCTTTGACAACTCCTTAGTGAGAACCTTGAATTCGACGGAAAGTTTAGGTGTCACGGGGTGTAGGCAGTGGTAGTTAGGTATCTACCTACCCAGGTAGGAATATATAGGAAGGGAAGGATCCCATCCCCTTTTGAATCAATGCCCAGGAGTTATTACAATCCCCTATCTTCTCTTTACCTACGAGTATCGTTCTAAAGTAAAATCAGAGGTAGTTCGAAAATATGCCTACACGTTCACCACTTAGGTCTTCTATTAAGAGAATGCACGACTGCCTAAAGCTTTGGGATAAGAAGAGTGAAGCGATCAACGTGAAGTGTCCCCTTCTCATACACAGTCACACCTTTTGCGGAAATAAGAATGTTCAAGTCGGCTTACATGTTAACAGCGGCGGGATAGTTATTTTGGTATCTACTAGGTACATGTAGGTAGGTATGTTGGTGGCCGAGTAAATAGGCACCAACATTCGTGGACTTAAAACTTTTAATTCCAACAGTGGAGGCTCTAACAATGACCGCGTGGAACATGAACTAGTTAGGTCCAAGCATCACGTGGCGAATCAATGTTATACAGAGGGGGGCCCGTTACCAGATGGGCGGTAATACAATACCTAGGGTATGCCGAGGTAAGCAGGAATAGGGGGCCAAAAAAATTCCCGAGTGCTCTTTGTCCAGCCGCCGGGCTTTTGGGCCCTTACATGATTACCCCGGAGGCTCCTGTCACAACAGAAGCTAGGGCAGCTAGAGACAGTCACCTGATCGGTCGTAGTGACCTGGATATGGGATTCAATTTTGGGGGGGGGGGGGGGGGGTGAGAATGGCCAGTGCACTGTGCGACTGTACTACTAGGGTTACAGACAGATTCTCTATCTCCACAGAACCCTCGACTGCGCTCACCTCTTCTCTATCTATTCTTGGCTTGCTTGTCTCGTCACCAATTTGTCTTCAACCTTACCCACTCGCTCGTCACTCACCGGTGCCGTCATAGGCACGCCTGCTGTATTACAGAATGTAACTGCCACTTACCTTCCGCTTTTCGTGTGCCCCTTCGCCACTACGTCCGTACAAAGAAAAAAGCCGCGGTCCTGAATGGTTTTTGTTTGTCAAGCGTATACTTAGCGCCTATTGTGATATACGTCAGCTGATTACCTGTCCCTTTCCCTCTCTTCGCCCACCCCCCCGGATCGTCAACTAAGCATCTGACCAGATCCAGCCGGCGATCTGTGTATCTCTGTGCACCGATCCCATTGGTCGTCATATCCGAATCTTAGGATTCGTGATCCTCCTTTGTTGGCAGGATGGTACGACCCGGACGGGAAGGGGGTGACATCGATCCTTCGCATCACTCCCTCGGGTCCCCTAGCTAATCCCGCTTGTCACCGCTCGTGGGAGGATTACAAATGCAGATGAACCGGAACAGGATGTAGTTAGCCCCGTTCAGGCCGGTTCGTCCTAACCCCGAAAGTTATATTTCTATACGGCCTTTCTGAGCGTTTCCCATGCCCAAGGTTTCTTCGATTCTATTGTAGCAATATCACATGCATCCATCAGGATAGGTTCACGTAACCCAATTGCAGCTTCACACATTACCTTCTTAGCCATCCACCATGTCGACACTCAAGCCAATCGTTGTCTGGGGCCACGATATGGGTCCCAACCCATTGAAAGTGCACATCGTCCTCGAAGAGCTTGACATCCCATTCGACTACAAGATCATCAGCTTCTCGGACATGAAGAAGGAGCCCTTCCTCAGCATCAACCCGAACGGAAGGGTGCCCGCCATCGAGGATCCCAACACTGGGGTCACCATATGGGAGGTGAGTTCTTAGCTTCTGACCACAACTCTCCCCCCCCCAAGCAACAACAACATTCAAGCTGACGTTGACACTTTCTGGGTAGTCTGGACCGATCTTGGAATACATCATCGACCAGTACGACAAGGAGAACAAGCTAAGCTACGACACGCTGGCCGAGAAGTACCAGATCAAGCAATGGATCGCCTTCCAGATTTCAGGCAAGTGTTACCCCCCAGCCCTCAACCCCCTCCTATTCCTATTCACCACTGGCAATGGGCCTATTACCCAACCTTGACTACCTACTTTACTGTAACTAACACCCCGCCCCACCACCCCCAGGCCAAGGCCCCTACTACGGGCAAGCGGTCTGGTTCTCGCGCGTGCACCACGAGAAGCTGCCGTCGGCCATCGAGCGGTACACGAAGGAGATGGAGCGCGTGCGGTCGGTGCTCGAGCTGCACCTGTCGCGGTCGCCCTCGGGCTGGCTCGTCGGCGACAAGATGACCGTCGCCGACCTCGCGTGGGTCATGTGGGAGCAGATCGGCACCCTCATCCTCCTGTTCCAGGACATCCACCTGGAGGGCAAGTACCCGCACTACGACGCGTGGTATAAGAAGCTGTTGGAGCGCCCGACGGTCAGGAAGGTGCTGCTGTCGAGGACGAAGAGCCTCAGGGAGAGCGGGCTGGCGCCTGATGCGCCGGATCCGTTTTAAAAGGGGGGTGGGGGGTACTTCGCCTAACCTACGCAAATATGCTCGTCTTTTCTACCTATAAGGATGATGTTCTAGGATGAAGGGCTATTAAATAGGACAAGCGGGTCCGTTTTATCATGGCCGGTACTTACAGTTTTCAGTGATCTTCAAGGATGTATTGTACCTAGTTGCCAAATTATACAGTTAAAAGATGTAGATGAAACTCTAAAATTCGACGTGGGTTAATTAGTTACCATGAAGTGTTGTGAGTTCGAGGGGTTGGTTGGTAAGCATCCTCCCCCCTCTTTCTTTGTTCAAGGGGGCAATATGCACCTGGGCATGTGTGTGCCACGAGCCCAGCTACCTGGTACCTACCTCATCTACATGTACGATGTACCCAATACCTAGGTAGTATACATATGTAGGTAATAGGTATGTAGATGTCTAACCTTAGGTTAGTCACGGAGGAACCGGTGGCACAACACACGTGCTTTTTGCTTCTTCTTCTTTTTGCTTGCTGCAAGGACAACGAGCTGCATGCATGTTCCATGTTCCATGTTCAATCGGCACCAACAATCAATCAATCGCAATTAACGTCAAATACCTAGGTTAAGGTAATGACAACCATGTGTCATTGAACGGAGACGGACGGGGCTTTGCAACCAGTCCGCTCGTTTTCCGCGCCGCTGATTGTCTTGGCGACGGAACATCGAAATTTATGTGCAACAAGAGGTTTAACTTACCCCTATATTTTTAATAGATGCACTAGACCTAAAACCGACTAGAAACGTATACGTGATCTAGAATCTAGATAACATCGAAGCGGTTTCCCGCCGGGTTAGATTCTGCATTGTTTCTGTCGTGTCTTGTTCTTGTCTTTCTGCATGTTCGGGGAGTTGTCGCTCTGTTCCTTCAACGATGAACTACCTAGGTATTTACCTAATCTAGGTACCTAGTGGAACCCCCTTCTTATATCTTATACCACTGTGCACCTAGGTATAAAAGCGGTTTATCTCAGATGCTTTTTCTTATTTTAATTAGCTCCTCTAATAGGCAGAATGATGTAACCTAGATACGTCTACCCCGGATTGCAGCATATACATCGGTACTTGCTGTGTCGTGAGTTCAAGACGCAAACTTGACACTCCTATTCTCTACCAGAACACTAACGTACCTAGGCACTCTGTATCTTTGATTGCCATTTCGAGCTTTTTCATTCGGGGTGTAATGAGCCTGATCAAGTTTCCGATATTATTCACGGTGCCCTGGCCTGAAGATCTAGGAATGTAACCCAACATAAGGCGTAATCCACGTCACAAGCCACGCCACAAGCCATCTGAACGTTGAAGATGTCAAGATAGAGATGCATACTGGCACATAGATTGGGTGTGACGGATGATAAGTGCAGAAACATATGTATGGACGCATCTAAGACATTTACATATGTGAGACAGGTAAGCCAGACTGCTGGGTCGACACGTAAGAGGCGTCAAGGATATGCCCTGAAGCGCTAATAGGGCTTAATAAGTTTAGTGTTCCCCTTTTCCCGAATGGCTTCTGTGACAACCTCTCTTAAAGTCCTACGGCCATGGGTATCGTTGAGATAGGGGCTTGAAACAGCCTCAAAGAGTTTAAGTCTCACTCACCCTCCTTACCTACGTGATTAAACTACACCCGTTTATTTCTCAGGATCTTGCCCTACCTAACCAGCTCTCATAACATGCTTAATATGATACCAACATTATAAGCGCAGAGTCTAGTTGTCTAGCGTCAATTCCCAATCAATAGGCGTTCTCGGCACCGTCGGAGTGTAGTCAATGTAAAACATCACGCTCTAGACTACCTCAGTCTCTGGCTCTGACTCAGGCTGCCGCTTGCCTATGTATTGTGTGGACCTATAGAGTGCTTGCCTGTTGAATATCGTTTTACCAAGACCTTTGGAGCGCCCAAGACGCAAAGGAAGAGGAATATACAGGCCGTCTCCGCCTGGCACCGAAGTGAAAGTCGAGCTATTGCGTACCTAGGTACGTAACATCTACGGATGTCTACGACTTTATTCTATAAGCAAGCCTGGAGATGGTGGAGACACAGGTTCTAGATGTTAAGTCATCAGCAAGCGCCATGTAAGATTACCTTGGAGTAGAGACTTCCGAAACAAGATACGAGACATGCCGACCGTCGTCTTTGATAGCATACCTACCTACTTAAGCCCAAAATGATCACGCCACTAGAGGCATAGAGGGCTTTGATGGTAAGATAAGTGAGTTCAGCCACGGTTAAGTCCCACATCCGCTCAACCGGAGAGCCAGCAAGGGTTCCGATGATGACAGTGACCGTATGTGTAGTCCAAAAGTATCGGTGTCGAACACCACAAGGAACGAATACTCGACTCCATTGCTTGAGAAGCTAAGCCTTTATGATCATCGCGATTGCCGTCGAGTGGGTTTTCAAGATTCGGGATGATATTCGGAGGGCAAGGCCGTTGAATATGCACCACGTATTAGCGGGTGGAAGAGGTGCCAATCTAGCCCTTCAGTGGGTGTAATACTCCGCACGTAAAATCCAACCCGAAATCCTCCAAGAGTCTATGTGTGACCTGATATAGTATATGATGCGTGGTTGTGTGTGAGCCCGACCGTGGGGAGCATGCCTCTCTTTGTATTGCACTTCATACTAGGCACCAGTAACTGTTACGAGGCGTCCTGCCCACCCCACTTCTTTCGAGCATATATCACGTATGAGCCATCCCTCAATTTCCATAAGCTAAAGAGCCTTTATTGCGCGGAAACATCAAAACCCCCTCATGCTGCGAAATCAAAGGCATTAGTAGTGTCGTGCAGCCAACCCAATCGTTTGAACTAGGCGCAATGTTCTTGGAGACGCAGTCCCACGTACTATTCGCGCTTTAATTTGATACCGCTGTAGCTTCCACATCTATCAGAGGTATGCCGACACCAAATTCTAGCCTGGCCCGTATGAGCCTTTCCGATGAAAAGCGTTGACAGCGATATGAAGACTTACAGGGAGATAGCAAGGCGGCTGTTAGCTATAAGCAGCTTCATTGCATACAGTACTTGATACTGACTGGTCGCCCGTGAGTGCACAATCTCTGCTAGTAGTACAAAGTGACCATCGGTCCGGGTTATGGCGGCAGCGTCTGCGCAACTGTGCTAGCTGAAGGCCAGCAACGAAGTCTTGGTTCTTAGCCAAGGCTACAGTCATGCCTCGTAATAGCTGCCTCTAAGTCAATAGCACGTAGGCAGCATATGGGAAGGTCAGGACTCACGGCACTCGACGGATCGATAATGACCACAGCGAGCAAATGTTGGAACGGCAACGACCTAACCTAGTCAACTAGAGCGCCAGCTTGCAAGCGCAGGATTACGTACGCCAGGAGTGGGCAGCTACATCTACAATGTTGCGATTCCGCCTCCAGCTCAACGAAGCATGACAGATGGGGATTTCGTGGAATGATTCGCTGGCCTAGAGGGCGCCGACCTGAATTCATCTGCCTCAATACCAACTCTGGCCACCAAATAGGCACATGCCAAGAGAGTTTCGATAAGAAAAGGGGACTGGATAAGTCTGAGAGAGTGTTTAGAACCGGGAGATTTATATGTTGCCAATCGAAGTGTTTTCCCTTCAGCAAGCGGCGACAATCTCATGGTTTATGGTTATGGTTGTCGCGGATCATATTGGAAGAACCGCCGCGAGTACTACTAGTAGTCCCTTGTCGCAGCAAAAGAATAGCGGGGCCACCCCCTATACCCCGCAAACTGGCAGGTGCCTAACAGCTGAAACGCAACTGGAAAGGCTTCAAGGTTCCAAGGTATTACAGTGGCGCACTGAGGGGTGCCCCTACTATTTAAATGCCTGCCGAGGTAGGTAGGTGCAGACCTCAAATATTCAAATATTCAAATGTTCATCATTCCAAACCTTGAACCTTGAACCTCTTAACTGACATCGTACACACATGCAGGTGATCAATCAAATGCAACATTAACCCCCGAGTACAAAGTATCTGCCCAAAGGAACTGGGGATTTAGTATGCAGCATACCTACCTACCTAACCTAGGTAACTGTCTAATCAGATCAGCCGCAATCCCCAACGGGTAAGATATCCGTCTTACAGCTGGTACACTTAACAGTGCATGCAACCATAAGCATGGCATTTATACCGAAATAGAACATGGAGGGCAACATTATAATATATCTTCAGCTGCGGCATGGCAGCTGACGACATCTCGTCATGTGCCAAGGTGATAAAAATTATAAGTATCGAGGCAGGCTGGCGCTTAATGTCTGCAATATCAGATTGTTACCCCCCAAGAAATATTCACCACATTATCGAGTGAACCTTTCTAGGTCTGGGTCTTGACGACGGAATTTCCATCATGGCCGATGATCTAACACTAGAGGAACATGATCCCGAATTTCAGAAACTTATTAAGCGTATGTTCAGTGCTCCTTATATATATCTTGGCTAACTTTTGTAACTTGCCTCTATCTAGACACAGGCGACAACCCTCGCCAACAAAGAGAAAGGTTTAAACCCAATTCTACCTATTGTCGCACATGGCATCAGGCGCCAAACCCAGAGACCTATTCATCATTCGGTGATAGGGGCACCACCGCAAGTGTCAACAGGTATGGTGACATTATGCAGTTTGGCAGATACCTCGACATAGGGGACTATGGCATGTTCTCGGCAGATCATGGCGAAACCGATGAACCCTACTGGGTAACAGGAAGGGCAGACGATCTAGACGACTTTAGTAGAGAGAGCTTGAACAGTCTACCCGAATCCACACCCCGCTATGGTCTTCGGTTCCCAGGGCTGAAGCTTGGAGAACCTCCCGATATAAGCTATATATACTATCGCTGGCCAAGATACACGTATAAAACTAGCAAAATAGAGCTTACTATTCAGTGGATTGTGCACGACCATACAGTTTTACAACAATGCACTATTACAAATCTAGAAGATACCGAAGCGACAGTTGATTTCAGATTTCCAATCAAAAAAGAGGTCATGTATATACGGGATGCAGATTACCTCACCGGTAGCAATTCATTTAATCGTGAACATCTGGGATACACCGAGAAGTTGGGCCCACACGGCTATTCTTGGAGTTTAACTCATGAACTCCAGAAACCCAATGATACAAGCGAACGAAGAGATAAAGGGTCAGTCAATGATCAATCCATGAAAGAGCCTCATCCCGCAACTGTCGATAATACGCATGGTGTCGAATCGAGCGATGATTTCCATTCCGTTACCGTTGTCGTGTCAATTTTTGTCGATGGTGATGCATTGCAATGGCCATCGGGACCTGAACCGAAATGGCAAAGGAGGATAGGAGGCAATGGCAAGAAAGACAGTGGGAATACCATACAAATTACCACCGCATACCGTATGATACCTACATCAGAATCAGGGCCTTGTTGGAGAGATCTCTTGATCCCTGTTGAGGCAGTTGACGTAGACAGCCTTCTAGAACGCACCCCATTCTCAGAGATATGCCTTTCAACGACCATACAGGGAGAGTCTATTGGTAATCCCTCAGGTTTACCGTACGATACTTCCTCGTCTAAGACAGATGCTCCCTGGCCTAAGGCCCACATTGAATTCGTGGTACATCGACATCTCGAACATATACTCTCCGTGTGCTCAATTCCTCTAGAACCATCACGACTGCCAGATGGAGACAATGTGTGGCCAACTGCTTTGACATGTGGGGACATGTCAGTTCACCGTGTCTGTACTTCGGCTAGTTTGTAATATGCCCCTTATGTTTCGTCACTGCGAAAGCAAAGACTAATTTAGTTTCCCAGCTACGCAACCCGATTCCTTATCGAAATAGCACGTAGGTTGAAGAATCTTAAAGAAGAAGATGCATATGTAAAGTCTCTTCTCTGTAGAATATCTGCAGTCTGCGCCGGTCATATGAAGTGGTTGTTTGAAAAGGCAGAGAAGAAATCTGGCTACTATACCGCCAACTATTGGGTTACTGGAAAGGCCATGCACCGCGATACTATGTCATGGCAACCGGACGATTCTTTGACTGATACAGCATTCCAACTTCTCAAGGCAGGCTACTGTGTGAAGTTCTACCAAGAGAATGCGCCCTCCAGCCTCGCTCTCGCGACAGAAATCATAGAAAATAGCGGTGGCCCATGGATTGAAAATTTGGAGAAGTTGGACAGGCGTGGGTGTTGTGCTTGGCCCCATGCTCAGCAAGCAGACACCGATGTTTTCCGTCTAGATGATCATGTATGGATCTGGAGAGCTCTAAAGATAATTGAAGATTCCGGATTGTGGCCAAAGCGGGCTGAAAGCGAAAAGGGAATGAAACGGCCTCGAGATGTCCAGCAAGAAATACTTCGACGATTTATGACTGAGAATGAAACTTCAAGGAAGCGAATGTTGGCCGTGACCAGATCTTCCAGGGAGACCCGATTTTTACTACACGCGAGGGATACAGCCCTGTTCTATGAGGACGATTGGATTTCACCGCTTCAGCAAGCATCCTTCCTTGATATGTGGAAGAACACACTCAAGGCACAAGCATTGCATGAAATCAATCATGATGCCTTCTGGGATAACACACTCCGATATGCCATGGCCATCATGATGAGCATCCGTAGAGAGAGGATCAACCAACAGCCTGCACATGATTTGGCGAAATCCTGCATTAAGGTCATATTCCAATGCATGAGCCTTAGTGGATTTTGTCCTGGGGAACTTGATGAGATTACTAAAGAGCCGGTTCTCTTCGACAGAGAAGGGGATCGAGATTACTTCTTCCATGCTAGCTTCGAGGTCCCCTTCATATTTCTCTTTTACGCTTCTTCCATAGAAAGATTATGCGAAGAACAGCCAAAAGCAACTGATACCAATGAAGTTTCGGCAATATATGAACAAGCGGTATCTAGCACAGAACATCCCGAAGGACCCAAAGCTCAGCCGAAACGCCAACAAGCACTGAGTGAGGGGATAGCTCGCGAATCCGGTCCAATGAAAAAGACAGTCCCATCCAGTCACCTTTTCGATTCAAACAGTATCATCGACATCGAAGAAGAGTGGCTGTACAACTATCCAGCTTTCTTGATGAATGACACAGAAAGAACCCCCAAGGAAATCCAGGAGATCTTAAAAAATCAAAATGAACAAGGTGTTGATGCTAGTGCTGATGTTGATGATCATGTCATTGTGAAACAGGCCCGACGGGTTTTGCAACAACTTGAACTCAGTGAGAGTTGGATTGCTGACGAGAAAGTCGAGAGATCAGTTCTAGCCGATATACGAAAGACGAAGAAACTCGGAAGAAACCAACGAAATAGCAATTACCATTTCAGCCCTAATTACTGCAACAACAACGATCTTAAGGCCATATTAATGAGACCCCGTGATGCAATGGATGCAAAGAAGCGATTAATTTTGCTGCCAGATGCAGATGCAGAAACAGCACTAATATGCGTCGTTGGTAGCACCGACACCGAACAGCCGGCAATGTCTCTGTTTTTCGACCGGCATTGGCGCAAGGAGGAATATTTCTTTGATGACACAACTATGGTCATGAACACCTGGGAGACTGAGCTTCATCTAAGCTTCTATTGCATACAAGACGCCGAAGAAGATCCATCCACGAGCATCCGAACGATGAGCGAAGATATATTTCCAGGTGGAAAGAAACGGATTTCTAAGACATCGATAGGGTTTCGTTTCAATGGAGACTTTTTCGATCGCTACTGGACCTGCCATTTCATAGAAGACATAGGTAATATGCGCGATTATATGTACAATGGGAAGTTTCCATTCACTCTCGACGACAAGGTGCAAGGCTGGAGGCAAAGAAAGGTTCTCGAGCTTCACTTCTTCGAGCATATCCTAAGTACACTAATCAAAGGTACCCGAGATATACTGAACGAAGTCAAAAGAGGGCTTAGTATACGGCAAGGGCAGGGCGCCTTTCCATCTTCTATGCTGAGTAGTGAAGACTACTTCCACTCCAGTGCCCGATGGCAAAGGTACCGGGCTATTTTGCAAGTCGTGGACGAGACACTAGAAGACGTGGAATTGGAAGTCTCAAAATGGGAATCCCGAGAGAAAGACCGTGGACAGGAAAGACCACGGTGGACTCGAAACGATGAGCGAAAGTACGGGGGTATCATTAAGAAATTTCAGCGCTCGACCAACAAGCAGATACGGAATTTACACAGTGTTCACGCCAGTGTCAAGTCAGTAAAGGATACTTACACGAAAGGCCAAGAGCAAACACGTGAGGACTTATCGCTGCGCAAGTCAGAGGACATCCGATTCTTCACCTACGTCACTGTAGTCTTCCTCCCCCTTGGCTTTGCCTCGAGTATCTTCAGTATGAATGGAACGCCTCCAGGGGATTTAGTCGTCAATCTGGTAATCTGTGCTATTGTTGCTCTCACCATCACCGTGATTGCCCTGTTCAACGCGAAAACGTTGGCACATATTACAGAGAGGGCGGTCCGTCTCATTGAGGAGTACTCTCAATCAAAAATGGAACGAAGTATCCTCATTGTGGGAAGTACCAAAGAAATGGTCAAAGAAGTGAACGGTTCTCAAGATCCCCAGCTAGAAAAAGGGCAGGACTTGCCAATTGGCAACTCTCTGAAGCATTCGAGCGAGATCATCAATACAAACTACCAAGACAAAAGTATAGGAACTCTGGACCCATCACGATTCTGGTTCCTGATGGTTTATATTCTCCTTGAGTTGCCAGCGCGAAGAGTTGCCATTGCTTATAACATCTTAAGGCGGGATAAGCTTACATGGATTGAGTACATGCATGTTGTCCTAGGGTTTATTTTCCTACCATTTTGTGTCATTTTTTCGTTGATCCAGGTAATGGCTTGCAACATCATAGACTTTGTCAAGCTTCTATTTAGTAAGTGCCCTCGTAAGTTGCCTCTCCTATTCTGATCAGCTAACATAACCGTCAAAGTCTTGGGCGCATGTCTCATCACGCAATTATCAGTGCATGAAACGGACTTCGAGAGGTACATGGGATGGCTTGTGTTGCCTTTTGAAAAGCTACGGCCAATGAAAGTTGCCGCCTCGAAGTTACAGAGGAAGCGGACGCAGGAAGAGAAGCCGAAAGAGAAGAAGCCAGAAGATAATGGCAAACCCGAAGATACCCCCGTGGCCGAACGCCTGCCTTCCCCGACTCCACCTACCTCTCCTATCCCTCCTGTTAATGCGACGGAGGCACCTCACCCGTTGCCAACTCCTCCTACGGGATGGTTCAGATTCAGACACGCACATAATTTCATTGTCAATGTCAATCGAGCAGCTAAAGGTAGAAATGAAGCGGCAAACATCAATTCGGACTCTGCACTTGTCAACCATCCTAGGTCCACGAGAAGCTTGGACGCGCCCGTAACGGAAACTAGTTTGCCTACCTAGCTTCCCGGTTATTGTATAAATAAGAATAGTTATGCCATTCCCGATGAAGATAATCGAGACAAGGGGAATGGGGTACGACCTAATGATGGGCATAGGGGTCTGTCACCGTCTGTGGGTAGTAACTACTAGGAGTTCCATTTGAATAAGTGAACTGAGCTAGGTAGGTAGGGTAATTTCAAGTCAGCAATTATTACTACGCCGTAGTTAGGTACGTAGATAAAATGCGCTATAAAATCATTGTCAGAGGACTGTAGAGACAAATTCATTCAGATTAAATATGCTCACGAAGCGTCAAACCTATCATAGAAGCCTGTGTGCTTTCACCACTGCTCCACCACGAACCTCTCTCTCTCTCTCGTACCCATGCAGCAAGAGTTGACAGATTTCTATTGTTGCGACCTTAGGTTATACTACCTACTATACCTACTAGGTTAACCTGATCTATATTTACTTAACTCACTCACTTACTTACTTACAGTAACAGTTAAACCTACAGCATGTAGGCATGCATTCCCACTTCAAATACTACTATCCATACCTAGACCCATCAAAATCAATCAATCAACCATTGAAAGCGGGTAGGTTAGGCAACTTAATTAGTTATTAACACAAAACTTTCAACTACGTACTCAGTTATATTAACAAAGTATTAATAACCGCGCCAAGACGCCAAAACCCCTTGCAAACAAATAAACAAACATGCCCGTCCAAAATCCAGCCAACCAGGAAGGGGTTTAGTTCCCAGAAAGGCAAAAAAATGAAAATGGTCTCCCCCCCTTCCCCCCCCCCCCCAAAAAAAAAAAAATAAGCAGGTAATTAAGTTGAGAGTTAAGTTTGAAAGTCTGGAATTGGAAAGTATGTACCCTGGCAACTACCTATCATGGGGATAGGATAGGATGAGATGAGATGAGATGAGATGTAGTTAGTTAGTCGGAGATTTTGGATGACGGATGAATGGATGGATGGATGGATACCTATGTATGTAGGTATGTTGGTGACCTTGCATCAAAGGTAGGTAGGTAGGTAGGTAGGTATGTAAGCCTTGGAGTTGACTATAATTAAATAGGAATAGGAATAATACGTATGTAGGAATTAGATTACTACCTCTCTCACCAACATAACTAACGGTTACATTGAAAGCTCACGTAATTGCAGTTGGTGATTTGTTTTCGTGTTATGTAGTTATGTCATGTCATCACAGAGGCCGACATCACGCCAGTAGTATTGTAGGTACACACGAGCGCAAGTCAACTGCGACGAAGATGGTGGCTCAGGAGAAGGTGAATTCCTGTCTAACTAATCAGGTACCTAGCAATGCACTCCATGAATGTATGTAGTGCCTGGGCTAGTGCCAAAGCCACTCAGCCCTACCTATGCTCCGATCCTCAGTTCTGAGTTGTGTAAACTCAACCCAACCCCGCCCCGCCCAGTCCCTCGTCCGCCTTTCCTTCTCCTCTCCCCCCCCCCTTCTTTTCTATGTAGAACAGGCTCAGTCGCCAAAAACGCCGTGTTATGTATGATACCCATCATGCCATGCCATGCCATGCCATGGCTACCTATGTATGCGAGAGTCCGACCGTAGCAAACAAGCCGCCTGCCGCCCGTTTCCGTTTCGTAATATGGTACAGGTATAGCCCGTCTGAAAAAAAAAAACAAGAAAGTTCCAAGGGCAAGGAGGGGTGGAATGGCCACTCTTACGGGCCTACCCCTACGCATCTCCCACCCACCAAAATTGTTTTGTAGAGATTTCGTTCATCACGTACTCGTGTTTGTTGTTGCTTTTCGTAATATAGCCGATATGACTCTTCTTTCAATTGTTAACTTAGCCCCTTTTTTCTTACTGGGATGGATTCCGCTCTTTCAGAAAGCGCTGCTCAATCCTCAGGTGTCTTCCAAGCGGGCTTCTTGCACTCGCCCGTCGCGTCGATCCAGTCACTGATGCCTTTTAGATCCCAGCCGCTCATCCACTTGCCGTCGGGATTGCTCGAGTATGGTGCTGCCTTAGGCGCACCCAGCTTGAAGCTCTTGGCCGTACAGCACACGTTCTCGTGCCAGCGGTACTGGAAGCACGTTCGACTTCGTTTCTTTTCATCTATCGTCTTCATCCAAGCCTCCCGAGTAGCGTGGTCGCTAGGCGATTTTTCCTCGGCATCTTCTGTCTCATTAGTAGTGCCAGGAGCGTCCCCTTTGCGCGTCGCGATCCCGTAGAGACCTAAAGATTCTTCATCTAACCCGTCCAAGGAGTCGCAAACTTTGGCGCAATTCTCCCACGACTTCCACGCTTCCCTCTCCACCTGGTTCATTTCCTCCGGGTTCTTTTGCTTATCACGTAAGGATCCCTCAGCACTTTCCTGAGCTTGGGGATCCGGATTCAGGTAGCAGACGTCATCCGATAAGTTGTCCCAATTTTCCCGAGATTCTTGCATATTTGGTCGAATCAGGCCATTGTATAGGTCCTTGATTAGAAGAATATTCTACCAATTGATCAGTTTGAAATCCATTAATCTGCTCAAATAGAATCAGGCTTACATCTGTCTTGCGTGTTTGTTCGAACTGCCACACATTGCTAATCTCTTCGGCGTTCATATGATGCATAGTGAAAATTGGTTCGCACCAATGACCAGGCCCATAAGGCAGCGTACTCGGTTTCTCCCCATTGAACATAGGCCAAGTTTGTCGGATTTTGACGTCTTCATACTCTTTTAAGGCTTTTGCTAATATGAAATCGCCACAGCAGTCGTGCGCTGCCTTGGCGTTGTATTCTTTAATGGCCTCGGGGTGGTATTCGACCAGATGTCTCAATAGACCGCCACTCAAAATATAGCCAGAACCGCCATGGGCAAATGGAATCCCATTGATGAAGCTTTTACTACCCAGATAAAGCTTATCGTGAGGGTTCAAACGCAACTCGCTCTTTATCCAGTGTAGTATATTCTCCCAGAAAATGTACGTGTCAGCTTCGGCAAATATGTACCAATCACGGCCGGGGCGCATTCTCCAAGTCTGTTCCATCATTGGAAGGAACTTGTATTTATCCAGGTCCCAGGCTTTTCGTCCGTCCCTCTTCGCATCAACACATGATTTTTGCGATACGGCGCATAGCTTCTGGTCGCGATAGAGATCGAACTCCGAATTGTGAGCTGTTATAGATTCATCGAGCTCAGCCAAAGCATCGTAGATGTGGTAGGGTCCCAGTTGTTGTTCCTAAAATCCGGTTAGCCTTTGTGTGTTTCCTTGTCTCCCATCCTTCCCTCTGGATCAGGCGCTAAAGATCATGTGTAGTGTCCAGGAGGGTCAAAGATAGGGCATCATACCATGTCGGAAAAGATGAGAAAATCGGGAAGACATCTTAAGGTGGTCAGTAAATGTGTGGGCAATCGGTCGAAGGCTTCTGTAGCGCCCGTCTTCATGACCAAAAGCACGTTGTCTGCAATGGGAAAGTTGGCGCATGGGTTGCTGGAGTTGTAGTATTGGTTAACTGTTTCTTCATTTCCTTCGACATACAGCGTATTATTATACACAGGGCTGTCGAAGTAGCCAGTGACGCTCTGGTAATAGTCGCGGGCATATTCGAAAGGCGCTCGTTCCCATTGGGGCCAAATATGCACGTATGTCACAGTCAAGACCAAGATTGCGACGCCGCCAAATATCTTGAGACGGCGGGAGTTTGGCGACACGAACATTATGACGATAGCAACCTGGAAGATCTCAAGATGGATGGCATCAAGACAAAGGCGTTGTAAGGCGACCGAGAGAAAAGAATTGTTCTATCCGAATAGATTTGTTGAAGACTTATCGAACGAATTTTTCGGCGGGGATGGACAATAAATCGGGTCTAACGGAGCCGAATATAATTCCCACGTGGGATGAGATCACCGGTATATCATGTCCGTAAATTATGACAAAGTAGAGAAAGGTAAAGAAGGAGTGACTAGAAATTAAGAAGAGGAAAAAGAAAGAAAAATGTAGAAATGTAGAAGGGAGAGATGGGTAATACTTAGTAGATTGGATGCAGTGGGAGGGAAGTAGTGGAACTTTGGAAGAGAGGGTTTGCCGCAGACCGTTATACGAACACCAAAAAGGATGCACACTATGACAGTGACTACATATGTACCCTAGGTAGGTAGGTCTAGTATGTACCTGTACTATGGTAGTTAGGTGGTAGTACGTACATATGTAGGCTACTTCAATGTTGTATTTAGGGATATCTCGTACATAGTACGTACTATGTAGGTAATTGATGTGAATCTCAGTGAATCCCTACTACTGATAGACCAGGCTACACACTTCTCAATGTAGGAAAGTGGAGATCTGCCGCAGTGTCCGAGGTACATTACATACCTAGCACTGCCTAGAATCCTAGATAATCTTTAAGGTATTACTAGTAGTATGGTACCTAGTATAATCTCGTATCTACAACAGCAATTGATACTAATTTGATAGTATTATCCATGTATCGATCCGTATCTTCGATATGGTGACGAGAGCAAGTGGGGGCATTGGTTCGTAAGCCAGATCCCTGGTATTCAGCTGATTACATACCTATTTACTTACAATTTAGGTATAGAAATATAAGTAGGCTATCATCTGCATATGTAACCGGTGAAGCTCTGAGGCATTCAATTGGGAATTTCAGCCCTTGAGAACACACATATGCATATGAAAGATGCAACTTTCATGCTTCAAGTTAATTAGATACTACAGTATCTACTATGTACTATGTATGTACATGTACCTTCAAATGTTTCCATCGGTTCCTTCGGTTCCCTAAGTGAACTTAAAAGAACGGGAGGGGCGGCCGCTAGACCCAATTCCGTAGTATCACTTTCAAGCCAAGGATTGCCAAATCTTGCGTCAGATGCAGGTAGCCGACAATAATTATGTAGAATTTGTTTGTCTCCCTGGGTATATATGATAGACGTGCAATTCAACTATAATTGCTTTCTGGCCCTTGGTCTATACCTAGTATTACATAGTTATGTCTTACATATACTTAATCGAAACAACTCCGAGTGAGACAAGTAAGTCATAGTTACCTAGTAGTATTTCATCCACAATTTCATCTCATCTAATCGGCAAGATTACAATTTTGACTATGCACATAACTACATAACGTTTCAACGGCGGGCAGTCCCGGAAGACAGATATGCCATCGACGCCATTAAGCATTGACTTGGGCTCAGCCTTATTTTAACGTTTTACCGTCTTAGCGTTATGCACAATCTTCTGGTGGCTTTCAATGTTTGCTACGCATGCATACATGTACCTATATCAATGATCTAATATTATAGATGATGTACCTAAAACTTGAGGAACTGCTGGAGTCTGGAGATTGATGATAGAGAATGCACAAGATACTGGATCAAATTTCAACATAATTACTAGGCAGCCGTCACATGTATCGTACCTAGGTAATCATCTGATCCTTCGGTTAGAAATCGCGTAATGCTTCAATGTTCTACTGTTGGAACATGAGGACAGACAGTTCCAAGCCTACATGTAATTACTAATATCATATATGTAGTTAACTCATCGGAGATAACCTATCAACACGTGCATCAGCCAAGATTTCCATGTCACACACTGACACACAGTATGTAAATGTGGATAACTATAATACACAGTTACAACTTCATACTGTAAGAATAGATAAGAGTCGATAAGAGTCGATAAGAGTCGATAAGAGTCGATAAGAGAAAGTAACAGGGTAGGTGGGTACCTAGGTAACGCGTAACTGCGAAGCTCTGCTAGGCTAGTCTGGTGGCAGCATGGGCAGGTTTACAATGCGGTAATCGCGTCACTTTACCCACAACTCACCACCTTCACCCACCTCCACCTCCACCTCTCACCACCACACACCTGCACTGTAGTTACTGATTACTTCACCATTCCCACACTTTCATACCTACCCTTACCTCATTATCACTTACATCAATCGTCGCGAACCTTCCAATTCTTCTCTACCCAAGTCGCAATTCCATTTAAATCTGTTTACAATTTCTATAAGTCTTTGGTGTTTGGTCCTTTTTACAACCTTCTGACCGACTTCATATTCAACATACGACATACAACACGCAACCAATCCTAACAGATTTCATCATAGCTCCATCAAAACATCAACCCATCTAAACAATCACCAAACTTTTATTCCAATGACAGAATCAACTCCAACAGATATTTTAAATATGTCTACAATCGCATCAGCCGTCGCATCAGCTGCTGTTTCTGCTGCTGCGACTCCTCAGTCTCTACCTCCCATGGATGCCGAAGAACGCGACAAGTCCCTTCATGTGTCTCTTGCCGACTTGACCGCCAAAGCCAACGCGCTATACGCACAAAAGAAGTATGAGGATGCTGCCGAAGTTTTCTCTCAGGCTACCGAGATGCAAGCCGAAATCAATGGCGAAATGGCAGCCGAGAACGCCGATATCTTGTTTCTTTACGGTCGAAGTCTATTTAAGGTCGGTCAGAGCAAAAGTGACGTCCTAGGCGGCAAGCCTACCGGCGAGAAGAAATCAAATGGTGCCGCAGACAAGAAGCCAAAAGCAAAGAAATCGCAAGCTGAATCATTGCCTACCATTGCTGAGAAGGCGACCGGGAATGGTTCAGAGAATAACGAGAAGACTTCCGACTCGAAAAAGCCCCTCTTTCAATTCACTGGAGACGAGAACTTTGAAGACTCTGACGAGGAGGAAGAGGAGGAGGCCGAAGGCGAGGAAGAGGAAGAAGATGACGATCTCGCTGTCGCATTTGAGATTCTTGATCTAGCACGCGTACTTTTTGAGAAGTCCTTGACATCAAATGAGGAAGATATCTCAGAAGAGAAGGGAAAAGAGACGGCTGAAGACAGTCCTGCCACCAGGCACATCAAAGAGCGCCTCGCCGACACTCACGATCTCCTAGCAGAGATTTCTCTCGAGAACGAAAAGTAAGACAAACACTAGCTTCTTACCACCACTGCTTTTTAGCTGCTAACAAGTCGCATAGGTATCCTCTAGCAATTAACGACTGCCGTGCGTCCCTCAAGTACAAGCAAGAGCTCTATCCGCGAGAATCCGAAATGATCGCCGAAGCGCATTTTAAGCTATCCTTAGCCCTCGAGTTTGCATCTGTCACTACTACTGCTGAAGATTCCGTATCCGGCGCAGCTCCAAAACCAGTCGATGAGGAACTACGAAAAGAGGCTGCCACCGAACTAGAGAAGGCTATTACTAGCACGAGACTCAAGCTCGATGCCAAGGAGGTCGACCTCGCGATGCTTCACGCACCCGAAGACAATGACTTGACGCGAAAACAGATTGCCGAGGTCAAGGAGCTTATCGCAGACATGGAGCAACGGGTAAGTTTTACACTTTCCCGTCCTCTTCCTGTCCTTGCGATATGAGAATATGAGAATATGAGAATATGGAATTAAACTGACCCTTTTATTAAACTAGCTTATCGATCTGCAAAAGCCGCCTATGGATGTCAATGCGGTACTGGCTGGGGAGGAAGCTGTCCGTGGAGTCCTAGGCGCAGCGCTTGGAGAATCTGGTGCAGACAAGGAAGCTAAGCTCGAGGAGGCCAAGAAGAGCGCTAAGGACGTCACTGGTCTAGTTCGCAAGAAGGCCAAGGAAGAGCCGATCTCAGATACCAAGACGAAGGAGACGAATGGAAAGCGCAAAGCCGAAGATGAGGCCCCTGGTGAAGAGGACATCAAAAAGGCCAAAGTCGAGGAGTCCACGGAGGCGTAGGTCACATCACGAGGACCAACAAGGCAAGGAGGGAAAACAGTCTGCCATTAAAATACGACTCGACCACAACCCACTCCTTTGCTTACTTGCCTGGGTCCATACCTAGGTAGATGCCTACTTTCCCAACATATTTGGACTACTTCCTGGCGTATTACGAATGGTGCCACGAAAACCAGGTGGTGTAGCACCTGGTAGCAGAACATAAAAGAATTTGTATTATACTCTGTAAAACAACGAAAAGATACGGACAGAAAAAGGGGAACCTCTTGCGGAGAACCAGGCCCCCCTTCTTTTTTTTTTCTACAAAATTGGCATTGCTATACGTAAAATGAATGTGTGAAAAGGAAGATAAAAGCAGAGAGAGAGAGAGTTCTGGTACAGCTGGAAAAATGGGGGGGAAGGTGGAAGGTGGAAGGAAGTGTGCGCTACGTGATTTTTACAATTGAGGCTCAATAGGTTGCATAAGGTTTCTTGCGTTAGGTATAGGTATTAGGAATTGCAGGATGATTTATGAAGATCAAAAAAAAAGGAAGAGCGAGAATCATGATTCCTGGATTAGGGAGATAGGTAGGTAGGTAGCTGTGTCTGTACTATCTATCCAATGGTCCATCATCATCGTCATCATCGTCATATTGCTATTAGGTACCTACCTACCTAGGTGCCTAGGTGCCTAGGTATAGTATCTCCCATTTTTTTTTTTTTTTTGTGAGATGGAGGTGGAGGTGAAGATTGTGAGTTGGCTTCTTTTGCTGGGTTCTACTGAGCTTATGTAGGTAGTTAGGTGTGTAAACATACTGCCTACCACTAACCTACATAAGTAGGTACATACTTTGTCACATCGCCACCATCGCCATCGTCACCATCACCAAGCACACACAACAATACAATCACCCACACCATACCCATACCCATACACATATACCCAGACACGTCAAAAGGGGTTAGGAAAAGAAAAAAGAAAACGATATAGTTAATTCCCTCTATAAAACCATCAAAGTGCTCCTATGTAACAAAAGGGGGGGCGGGGGTTCAACTACATACATACCTACATACCGTACGTTTGGGGGGGAACCTAACCTAGGAGAAACCAGAAGAAAAGAAGAAAAAAGGAGCAAGTTCCCTGCCTGCCTCCCTCCCTCCTTACCCCCCCCCTTGTATAGGCAAGAAACCAAAAGAAGAAAAAAATGAAATGCAACAGGAAAAAAAAAAAAGAAAAAGAAAAAAAAGATGTGTATAAAAAAACCTATCAACTCCGCTAATAGCCATACCCACCCTAGAATGTGTTCGTGATGTGTGTGATGTGTGTCTGTGTGATGAATGCTCTTTACTCCTACTTCCTAACTTTCCAGCTTTGCTTGCTTGCTAACCTATGTAGGTTGTACCTACTGATACGTTATTTTCCTTCAATTACCAACTAACAACACGCTAACCCTCCGACCCTCTCACTAGTAATAGTAAGAGAGAGGTAAAAAGGCTTGGTACGATAGATATACTGATACAAGGCGCCCTCTCCCCTCTTCAAACTCCCCCTTTCGCCAACCCCCTACTCCTTACCGAGACGCAAGCAGAGCAGGGGGATTCGATCAATGCCATCAATACAACGCAAAACAGAACCGTAAGTAGAGTTGGGGAAAAGTAAAAAGTATGAACCCCTTCGTAGTGTAGTCATGCCCACCATGCTCCTTTTGAGATAGCTCCTTGAAACCTATACCTTATTCCATTTCTTGTGTTTTTTTTTTCATGCTCATCCATCTCTTGTATCAATGCTGTGAGCCTGCTGCTCCCGCTGCGGCTCCTATCCGCGAGCTCTCGCCCTGCGTCTCACCCTGGTACCGCAGCATCCTGCGTGCAGGTCGTTGCGGCGACGCTGGCACCGACGGCGGAGTTGAAATTCTAGATCCAGGTACTGAAGGGACGAGCCTAGCCAGGGAGTCCGCTGACGCAGCTGGACCCCGATGCCCTTCTCCACCTCTGCCTACACCCCTTACACCCGCACCCGCTCCCCCCGGCGTCGGCCTTGTACCCGCGGGTCGCAGATTAGTCCCCTACGACAAATCGCGACCGCTGGCCATGCCGATCGACGGGGCTGCTTTGCCTTTGCCCTTTGCGGCGGCGGAGGCCGGAGTATTGTTCCAGGAGAGATAGGTGTGGTCACCGAGCTTTCGAGGCTTGATGAAGTTGGTGATAAGGAAAAGAAGCGCAAGTGCAATGCAGAATCCGCCGACGACGAGCCAGAGAATTCCTAGGAAGTTGTTCTTCCCTCCCATGACGGAAAGGGTTGTTATGACAATGCTCTTCTGGCCCTGGTACACGTCTGTTCTGAAGTCTAGTACGATGTTAACAACTGTGCTTTATGCCTACTTAACAAGTTCGTATTTGGTAGGAAGGGGGGTTGGAAGGCTTACTGTCGATGATGTCCATAGAGTATGTGCCGATTAACATAGGGCTCGTGTCGTTTCGACCGTACAGCTTGCTGAAGGTTGGTAGCCCTGCCGTCCGCATCCAAACAATGAAGTGCTCATCTTCGTGTATGTTTGGCGGGGGCGCCGAGTCGGAATAGACACCACCAGGGTATCTAATCTGCCAATTCGGGGGCGGAAGAATATTATCGTAGTTGGTGCTTGTTCTATTTCCGTACAGGGCCTTGTCTGACTCCCAAGCGATCGAGGTATTCTTCATTTCGTAAATCTGACTAGTCGTGTTGTCCCCGGTTGTTGTTGTTGGTACATTCAAAAGTATAGGACTCATAAGAGTGTCGTTGAACAATGAGTTTGCAATTAGGCCACAGGGATAATAGGCTTTGCTGTTGCTGTACGTTTCGTTTGAAGTGGCCAGGGGTTGACAACTGGAGCTGTAAACATCAGAGAGCGAAACATCGTTACCCAACAACTGCTTGTCGTAGAACGAGGCAACATAGCGACGGTGGTTCTGGTAGAAGTTCTCTAGGCGGTAGTAGAGAAAAACCGGTGGGGACATCTCCTCAGGTATATCAAAGGTGAGAGTACATTTTGTGAGATTCTGGACGGTAACGGCTCCGTAGGCAAAATCTGTTGTGTTGTGCTGCCACATGGCATTGATGGTGTTATTCGTCTTGAAAGCCGGGTGGACGAGGCTCGGGTCCATCAAAGTAGGCTTGTCGGTAGGTGAATCGCGGAAGCAGTTGGTGTAATCGATGCGCAATTCCTTGACCTGGAAGACAAAGGCTATCAGTAACGATTCCAGCAATGTCCGATATTCATCAAGAATGACATACAGTAGAACTAGCATAGATCAACAGTCCACCAATAGGTGCACATATGATTCCTATGACGAAGAAGAGCGGGATAACAGTCTTGGGGGTAAGAATAGGCTGCCATGCTTTCAAGCGTTGCTGGCGAAAGGCAGTGTTGGCTGGTCTTCTGCTCTTCTTCTTCTCCTTGGAGTTGTCGATGCTCTCGGCAGGCGAGTCATCCATCTTGAAAGACTTGATTTTCCCTCAAATAGAGACTAATCAATAGCTACTATTGAAGAGGGACAACGGCGGAATCGGAAACGAAGGTCTACGTCGGTCACTCAATCGCTAACTTAATTGATACGGACTCTCGGGGAATTCGGGGCGACCGGTAATTAATCTTTCAGGCTTACGATTGACGCCGTTGTGCTAGATGGTTACTTTGAAAAGCGCATAGGAATTTTTAGTTCGTCCTGGGTATGGAAATAATGCGACCTGAATTGGTAGATGTTGATGACAGAATCACGAAGTGGGAGTTGAGATAGATCGCAACATTGAGATCAGCTCAGCCATAAAGGAATGCAACCGTGATTCTCTAACGTGCCAATTGGCACATACTGTGGCTTAGATTTGGACAAAACACTACCATTACTCAGCCACCCTTCCCATACTACATCATCGCATTACGTAAGATATAGCAGGTCCTATATATAGAAACAGCGTGCGACATAACTACACTAGTAAATATCACGTGCATTCGTAGTTCACCACATTCACATCCTATGATACCCATGATTGTGTTTTTTCCCTGATTAGAATTCAGAAATTTTGGGATGGATTGCTTTAGGACGTTAGTTAGATTGCAATTATCAGCCTTCTTCAATAGCTCTAGGTTGATCATATATCGATTTCCATCGATATGATTTCTAGGGTTATGCAAAGAGGAAACGTGAACCATTCTTCAGCCCACCTAGACGTCAAAGGTTTGGTTGTGAAAATTTATATACTTGCGGTTCGTTATATCTAGATGTACTGATGGCTGTCACAAGGCGGAACCTAGAAGGCGCAGAACACCATCATTGTTATCCGAGGATCTCTATCGTTTCCTAGGAGGCTAGGCAGGCTACAAATATGTACATGTAACTGCATATATTCTAGCTTGCCCCTAGGTAGGTAGGTCATTGGCAGTAAATACTACATACGTACTAGGTACAGTCATTGAAATTGCTACAGCATATTCATAGTTCAACAAACACGGAAATTATATATCAGAAAGACCATAAGATGCCACCACCCTTCAGGTAGCCTACTTCAATGTTCTAACCTACGTTAGTATGAATGGGCCCAACCTTAACACTCATTTGGGTCGTCATTTTCTTTGTCTTTTCTCGCTTTGCTGCTAATTTCCCCCTTCAAATTTCATCAATCCTTACGACGTCCTAGTTTCGATCCTAAGGAGGATGACGGATGACTACAAGTGACAGTGCAACACACTAACGTACCTATCTTAACTGTCTACCCTGAAATCACTGAGCACGCCGCTCAGGACAGATAACTAGCCACTAAGTTCCTGTTCTACAATATTAGCTAAGACCCTTATTTATATCAATAGCTACTCATTCGACTTGAAAATAGTGCAAGTACAAATTCAATATACTTAGCGTATCTTGTCAGAGCCCCGTCCACAGATAGCTCAATAGCATAACAGCCTAGGTTAGCAAGTTAGGCGTCAGTATCACTACGGCAGCTGAGTTTGAGTTTGATCTTGTCATGCTTTCTAGAGAGTGGGAAAGGGGCTTCAAATTCAGAGTCATAGGATGAATCCCGTCAAGACCGCATAGTTCTGGGGTGTCACTAACAACCATATATGCTTGGCAACCTAGACCTATACATAACTGGTGAAGTATGAATATGGGAAATATAGAAACCTGCCACCTCATTAGTGCCTCAAATGTAGAAGTGGTCTAATCATGACAGTCATGTTTTTTTTCTAACTAACCCAGGCGCCGGAATGAGAATGATATGTAGGTCTAGCATACAGCATGGGTAATGCCTTCGTATTAACCATACAAGTCATCCCATCTTGTAGGTACCTACTAAGGTGTATCCGTAACCCCTTAGAGACAGATATCTCATACATACAGATCCAACAAGCAATCAGTAGTCACGGGGCCAAGTAGTCGACGGCCATTTTAAGTAAACTGAATATTAAGGATCTAAGTATAGATAAGTTAGATTCTCACCGAACCTAGACATGACTGTATAGCCTAGATAACTAGCGATTCCCTTCTCCGAGAGCACTCATCTAGAGAATATTCCATGCCCAAATAGGACAGCTCAAGATTCAAATTCGGATACGGTATAGCTGCCTTATTCCAGTCCTCTCATACAGAGATGGACGGGTGACCAATGCCTTAACTTCTACTAGGTAGTAATGCCGATCCCCAACACATCGTCAACATCGGCATCATTCTGAAAAGCAATCAATCCACTTAGGTATACGATGTAGACCAGCACCACCATCACCTCCGTTAAAGTCCCCACATTTCCTCCTCGGGGGTTCCGAAGAAACAAGACCATCGAACACCCGATAAAGTGGGCAGTGCCTAAGGTTACTTCGTACAGGCAACAAACATGCATACCGAAAACTCCCCTCTTCATACTCACCACACTGCCTACCTTACCCAACACAGCAATTCCATGAGGTAATCGAACCCCCCTTCCCTCCCTCGAGGATCACGATAATCCTTCCAAACATCTAACCCGGGCTACCAATACATCACGTGCCTTCTTCCCCTACTGTACCATAATTAAGTTGGAATGGGGGGTCCCAGGCCCTCCTAGTCTTCTGGCCCCCTGTAAAGTAGCATCTTTTAAAAGCTAATAAAAGTGTGCGGTTTAATAAAGGTTCCGCTTTTTAATTTATATATTTATATACTTCTACCATTATATTTTTAATTATTTTTTCTTTTTTATTTAATTAATTAAATCTTATCACTTTATTAATTAACTAATTATATTATTTAATTTTTATAAAAATACCTTATTATTAAAATATTATTAAAAAAAAATAAGGAATATAAGTTAATTATACAATAATTAATAATGTGTGATCACGTGACGTGATTATGCATTTAAATAAATTTATTTAAATAACCGTTTATAATAATTTTTTCTTACTTTTTAAATATTAATATAATTATATATCACGTGTTTAATATCTTATTTAACGTTATTATAACGTAATAACGTATATATTATTACTTATTATTATATTATAATACGTAATATATTTAATAAACTTTATTTATTAATATTAATTAATAATCGACTTAATAAGTTAATTATAAAATAATAAGGTATTTAAAGAAAAAATATTAAATAAGTTAAGTAGTGAATTTTTTAATGGTAATTTATTATAAAAAAATTATAAAACATTTAAATAAAAAAAAATAAAAAAATATAACTTTATTAACTTTAAAGCTTAAGTAAGATTATATAAATTATATATTAATTAATGGGACTTAAAAGGTTAAATAATTAGTTAATAAAGAAATATAAAAGAGAAAAAAAAAGTTAAGCTCTTAACGTCTTAGGCTAATTATATATACATAAATAAGGTTTAATTAATTATAATAATAACAATTATGAAAATACTTATATAGCAGTAGCTATGGTGGTTATCCACGTTTATAGTTATGTTTTAATATTAATATTAAAATTTTAAAATCGTTAAATATTAAAGTTTTATAATTATAAAATTATTATATAATTATAAAATCGTGTTTATTAACGTATAAAGGAATTTTTAATTAATATTATTATTTAAAATTTAAATAAGTTTTAAAATCGTTAAATTTTATATTTTTATAATTACGAAATTATTATATAATTATAAAAGGAAATTATTTTATAAAAAAGTTATTTAAAAATTTTTAATTAATATTATTATTTAAGATTTAAATAAGTTTTAAAATTATTAAATTTTATAATTTTATTATTATAAAATTATTATATAATTATAAAAGTAAAATTATTTTATAAAAAAGTTATTTTTTTTTTTAATTTATAAATTTTTTTATAAAATATTTTAAAAAATATAATTATTTAAAATAATAATAATTATATTATCGTTATTTAATTTTAAATTTTTATGAAAAATTATTTTATATTAAATTTTTTTTTTTTCTTATATATTTTTCTTTTATTTCTTTTATTTATTTTTCTTAATTTTATTTAGAGGATATTTTTATGTTAAAACTTTTTTAAAAAATTATTATAAGAAATTATTATAGGAAATTATTATAGGAAATTATTAAATTAATTACGTTATTAAATACCTTTATAATTCTTAAAAACCCGTGTAGGAAAATTAAAATTAATTAAATTATTTTTAACGTTAGTTATTTAATAATTATATATTTTTTTTAAAAGCTTTTTATTAATTATATTTCTTTAAAATAAACGCTTTTTATTAATTATATTTTTTTATATTAATTATTTTAAACTTTATTAATTATAACCGTATATTTTTTTTAACGTTTTTTATTAATAAGATATAATTATAAATGATGAGACTTAAAAGGTTAATTAATTAATAAAGAATATAAAAAAGAAGAAAAAAGCTAAGCTCTTAGCGTCTTAAGCTGGCTATATATATATAAATAAGGTTTAATAAGTTATAATAATAATAATTATAGGGATACTTATATAATAATAGTTATAAATAGCCATGGGAGTGGTTATCCACGTTTATAATTATATTTATATTTTAATATCACCCCCTTTTTAATGGAAAAGATAATGTTTACGTTATTTATTATATATGTATATTAATTTTTAATCTTAATTTTTAAGTTAATTTGTGTTATTTTAATTAAAGTAATTTTAGATAATTTTTTTAATAGGATATATGTGTTATGTTATTTATTATATATATGTGTTAATTTTTAATCTTAATCTTTAAGTTAATTTATGTTATTTTAATTAAAGTAATTTTAGATAATTTTTTTAATGGGATATATGTGTTTAAGCTTTAAATGGTTAATGTGGTGTTTAATTGTTTAAGGTTTTATCGATGGCTTATACGTTAAAGTTTTTGCGGTTTTATTAATATATAAGGATAAAAATATAAAGGGAATAATATTTCTAAGATAATTATGTTAAATAGTTGTGTTAGAGGGTTTTATTAGCTAAGGGGACCGAGAATTAAAGGATTTTATCGGTTAAAAGGACCGAAAATTAAAGTAATAAGGATAGTTTTAACTATAAACGTTTTTTAATTAAGGAAAGTATTTATTACGTTTAATAGGTGTTAAATCGATGTTAAATATATTGAAATAAGTTGGTTAAAGGTTGGATTTAAAAAGAGTAAAGAAGAGGTATTAATATAATAATAAATATTAAATATAATTAATAAATAACGATATAATTAATAAATAAAAATAAGTAAATAAGAATATAATTAATAAATAAAAATAAGGTTATAATTAATTTATAATTAAAGATGTGATTAATAAATAAAGATAAGATTAATAAATAATAATATAATTAATAAATAAGGATAAGTAAAATAAGGATATAATTAAGGAATAAGGATAAGATTTATGGTTAATTAATAAATAAAAATAAGGTTTATAAATAAATAATAATATAAGTAATAAATAAAAATAAGGTTATTAATTAATTTTTTAATAATTAAAAGGTTTAAGGATTTTTTAAGTGAGTATATTATTTATTTTTTAAATAAACCGAGATAATATAAAGGTTAAAGGTTTTTTAATTATAATAAGAAATATTATTAAATGATGGGATTTAAAAGGTTAATTAATTAATAGAAAATATAAAAGAAAAGAAAAAAGCTAAGCTCTTAACGTCTTAAGCTAATTATATATATATAAATAAGGTTTAATAAGTTATAATAATAATAATTATAAGAATACCTATATAATAATAATTATAAATAACTATAAAAGTGGTTATCCACGTTTATAACCACATTTATATTTTAATAATAAACATGAATAAATGAATAATTATTTTCATAATTATTTATAATTATTACCGTATAAATATATTTTTATTATTATTATTATAATTTATTAAACCTTATTAATGTATATATAATTAACTTAAAATGTTAAAAGCTTAACTTTTTTTTTCTTTTTTATATATTAATTAATTAATTAATTTTTTAAATCTTATTTTTTATTACGATTAAAAAACCTTTAACCCTTATATTATCTTGATTTATTTAAAAAATAAGTAATATATTTACTTAAAAAATCTTTAAATTTTTTAATTATTAAAAAATTAATTAATAACTTCATTTTTATTTATTATTTATATCCTTAATTATGGATTAATTATAACTTTATTTTTATTTATTAATTATATTTTTATTTACTTATTTTTATTTATTAATTATATTTAATATTTATTATTATATTAATACTTTTCTTATATATTAATAAAACCGTAAAAGCTTTAACGCATAAATTATTAATAAAATTTTAAAGTAATTTAATATTATTTAATAATTAAAATTATATATATCTTATTAAAAAGATTATTTAAAGTTACTTTAATTAAAGTAATATAAGTTAATTTAAAGATTAAAATTAAGAATTAATATATATATATATATATAAGTTATTAAATTTAAATAACTACGGGAATAATTATTTATAATTATTATTATTATAATTTATTAAATTTTATTAATGTATATATAATTAACTTAAAACGTTAAAAACTTAACTTTTTTTTTCTTTTTTATATATTTTTATTAATTAATTAACTTTTTAAATTTTATTATAAATTTATATTTTTTAAATAACCACACCTTTTTTTTTATTATTTATTTTTAACTTTTAACTTTTTTTTAACTTTTTAAGATAATTTTTTAATTAAATAAGTAAAATTTCTTTGGTTAATATAACGATTTCTAAAAAAAAAAATATTTAAAAATAATTTAAAAACTCGTCTTAAAAATTATAAAAAGCTATAAGTTAATAAATCACTTTTAAATATTTTTTTTAAAGAAAAGCTAAAAAAATTTTATTATTTAATTTTACCCTTTACACGTTTATTTCAAATTTTTATCCCTTTTTTTAAAGATTTATTTTAAATTTTATCCTTATATTTAAGAAATTATTTTATATTTTATAATACCCTTATTTAATAATATTATAAGTTATTAATAATAACGTTTTTTTATTACTTTAATATTACTTTTAATTTAAACGTTATATTTATTGTTATTTTTAAAGTATGGTAAAAAATAAAATATAATAACCCTTAATATTAAATTATAAAAGTTATTAAACGATTAATTATTATCGATAACACCTTTAATATTTTTAACTTTAAAATAACGCATTAAACGCGTTTTTTAATTATTTTAACCATAATTAAAAACCTTTAACTTATAACACTTAAAACCCCCCCCCCCCCAGCACTTATAATAAAGAAACACCGTCGCAATTAATAACTAACCCCCCCCCTTTTTTTATTAAAAAAACGTTTTCCTAAGTAATTTTTAATTAAAGCCCTTTATAAGCTTATAAAAAAAGCATTTAATTAATAATTAACCCTTTTAAAACTCTTCGCACGCCTTAAAAAAAGTCCTTAATTAAACGCCTTTTTTAACCCTTTTATAAGCCTTTAAATAAAAATAACTTAACTAATATAATAATTAAATTAACCGTTAATAAAACACTTAAAACGTTTATTAATTAAAACTATATATATTAAACGCGTAACCATATAATAATAACTTAATTTATACTTTAATAATATATTCCTTAAACCGTTATTTTACATTATTATAAAAAGAAAATTTTATTAATATTAAAATATCATTAAAAAAGAATAAAAAATATAAGTTAATTATATAATAATTAATAATATGTAATTATATAATATAATTACGCATTTAAATAAATTTATTTAAATAATTATTTATAATAATTTTTTTTTATTTTTTAAATATTAATATAATTATATATCACGTATTTAATATTTTATTTAACGTTATTATAATATAATAACGTATATATTATTACTTATTATTATATTATAATATATAATATATTTAATAAACTTTATTTATTAACACTTATAATATTAATTATATACGAAGTATTATATAAAAATAAATTAATAATTATTTTAATTAATTTAAATTAAATTTTTTAATTAAATTTAAACCTTTTATAAGTTATATAATATATTTAAAACAACTTAAATAATTTTTTTAATTAAAATTAATAATTTAATTAAAAAGTTACTTTTTAAAAAAGTAAATAAAGTAATAAATTAACTTTTAATTTAATTATTTATTTAAAGTTAAATATATTAACTTAAAACGATTAATAAAAAAGTTTAAACCTTTTAAATAAGTTAAGGTTTATTTAAATTTAAATAAAACGTTTATTTAAATTAAATATATAATTTACATTAAAATTAAAATTAAAAAAAAGCTAACCTTAAAAGGAAATAATAAAATGGTTTAATTAATTAAATTTAAGGAATTATATTTAAAATAGCAATTAAAACTTTTTTAACCAATTATATTATAGAAATTTATCTTTTTCTTTCCAATGTACCGCGCTATCTTAAAAGCGGCTAGATTAAATCCATTAATAGACAGGGGGCCAGAAGACTAGGAGTGCCTGGGACCCCCTATTCCAACTTACCCAGTTACCTATCTCGGTAGATCCAAATGACGTCAACTCGGATCAACTACCTACCTACCACATCCACTCGTGCTCCATTAGTTATCTCCATCATACCATGTTACAACCGTAGTATAATAGTGGCCCCCCCATCCCCCCATCCCCTCTTGTCTCCTCTCTCACCACTCTTATTAATCGAGGTTACAAGCGGCATACCCTATCGAGGCAAGGAAGGTCACAGACGCAACCCCACGAAACGGGAAAGCCTAACTTTCCTGCGATTGGTCGAAAACGAGTAAAATCTACTAACCTAAATCTACCCTAACAACAGTTACCTTACCCGATCTGGCTCAGGAGGAACACCCATCTAACCTAGGGTTAAGGGTCACACACCTACGCAGTAGTTACAGTAAGATGGGCAGATCAGATGGGCAGTTTGTCGCCAGTTATCTCAGGCTATCTCGATCAGAAGACTTGCATATAGGCACATACACCATGTAGCTACCTAGGTACGCACTTCGCGATCCAACCCTTAGCATATGATAGGGCATTAGACATATAATCAAATATCTGCAAAGAAGCGTCTTGCCTTTAATCATGCCGTCATTTACCTATGCGGTAGTGATTGAAACCATTTAGTATTAGTTATTGGGAAACCCTGAATATTCATGATCGGCGCCAATCCCTGTGATATGTTGTAGAAAAAAGAGGCTGACCTCATGATAACAACTTCCCCTTTCACTAGGCACCTAGGCAGGCATCATACACTGACGGCCACGGGTAAGTTCAAGAAAATTGGCACAAAGGTGATATTCATAATTAATGTATCCTTATCAATTCATGTCTTTAGAGACTACCGTTCTATAGTAACGTGGCTCCGCCGTAAAGCAAATTCATAACGAAAGGGGTATCCTCCAACCTACTCCGCCGCACCGAAAATCGTCTCCATAATTATGCCCGTAATTTGGTACGGGTCGGCATTCGAGGCTGGTCGTCGATCCTCGAAGTAACCGTAGCCTTTGGCGGCACATTCTCGGGGGATACGGATGGATGCACCCCGGTTCGCGATACCGAAGCTGAATTGGTCGATAGCACCAGTCTCGTGTCGGCCTGTCAGGCGCAAATCGTTGCCCTCACCGTACACGGCAATGTGCTCCTTGTGTCGGCCCTCGAGCTTCTTGATCGCTTCCTCAATGTGCTATATGCTAGTTAGTCAAACATTCAATCAGACGATTAACATGACGAATTCGTACCTTCATGCCGCCCTCAACACGCATCTCCTTGGTGGAGAAGTTGGAGTGGAGACCCGCACCGTTCCAGTCGCCAGGGATGGGCTTGGGCTGGACAGAGATCTTGGCACCGAATTCTTCGGCGACACGGTGGAGAAGGAACCGAGCCATCCAAAGCTGGTCACCCATCTCAATACCCACGCAGGGACCGACTTGGAACTCCCATTGGGCAGGCATAACCTCGGCGTTGGTACCGGAGATCTTGATTCCTGCATACAGGCAGGCCTTGTAGTGTGCGTCGACGATGTCACGACACATAACCCGACCTGCGCCGACACCACAGTAGTAAGGACCTTGGGGAGCAGGGAATCCGTTCTTGGGCCAACCGTAAGGTCGGTCCTCCATATCGAAGAGAGTGTACTCCTGCTCAAGACCAAACCATGGTACATGGCTGCTGTGGGCCTCCATCAACTTGGCACATTCGTGACGGTGGTTGTATTTGTTGGGGGTGCCATCGGCGTTCCAGCACTCAGCCAGGACCAAGATGTTAGGGACACCTCGCATGGGGTCAGGGTAGACGGCGACAGGTCGGAGATAGACATCACTGTTGTCACCGGGAGCCTGATCGGTAGAAGAACCGTCGAAGTTCCAGACGGGGAGATCCTCGGGCTTGATGTCGCCATCCTTGGGAATCGATGTGATGGTCTAAATGTGAAATCGCAGTTAGCGCATATCCTTCATCTTCTCATCAATCGTAAAATAAAATGAAAGCGCGTCGCGCAACCAAGGCACAAAGGAACAAACAGAACGGGATCAACCAATGATACCGATCGCCACTAGGCGCGAAATACGAATAATGACGATGCTTGCCCACATAGCCACACGCCCTAGTCTTAGCTAGGCGGATGCCGGAAGGGCGCTCTTGACAAAGAGCTAACTCGCGGTGTGTATGTAATGGGGGCAAGGATTTATTTTTCTCCCTCGGTAACATGGAGGGTTGGTCTGTGGATAGAAAATGGGGCGAAACCGGAGCAAGCCGGTTCTATTCTCGATCAAGTTCGAGCCGGGTAATGGTCTAAACAAGGATGATCAAGCCAAAAGAACCGCCCGAAGACTGGCACGCTCCCACGAATCAGAAACTCGTGGGGCGTCACTTAGACACTGATAAAATCAGGGTCCTTGTGGGATCCGGCTCGTCCCTGTCATAGCCAAAGCACCGAGCTTACCCTAGGTACGAGGGTATCATGTAACAGGAATGCAAACGATTCGACCGAGATAAGAATAGAACTAGGAGGTGAGGCAAATTACGTACCTTGCTCTTGGATCGAACGTGGCCATGAGCATCGATCCAGATGTACTCCGCCATGGCGTTTCCCTTCTGGTCAAGCTTCATGTATTTCATGAGCTATCAAAGCATCTAAGGTCAGCGCCATTGTCCATAGGGGTGAATGAGCGTAGGAATCGCAGAGTCGCAGCGTTGAACGCCAACAATGCATCCTGCCCATGTGTTTGAATAATAATCGCGTGCTCACATTCTCAGCGTACGATACATAGTGGTTGTCGGCCTGGATGAGCAATCTATTAGCAAATATTCGCGTAAAGGTGAGGGGTAATTGGCTGGCGATGACCAGATGGTGGGGTTCAAAGGGGGTAGGGCGAGACTCACCATGGTAGCGGTATTGACGAATTAGGACGATCTAAATGATTTTTTATAGGATATGTTGTCGCAAACGGTATGTCCTCCAAAGACAATATTCGAATGAAGGAAGTGATTAATTTATTCAAGGAGAGAGAGAATATTGGGGAGTAGAGAAGAAGTTAAATGGGAGACGGATAGGAAGAGAAGCAAAGTAGATTAACTGCGGGGGGGCAACTGCGGCTTTTATGTGGAATAATCAGTTGGCCGGACAAGATTTTAGTTGTGAACATTGAAAAAAAGTCACTCCATTGAAAGATAAGACGCCGTAGTCTAGCTCGTGGCGCTGAAAGGCTTCGATAGACGGGACTCAAAAGTCTCAAATGTGTGTGCTAGGTACCTAGTAGTAGGCTAGTACTAGGTACTATGTACCTATGTACCTCCCTCCTACAGTCAGGTCAGGGCAGGAACCGGATATCAATGACAGGGGTGGGACCATGCTACAAAGTTGGGGCTAGACCCCACCTCAACCCACCGCCCACTTCGTCCCAAATCCTGCATCTTTACAATATGCAAATGGCCGATCAAAGTTATAGTTACAGTTGCAGTTACATGCCATTCACGACCTTTACCTTCAAGGCTTTACCTTTGTCTTTACCTTCATTTACCTGTACTACATGTGTACAACACGTATCAGATTTTCTACCTTCCTGTACCTCTACGACTGACATATCCATTAATGTTACTACATAGCAATCCATATCTTCGTAGGTGAGGGAGTGGGTTGGTGGGGTTCCGACAGGTTACCACTACATAAGTATTGTACTATGTAGTATGTAGGTACGCTGGTGCGCCGCCATTACGATGTGGATACATATACGGTATGTACCTAGATTCAAACCTGGAATTATCTCGGTACTGTGAGTATTGATGTATGTATATGTATATCTGCTCTACATATTCACAGATCAAATAGATTATACACAGCATTACCTATGTACCTACATAAGTTGAAACTCTTCGGTGCCCAAGGTGAGGTTAGGTTGGGCTACCACTAATCATTGGAGGGATTTCGATTATCTGGCAGCCCTGGTAAGCGAATTGAACCAGCTGGTTTAAGAATACCCTCTTTTAATTCTTCTAGAACTCACGCACGATGGCAACCCCTTAACCGTTAGAATTACCCGGTCTCACACTAGTTCCTGGCTGTGCCTTCAACACGGGATCCAATGTCGTGGAACCTGGAGTCTCGTTTCCAACAGCTAAGTAATATGTAGTATCTATTATTGACCTCCCCGCCTTCCCCTATATTCACTACCTACTATTATACGATATACAAATTTGCTTTCATCCTCAAATGCTTTGAGAGTCTGGACTCTGAGCTCGCTGGCAAGATTGAGTAATGGTATCGTGCCGTGTTGATCTTGGTGTCCAAGAAGCAACGGGAATATGCAACTCGCGCAGGAGCCTTCCCACACTTGCACTCCCAAGGGAGAAGCTTCGAAGTCGATCATAACGAAAACTTTTTCAAAGTCTAAGACATATCACAAATTTATTATTAGCATTCGAGGTGGCTCCCAAAAATGACTTTCCTTTGTGCATTATTCGTTGCGTGTAATGCCCATCTTCTGCAAGTTTGACCCTTTGCGTTACATCCGTGTGTTACCTATGCGCTTTTCCGTCCATCTATGTACATGTACCTACCTAGAATATGCGATGCGGACGGGACTTCTTCCAATTCAATGTTGCTATAGGTGCTATTCATAACTCATAACTATTTCCAACTACACTATAATCACAATTGAAGCTTATTTACAAGTTCGAACTTCGCAGTCTGAATATCTACCTAGGGGTAGCCGAGCTGACTCGATGATGGGCACGATAATTCTTGGCTAGAATCAACCCGAATTGCCGCCAACCGTCCGATATTGTGGATAGCACTAGAGGTATCTAACTTAGTAACTAGGTATCTTCCCTACAAGGAGCAAGCGGGAAATGTGGGGCATAGTGAGATCGAGCATTGTTCGGGGCCCGCGATTCGGACCCAGAAGGCTTGAGTCATTCATCTAGTTGTCACTTAAACCACTTCTCTAACTTCTAACTTTCTCTTCTCTATCGCGTACCCCTTATTTAAGAACCAGATATGTGTCAACAACAGTAACATCACCCAAGACCCAACCTTATGGATATTAGATAATATATGGGTACTACACTATGTAACCTACCCAAGCATGTTACCTATTGACAATGACATTCACGAAGGTTACATAATTTATCGTTCGCTACCTGCATGGCAGTGCATGCATGCATGTGTCTGAGTATCGAACTTTAGTTTCCATAACTTCCAAATTGTTGTTTCTCAACATTGAACTTGCAAGGTAGGTTACGGTACATTAGCCTACGGTACATAGTATTCAAGTACAATACATGCCTTCATACATAGGTACATACCTACATAGGTAGTACATATGTAGTAGACAGACCATTTGAAGTCAAGACCCCCAATATCAAATTCGAGGTTTGACAAATTCGATTTCATCACCCCCAACTTTCCTTAGCCTTGTGTCATGAAGTTACATTTAAACATTTGAAAAGCTGAGAATAATACACATCTCATTGGACTGCTTCACCGTGATCCCGAGTGACTCCCCGTCCAACCAGGCTGCCCGCCTTTCAGCTTACAGAAAAATGTATCTGACCCCAAAGTTTGACCCTAGGAAGTAATTAAGTAGATTGCGGGGTTGGTGCGACGCCATAGAATTAGCATCGGGACCGGCGTCTTATTGTTATCGCCTGTCTGTGATTGGTCGGTTTTACTTTTTATTGTTCAATTCCATCTTGTACGCAGTACGTAAAGTTATTCGACTATTTTAGCGGCCAAGGCTCTTCCCGAGGTGCTTAAACTGTTTCAACCGGAATTAATGCCTCACTGGTTTACTGACTATACTATTTCCAAACCATTGCCACGAGGATTTTGAAAGAAAGCCCTTTCCCTTCTCCAATGAACCTACTACGCCCTACGTATGTACGTTTAATGTTCTCTTTGCCTCGTCTGTTGGAGTGAATTTGCTTCTCCCTTGCTTGGAGCAATTAGTCCGGAGTAGATAGTTACATCATACATACGAAGTATAGTAGGTACATATAATATAGTATACACATCAGCTGCCCTTTTCGCCAATCAATTCCACTTCTTAATTGTCATTTTCCAACTTCCGTATAGATGAGCTGACGTGTCTCGACAGTAACACGGCAGAACTATATTTGCAAACTTACATACATACTCCATACATATGTATCTAACCATGAGATACTTAAGGTAGGAGGTAAGTAAGTATAGATGCAATGCTCATTTTGCATGTGCAGTTCAAACTCTCTCCTTAACCAACTACCTACCTACTCTTTCTGGTTATGTGATTGTCCGAATGTGCCCGAAACACTGGATAATCCAGACACGTGAGGGATCCCCTATTCACATCCCTCTAGCTAAGTCAGCAAGGGGTAGGATGAAATCTACCGAGGACAATTACACAGGTGTCTACGGTTATGATGTAAGTATGGGTACCTACATAGCTAGGTTGGTAACGTCGGAAGGAGGGAGGGCGCTTGCAGATACCTAGGTTGCTATAATGATGGGACTTCAGCATTCTGAGAAGGAAAGAGCACTTTGAACCTAAGTTCACCGTATGCTCGCTGAAAGACATGGCAATCACCGCCGGTACTGTTTGCCTTCTAGGTACAGATGTACTAGGTATGCAGCCGACATTTGAATTTTACAGAATACAACAATTTCTCGGAAATTTGAAGATACTATCATATACCCAGTACCTAGGTATTCACATCGTTATTATGTCAATATATCCTCGAATATCTTCAAATCTTTCCAAAGTACAGGATATACCTTGAATTGTATTCATATCTGTGAGTTTCTAACCCAGTTATGAATTGGACAGAAGGCAATCTTTCCCGCCATTCTAGAGGCAGGCAGCGCAATGAACTGCTCGCGAAGCAGAAGCAGCATTTCGCAAAAGTTCGCAATAGTCTATCAAGGGGTGGTGTAAAGCAGAGTCCTGTGTCCATATCCTTCTTAGGAGCCCGACGGTCTGGATCTTCTGGACGAAGGGATGGTTCCAACGGTATCTCTCACATATCCCCTTCAAGCCCTCTCTTAACAGAAAAGCGGAAGCGAAGTCAAAGTTCGCGAAATGATCTCAAGGAACAGACTTCAATTCGCGAGAAACGAAGGAGATTACTTGACATGACCGATTGGGTTGGGCTCAATCTACAACAACCCACAGATATCGTTTTTCCCAGAAAGATCCCAGCATTAGATGGTCAAAAATGGGGCAAAGCAGATCGCGTTCGGGCACATATGGCGCAAAAGCGTCATGAAACGGCAGACTTGGCCCGGTTAGAAACAGCCCAAGAAGCTCGCAACCACCCCTTAAGAATTCAGATCGGAAGTCAGGAGATTGATCCTAGTGACAGCACAGCATTCCAGCCAGTAACTAAAAGATATAGCCTCGCACCACATCCCCTATCGAGCTCATCGCACAAAAGATCAGACCAAATCTCGAGCCCAGAGCCCAGTCACGCTCGCCACCTGTATGTCGCCTCAGTCAAGAAGCAGGCATCAGGCGTACCACGAAACGAACGGGGCGGGGTAGCGAGAGAACGACGGAGAATGCCTCGGAAAGCGCCAGTTGAACCAATTAGCATGGAAGAGCCAACTCACGTCGTCTACTCCTCGTCGATGATTCACGAACCAGCACCTCGGCGAGCTAATGAGTTTCCAGTTCTGAAATGGTCACCCCCAGCGTCAGAGGATTGGGGGAGCATGAAGGTAGATATCGAGCGGCCAGCAAGGCCCTTTCCACCATCCGGAGAGGCAGATCGAGAACTTTGGAAGGGGTGGGCTGTTGACTTGTCTGATGATATATCGTTAAACGTGCCCACAACCCCTCGAATTGCAGCAGAATCGTCCAGTCCAAAAGCGGGCAGTTTGCCATCAGATTTACAAATAAGATATCCGGTCTACGATGCATCCAGTGAGCTAGCAACGAGCACTTCCTGCCAGCTCCTTGAATCAGCCAAGTGCGAGCAAGAGAACGTGCTAACTACAATTGATGACGGCACTCGCCCCTCACCCGGGTACAAACTGGCCCATGAAGATAGTCAAGTCCGGGTTACGGATGAAAATGAAATTTGGATGAAATTCGCCTTCGATGGCGATATCGATGAGCTGGAAGCCGATATGTTTAGAGAGGCTGCGCACCAGGCTGCTGTGGAGCTACGCCCTTCCGAGACATCGACGGATGGGGTGAATACGATAAAAATGACTACAACTTGTGAGACAGACCCCCTCAACTTCCTTGATACGCGGCAAACCGATGCTACTTTCTCCAGTACTTCCAGCGAAAGTCACATTGCAACACATGGAACGGTGGTTTCGGAACCGACATCTAGTAACATAGCCACAACAGGTTCTACAAACGTAGCTGAGCCAGAATCTCGTTTCCGCTTCGCGCAGCCAAAACCATTTGTCGGGAAACTCGCCGATCCGAGCGTTCATGTACAAGGGCCACCTCTCAGGCCGAAGGATGCTAAGAAACGGAGAGGTAGATCTAAGAAGAAAGCCGTGGACGGAAGAACGGATATTCGGCGTCTCCCGGATTTCGACGGAGATCCAATCGAAGAGTTCGAAGAGTAGTAATGTACCTATTTCAAAGCACTCGTAGTCGCAAACAATTACTCAGAATCACTGTATCAAGGACACACATACCTACATACATATTATTAGGTAATTGATGTTAGGCATTAATTTAATGCAGTATAGCTCGACTAGAATTTCAGTCATTTGCTTAGGAGGCAATTGTAATAATTATGGGGGCCGGGATACGCCCTTTCGAGTCAAATCCCGCAATCAGCACAAAGTTTGCCTTCCCCTTTTCTCTTTTACATGCCCAGGTGAATATTAAATAAATACCTACCCAGGTATACTTGCCTAGGTAGGTAAACATTATAGGTGCTTACATATCTGCTCTGTACTTACCTTAGTAGGCGCTCGCAAATTGATCATTCAAGTTCTTATTCGCACCAATACCTTGGAAAGAATCGATAGGTACTCGCTACGCTCAGAGACAATGTCACCGGTGGCGGATATAGATTTATATGCGCCTTTCGAGCGCGACGTCGTACTTGAAATCCGGACTAGTAAGATGAAGACAATGCCGGGGCTCAAGATCGAGACAGGCATAGATAAGCAGCTGCGCTCCGGTCGCATCCCCGTGTCTTATCTTGGACTCGATGCGGATGAGCATGACCTTGTGTTCCACGGCGGCCCTGATAAAGCAATCCACGGATGTGAGTCGGATTTAAACCCCTATTTCGCAGGAAGTGAGTCATCCGCCATATCCGCAGTGTTCTGATCCCCGCTACAGATTGCTGCTCTCATTATCCTACTTGGCAAAATGAGTTTCCCGAAGCTGCCGCCCGCTTTAGACGTGGTGGGTTCGGGGAGAATTTCGTAACGGAACGCAGTATGTATTCTGAAGTTCATTGTCGTTATCCCTTTTGGACATCAACTCAGAATTCGGACCTTATATGAGGGATTATCGGCAATGCTAGCTTTTCTCTAACTAGCTTTGGATTCTTATAGCTGCCCGCCTGGCGTCTACTGATCTTTGATCTTTAGTGAACGAGCGCAACGTATGTATCGGCGACGTCGTATCCGTCGGCAACGATGGTGTCCTGCTGCAGATCAGCCTGCCACGGCAGCCGTGCTTCAAGCTGAACCACCGGTTCCAGCTGAAGAACTTCGCACCCAACACGTTCAAGACCAGCCGCACCGGCTGGTACTATCGCGTCCTGCGCGAGGGCACCGTGCAAGCCGGCGACGAGATCCGGCTCGTGGAGCGCAAATGGCCCCAGTGGACCATCGAACGCGTCCAGGAGTACCTGCACCGCACGCAGGACAACGCCGTCATGAACGAGGAGCTCGCGGCTATCCCCGACATGGGCGATGAGAGCCGCAAGGCGTTTGAGAGACGCGTCGAGAAGCTCCGCGCGAAGCAGAAGCGTGCCCTTAACGGAGGGGAGGAGAAGAAGAAGGAGAAGTGGCGGGACTTTACGATCGTTGAGAAAAAGAACCAGACGCCGCGCATCGCGTCGTTCGTTCTGCAGGCAGTGCACCCGGACCCCGAGGCAGCTGAGCTGGCGCTCGGCTCCCACGCGCGCCTCAGGCTACCGAACGGCCTCGTGCGCCCCTACTCCATCGTGTCGGGCACCGACCCCAACCGCTTCGAGCTCGGCGTCGCCCTTGACGCCGCGAGCCGCGGGGGGTCGGCGTATCTCCATCACAATATGACGGAGGGCGATACCATGCAGGTCGGGCGGGTGACGGCGGAAGTGCAGCCCGCGGGCGCGGCGAGTAACCACGTGTTCATCGTCGGTGGTATTGGGATCACAGCGTTCCTCGGCATGCTGGAGAGGCATCAGAGGATTCACTGGGAAACGACGCTGCACTACGGCGTCCGCGACGCCGCCACGGACATCCCGTTTCGCGCGCGTCTTAACGCTCTCTCCCGGGGCGACGACGACAAAAACAGCAGCAGCAGTGTCAACGTCAAGATCTACGACCGGAGTAAAGAAGAGCGCATGGACATCCCTGGCATCTTCCGAGATCTCCCCTGGAACTCGCACGTCTCGGTGTGCGGCCCGCCGCGGCTGATGGAGGAGGCGAGGGACGAAGCCGAGAAGCGCGGGCTGGGGAGGGACGAGGTGCACTACGAGGCGTTCACGGCAGACACGGGGGGTGATCCGTTTGAGGTTGAGGTTACGTTCGCACAAGACTCTGACAAAAAAGACTCCGACGATGGGGAGAAGAACGACGGTAAGAAGGATACCGGAAAGAGTAAGGGTAGGCTTCTTACAGTAGGCGCAGAGGAGACGTTGCTGGAGGTGCTGCGGAGGACCTTTGGCGACGACGATGTCCCGTCGAGCTGCGAGGTGGGCAGTTGTGGCACGTGTAGGGTTGGGCTGAGGAGCGGCAGGGTCGAGCATAGGGGGACGGCGCTCGGGGAAGAGGAGAAGGAGGGGGCGATGCTGAGTTGTGTTAGTAGGGGCGTCGGGAAGATTGCTATTGAGATATAGACTAGGTGGGTAGGGATGAGTGTAAAGATAGGGGTTAAGGATTGGAGTAAAGGGTATCTTATGTGGTAGGTGGGTATTTTCTTTTTCAACATCTTATAGCATGTATGTAGGTACTTTAAAGATGAGGAGATGAGTAGACGATCTAATGAATACCAAATCCACTCTATAACTAAATACCTGCCTGGGTTAGTAGGCACAATGAGACTACTGGGTACCTATTATATGCACCCGCTTGGTAACAGTATTATGTTTCGTCTAATATGTTCACTACGTTCCAAATTTCTTTGACGGGAGTAGATTAATATATCCTTAACAGCGACGCGTCTACATTCGCGCACCCGACTCCATTATCTAATAGCTGTCTCCTCATCAGGACCTGTGATCGTGGTCTTTTTACCCCTAATACTTCCGCCTAGCCATACAAGCGTAACCACCGCGCCCGACGCAGCCCAGACCGCGAAACTCCAAGTCATCGTGCCCCAACCCGCCGCATCGGCCACGTACCCAGCCCACAGCGGGCCAATGACTCCCCCCAGGGCAAACGCCATCGTGTAGAGCCCGTAGCCCAGCCCGTAGACGCCCTTCTCGCCAAAGACGCCCGGCTCCTCGGCCTGCTTCTCCTCGATCACGTACGTGATGTCGGCCATGAGGGGGACGTTGGCGAAGGCCAGCGACACGCCGAGGAGCGCGAGCAGGAAGCCGAGGAGCACCTTATGCGCGATGGTGCTCAAGGTGACGAAGCGCAGACACGCGAGCAAGGGGACGGCGAGGCAGAAGCCGAAGAAGGAGGGCCACTTGGGCCCGTGCCGGTCGGAGAGCCAGCCGACGAGGGGGGAGATGAAGCCCGGCAAGCAGATGGTGAGGAAGAAGAGGCCGGCGGCTGTGGAGTTCCATTGGAAGGTGGATTGTAGGAATAGTGGTAGCGTGGCGTCGAATCCCATCCTATCGATGGCTTGGTTAGTTACGTGAGCGTGTAGGATGGGGTGTAGGTGTATGCACTGACATGAGGCCGGCCTGGGTGAACAGGCCGTAGAGAGCTGCATGCAATCTAGGAGACTTGAGAAGCACCTTGATTGAATGGCCGATGCTAGTAGATTCTGCTGGTGCTACTTGGTCCTGTCTACTGTCACCCAGTGTTTCAGTCCTCTTCTCTTCTTCGTTCCCGCCTCGTGGAGGTTGGGTGCGTCCCTCCGAAGCTGGCTCTGAGGTGGCAGGTACGGATAAAGCCATTGCCTCCACATCAGGCCCATTAGCATTTATTCCAGGGAGGGTAGCACCGAGGTCATCATCAAGCCATTGTCTCGCAATCTTCTTCTCGATCATAAAGAGTCGCAACAGGATGTCTACCGCAACAACACCAAAGGCAATGTAATAGACAGCATAATATCCCGCTGCACTGTAGACGGAACCGCCTATCAAAGGGGCTATGAGAAACCCAGCACTTATGGATAAGCCGACGTAGCCCAAAGCGACACCGACATTGTTCTCCATGGTGTCGACTAGCAAAGCACAGCCCACGCTCCAGACTATGGAGGCACTCAAGCCCTGCAGAACTCTGCCTACCACGAGCAGGCCGATGGAGTTGCCGAAACATAGGAGCAGAGTTGAGGTTGCCAGCGATACTAATCCGAGGAGCAAGGGCCACCGTCTGGACGACGTGTGGTCGGCGTAGAGCCCGGCAATGGGACTGCCGACGAACAAGGCCACGCTGTAGCAGGCCAGCAGAACCGACGTCCAGTGCTGGACTTGGTCCGCGGGGATGCCCACCTGGATGGTGAGCGAGAAGGGGATGACGGGGATAATTAGGGCATAGAAGAAGGTATCGGTGAAGATGGCCAGATTTACTTTTATTTTAGGTATTGCCTGTTAGTAGCACTAGTAATGGTAAGGGGCTGGCTTTAACGAACCAGTTAGCACGATCAAAGTCGTCGAAGAACGCATCGAAAGGAGGCAAGGGGGTTTCGACTTGCGATCCTCCCTGGTCCCCGAAAGAAACTGCCGCGCACTACGCATAAACCCCATCTCGAACATCACCTAGTGAAAAGCCCAGGTGGCTTTAATCATGAAAAGAATTGTGAAAATTAAATAGTGAGTATTTGCAAGAAGAGAATCCAAAATTCCCAGCCTTCACCTGGATATATACAGATTTGGTTCCTTCCAAGCTCTTTTCCAAGTTCTTTTGCAAGTTCTTTGGCAAGTTCTTTTCGGGAGTAATAAGAGTCCAGGGGGTCCGCGGGGCCCGATTCCCCTGACTTTGTTCATTACGACGGTGGTATGCAGTCAGTGATTACTGACTATAGTGACCTTATGACCAACTACATGTTGAGCTATTATGAGCTTATAGCTTATAGTAAATTTTAACAAGTTTTATGATATCCATATTTCTACAAATTCACGGCCTACCTAGCTAGTTATTAGTGATGCTATTGAAAGGAAAGAGGAAATAGGGAGAGGAAAAGATATGAAAAAAGATATGAATTAGTTATACCTTATACCTTATGTAATCACTTTCGTAAAGTGGGTCGTAGTGGCTTAAAAGGGAACCCGGAAACCCATAAGCCTCACATGGACCCACTAAATCGCCTCGTTCCTAATTAGCTTAGGGGCTGAATTTCTTCCTTTTTTCTTCTTTTTTTCTTTTCTTTTTCTTTTCCATCCCTTTGATCGGTTGAGAATTGTTGTCGTACTGCGCGACAGCATCTATACAACACCTACAATACATAATAACAATGGCGGAATCAAATCCTGCAGGAGAGTTCTCCGCATGCCCAATTTCTATACCTCCGCTACCATCATTTCCTGTAAACGCGACACATTATATTTACTTACGAAGAAACGCGCCGAGGATATCGACTCCTGACGACTCGAGAAGTCTCTTCATCGCCAATGTCCCTTGCGATAGCACCGAACTCCATTTCCGGGCTTTCTTCACCAGTTTAATTGGAGCGGGCCGATTTGAGAGCATATCATTTAACCAAGACAAAAAAGCCATTAAGTCTTCGCACGAGCCTGCCCAAGCAATAAGACTAGCAGCCCACAGGAAGAGGAAGCGCGCCGAAGAAGAGCTCCAATTGGCAAGAGACGAAGCTGCAGCAGAACTACCACCAACATGGTCTCGGCAATTATATCGTAGTGGCAGCTCTGCTGTTGCCTTGCTAGCCGATGACAAGAGCGTCGAGTTAGCCCTCAAAGCTATCAAGAAGCTCAAAAAGCAGAAGGACTACCCGGTTTGGGGGAAGGGCGTTGACAATAAAGCTCCACCCCTAGGCTCACAATGGCTCAAAGCGCATAACAGATTGTCCTACCCGGGTAACGATGTTGTCCAAGCCTCGATGGATGCCTACTTCACCATCTTTAACATTAAGGAGAAGGAAGCAGCTCAGCTGGCTAAGCGACTCCGCCACGAGCCCGACGAGGATGGCTTCGTGACGGTTACGCGGGGCGGTCGCGCCGCGCCTGCTAGGAGAGCCGAGGCGGAGGAGGCCAAGCAGAGGATGTTGGCGAAGCAGCAAAAGAAGAACGACGAGATGACAGACTTCTACCGCTTCCAGATGCGCGAGAAGAGGAAATCCGAACAAGTGGAGATGCTGAAGAAATTCGAGGAGGATAAGAAGAAGGTGCAAGCAATGAAGCAGAAGCGTGGGAAGTTCAGACCGGAAACCTGAGAGAATGGCGTCGTTGCTAGCTAGTTAGGCTGGGCTGGACAAGCCTCCGAGATCAGTTCTCTCGCATCCAAGTGGCACTTGATAAGTTACGGTGTGAGACTCTTCGAGTAAGTACTATTTTTTTACCTTTTTTCCTTCTTGCTATGATGACGAGCACGGGGCCAGCGAATTGCGGTCGAGTCTGGATTTCCAGATCCTCGACTGCGCATGCCGAAAAAAACCGTGTAATATATATCTTCTCAACTTGTCTGAAAGCATTATCACACCGCACCTTGTTAAAAGAATCACTCTTGGTTAGGACATAACTAACAGGATTCGCAGATGGGATTCGAGTTTACAGAAGGCCTCAGAACAAATGGAAGTCTTGCAGAATTGTGTAGGCGTGGGGTTTCTGCTGAAGAAATACCAATAGGCGTATGTGATATTTTCTGCGCCAAGAAGGCTGATTCGGTAGACCCCCGGACGGCGATGATATTTGTTCGTCACTGCAGGAAACCTGTTTAACAGTGTTCAGAGGTTTAAGCCATATTCAGCTCTCTGTTACTAAGTTGTAGCCCTCGTCGAGAAACCGCAAGTTTTACTAGAACTTGAGGAGCCAGAGTAGGAAGCTTGGACGACGGTAAATAGCAAATTAATGTTTTCGTCTACGTCTACCTTATATCCCTAGCACGGAACATATTTGGGGGTAGCTGAAGGTAACTCGAAGATTTATCAGCCTTATTTCTTCTCGGATGTAGTAGTCTAACGTCCGAGTGTCAATCAACCCCGTAAAAGCGCGGCTGCACATCTAGCTGCATACGCTCCCGTCCAAAGAGTATCCCCGGATAAAAATCAGGGATAATAACTACTTATAGATTGTATTCATGGTCGTTTGATATTATATATCAACAAGATCTTTGTCTTTGCAGATCCCTATCATGATCGATGTTGTGCTCTTCTGGCCCTGTCATCCACAGCCACCTCGTGCTCTATCTCGGTACTAGGTAGCTGCGTAAGGCTATATCGGGTGTTACGATACCTACCTACTTATATTATATTGTCGCGAATATGCGGTGCTTACATACACGTTTTTGTCAACCTCAAGCGACGCTGTGTAATGTGGTTTGAAATGCCTGTTTTAGATTTAGATTTTCAGATTTTAGATCTGGATCTGGATCTGAATCTGAATCTGGATCTACATGAAAATCTAGATCGGGTCACCATCTGGCATCTGCGTCTGTGCCGAGAGCAAAGCCAAGATCTAACCCTACCTAGGTGTAGAGCTACTATCCATGTACCTGTGTATGTATAATGCTGCGCATAACAAGATCTTCTTTCTACGAGCGCGAGCTGATGCGTCGCTGGAATTTTGCTTGGATGCCTCGGACTCGGAGAGCTATTTTCTGTAGTTATAGGTAGCCTGCGCGGAATCGTTGTTTGGACTGGGCGGCTGCTTCAGCGGTAGCATAAGAACGAGGATGACGTCGCCGAGTGCCCTGGCTTCGTTGTCGAGGAAGCCGGTTCGAGAACCTCTGGGCGGCATCTGCGAGGTGCTGGACGTGTATGAATACGGACCTTGATCCGAGGGCTAGGGAACAGCAGCAATGAAGCCCATCCCCCTGACGCGTAATAGGGGGGCATACCATTAACTCCCTAGAGTATATAAATCCCTCGATCTTGTCAGTTCTCCGCCTTATGTCGGAATGCATGATATGTTTATACTAGCTTATCAAACGGGCCAAGTTTTTTAATCTCTGCTGGGTAGGTACTGTAGGCACCTGCAGGTATATAATGATTTCTGTTCTATATATATATATATATATATATGTAGTGCTAGCTATTGCCTTGGTTTCTGGAAGTGGGCACCATAATACTTCGATGTAGAGTGCAACAATGCGGATGTGCTGGGCACTAGGGGGGGTTTCCAGATCGAAGCTATCAGCACCCCTGGAATAACGACTTGCTAATTGGCTACCTACCTCGGCTCGGGAATCACCACCCTATAGATCGAAGCTGCGAGGCAAACACGTTTAGACGCTAGCAGGAATCCAGTCCATCAGGACTGGGCTTTTTAAAACCGCATACTAGTAGCCTAGTAGGTACATAGATTAGCTAGTCAAAAGGGAAGGGACTGCGTTATCTGCCGCGTAGTGCGTTGTTGTAAGCAGGACAAGGACGGACTAGAACGTTTGAAGTTGGTTCATTGGAGAGGAGAGCACCTGTTCGAAGTACTTACCGACTTACCGACTTACATAGCTAAGATGTACGACTCAGTACGAGGCTAGAATTTTGATGCCAAGTGACGCATATTGTATCGTGTTTACCGTGATCGTGATGAGAAGGTTGGAAACTTGATGCATAAGCTGCTTCCTTTAAACACGCATTCCGGTGTAAGAAGCACCGCGCATTTATTTAGTTATATCAGAAGATGGAACGATCTATGACGTGTACCAGCTAATGGCGGATGAACTATAGCTTTTTGTTTTATAGAAGAGAAAAAGTAATTTAAATGATTTAAAGAAAAAAAATAAAAAAGATTTCCCCCTCCAAAAAAAGGAAAAAAAAAAAAAAAAAAAAAAAACCGTATGGTTGTTTCACCAATAGAGAAGGATAGCATGCATGGATGAGAAAACGGTTCCAATCTTGACCCCCCGAACGGGGATCACGCATGGACCGGGGAGTCATTTGTGGGGTCTTATAGGGTCTAGATCATGCATCGGCCGCATGTGGTATACGGGGATTTAACCCCAACGTAGTTTAACCCCAACTCTACATCCTTGCTATAAAATCAATTGAATAACATTTGAAGTTGTACTCGTACACAGTTAGTACTTGCATTTTTTGCATTTTCATCGGTATCCCCACGCCTCCAATCGAAGACAGATATCGGGGTGGACTGGGTGGATGTTAGCGTTTAGCGCACATGCCACATGTGGCTGGCTTATTTCAAATTACCATGTAAGATTTCCTTCTTTCTTTAGTTATTCCGATTATCTACTTAAACTCGCAGTATTTATCTTCTAGATTTTAATCTTTGGCTGAGCATATTTCGTTACTCCCGGGTGTGTTCTATACCGTACGCTACTGCGCCGCTACTGTGTGGAAGACATCTAGTTAGGTATGTAGGTTATTAGTTGTCAATCTGTTACCAATTTTATCTCATCAGATCTTGTACACTCTTGTTTCCTTGTCGATCAGTAAATCCCAGATTCGTTAACAACTAATCACCTATATATATCTTTAAAAGAGCTGTGATCTTACCTACCTAATACATTAGAAGCCAGTAGAGTTGAGCAGCACTTCTGTTTTTATATCATTGGAAGAAAAGAAGAATGAAAGGAGTAGATGCTCCGAGCTAATCAAACAATCAGCCAACCTAAAGGCTGAGAGAGATTAGGTGGTGAAGAAGACCTTACCTCCAAGCTCTTTAGTACATATATCTACATGCGTACCTAGTACCTACCCAGTAATCGTAAATGAGTGCCACTCAAAATTCAAATACATGAACACTTTTTTCTTCTTCTTCTTCTTACATGTATGGTAACACGACATCTAGACATCTCATTTGAAGGACTTCAAAGTTGCATTATGGCTAGTTGTTCTTACCTTGGTTAGAGAGCAATCGCATCTGCATGAATTTAAGCTTCATCCAATTGACTTCTCTAGCTTCCAATACTATGTACAATGTACAATACTATGTACCTAGTAGCGTAAGGATTCTAAGGAAGGGTTACGTCCATGTTCAGGTACCTACCGAGCCCTGCTTGCCTTATTCAATCATTTCACTGCCATGCCTCCGGGCGGCGATCACGGTTCCTTCAACTTTTCTTTTGACTAGTGTCAGCTGTACTAACCCAGGTAGGTACTTGTTGCCTACTAGGTAGTATTAATTATCCTTGCCGTTTTCAATGTTGAACATGTTGAACTCCTCAACCTTGTTCATATGTACCTACTAGGTACTGTACTAGAGCTTCCTGGCCTTACCTCCAGTCGTACATCCGAATCTTTTCCTACATCTTGTCTCTTAACCTTAATCAACTTGAACTCCATTATTTCCATTATTTCCATTCTTCCCCTCGTGGCACTTGTCCGGCATTCCTCGATACCTAATACTTGGAGTTGCAAACCGTTGCACAACATCTGTCTACTTATTTTTTCTCCTTTGCCTTTGAAGCATCTACATTGACATATCTAATACATAATCATTGTATTTCTACCAAGACATCATATTGGGGGGCAAGGGAGAAGGGGAAAACTAACTCGTAACAGTTGTCAATCAACTCTTCGCCTCCACTGCTAGTCCACCAGTCCACTTGGTTTTTCTTTTTTTTTTCTTCTTAGGTTTTTTCTTCCACTTCCGCCCAGCTGTCGAGTACGTCCGAGATACGCGACAATTGAAGAATGCATAGATCAAAGCGCCTTTCCCTTGCCCCAATATAGGCTGGAATCATGAGAGTTGCGATACGGGAACAGTTGGCGGCCCTCGTGCTGCTTGCTGTACTCGTCGCACTCGCCATCGTCTCCATTCCAACTTGGATTTATGTGAACCGGTTTGTGATTGGAGTAACGACCGATGGTCTCGCCTTAACTGCATCTCTCAAGGCTGCCCAGGTTTCTTCAGAGATAGAATTGATACAGACAACTTGTAATAACATAGCCACAAGATTGCTGTTGCAAGATGTTATCGAGTCCTTCTATCGCGGCAATGATTCCGAATATTTGTGGAATCAAGCTTCCGCCGATATCAGGACTGCTCTGAATTCTCACACCACCAGGAACAATTTCCTGCAAGCAAGACTCTACTCCCGAAACCAAACAGGCGCCGATCGTCCCGACGGCCTTCTCAGTGTTACCGGCACCGACATCCCCGAGATTAGATTGCCTTACCTCACTGATAATGGGTCACAAGCTATCCTCGGTGATACTTCCTCTGGTTATCCTGCCGCTTTATACCCAAATATTACCTATTACAACTCCACAGATCCCGATCCAGCTTATCCGAACCACACCAAAGTCATCGCTAGACCGTTTCCCGATATCCGAATCGACTCAAGTGTGGATGGACTTGTCCTGGGACCATTGGTAGTTAATAGTTCCTACGCACTGCTATCTTTAACCATACCAATGCGCCAAAATGGACGTGATGATTTAATACTTGGGTACATGACCATCGTTGCCGAGGCCACAGCCCTCGTCACTATTGCAAAATCTAGGGAAGGTGTTGGAAGTACTGGCGCTACGTTGATAATCGGACCTTCAACTGGGTGGAATCGCTTCAGCAAGTACAACCTACCAGCGAACGCGAGCCACCCGGCAGCAGCAAATTTCTCGGATGTCCAGGTCAATTTTGTTCTGCCACCACTGCCCATGCCCGGCCAGTCAGATAGACACACACTGCATAACTATGCTTCCGGCAACTACGACGAACCCTTTAACGTTTCCCGGTACGACGCAGCATTTAGGGCTTTCACCATCCGGAACGCTGCTGTGAATAATGCTAGCAGTTTACTATCCACTAGAAATGAACAGGGAGTCTCCGTCTCCGTCGGCTATGCTCGCCCGCAAACCTCATTGGTGAACTGGACGATTATTGTCGAACAGGATAGGGCTGAAGCGAATATCCCGATCGACACCCTTCAACATATTCTCCTCGGGTGTGTTTTTGGAACCGTAGGGCTCATCTTGCTATTGGTGATACCTTGTGCTCATCTAAGCGTCATGCCGATTAGGAGATTGAAATCCGCAACTGAGAAATCCATTGCACCCCCTGGGTACGCTGAATCCTACATAGATGACCTAGATTACGACGAAGACGAGGACCATCCTGGATCGAGCGATGCAAGTCGGAAATCTAACAACGGGAAGCTGATTCGGATGAAGAGGTTCATTCGAAGGCATACGCGAACCAGGGTTTCAGCTTCAGTACACGACAGTGAGCAGAGGAGACGAATTTTCAAGATCCCCAAGAGAGTCAACGACCGAAAACACTACGTAACCGACGAGCTTACGGAGTTGACCCAGACCTTCAATGAGATGAGCGATGAATTACTGAGGCAATACACCTCTTTGGAAGAGAAAGTAGCGCAGAGGACACGCGAGCTGGAAATTAGCAAGAAGGCAGCTGAGGCCGCTAACGAGAGCAAAACGTTGTTCATTGCCAACATATCTCACGAGCTTAAAACCCCTCTGAACGGAATCTTGGGCATGTGTGCTATCTGCATGGAGGAAGATAGCTTGCCCCGGATCAAGCAGTCCTTGAAGGTTCTTTACAAGTCTGGTGATTTGCTATTACACCTTCTCGAAGACTTGCTTAGTTTCTCGAAGAACCAGATTGGTCAACAAGTGAGCCTAGAGGAAAGGGAATTTCGATTCGGAGATATTCGGTCGCAAGTGGTGACCATTTTTGACAAACAAGTGCGTGAAGGTTCGATTGAGTTTTCCGTCGCTTTCTTAAGCACCGACAACGGCACTGTTGAGCTCGAACATGCAGATGTAGACGAAAAGCTTCCGGCAATCGGCCCTCTCGGCACTGGTAGACTGAAAGATATGTGTCTATGGGGTGATCAGCACCGAATCCTACAAGTTCTCATCAACCTCGTGAGCAACAGTTTGAAATTTACGCCAGCCGGAGGAAAGGTAGCTGTCAGGATAAAATGCCTACGCGAGATCGAATCGAACATGGACGAGAGTCGAACCTCCTCATTATCAAAGAGCGGTTCCAATCGCGTAGGTAGAGGTAGGCATAGAATGGGATCAGGTTCGAACAAGTCTAAAACCTCGAATGAAATACCGTCTCCCCCGGCTCATTTCATGGGAGCGGGCACAGCCTTATCCATCAACCCCATGGATCCCAAAGCCATACCTCATATACGCATACGTGAGAGATCACCAACGCCTCCTCCGCCCAGTGCCAAATCATTCTTGTTCGAATTCGAAGTTCAGGATACCGGCCCCGGCATCCCCGAGCATATGCAGCAGCGTGTCTTCGAACCGTTCGTCCAAGGTGACCTCGGTCTTAGCAAGAAGTTTGGTGGGACTGGTTTGGGTCTGAGTATCTGCCAGCAATTGGCGACTCTGATGGGAGGGAGTATCTCGCTAAGGAGCACCGTTGGTGTTGGGACAACCTTCATTATGCAGATTCCTCTCAAGTACACCAAGGACAGGTAAGAGAACCGCTACTTTGAATCCTTCGTACACTATCTAACAGCTCCAACACAGGGCTTCAAGCACTGCCTCCAGCAGCATTAATTCCCGCGCGCCCAGCATTACTAGCTCGCTGGAAGGCGATAACCGCCAAAACTCTCTAACATTGTCACAAGCTACAGCGGAGGCCGAGGCTAAAGCCAGCGTACTTGATCAGCAACCACGCCTTGTTGGTTTAAGACAACCGTTCTTTGCCGCTATCCCTGTTACCAAATCAAATCCAACTCCGGACGACCAGATGAAAACCATAGAGAGGGTCAAGGCCAATAAAGGAGAAGGAAAGCTACGAGTTCTCGTCGCGGAAGATAATCCCACCAACGTCGAAGTTGTTAGTCGGATGTTGAAGTTGGAAGACGTTTACGATGTAACGATCGCAAAAGACGGACAGGAGGCATATGAATTAGTGAAGACGAATATGGAGAACAACCTTCTCTTTGACCTGATTTTCATGGACGTCCAGATGCCTAATCTTGACGGTCTACAGAGCACCCGTCTCATTCGGAAAATGGGATATTCGGCCCCGATTGTCGCTCTCACGGCTTTCTCGGAGGAAAGCAATATTAAAGACTGCATGGAGTCCGGCATGAACGAATTTCTTAGCAAACCTATCCGACGGCCGGCTCTCAAGCAGGTACTCAAGAAATTTGCTACTATTTTGGAAGAACCAGAAACTGCATCGCAACTCACTAGAAAAAGCACTCCTGATAAGGCTGAGCAGGTGGGGGAGGATCAGCCCCAGAATCAGGACACGGATTCCACACCAAGAAATGAAGGCAAGGAACACGGACTTTCGAATGGGACTCATACACAAACATATACGGTGCAATGATTTCCCACTTAAATTCATCATCGTATGAAGCGTTTACCGCCTACCAGTTATGACACACACCGATATTCTACGATATAAACCCCTCAATATTTCTGAGCACATCTGAGTTGGCTGTTATTTAGCATTTGCCTCTTGGCGGGGGGGCCTGATCATCTTAGTCTGGGGACTTTTATTTTCAACCACAATATGGTTTTTGTTGTTTCTTGGCGGCGTTGAATCTGGAAGGGCTTACAAAAAGGAGGGCCTGGGATGGATTGAATTAAAAAGAGTGGGAGTTTGACTTCCCCAAAATCCGAATGGCGAATGCGTTTGGATTGTAGGATTTGAACCTACGGTAACATATTTGCTGTCCCCTTTTCTTAAGCTTCTTCTTTCTTTTTGTTTGGGAAGGGGATAAATATCATGGGAGGCAATCGGGAATCCTCTGGTTCACATATCTGGCGCTGTCATGCGTTTGTAATCCACATCATCTATATGTGGTTTTGGGATTTGGAGAGGCGGGGAATTTAACGTCTTTTGGGGCTCCGCATACAAATTCATAAGGTAAAGGGGTAAACTAGAAATGTCAATGGAGGATAATAAGTTGGCGGAGGAACGAATACGAATCTACTACTGAATACATAATCATTAAGCTGTGATCAATCAGCCGAGCCAACTTGAGCTCAACTATTCGACAGTTACATTTTTTGACACTATATCAAAGCCTGTGAAAATTCTATACTTTGTGTAGATATTTTAATACGCAATGCATATAACTACCTACATATCTCAGATTGATTTGCTTAAATACAAGATACTCCGGGTTCCGCGAGATAGACCGAAATGGTGCGAAATGCCGGCTAAGTTGCCGAACCGAACCGGTTCGAGAACGTCGAGCGGAGGAGCTAACTTGGGTAGTCAGTTACCATACCATAGTAGGTAGTATGCATGAAGATATGTACATCAACGATAGTAGTATGTGCAATGTGTAATAATGTACCTGGGTATAACTAGTTGCCTACTCACTCTCCCCATTACGGTCCGATCTTCGGGATGTGGAGATGACTCTCGCATATGTCGGTACAGTCAGTATGTATGTATGTATGTATAAATCTAACCTAGGGTAGGTAGTTATGTATGTATGGGCATTTTTAACCCCACGACCTCGGTAGTAGTAACTAACTACATAGTAAGCTGTCGACTGAACAATACCTATTTTTATTTTTTTTGGTTCCTTCCATCATCATCATCATCTTCGTCTTGTTCTCATTCGAGTTGTGTAATATACTACCTACTACTACTACTATACACATCATTAAAAAAAAAAAAAATCTCCAGGTTATTTTCCAAAATGCGCATCCCCTACACGCCCAACCCACCCCACGCCTCGACGGAAGCCGAGGCGGCAATCATCGCGCGCATCTCGGCGCGCCGGGCGCCGCGCCCCCTGCAGCCCCTCGACCTGGCCCTGCTGCACGCGCCCGAGGTGGCCGACGGGTGGAACTCGTTCCTCGGCGCCGTGCGCACGCGCACCTCGCTGGGCGCCGCGGCGCGGGAGCTCGCCATCTGCCGCGTCGCGGCCTGCAACGCCGCGTGGTACGAGTGGGCGCACCACGCGCCGCTGGCGGTCGCGGCGGGGGTGAGGGCGGAGGCTGTCGAGGGGCTGGTCAGGCGGAAGGATCTGGTTTTGGCTGGGGAAGGGGAAGGAGAAGGAGAAGAAGGGGGGTGGGAGGAGGCGAGGGGCTTGGGGCTGGGTGAGGTGGAGTGGGCGGTGCTGAGGTACGCGGACGAGATGACGAGGCTGGTGAGGGTCAGTGACGGGGTGTTCGCGGCGCTGAGGAGGGTTTGCAGCGAGAGGGAGGTCGTGGAGGTTACTGCTACTGTGAGTTTTGCCTTTCCCTTTTTTTTTTTTTTTTTTTTTGCCCTTTATATTTGCTGTTTTTTCGGGGGGGGGGGGGGGGGGGGGGGGGGTTAAGAAAGGAAAGGAAAGAAATCCGGTTCCCTATCTTTCGTTTTCGGGGCTTTGTTTAGAGGGACAGGATAGGGTTTATGTTTGGACTTAGCCTACCTACATACTACACTACGTCGCAGTTTAGGAGGACGGATATGAAGGAGGGAAAGAGGAAGACAGTTAAGCCAAAAAGAAAAAAAAAGAGGAACGGAAAGAAAGAAAGGTGGCTGGGCTGGGCTGGGGTTCATGAGTCCATATAAAAATAGGGGTAAACAGGATGTCGTGATGGATGGATATCGAAAGACAAGACACAAGAGAGACGATCATCGAAAACTCACACCGCACCACCAGCCCCTTTCTCGTCTTTATACACACATACACAAAACACAAAACACAAAAACAGACAAGATAACTAACGCAGAGTACCTAGGTCGCTGCTTATAACTGCGTCAGCCGGTTCCTAGTCGCTCTCGATGGTAAGCTTTTCCCCTTCTCATTGTTCCTCTTCTATCACGTCCTTTCATACACTACATCTTCAAAATATATGTGTCAATGAGAATGGAAATCTTCTAACAAGCATCATAGTCGGAGAGAAGAATGATACTGGGCCTGATAGTGCTACTGGTGGTCATTAACCAGCCTACTGGTATAAGAATATGGATCTGTACTACTAGTAGTAGCCGTATTTACTACTAACCTTAGACAGATAGTTAAGACTCAATAAACCTAGAGGCAAGGGACTTCATCCCTCGATACTCATAAACGTAGTAAAATTCAGTCTCGCGACAACTTTCGCATCATAAATACCTAACATATGACTTCCAATATATTGGTCTCATCTCCAACACTTCTTTTCTTGCGTAGAAACCGAAACAGAACTGCAACGCAATTGCTAGCATATCTTAGCTAGATAGACACATCTTGACCTATATACCAGGCCAAGTTTGATTTGATTTCCTTATAACCAGCCCCGAATGCCTCAACCGATACATCCGTCCTACCCAGCCTGTTTCCGTTCCCCTACACCCTATACTAAATCCGATACATACGACAATTCTAGAATTACGAAAGCAAAAAAGGGGGCCTAACGTGGTATAAAAATCTGGCGAAACGAAAAGAAAAGAAAGATATGTGGTAATGATAGTAATAAACATTGGCTTGTCTGGTTCATGGTTCATAGAAAAGAAAAAGAGGAAAAAATAATATGCAGTGGATAAAAAAAGGGGGTATCTTAGTGAAGTGACCAAAACTCCTAATATAAATGGTGTGGAACGATTTGTAATGGAATTATATGGCGTCAATGCTCGTGTCCAGATTCATTAGCATACGGGCTCTTCGCGCGTCGTACGTTTTCATCATGGTGTGCTCGTAAGTCGTTAATCAGATTTTGTCCTCTGGGATGGATTCTATCCCCTCGTGAAATCGCTCATTATCCATCAGCGGCGCAAGCGACAAGGGACTGCCGAGAGGTGACAGTGATGGTGGTGATCGCATAGACATCTCAACGGAAGCATGTCGTCTATGCATCAATGGCGAGTGTTGCAATTCTTGTACTACACCCATCCAGCCCATCCGGTGCGGCGTGGTATCAAAACGAGGGTGGTGATTTCCCGTCGATCTGGGCGGTGCTGATGCTGGCCCTGACAGGGTTGATGGTGTTGCTTGTGATGATGACGTCGCCACTTTCCTAAGCTGTGGTCTTTGTCTGATGCTGTCAGTCAACACCTTGGCGAGAGGCGTCTGAGGTTGGTGGTGATGATGTGCCTTCTCCACTTCCTTCTGCGTCGCTGCCTTCTCGATGTATTTGACACGGTCCCCAACCGAGGACGCAACAATGCCCATGTACACAACCAAAAAGCGGGTGCGCAACATGTCAAGCCGACGTACCCTATCCTCTAGATGTGGCTTGTGGAGTGCCCAAAATACCCGGGGGCCGGGACGCAACGTGGTGGAACCCTCAGCCATCAGGAGACGACTCAACTCCTGGCGCAAATCGTTTCCGCTCTCCTGGATTTCTCGTAGTAACCGCGTCAGTCGTAACTTATCCTCTAACCTCTGCACTTTATCAACGTTGCTGTCGTAGCTCTCATTTTCCTGGATGGAGGAGTCGACGATATCGAGAAAGCTGCTGATCTCGTGAGGCGCGGCTATGTATGCGGCGGTATAGGTGCTTATGACCTGCGTGAGTACGACTAATGACAAGCAAAGGGCGGTGACAGGCAGGATTGGGGACCGGAAGAGGGAGGATGAGGGGTCGGTCATGATTCGAAGGGGGATTTTTGGGCGATTAGAAACCATGAGGGAAGGATTTTTTGCTACAACTTCATGGAAATCATGGTTCGTGTATAAACAAAGGTGAAGAGCGAATTGGGACCAGTTTGAACAGAGTTATGGAGGGTAGCTAATATGGCAATAAAGCATATAGTGACGTTCGTTCTGGCTGTTCTTTCTTTTTTGTGGTTGGCTGAGAGTGATGTTTCGCGCGTGCGGGTGGTGGGAGTAGAGAGGTAGGAGTGGGAGTAAGTGAGAGGAGTCAAGTACTGGGAGTGTGAATAATAAGAAAAAGAAAAAAAAGTGTTGGGGCTAAGTACATAAGTTGTACATGCTATACATAGTACATAGGGATGGTGAAGTATGCACATGTATTACCTTGGGTTAGTAGTATAATGTTGTACATGTGTATGTATTATACATACATAGTAGTGACATTGAAAAGGCTAACCTACCTTCATCTGCGAGCATCCTGCATATCCGGCGAACAAAGGTAGACGCCACGAACCACATGGGTCTGGTATATTGAGCCGAGTGGAGTGACGGACAATGCGGAAAACCGTTCCTGCAGTTGGAGGCCATTCTCGGAAGATCAACATGTCATTTGACTATGTGGCAGGCCCATTGTAGAATGACTGGTTGCAAGCAAACCTTTCATTCAGTGTTCTCCATTAGCGATAGATAAAATGTGCACCCTAAGATGTAGGTGCTACTACAGTCTACGTAACTACCCTAGGTAGTAGGTAGCCCTAGGTATGTATGTAGTATGTAAGTACTTGGCCTGGTAGCTTATAAGAAAAGATGGCCGAGACTAAGGGCTTCGTTTATTGGCGGTATATTCCGTGAGTACCCATGTGGGTAGGGCCCAGAAAGTTGAGATATTTCGATGGGATGCATGTGAAGTTGATGAAGTTGATGAAGTTGTAAGAAAGAAGAAAATCAAAATAAAATTAAACTCTACGGGAACAATCTCCTTATTTTTACGTTCCTGAGCCGGACTTTCCATCTAACAATCTACTATGATATAAGGTTCAACGCTGTTTCCTCCCTTCCTTCACACAAGCCTAAAATCTGAGTTTGCGCCGAGTTAGGCTGGGAGGGGAGCTACGACAGCTTTGCGCGCAAATCAATCGCGGGGCAAGTTCCCATCATATGCAACACTGATTAGATGCGATCACTTAATTGAACGAACCCAAAATTACAGTTCCGCATCTATGCCCAATACAGTGAATTGTACATACCTAAGCCTCTAAAACTTTGATTCTAAAGCTCTCCAGCTTCTTCATCCCCGTCATAATCAATTATTTACATAAAACAGAATCCCGATAAATGTTGTGACAAAATTAATTCAAAAATGGCAGCAGACACCACCCCGCCTTCAGCGCAACAAGAAGAAGAAAACCATGAATTTCCCCTCCCCGCCATCCTGACCTACCCCTCCTCAGCCCCGCCGACCCTCATAACCCAAGGCGCCGAAGCGCGTCTCTACAAGACCACCTACCTGCTGCCCTCCGTCCCCTGCGCCCTCAAGTACCGCCCCCCAAAAGCCTGGCGACACCCGGCCCTCGACGCCCGACTCACGCGGCACCGCATACTGGCCGAGGCGCGCATCCTGACCAAGTGCCGGCGCGAAGGGGTGCCCGTGCCCGCCGTGTACGCCGTGGACGAGAGCGCGGGGTGGCTGATGATGGAGTGGGTGGGCGGGGCGCCGACGCGCGTCGGCATCAACGCGTGGCTGCGGCGGCGGAAGCTCGACGACGAGGCGAAGGGCCACGAGGGCGACGCGGTGCCGGTTACGGGCGATAAAGAGGAAGACCAGGAACTCGTCGCGCTGATGCGCAGGATCGGGAGCGCGGTGGGGCGGATGCACAAGGTCGGCATTGTGCATGGCGATCTGACGACGAGTAATATGATGTTGCGCCCCTGGGAAAAGGGCCAGGAGCCGTCGAATGGCCATGCGCATACGGCGGCGATCGATGGCGATGATGAGGGTTTGTTGTTGGATGGGGATATCGTCATCATCGATTTCGGCTTGGCGGGGCAGAGCACGTCCGACGAGGATCGCGCCGTGGATCTATATGTTTTAGAGAGAGCGTTTGCTAGTACGCACTCACGCGCAGAAGGTCTGTTCACGGCTGTATTGGAGGGCGCATACAAAGAGGCCTTCAAGCAAGCCCCTATAGTACTAAAGAAGCTTGAGGAGGTTAGGATGCGAGGGCGCAAGAGAAGCATGATAGGATAAGTCATAAAATTGTTTAACGAGTGTGAACCCAAGCGAGAACCCCGTAAGTAGGTAAATGATTGCCACGCAGTCTATCTTCGCGCAGTCATGTATTCGTCATCTAATGCAAAAAACACTGCCCAACCCTCAATGCTATGTATAACTACCCAGAATATGCAATAAGACTCCAGGACTTATTCAAGTCTGATTCAATCTTCGTCTAACAACTCTGCGCTCGCAAAGTAACCCTTATTCTCAATCACACCCCGATTCTTAACAAAAGCCGTATACTTGACAACCCACTCCGGGAAGATTTCTCCCTTGAGGCCGTCGCTATTATTCTCATGATCCGCGAGCACTCCGGCGCCCTGCGGACCTTGACCAAGTAGTTCCCGTAAAGTGCCGCTAGGCAATACATCTGGCGAATCGTGATGGGTGAATAGCTCGATGCGCTTTTCCTTGGCGAGCTTCGCCAATGGTGGAGGGACATTGCAGCAGTTCTTGATATTGATCTGATCGACGGCAGGCCGAATGTTGACCTGGTCTAAAAACCGTCTTAGCTTCTCGGTGCCAAATTCGGCGATGCCGAGTTTCTGGATCAGACCCTGCTGATGTAGGGTTTCCAGCAGCCCCCACGTAGCAATCTCTTCCTCTTCATTGCCCATGGTCGCATTTTTCTTATCGGCTTCCCATTCGCAGTCGCCCTCAAACGATATGCCGGGAAAAGAGACTATGAGAAGATCAACGTCGTCCACACCTAATTCCTTCGCGACTAATCGCAATGCTTCTCTGATATAGTCTAAGCGCTTTTCTGGCGACGCCGTCGGTAGAAAGAATAGTTTGACAGTTATCTCATATTGTGCACGATCCTCTTGTAGACCGGCAGATAACCAGTCGATGCGCGGCACATATAGAGTAGAGTCATCTTTCTCTGTCCAGACTTCGGGGGCAGGTCGATTACTTTGGCCATTCTCTTTAGTGTGGCCATTTCCGTTTTGGAGTACGCCGGCATAGTCCTGCTGTGCGGCTAAGAAGTTGTTTCGGAGAGAATTTGTGAATTCGAGATTGGAACGAGAAGCACCTGGTTTTCGGATGATAGAGGGGCCATCCAAGACAATGTTGCCGGTGGAAAGGATTATGCGCGTCATGGTATATGTCTAGGTGGGTAGGTAAGTATGTGGTATGTATGAGAGGATATAATGAGATGAAGAATCGATTAGAAACCCAGGTCTAAATAAAAAGAGGAGAGATGTAGTATGCTAATGCGTAGGTATGTAAATGTCTACCGTACTAAAGAAGAAGAGAAGGAAGAGGAAGAGAAGAATGGTGAGGATGATGGTTGATTATGGTAGATATAAGTATTACCAATCGCATGGCATGTGAATGGGTGGGCAGAAAATCTGAAGCTTTATAAATCGATGTGGGGTTAGTCTGATATATACCTGAGTAGTAGTGAGTCCTATGTATTTATGTACTAGGTATTGTTCCCAAACAATTGAACCTCAAGGCTAATGTTTAGAGTTCAATATTCAAGTTGTTAGCTAATTAATGTTACGCCAGGAAACAAACTCTGCTTCACTTTAGGTTAGATGGCTTGAGTCTTTTATGTTTATACATATACCTGCATGTAACAAGGTTACAGGCTACCTAGTAGTATGTAGGTAGAGATCAAATACTCCTACAAGCCTATACGTGATCCTATATTTGTAAGAAATGCATACTCCAAATCGTAAGAACGTTAAATAATCAATACTCTGGGTTACATAGCCAACAGCTACAACCTAATCAAACCTTTATTGGTAATATGGTACGAGTAAGAGTACCTACCTATAGTTGGTATAGGTGAAGGCCGACTCCGGCTCTAAAGGAAAACCATAGACTGAGACAGGATATAAATCGGGATCTATCGCTAATAGACGAGACTACCTAGGTTAGTATGTACTTACTACTAGACTTTGCATAGCGGCAGTTTATGATTTTCTCGCCTGAGCATCAACGATGCATTCATGATATCTTAATGTACATATCGTACCTAGTTGCCCAGGTGACATCTCCAAAATCTATGTTGGTTACATATGAATATAATATCTGCAGGTTGAGTTGGGGTGATTTAACAGCCGTGGGGGTAAAGGGGGGTGATGACAGACCGACAGGCACTTGGCAACAGTTGGCAGAACAATTAGCGTGCAGGGTAGGTACAGTTATACACTTGTAGGCTGCAGCTCGTGCCCAACCCCACTATGAGTAACTGCTACTAGTGTAGTAACTAGTAAGCAAATGACCTACTCTTCAAAATTCAATGCCTTTCAGGGTTTGATATTCTATACCAATTCTATGTCAACTCCAACCGCCATACAAATATCAACACTCAACATATGCGAAACAATCATTGATCAGGTCTAATTACACAACCTATACCTTCCTCATCGAGTAGTAGAAAAGTGATGTGAAAAGCGTCAAAATGGCCATCAAGTATTCCATCTATTATCTTGCTATTCATTTCGAAATAGGACTAATATAAGGTCTATAACAGCTACTTGATCCTGCTCTCCCGGCAGGGCAAGGTGGTATGTTATATACTTTTCTTTTTATGTCTCCTTAAAGTCTTGATCTAATAGTTCTTTTTAGCGTTTAGCAAAGTGGTTCACCACCTTGTCTCCTAAGGACAAGGCGAAGATTGTCAAGGACGTCTCTCAACTAGTCCTCGCTAGACGAACTCGCATGTGCAATTTTCTCGAATACAAAGGTTCGCCTCCCATCGAAACCAACTCTCCATGTCAACTGAGATTGCTCACCCATCGAACCAGATACTAAAATCGTATACCGCCGTTATGCCTCCCTTTTTTTCATCGCCGGCTGCTCCTCCGATGACAATGAATTGATCACGCTCGAGATCATTCACCGCTACGTTGAACAAATGGATAAATACTACGGCAATGTTTGCGAGCTCGACATCATTTTCTCCTTTACTAAAGCATACTACATTCTGGACGAGATATTATTAGCAGGAGAGCTTCAGGAAAGCAGCAAGAAGAACGTCCTCCGTTGTATAGGACAACAAGACTCCTTGGAAGATATGGAGGTGAGTCTCCCTCTAGGCTTTTCCTGACAATTCCTAGTTTGGTCTCGAGTCTCTTCTCCAACTCCCCATCGCAAACACTACAGCGCATTCCTTTGGCGATCCTCAGACCACTGACAATACTTTTTTAACGTTCAGGTTGAGGACGAGGTTACGAGGATCATGTAATAAGTTACAATGTATTGTTTTCTCAGCGGGTATACAATCCACAAGAATGATTTTCGCAGTGCGCGGCGTAACAAGATATAGAGGACAACATTGCAAAGGACATTGGGCTTGCAAGGATTGATTCTTATATTTAAACCTATTCACAGGTCGACGAGAGACATATCGAGAACGCTCTGAAAGATGCCGGTTTTCTGTGATTCGAATTACCCATCATCGATTACAGCAGAGAGCATATTACCTAATACATTCAACTTGAACGTACACATATAGCATTTGCTTGAGTGATACAGGCCCCTGCACATAGTGCCATCCATCAACCAGTCGGCAATTTGCAGGACCCATTCCCGATACATGATGTCACGCCTTCATTAGCCGATTCGAGGAAACGATGAGCAAACAATGGGACATTAACCTACTGGAACGTCAATTGAGAGTTGATTATTAAGGAGATATTCAATGTTATCTTACGAGTATGGATCTTCCTGTAAGTATACATTTAAGGCACTTATGGATTAGGTATGTTTTTTTGAACTGTTGAAAAGGTGTCATGGATACTCGTGGCATGCTGATGTTATCTTATTCGTTGAACGTTTTACTTTTGGTTGGCCATTGCCTTTTACTTTAATGTTTATCAACCATTCGATAGGCCCACGGTATTGTACCTGCCTAACCTAGGTCTTATGCAGTTATGGTGGGAAGCTACCTAGCATTAACGTTAGTATCAACTCCCCTACGTACTTGGTACATATGTACATACCCTAGGTAGAGGGCAGGTATCGAACCACCCCTCCAAGACGGATAATCCCCTTGCGACTGCCCCCAGGTCTTAGTCCTTAGGTTAGTCCTTGGATCTTGCACACTGCACAGGTTTCCCTTTGTCAGCCATGCCTACCTCCATGGATGTCAGCCAACGCTTCAAACACCTGATCCAGGCAGATCCATTCGGTACATATGTACATAATAGCAGTGCTCTACCCGAGCCAGCTTGAACATGGCAACTTGAACTTGCACCTACAACTTGGAACTTCCCCATGTCCCATGTCTTCAATTCCGATCTCACCAAACAACGTCACCCATTACCCAGGCATGAATTCCGATTATTAGGCAAATTCGTATTATCTCCTACTGTTCCTGCACATATACATACCTACACCTAGGTACACCAACCAAACGAATCAACAGCTGGTTGATTCTATCCTTTATTCTATTCGGTACAACCTGACGTATCAGCGATTGTGAGGTACACCGTTATCTTGTCACAGTGACGCTGTGCGTACTTCCTCAGGACAACACCTTCTCCCATACCTTCTTGTTCTGTACTTCACAACATTGAACGTTATAATTCTAAGCCAAGTGCTTGCTCTTTACCTGGTTCTTGGTCGATTTCAACCATTCAGACGATTCGTCATAGTTATAATCACACTTTACTCTCTACCTCATACCGATTCCAGCTTCGTTTCACCTGACAACCGACATCCCAACTCATCCGGACCGAACCATTACGCCATCGTGGTATACATGTTCTTTCCTTTCGGACCAGTGCGAAAGTGCCATCGATGCAAAGATGAAGGTTTGTACCCCTATTGTATGGTCGCAAATCGTTATTGGAGACGAGTGCGATTGTTATCGCAGTCCTGTATTGAACGCTTTACTTCTAGTTCCTCCCCCTTCGCGACTTCGACGTCATCACCTCAACGCTGAACTTCAGTACTGCTGAGTGCCGCGTTAAGGGCGGATGCGATCTTTATACTACCAAGGCCGCTGGCTCGGATAAAAAGCTATACAAGTCTATTGAGAGTTCTCTTGAGGCCCAACATGCCTCGCTCATCAAGTTCGGCGCGTCGCTGTCGCCGCCACAACGTAAGGAGATGGCTGCGTCACTGAACTTGTCGCGCTCGAGTCCCTTTGGTTCCCTGAACGAAATCTCCAGCCGTCGCACATTCGCCTACCTAATCGCGACCCTCAATGCGAGCCATCCTGACTACGATTTCTCGCATGTATTACGTCCTACGGACTTCCGTCGCGAGCGCGACTTGCGCATTGTCATGGCCAATCTAGACAACACATTGAATAGTGTGCGTCCCCTGGGTACTTCACTTTTATCGCCAAATGCGAATTCGTCATTCCGCTCCTACAGCAGCTCCCCTGCAGCTCATGCCGCCGCGGGTAGCGATGCGATTAGTAGTCCAGCTTGGGGCCCTTATGTATGGACTATGATTGATAAGGAGATGATTTTGAAGGACTGCATGGTATTCTCGTACGATCCTGTGGAAGATCCCTTTGACGGTGATGAGGCTGCGATATGGCGCATCCATTACTTCTTCTTCAACAAGGACAAGAAGCGTGTCGCCTATCTATACGTTCGAGGCCTACCCATCCTCGTCAACTCTCCCGCGCTTGCACCTCACAGACGTGGTAGCGCCGGTTTATCGAAGCGCTACGCAACACCCTTACCTGGTAGCTTCGGCGCGAATAAACGCGCCAAATACTGGCTAGGAGATCAACTTGCGAACCAAGTAATCGATGATGGCGACGAGGACAATGATGATTATGACGATGATATGGTTATGTGTGATTTTGATGAGGATGTCGAGATTGACCCACTGAATGATCCCTCGAGTGATGAAGAGGAGAGTGACCAATATGAGGAAGAGAGTGAGGAGAGTGAAGTGGAAGATGTCGCACATTCCGTTAGAGGCGTGAGTGAAGATATTGCTGCAAGGATGGAGATGTGATTTTTTTTCTCGAGGCCACTGCCGTCAGCTCGCCGTCCCTCCCTTCTTCTTCCCTTTCCCTGTTCTTTTGGCGTTCAAGGAAGAGAGGAAAACCGGAGTGACAGGACTCAGGGGTTACGGGTATGTGTTGGCATATGAAGAAATGGAGCCAACTCTCGCATCTTGGTGGGTCTAGGTTCATGACGGTCTTCAACGACACACGATGTGAAATGGATATCAATTCTCGGCGTTCAGGGTACAATGTGCGGCTGGAGGGCGTGGTTCAACGCTCAATACCCCACGTTGATTTACTTGCTTTAATTTTCTTTTTGTCTTTTCTTTCTTTGGCTGTACGCCTTATTCCTTTCCTCTAATGTTATTCTCGCATGGTTACTGTTAGGAGTAGGATGGTTTGAGTAGTCTACTTGGTACATAGCTACCTGGGTTAGCTTGTCTTCAAGGTTGTCTAGGTGTACAACTCATTTCATGTTCACTGTATGGGAATTGGTTGAATAAGTGCCTACGCACTATGAAGCATTGAGGAGATAGGTAATATGAATAGGCATAATGTTTCATGAACAATACTAGTACTCAGTCTCATTCGCTTTCAGAATTGCTTATTTGCTCCTACTTGGGCGCACTCATCACATATCATACGCATCACATATGACCTGTAAGTTACCTAGGGTATGTTTGCCAAATTCATCGTGCTTGCCTAGGGTAGGACACCATCATCATCATCACCCTATCACTTCCCGTCTCGTTCACCTTCACATAGCCGCTAGGTACCTTCCATAACAGTAACTTCAGTTCAGGTGGTAGCTTCATCAAAGTTCACAAAGTTCGCTCAAGTTTTGAGGTACCAGGTACTAGGCACTGGTAGGTATATAAACTGACCCAGTATCTCTCTATATTCCTTGACTTCTAAACCTACCTACTTCCATCCCATCGCCTTTCTCAACAACAGCACCAAGACAGACATCGACCCCACGTCAAGAACATCATCATCAACCTAGCCCAGACAACACGACGGGCCGAGATCTCGTTATAGCTATAGCTACCTACAAACCTTCTCAATCACATTTCCCACCCAACCCGCTCGAACTTCCCCTTCTTGGTATTCACGTCATATTCCTCTTCTTTTTTTTCTTTCTAACAAGAGAAGAAAAAAAAATGAGCCCGACCTCTTCGTCGTCGTCCGGCAAGGACAAGGACAGTAACCCGTAAGGCTCTCTTGATACCTTTCATTCTTTTTTTTTTCTTAATTCTCTGCGGTCTTAGGGGTTAGGAGTTAGGAGTTGTGTTGAGCATCTGACTGACCCGGATCACAAGACCTACTGGCACTGGTACTGGTGGTGGTGGTGGTGGCGGCTGCTGCGGCGGAGCCCATGGAACTGCTGGTTGCTCATCTGGCACGTCGGCGCCGGGAGCAGGTGGTGCTAAGGGTGGCAAAGGCGGGAAAGGCGGCAAAGAGGGCGCCTGCTGTGGAGACAGATGTTGTTGTGGCGGCAAGAGGCGATGAGGTCTTGCCTTGCTGCCAGCCCAGCAGGACAAGATGAGAATGTTTTGGTATGGCCCGGGGAGGAATGGGTTTTAGGTATGGATCGATCGGCCTGGGGGTGGCGTTGAGGGGACTGAGATATGAACGTGTCGTCATGGTATGTGTTGTTGGACGTGGGGATGGCGGATAATGGTATGGTTAATGCCTAGGTAGGCGGGCGGGCGCTGTCGATGCGAGTCTTTCCCTCCTGCGGCCTACTGATGTCGACATTTTGGCATGCGGAGTGTAGTTAGAGACCGACCACCATTCATGTCTTTGTAAGGTTGGGAGGTTCGTGGCTGTTGAAGAGAACCATACTTGAGGCGCTGGAAAACCCCCTGATGTAGTCTTGCTGCACTTGATGGTCGCGGTTGATGAGGATGGCTGTGGAGGGGGGTTTATATACTATGAACACTCTATGATTCCTTTATGCTTTTCTGGCAAGTGTGTTGTTTGACTTCAAAGTTGGCAACTTGGTGATGAGGCAATAATATTGTCTCTGAAGTGTCTGGCGCTGCTTAGGTATTCGTGCTACTATGCCTACATGTCAAACATGCACAGCTTGTTTCCATATCCATGCGTGTGGGAAAATTCCCACCTGAGCGATCTTTGTTGTTCGTGGCTAGGTGCCGGTGTGTTACTTAGACGACGTGTGCACCTTGTTGACTCATAGGTGATCCGATCTCGATTTTGTTTTAAATCCGGTCCTAGTTGGTGTTCTTGTTGGTGTTGAACCTGCGATCGTACGTGAGATGTGACGCTCTGGTTGTCATAGCTATGAAGTGTACCTATATATACTCATGTTGCACACTTATTATCAACTACGGTGCGCAATGGAAATCACAGAGTGAGAGGTATAGAAACCTGTCACATAACATCACTCCCATCTCAGCCCCATCTCATCCTCCTAACTAGTCCTTGTCGTCCTACCTACAGGCCTCGCAAACAGATACGTATATAATGCATCCTCTCTTCCAACATGTCCGTCGTTCTGATCTACGGCTTTCGAAACAACTTGAACTAATCAGCCAGCCAATCAACCAACTAGTCAACCCAAGAATACCGACGAGGGACACTTTCCAGTTGGTGTATAAAGCCGCGTAAACAGATCGCCATATAAGTTTGTGGTGGGAAACTTGCAAGTTTCTTTGAGAGCTTTGCAGACAGGGCAGTCTCGTTTGTCTGTATCGAAACTGCTTGGTTACTCGTCTAGGTGTAGACCACAACCATAACCACCTAGTACCTAAGGCAAGGAGCTAAATAAGAGCAAGATACTTGAATATACCTTAGGTATATATAGAAAGGAAGACACAGAGAACACGGATCCCCAAAAGGTGCCCATCCCGATCGGAATAATGGCTTTCACGTCCGTGTCCTTATATTCAGGCTCGTCTGACGAAAAGAAAGAAGATAACTCTTCTTCTTCGGGAGAAACACAGTCTGGTTCGGATACCTCTTCAGATGGCAGCACCAACGGTGATTGTAATGGGGATGGCGTTATTGAGGATGTCCCGGACGATGGATTTGAACTCCCGCCGTCAATTGAAGACGAGGAGAGTAATGGACAGTGAGGGATGCTGAGAATAATGAAATAGATGAAGGTGGAAAGGGGAATAGGGGCATAGAGGGAGAGGGGGCGGGAGAGGGGGGACATGGGCTTTTATACGAGACTGGATAGTAGCCTACCTACCTACCTTCCCTTTATATCATCAAAGCACACAAGAGCGTTTGTCAAAATAGTCGACGTGATACTCAAGTTGTGATTTATATGTACGTGAAGTTTAAACATGAAGATTACATATGTTGTATATCGCATAAGTACCTAACCGGATCTTTGACGTTGGATGAAGACGATAAGGTCGGAATATCAACGGGCCAATCCGAAGTGTTCAAGCATTTGTCCTGAACTTGTATTTGTTTGGTACAAGTTCTTTTGATAATATTTGAACTTAAAAAACTTTTACCTTTTATGTACCTCTCACCTTTCACCTTCTACTCCCGAGTCCCCATACCCCAGTCCCCCCTTAACTTCGTTCTTTCCTCTTCAATGTTCATTGTTGCAACAAATAGTGGCCCCACTATTCTCCGCAACTTAAGAGGCTTACATAATAGCAACGGAAACCCATTAAAACCGCGTCGCGCATTATTTAGTGGAGCTGCCGCCCAAGCTCGCGTCACCCAGAAACCTTACATGGGTAGTTCATTTCTCTAGGCTGTCTAGGCTGTCTAGGGCAAAAAAAAGATAGATGCAGCCTTTTACCTTCCTTCATTCATATACTCCAACAACCCTCATTCATTCATTTATTTCTCTTTTTCTTTTTCACCTCACACTCTCCTCCCCCCATCAATCGTTGCTGCTTTTCCATCTGCCATCTTTTCACCACCGACTTTCGAGTCAACTTTAAAAGATGGCAGAAATCAAGATTGATGGAAAGCTCTTCCAGGAGCGCATTAATCATTTTGTCAATGCCTGGAAGGCTGATAAACGCGCCGGAGATGCTGTCTTCGGTGGCGTATCTTCCATTCTCATCACAATGGGTAAGGTCGAGGAGAACCCCGAGTTCCAGAAGAACAACGCTATGCACGTATGTATTCCTCATTATCCTTTGTGCGCCACTAATTATCGCGATGATCATTCTTTTGGTTTGTTTTCAATGGAGAATGAATGTTAGTTAACTTGTTTTTGTTTTTAGTTCTGGCTGCTTGGCTACGAGTTCCCGACCACCTTAATGCTTATCACAACCGATTGCCTCTACTTCGTTGCGACATCCAAGAAAGGTACCGACTCCTTTACAATTTATTCAATTTGTCCTTCTCGATGGGCGGTTAACCGACTGACAATTATATAGCTAAACACTTGGAGCCCTTAAAAGGAGGAAGATTCCCGATCGAGGTTCTAGTTAGAGGCAAGGATGCTGCTGCAAATGAGAAGCAGCTCATCAAGCTATCCGATACTATCAAATCTGCAGGCGTGAGTTCTGTCCATTTCGCCCCTATAGTTTTTTCAAGTAACCTAACCCCATGCCAGGGTAAGATTGGCGTTATCAGCAAGGATAAGTCCAGCGGCCCCTTTGTCGAGGAATGGAAGAAGGTTTACCGCGAGAAGTGCAAGGATGTTGAGGAAGTCGACATGTCCACCGCCTTATCGACCGCCGCATTTTCCGTCAAAGACGAAACCGAGTTGCGAGCTATGCGCGCGTCGTCCAAAGCCTGCGTTGCGCTGATGACACCATTTTTCCTAGACCAAATGTCTGATGTCCTCGACCAGGAGAAGAAGGTGAAGCACAGTGCGCTTGCCAACAAAGTCGACTCGAAGCTTGACGACAAGAAATGGTGGAAGACAGTCGAACTGCCGAACAAACAGAAATTGCCATCAGATTTCGATCCCGAATCCCTAGACTGGTATCTAGGTCCCGCTGTCCAAAGTGGCGGTAAGTACGATCTCAAGCTTCAAGCAGAACCGACCGGCGACAATCTCCACCCAGGTGTTATTATTGCTGGCATGGGTCTTCGATATAAGTCATATTGTTCTTCCATTGCGCGAACGTACCTGGTCGACCCGAACAAAACCCAAGAAAGTGCCTACAAATTCCTCTATGCGGTTCATAACCTGGTCTTGAAAGAAATACGAGACGGTGTCATGGCGAAAGATGTGTACGCCAAGGCTCTTAGCTATATCAAGTCTAGGAAGCCCGAGTTAGAGAAGCATTTTCTCAAGAATGTTGGAGTGGGTGTTGGTCTCGAGAGCAAGGACCCAACCCTCATTCTGAATGGCAAGAATACGCGAACTCTCAAGGACGGCATGACTCTGTGCATAACAACCGGGTTTACAGATATTGAGAACCCTTCGCCAAAGGACAAGCTCAGCAAGACCTATTCCCTAGTTCTGACTGATACAATCCGTGTCACCAACAGCGATCCGGTTGTCTTCACAGGTGATGCACCTACTGACCTTGATGCGACATCATTCTTTTTCAAGGATGATGAGGAGATACAACCGACGCCTAAGAAGGAGAAGAAGGATTCCCGTGTTGGTGCCGTCGCAACCAAGAATATTACTAGCACCCGCCTTCGATCGGAACGTACTGCTCAAGTGGACGAAGATCAGGAGAAAAGGCGTCGAGAGCATCAAAAGGAACTGGCGACTAAAAAACAGAAGGAAGGTTTGGCCCGATTTGCCGAATCAACGACTGGCCAGGACGGTGCTGAGATCAAGAAATTCAAGAAGTTTGAGTCGTATAAAAGGGACAACCAAATGCCTCTTAAGTCGAAGAATTTGGAAATATTGGTCGACCAAAAGAATCATACTATTCTACTTCCAGTCATGGGTCGCCCGGTTCCTTTCCACATCCATACCATCAAGAATGCTAGCAAGAACGACGAAGGAGAGTGGTCCTTCCTCCGGATTAATTTCCTTTCTCCTGGTCAGGGAGTAGGCAGAAAGGATGACCAGCCGTTTGAGGACGCTTCAGCTCAGTTTGTTAGAAGCTTGACGTTCCGTTCTCGTGATGGCGATCGATACGAAGAGATTGCGTCGCAGATTTCGGGCATGAAGAGGGAGGCCACGAAGAAGGAGCAAGAGAAGAAGGATATGGAGGATGTTGTTGAGCAAGAAAAGCTCGTCGAAATCAGAAGTAGGCCGATACACCCCTACCTGCTACCTAGGATTCATACTGACCAGTGCATTAGATCGGCGTCCTCCTGTCATGGATAATGTGTTCATTCGCCCAGCCATGGAAGGCAAACGCGTCCCCGGCAAGGTCGAGATTCACCAGAATGGTATTCGATATCAGTCGCCGCTTAACACTCAGCAAAGAGTAGACGTACTATTCTCTAATATCCGCCACCTATTCTTCCAGCCTTGCGCCCATGAGCTCATTGTGATCATCCATCTACATCTCAAGGACCCTATTATCATAGGGAACAAGAAGAAGACGAAGGATGTCCAATTCTATAGAGAGGCAACAGACATCCAGTTCGACGAGACCGGCAACCGAAAGAGGAAGTATAGGCACGGCGATGAGGACGAGTTTGAGCAAGAACAAGAAGACCGCCGACACAGAGCGGAGCTGGATCGTCAATTCAAGAGCTTCGCGGACAAGATTGCCGAGGCAGGAAAGAATGAGGGCGTCGAAGTTGATATGCCACTTAGAGAGTTGGGTTTCAATGGTGTCCCATTCCGAAGCAATGTCGTGATCCAGCCCACGACAGATTGTCTCATCCAGATCACCGAACCACCATTTATGGTAATTACGCTGGATGATATCGAGATTGCGCATCTGGAACGTGTGCAGTTTGGCCTCAAGAACTTCGATCTTGTGTTTGTGTTCAAAGATTTCACTCGAGCACCGGCCCACATCAACACAATTCCTATGGAGTCTTTGGAAGATGTGAAGGAATGGTTAGACTCGAGTGACATCGCCTTCACCGAGGGTCCTCTCAATCTTAACTGGCCTACGATCATGAAAACGGTCACTGCAGACACTCACCAGTTCTTCGTCGATGGAGGTTGGTCGTTCTTACAGAGCGAAAGTGACGACGAGGATGAGCAAGAGGAGGAAGAGGAGTCGAACTTCGAAATCGATGATTCCGAGCTTCAGGAAGAGAGCGAGTCCAGCGAGGATGATTCGGATTTCGATAGCAACGCTTCTGATGAGGCTAGCGAGGAGGCCTCGGATGATGACGATGATGAAGAGGGTGAAGACTGGGATGAGCTAGAGAAGAAGGCGAAGCGAAAGGATCGCGAGAACGGCGCGGACGAAGATGAAGATCGTAGCCGTAGCAAGAAGCGACGTCACTAGACTCGTTCACGGAATCAGGCCTTCAATTCCCTTTGATCGACTAGGTTTGCCAGTTATAATTGTACTCGGCAAGGGATTCGTTTGGAGTTGAGGTTGTATTACGACTTGCCTTAGCCCTTTTTATGCAGCAACAGTGGCCCTGAGCTATTAATAGCAGATTTACTAAACTCAGAGCCCGATGCTTGGGAAACGAGGCATACGAATAGCTAGTAGGCGAGTATACGTTATGTTTTTCCTTGGACACGGTGAATAGCTCGGACGGCGTATTCGTGGGCCGTCAAATGTAATAAAATGAACTTGTGAGGAGATTATACCTAATTTTGATGTTGGTGACTAATACGATTATGTGTATGTGCTTATTCTCACAAGTGATGCAGCATTTGGGACGTTTGGTCGTGTCTTGACGTTTGTAATAAGGGGAGGACTACGTAATAGGTAGGACAACTAAGCATGGATGGTAACGAGCTTGCCATATCGACCGTTTAACATGGCACGACAGTGTACCCAATTCGATGAGTTCAAGCTACCTGACATCTAATCTATAGTGTCACCTCCCCCACCACCTTCCCCCCTATCTCTCCTTACTAAATCCCTTAGAGGCCGCCAAACCCCGCCCCCCCCCCCTCCCCCCTGCCTTCCCCTCATCCCTGCCAAACCGCCGGACCCGGCGCAGTATAAGTAGTAGGCACGGGGTAATACGACCAGATCAAGCCCGGGTCATTCGGGGAATAAGCCCCCGGGAACGCGACAAGAGGCCCCGGGGTACCGTTTCCGCCACCGGTCACCTCGACCTGCGCGCACGAGAGGTACATCTGCGCGCCGCCCGCGGCCTGCGCCTGGTGCAGGGCGATGGACTCGACGCGCACGAGGTACTTGCCGCTGGGGACGGCGGCGGGGATCGTCACCTCGACGATTTTCTTGTCTGGTGGAGCGGCAGGTGATGGGTGGTTAGTTGTCTGTCTGTCTGTCTGTCTGTCTGTCTGGTCAAGCAGGTGGATAGATGAGAGGGGGGGGGGGGGGGGGGGGGATAAGTTAACGGGGAAAGGGGAAAGGGGGAAGGGGTCAAACGCAACTATAAGCGGGCCAAGTCGCCTCGGTAGACCCCAGGGGCGGCACGGCGGAGATGCTCCCGACCTTGAACCAGACGTCGCCGGCGGGCTCCCAGGTGTTGATGTCGGCGCCGTCGGGGACCCGCGCCATGTAGAACTGGACGGGCCCGAAGTGCGTCACGGCCGCGTTGGCGGCGAAGCCGAGCACGGAGCCGGCGGCGACGGTGGCCGTGGCTTTGCCCGGCGAGGCCTGGTAGCACCGCATGTCGGCGCTCGACACGCTGGTTACCCCGCCGTTGCTCTGGTAGTTCTTGGTCATGCGGATGGAGGTCCATTCGCTCGCTTCTTGGACGCCGTTTATTACGAGCTTGGAGAAGCGGTCTAGATGGGTAAGCAAGGATTGGAGGTGGGATGGGGTAGGGGTAAGGGGGGGGACGCACAGTGCGCTTGGACGGCGCTTGCGAGCGCTAGGAGGGTGAGGAGCTGCATCTTTTTGCTGTTGTGAACGATGTTTACTGGTCGCTTAGTGTTGTTTATTTGATAGTTGGACAGCCCGGTGGGAGTAGATATACGCACGGTTGGAACGGAAAGGGTAAGAAGGAAAAAAAACAGGCAGACGGACAGACGGGGAAGGGGGAGGTAAAGAACACGCTGATATACGCACAGCGCAAGCCGCAAGAAATGTCAAATACCGGGGCCTAGGGTTCGCCGCCAAGAACGAAAGTCACTATCACCAGGTCCCAACCCAATAGCCGCGTTCTCGTCTGTCTACCTGTCTGTCTGTCTGTCTGTCTGCATTACCCCAGATATTGGGACCAACCAACCCCCGTACCTACCTACGTTAGCGCTTGACAAATGCTGACTGGCTGTGGGTGTTGGCTTAATTTGAGTTGAGGAAATATCGTGGGTAAACAGTTCCGGCTGTAGGAAAACGAGGATACTTGGCCAATAGGGTTTTGCTTGCTTGTGATATTAACCGGAGAGGAATGGAGGGAGGGAAGTAGGTACCTACCTATTAATAATGCTCTTCGGTTCGAGCTTTTCTGGGACGAGAGGGAGTCCAAGGTGCTGGTATTCGGCTCTAGTGAAACGTTCGTGGTGAAGCTGTACTGTACTGTATTATCATCCTAGACACCCGTTTGTCCGACCTAAGAGGTCTCGGTTACCTCCCTTTTACCTAGGGGCCTAGACATATAAAGCGTATAGTTACGTACAGTGTAATTCAGCCCTCCACCTACCGAGGCGTCCTTTAATAATCTCAAATAGAAACATGCGATGTAGTTCTTTAAAGATGCTTTAACACCATTACCCCTATCCCTTTCCCATCACTATATAGTATACACATATCATCTCTAGGTAGCATCCATCTAACGCATCTAACTGTGACATGAACCCCATTGCCTTGATATATATACCGGGTACTCGCTTGCCTACCTACCTATGTACCTACCTATGTAAACAACCATCAGTTTCATTCACACCTTAGCATGAATCTTGCTCAAGAATTCCGCCTCGTCATCTTCGAACGGCTTGGCCCCTAGCTTACGCCAAGCTTGCGCCGACATAAGAGCGAGCTCCTTCTCTTTCCTCGGGAACAGTAGTTCGGTATTACCGTCGCCAACGTTGGAGACTGATTTATCCTACAGGAGCTTTAATGTTAGCCATGTTTTCTGCAAATAGGGGAATATATTGCATGTAGGTAGGTAGAAGAGTGTGTTTCGTACCAGTCCCAACGTGAGTTTTATCACGCCGTCAAGCCAGTGCGGCTCGTACCTCTCCGTAGGCTTCTTGCCCTCTGAGGCGGAAAGAATGTTATGCGCAACGATCATCGCCTGACGCATCGCAGACCGTGAATTCGGGTGTGCCGTGTTGGTCTCCGAGACGTCGCCACAGGCATACACATTCGGCAGAGACTCGTCCTGAATTTGCAGGGTGGGTTTCGTTAGGATGTGGTCCGAGTCCGATATAGCAGCCGGGCTGAGTTGTGCAATAAGCTTTGAGTCCGGTCTCTGGCCAGTGCAGTTTACCTTGGGGACGATCGTTGTCAATACCTAATCGAAGAAGCGAACAGGAATGAGGGGGGGAAGGGCGACAAACCAAATAATCGCATACGATCTCCTTCCCGCTCTTGAGCACCACAACCCCTTCCTCTTGCTTTTCCTCGACCACCCTATCACCCGTGATGAGCTCGATACCCAGCTCCTTGATTCCATCTAACGCCGCGCTTTGCAGCCTAGGCCCGAAACGGTGCATCACCGAGTCCCGCGAGTGCACCAAGACGACCCTCTTCTCCGGGTACTTGGACTTCGCATCCGTCGCCAGCTCGACGCCGGCAGCCCCCCCACCAACCACAACAAGGTCATTGGCGTCCCGTATTCGCGTCTGCATCGCCCGCAGTAGTTCTACGCCTTGCTCCATGTCATCGGCGGGGACGCGGCTCGGCAGGGAGTCCGTAGCGCCGGACCCCGTCGCCACGACCAGGAACGCGTAAGGGATTTCCTCGTCGGTGCCCTCCACACGCACACTGTCGCGCGAGATGGCCGCGACGCGATCTTTGATCCATGCTACCTTTCCGCCATCGGCCTCGAAGGCGCCTGCGGGAAGGTGCCCGCCGTAGGGGATGAAAGCCTTGTGCTCATGGCCGCCAACGACGCAGAAGCGGGGCAGCACCCACGTAAAATGCAGGTGGTCGTGGGGCTCGATGACGACGACGCGGTACACCGAGTCCGGCAGCAGGTATTGCGCGATGGTGCGCGCGACAGTGTACCCCGCGATGGAGGCGCCGACTATGACTATGTTGCGAGGCTGCTGCTGATGCTCTGAGATGGAGGACGATGATGATGTGAGGTAATACCGGAGCTTCCGAAGACGGAAATAGATGCTACGTCGTAGATTTGAGAGCACGAAAAAAGAGAAGATGAAGCCGGCGCCCTTGATGAATAAGATAGGCTTTTCTAACATCTTAAACGGAGACCCTAGGAATATCTATAGTAAGAGGGGTCTTCCTACAGGAAATAAAGGGAGTTGATATGACCTTCACCTCAGGTTGATTATTCCATGATATTTGGGTATGATAAAAGTGAAATCAAATAAAGAAAAGGAATAAAAAGGAAATACAGACATATACGTTGCAAGGGAGACACGGATAGACAGCAGGGTAACGGGTATTTCGGGGGTTTTCGACATCTCGGATCAGATAAGATTAGATCCGATCTATCCATATATAGTACATTTCCGCTCTTCCATCCCTGTTTATGGCATGATAGTTCTAATGCCGAGTCCGAGATCGGCTAGGAGCTCGGGATCGGACGGATACAGCGGAGTGCTCGTATGGGTACTTAGGTAGGGAGCTGTCTTGATATCTTGGGGGAGTTTAATGAACATCTCGTTATTCAAGCCCGACATCACCAGGCTCTTGTGTTCGATGGTGTTCTTGGAAATCGAATGTATCCTGGCCTATTTCCATTTCCCAGTCGAAATTCGTCCATTGACGATCATATATAATACTTATCCTCGTGGCGCGAGCATACTCCAAATCCATCGGATGGCCAACAACGAAGCTTGTAATGATGTAAAAGACCTCCATTGGAAGGCTACAAAAAGGCCGTATCTTGCGCACCTCAGACACCCACCAATCTCTCTGCTGCGGAGGGACTACCGCTGTTGATAACACGGGGAGAGAGGGTTCGACCAGGAACATAGTAAGGATTTTTTGATAACCTGGCTTCGTGGGGTCTCTTAGCTCTAAGGGCTTCATTTTGTGTTGGAATACGTTAGGGAACGCTAGTAGACGTCCTTCAGGTGTTAGCACATCCCCAAGTTTTTGGAAAGGTTCCTCATCAGACATGACCCCAAGGTAGCGTTCTAGAGATTCGTATTGGTTAGATGGCGGAATAATACGTATGCTCTCGCTGTCAAGGGCTTGTCTGAATGAGACCTTGCTGTCCATAATGTTCTCGTCCTCGTAATAGTACAGCGCAGTCGCTACTATGCGGTCGTTTAGAGCACCCTCTACAAGCCACCCTTTGCCACTGTAAACAGGCTTCTCTGGGGTCAGATGGATGTTGGTGAGCTTGAATATTATCTGAACACCGGAGGGGAAGTCTTTTTTGAGATTTGGTTTAGAATCTGGCCTCCTCTGGCGGGGACAGTTTGCCCTGGGTTCAGGCCATCTGAGAATTTTGTGGTCATCGAACCAGTCTTGATACAGAATTGTATTTCTGTACGTTTCGATTTCATCACCTACGTTTATATTCTCATCCGGTGGAGAGTATTGGACGCCTTCAGGTATGTAAAAGTCTTTATCACCTTCGGAACAGAGGTCGATCCGCGGTGAGAAAACGTCCCGTCTTCGAAACAGGCACTCTTCCCAGAGTGGTACTGTCGCATCAATCACCTCTTCGAAAACCTTATACAGGTCACTATGATACTCTGGATGCAGATTATTGATGTAAGTCGTTATCTTGGGTTTGTTATCGACCCACGAGATATCACTAGGTAGATACTGATATGGTGCCCAGATGATAGGCCCCCCATGGAGAATCTCTCTCTCCCAATAGGCATTGTCATCGCCCTCGCAAATGATTGAGGAACAGCCTTGGAGCGGAACTTTGCCACGACGCAATATGCGGGTATCGAGGAAATCAATAGGGTATAAACAGGGGTCTACGAGTTCTAGTACCATATTATCCGATTCAGGGTACCAGTCTTTGTATTTTTCGGGAATATCTTCTAATGGTTTGATTGCAGTTATCAGAGCATCCGTTAGTGATTCCGGGATGGCCGTATCTGACTTGGTGACAGCGACCTCGGCATCGAGTACATTTACGAAGCCTGTCTTCTTGGCAAGTTCTGCCTTATCGCGAAGTTCCTCGACGCACTATGTCGTATTAGTAGACGATTCTCTTTTATGACTACCTCTGTATGCAGAGCTTACTGCCTCAAACATTTGGTCTGACATATACACATCCCCAAGCCCTTCATTGTCGAAATTGAGATTCTCCACTTCCTCCTTCCATTTGGTGATATATGACTCTTCAAAGACTAAGTCTTCCCAGTCTGGCAGATCCGTGAGGTAGTCCATGTAATTCATCATGCGAAGCTCACGCTGATTAAGCCCTCTACTCAAGAAGCGGTTATTTCTCCACAGAGCGTGGAGAAAGCAACGGGAGGCCACTTCCGGATTTTCTATTTCAAAGGACGGATTGGACATGTTTGGGTATGTCACGATCACCGGATCGGTCTGCGATTATACAATAACCTAAGGTTAGTAGGTGCCGCCAGGTGGTAGATGGGAAGTAGATAGCATGTGTACTGTGTAGTTGGTTGTACGAGATAATGTAGAGTGGTCCGTGCCCAAGGTTTAGAAATCAGGCATCAATGCTACCTGGTAGGCTGCCTGGTCAGGGGTACACCCCGCTGTCTATAGTCACCCCTTTTCCCATCATTCAACTTGCCGCCACGAATTTGATAGATATCGTAAAGCGTGAGACTATTTCTTCAACTGTTAAGAAAATATTCAACCTTAACTAAGTAGTTGGGCTTTGATACTGCAATTAATCGATGCGATAAATTGGGAACATCATACAGGTCTTCTCGATGTTGGGTGAACGGAGAATCTCATATAGCGGGGGCTATCTGGTGATAAAAGTCGTCGTTCGTTGCAAACCGGTGTTTGGGCATTGTCTGCCTCGTCCAGGTCTGGCTACGAAGGGCTGGTCAATTTTTAAAGAAATGGATAACTTTGCATCCTTAAATACTCATCGTCTCGTCAGTTGGTGATGGGTAAAATACCCTGGAAAGGAATTTATACTTTCTTCATACCTCGTTAGTTGCGCATCTATGCGTAACTATGACTCGCTCCAGGACATCCCTTTTCGGGATTCGACCGGGCATACGCTTGCTCTCGCGCGTTAAGATGTGCAAGAAAAACCTCTGCCCTCCTAATGTCCTCCTCCTTCCAGCCAGAATCCTTTTTTTTTTCTTCTGCCAATGGGAAGCAGATGAAGCAAATATGCTTACAGATCCACCAGCCAACGTCCCCCGCGACGTCTCCCCTGGGAAGAACAAAGGTCCTGCTATCATCATTGTCGACAGCGCCGTCACCTCCCTCAGCTCAATATTTGTCCTCGCTAGGTTATACGTCCGCTTCGCTATGGCGAGGAAGTTTTACCTCGACGACTACTTGATTACCGTTGCATTGGTGAGTTAGGGAAGAAAAACGAAGACCGATAATCCACGTTAACCACAGGCTCATCCTACCCAACTCAGGTATTAGCGTGGCTCACCGTCGGCTTTTCCATCGCCTCCGTCTATAATGGGAACGGTGTACACGTATTTCTGCTGAACGAGGACCAGATCTCCCGCGCCATCTTCTGGATCATGCTGGGCTACACGACCGGCGTGCTGGCCTTCAGCATCCCGAAGCTTGCCATCGTCAGCGTCCTGCAGCGGCTGATGAACCCGTCTAAGCGGCATCTCTGCTTCATCTGGGTTCTCGCCAGCTCTTCGTTGATGTTCTTTCTCATCAGCATTGTCATTTCCTACGCGCAGTGCAAGCCGTCCAGAGCCCAGTGGGACCTCTCTATCACCAATAAGACTTGTCTCGATCCGCTTATTCTTATCCATTACTCTATCTTTACGGGATGTAAGTGGCCCCTATAATATGATGCTCATAACAACGTGCCGCAAAAGCTAATTAGACAAGGCTGGTCGGGCTTTGTTGACCTGTATCTGGCCGTCTACCCATCCATTGTCCTATACTCTCTCAAAATGCCTATCAAGAAGAAGATAGCACTGTCGATTTCTCTTGGATTCGGGTCGGTGTAGGTACCAAATATTTATCCCTTCAACTCAACAAGAGCCATGCTAACATCCCCACCCCTTTTCATAGAGCCACCATCGTGGCCATCTACAAGATCACACGCATCCCCGTACTTGCCAGTCACGATTTCACATGTAAGCCAACCCCCCCTCCCCCTCCCCCCTTCTTTATCACGTTCTGCTAACGCATCTAGACGACACCGCCTACCTAACCATCTGGACTTGGTAAGCCGCCGCGCGACCCGTACACACTGCTTGTGCCGTCCTAACCGTAACCAACAGCGTCGAGGGCAGCACCATCACCATCGCCTCGTGCATCCCCAACCTACGGCCGCTGATCGAGATGATATTCGGCAAGCACGCCTGGGGCGTCACGCCCCACAGCCGAAGCAAAAGCTCGAACGCTGATTCCGAGAAGGGCCTCAAGAAACGTCAGGCCAGGGATCCGTACGACCTGGACACGCAGAATGAGGGTTGAGATAATGGATATTGGCCTCGTTTGTTCTTTTGACTCCGGGACGGGGGAGAGAGGGTGGGGGGGGGTAGTGTGTATGGCTTCACTTGTATTGAACCACTCAGCATTGGTCACCCCTAGGTACCTAGGTATGTAAGTATCTAGTTCTCTCCCCCCAATACCCTGTATTCATCCAACCCTATCAGGAGGCGTCTCAAACCAAGCTCAACATGAACAATAGATATAGAAATATAGATTTATCTTCCTCCCATGCTCCCGGGTCTCCTAGCCAAGGAGTAAAATTTGTGTTTGGTACATACCTACCTAGCTAACTACGGATACATGTCTCATCAACAGCCATAAGTGATTGCGGCTAGGTACGCACTTTGACCGCATCATCACTATTATATATACCTAGGTTACCTAGCAGGCATGTGTTATTGTTCAATATTTATAGTGTTGGCATACTCCATCCATGACTCGCATACTGTCACATGACCCCCTACCTAAGAGACGCTGGTTGGAACAACGGTAGCCGCACGGAGGACCACAGATCTATGAGCGGGATAGATTCTAGTATGCGTGTATACAACCGAAACAGCCGCACACGATCCGTACCTGCCAGGGTAATGGCTCCGAGCCGTCAGTCACATAGGTACCTAGGCTTGAGGCGGCCATTATCCCATTGATTAAAGTGGTACGGTGAATTGGTATTCCTGATGCCTTGCACGTGGAAAGTGTCATCAAAAGCTTTATAACGTGTTTGCAAGGTGACGGTTTCAAATCCATCGCGCTTTATTTATTTTATATAGGTAGGTAATAAATCATATAAATGACAGTATGGTATGTAAAATATCGTGAATTACCGGCATATACAATGGGCGCGCGTATGATCCAGGTATAAAGCATGAATAATTAAGTACTTATGAAGGGTATATATACCTAGGTTAATAGGTAATTGTAACAGACCAACCGAGTCCGTCAAGTAGAAAAACACACCGTCGCTAACCCCTAAAACCGCAAACCCCACCCCCTAGAAACTGATCCGTCGTGAACCCACAAGGCTGCCACTCTGGATTGTTTCGTTTCGTTGTATGTTCATGCATTAGTGTCGGATTCGAGCTCGTTATTTCGTAGTAATATGTTATGAGCCTGGCTAGGCACAAGTGTCGTTGTATCTAGGTCGCTTGCTCAACGTCTCTGCCAGAAGCGTCTCCTGCGAGAGGGCGTCGCGGCATACCCCTCGGGAATATCCTTGGTAGCCTGCGGGTTTCGTCGACGGTGCATTCTAGCGCTGCAGCATGTGAAGAAAACGACGATGGTGGCCAACAGGCTGCAAATTGCAGAGGCAAGCGTGGTCCACGAAGCAGCACCCCAAGTAGCCCGACTGTCATCACCCAGGTCATGGACGGCGGACATAATGATGCTGAAGGCGACAAAGTCGCATATGAGAGCAACCAGTGTGACGAGGAATGTCAATAATGCGCCTAAGGATGCGAGCAAGCTGCCGACGACACCAGCGCCGAGTGCCAACAGGAACGAGATGAAGGCCAGCCCTGTCGCAATCGGATGCAGAATCATAACGTGTGTGAGCGCGCGCGTTGAGTCCTCGGCATAGTCTGAGAATTCGATGCCATTCATGTTCTCCTCAAGGATGGAGGTTGGGTCGTAGCCGACTTGAGAGCGGCTGCAATTGTCCTCGCCGGATCTAAAAGGTATGGTGTTAGTCGGGATGTGAGGATAGAAGGAGAAGGACAGATTAACTTACGCCATGGTATCTCGCACACACCAGCCAAAGGTTCCAAAGTTCACACTGGGGTGGCGGTTGGTAGATGTTCCGCCATTGTCGAGGTTGACCCGTAGTAGCGAAATGCTATTGACGACAGGTGCTGAGATATCGGTGATGATTAACAGCACAGTGGCTGCGAACAACAGAAATGTGCCGATGTGGTGAAAAAAGCCTGTCTGCCTCATCTTGCCACTTATTTTCCCTTTTTATAATGTATTTGAAACTTGTTCCGTATCCTTAGGTAGGTGTGTAAGTATACAACTTCCGAAATCGATCAGAAGATGGAGTTGGTAGACGGACAACAGAGAGGGTATAATGTTGATCAAGTATTATGCAGTTTTAGTAATAGAAGAACAAGATACAAAATAGAATCCTGGGCTGGGTTACTCTTTATTATAACGTTGAAATTGAAATATCTAGTCGGCAACCAAGACAATGCTGCATTTACGAGAATTTCTTGGCACGAATCATATTTGACTTTTTGAATGGTGGATGCTGCTTGAGTCGGGTATGATGTGTGACGATCCGACACTGATACTCGATACCCGATCTTGCGACGTCATCTGGTAAACCTGGCGACTGTCTCGTAATTGCTGAGAACAGTGAGAAGCAAGTAACGGATAAATCGGCAGATGTTAAAAGAGGCGTGATGGCTTCGTCTGCCTTGTTCCACCACATATGTGCCAGTCCAGCTGTGACGTCGTGGCTTTGCATTTTGATCTGGGGAATGTATGTAACTTAATCGGGCTGAATAACATGGATAACATGGATAACATGAATAATACACATGTAGTATAGAGGCCTGGACCTGCCTAAATACTAAGGGAGGTAACTTTCAAATCTTGTGCCTTGTTTTAGTCTGAAAGATGACGGAAACACGTTGTTGCTAGTGGACGACATCAATTAACATCAAAGCCAAGACACGTCATCAGTTGTCAATCAATGTTGATTTCAGGGGGAGTTACCTATATGTTACCTACATATACCATGTACCATGCAACCAATCGTGGCAACAACATTCGATGTTGATTGTATTCAAGTTAGATTTAATATCCATGCCGGCCCCTGGAGGTGCGTAGACCTACATACTAGGTTAGGGTACTCGACTTCTCGTAGGTAATGCTCCGCGTCGGTTTTACATACAAACTTCGGCATTCGATCTTGGCATCCCAAGAATTCAATACCTAGTACCCTAACCTTAGGCAGTTATGCTTCGAGGCCTGCATGTACTATGTATCGCATAGGAGTTAAGAACTCAAAACGTGCCAAGTTTTCATCTCTTCTTCGGCTTTCCATGTAACCGACTGAGTATACGTTGTAGGAATACTCAATTTCAGATAACTGAAATTTAGAAGGAACCTCGTCGCATCTTAAGACGCTGGCCACCTAGGCAGGCATTCCCGAGTATTGTGTTCCTAGTGGTGAAGGTGAATCCTGTCGTCGCTTGCGGTTTAGCGAGCGCATAGATACCTATGCATGTACTGGATCATCTCGACCAAATTGACATTTGGCTCAATTGCAAGTCAAATTTGTGTCTCCTAGTTGGCGCAAGGAGCATATGTCGGATGGGCCATCTTAAGATTTCAAGTCTGCCGAGGATTCTTCTGGGTCTGAAATACTACTATTCTCAGTTGCGCCATTCTTTACTGATGGCTCGCTGCTATCATTCGTAAGCGTATTATCAGATGTATTATTCGACATTCGTGAGTTAGAGAAAGCGTCGAGGGGCGAAGCATCATGGATTTTCCCGTCGGCAAAAGCAATCAAACTTTTCATAACAGCAGGTATTTCCTGTTCCTTCTGGCGTGCCCTGAGGCGTTCTAGATAAAATATTTCTTTTGGGGCTAGGCGCTTCTTTTTAAGTAGGACGGCCGCAGCCCCTTCCATGCGCTCCTCTGCGAAACTTGTATTGTCACGCGATAGCTGGTTGGCGGTATGCCAATCTCGTAATGCTGGCGCCATTGCACCTGACGGTATAATTCTGCGCAAAGCAGCAGATACGAAGGTCTCGTCGCTGTCATTTGGAGGCCATGGCCCATGAAGCGGGTTTTTGGTAATCGCATCCCGGTGGTTGTATGTTCTATTGGCGGCGAACATGTGCAAAGTGAAGGTCTTGTAGGATATGCCTAAGTCTGATAATGCCGGCGTAGCCCTGGCCACTTTGGAGAGTGGAAGTGGATCGATGGGAGTGGCTATAGATCCTCGCAGGTCATATTCACCACCCCACGAAGTGTTGGTGGGTGCAGGATAAGCATTTGAGTCTTGCGACAGTATAACACGTTGGAAGGGAGAATCGTTGACTAGAGCAGTAGCAGTGCCTGGCTTGGTGGTGACTACAACAAAGGAGGAATTATCCTGAGTGTAGTTTGCACTGTTAGAGAATATAGAATGGCTACATATGGAGCATACATACTTCAAGCTTCTTGAATGTCTCTACTGTCTCATGTGTGATCTTCTGAATCACACGCAGCATGGCTCGACGTTCGTAGAAGTTCACAGGAGCTGGGATGCATCTGACATAAACGGTTCGAGAACTCAATGATGTTTGCAAGAGCTCTGCAAACGCAGATGCCTTGGGGGTTGACATCTTTCTCTGGCACCAGAGAGATATCCAATATATTGGTGTACAAATGCTGTTTAAAGACGTGATGTGAAGGTGATAGAAATGGTGATGGCGGCTTTATTAAGCTTAATATTTTAGGTACATCATTATGGATCCATGCAAGCTAGCTTAATTGCTTATCGATAACTAACTAGTTACGAAGTAGTTAGATGGATCCAAACAAACTCTCAATCCAAGTTCCACAGTTCCAGACTTCCAGTAAGTAACTTTTTAACTTCTTTGAACTCACAGAAACTTGGCACTTTACGAAAGATTACCTAGAAGTAGGGGGAATGCGTTTTTCTGGATTCACAAAAGAACCCTAGAGAATAATTCGACAGCTTCTGATATATTCTAAACTAGGCACTTGTCTCATACTTGCTTCTTGCCCTAATTCGTTCGCCGAAAGTCCAAAAGCACCACGGTATAGGGGCCATCAAAAGGCTCATGAGAGTCAATATAGATGTTGCCCACCCGGCGCCGAGTGCTCGAAACATCTGCAACGTGAATAATGGAAACACAGTACTCAAAGTGTATCTGGTAAGCATCATTGCACCTGCGGCTGATGCCCCATAAAGCGGACCATAGGCATCCAGCATAAACATCGTGGCACCCGCATACACAAGCAACGAACTCAGCATGGTCATGCCCTGGAAAAAGATAGGCACAAACCAGTGAATTCTATATTCTGCTGTCCAGCCTGCGATCAATAAGCTGATGGGCAATAAAACGCTACCTGCCATGGCCGGTGCAAGACGATACTCTGGTGGCAACTTTTCGTCCGGTTCGTGGGTTTGTTGCCATGATCCAAGCCGTCTCTGATAAAAGAAAATATCCGCAAGAACAAATGGACAGCATGCAGTCAAGGTTCCGAGTGTTACTCCGAGGTAGGACAATGACTCGCCTATTTTATCGAAATGGTAATATTCCCTTGCCAGCCATGGCACAGCTATTACAAAACAATACAGGAGGCCGAAAATAAGGCCATTGTATAAACTGACAAAGGTTACGATCGGTTCCGTGGCAAGCATGTGGATTGGTCGCTGGATAAGAACCGTGAAAAAGTGCCTGAACGCCCGAGCGAACGATGTTCTTTGTGACGAGGTATCGGATATACCTAACCTAATAGCACGACGTTGTATGATGACCTTTTTGTAGGTCTCTCTAGTGAGCAAAACGGGAAGGTATGTTGCCGTTGCCATTATGATAGCCGCCCATTGCGTCCAGCGCCAGTCCTTCGTCCGCACAATGAACCCTCCCACCAACGGTGCCAAGGTTGCGGCGAACGAAGGCAGCGAATAATATATCCCAAGGGTGATCCCGCGGTACCGATCTGTCGTATAATCCAAAAGGGTAGCCGAAGCATTGTTGATATTCGGGGATGCGAACATGCCCGCGAAGAACCGGCAGACAACCAGATCCGTCATCCTATTTGTAAACCCAGCACCCACCATGAACAGAATGAATATCGGCGTAGACACAACGAAGACAGCCTTCCTTCCATATTTTTCGGAAAGAGGCGCACCAATGAGCGGTCCGAACGCCAGTCCTAGGTTATACAGGGACAGAGGTAGAACGGCGACCTCTTGGCTACATTGGAACAATTCCATCACCTGTTCCTGGGCAGGCGCGTAGACGGCTCCAGCAAACGCGCTCGCAAATGCTAGCAACGAAACAGCGACTGTGCAGTAGACACGCGTGAACAGAGAAAAATTGCGCGGATTGTCTGGGTCGTCCGGGCCACTCCAATCATAAGCTAAATTCAGACGCTGAATAAGCTCGCCGGTCGGTAATGAGGAGCTAGGGGGTTGTGGTCCCCTCCGGGATATCTGAATCATCTGAACCATTTTCGACGATCTGTTTATGACTTTGGCCAGATCTAAGAAGTAATGGAAGCAAATGAAGTCCAGGAAATGATGCTCGAGACGGTAGAGGAGGCATAATCTTCAACTCGTAACAACAACACTGAAGCTTCTTGTTAATACATATATACACGAGCGTTATTCCCGTAACCCATCCCGAGGTCCTAGTCATTCCGAAAACCCCGATACCGCACCTAGGTCATGACACACGAGAAACCATGGGTGCCCCATTTGTTGCTTGTGTGGGAAGGCCAGATACGGATCACTGTCAACGTCGGTTCAAATGACATTCGAAGGGCTACGTTATTGTCATTACAATATCCCGACCCCGGACGTTTGAATCCACAGTAAAGGCGTTACGCCCGTGATCTAGCCTAATAAAGGTTGTCATGCAAGGTACGTTTGTCTTCTATTTAACCTAACCCAGTACAATCCGACCTGTTACATATACATAAACGTACAAGGAAAGAAGTCGACTTTCAAATTCCGAAGATATCATTTGTTGACAATCGATGGCAATCATGCTGACGCCTTTTACTAGGCGGGGTGGATTGTTCGTCTCATCAGGTCATGTGACGTGACATTAGATCGTGGCCTAGAGGCTTTTGATGCTAGCTAGCTGTTGGCTAGCTAAAGGATCGGGGTGCAGTAGGGCAGCTATGCAGGTGATTTCATCTTTACCTATGTTCCAACCTCGGAAGTCCCGTCCTCACTTCTCAGGCACGGTACGTGGGAAGGGGAAAGAAATCGTTGATGCAATTCTCGAATCAAAACCTGAATATTATCGAACCATGATTTCCTAATCATTTAAGAGGTGCTTGCTCTCTTTTTAAGATGGCCGATCCGGTTTCCGCAGTTGGTCTCGTCGCAGCTGCTGTCCAGCTTACCGAGCTCGCTGTTAAGGTCGTGAAGCGCATATCAGATTTCAACTCAACCATTAAGCAGACACCTAAAGCCTTCCAAGAGGTCCAAATTCAACTTCCCCTCATCATTGAGTCTGTAGGGCGTATCAAGGAACAGACAGACCAAGGACTGCTAAGCGATTCCTCCAGAAACGCGGTTTATGCTGTTATTGAAGCATGCCAACATGACACTCGTCTTTTGGACAAGCTCATCACTGAATTACTTCCGAACTCGACCGACTCGATTAGGAAGAAGACTTTAAAGGCCTTGACTAGTTTGACACATGACAAGGAAATTAATAAAATTACGGAAGCACTTCGCAACCGCACCTATCTACTGGCTCTTCATAAAGTCGCCAAAGACGGTATTGAGCCATTGCAATCTCCGGAACCTTGTGAGCCATTTTGGCTAGTGCCGTTTGACCGCAACGTATCGTTTGTTGGTCGACACGAAATATTCGAAAAGATCAATGAAGCTTTCATAGTTCCCACAGGGAGTCAATCAAAGGCTGCGTTAACTGGATTGGGTGGCATTGGGTGAGTTGAAGTGTAGGTAGCCATGATCCTTACCCCTATGTTAACCTTTAACGTGTAGGAAATCTCAGATTGCACTCGAATACTGTCATAGACGACGTGAGCAGAATTGTGAATGCTCCATCTTCTGGGTAAATGCAGCTACTGTTGCCCAGTTCGAGGAGTCCCTCAATAATATCGCAGTAATGTGCGGTCTTGTCGCCCGCAATAGCGGCCAAGCTGAGGGCGCATCGTTGGTACAGCCCTGGCTAGAGTTCCGACATCAAGGGCCTTGGATGATGGTAGTAGACAATGCTAATGAGAGAGACATAGTCTTCAACCAGAAAATGCGCAATGGAAAGACACCATGGCAATGCATACCCCGTCGTAATGGTACTCTCATTTTTACAACAAGAAGCTACGAACTAGCCTATGATTTAGCTCGCCCTTCGCGCCCTATTTATATACCACTGATAGGCGAGGCTGAAGGGGTTGAGCTAATCCAGAAGCGACTCGGGCTTGGCTTTCCGAAAAATCTCATGATTGAGCTTCTGGAGGAACTAGATCATATCCCACTCGCTATCACACAAGCGGTTTCGTTCATGATAAAAAGAAGGATAGACATACCACAGTACTTAGAACGATTCCGAAAGAGTGACGACACAAAAATGCGAATGCTTGACTACGAATTCATAGACCATGGAAGAACTGCCGAATCCCCTGAATCAGTGGCCAAGACTTGGGAACTATCTTTCAATAGCATCAGAGAAGATAATCAAAAGGCGGCAGATATGCTGTATCTCATCAGCTTCTTTCAAAATCACGGTATCCCAGAACGAATCCTACGCAGCGAGGATGATGACGAGTTCGACTTCGAAGATGCAATGACCATCCTGAGCGACTACTCTTTTGTCAACGCCGATAATACTAGAGTACGATTTCATACACACTCTCTTGTGCAACATGCTACTCGGCATTGGCTCCGAAGTCAAGGTCCTACTGAAGTTACGGCGTGGAGATTGACCGCGTTGAAGTCCCTTGCCCGTGAATTCCCCGAAGCAACTTCACATCCCAAGCAGGATTACTGGGAAACTTGTGAAATACTCCTTCCACATGCCGAGTCACTACTCGCGTACGATTTTAAGAAGTCCGAACAAGATATTCAGCTTGAGAGGGCACGGTTGTTGAATAGCACAGGTAGGTATATTCATTGGATTGGAAGATACAGTGACGGTCGTAAGAGGTTCCGGACTTCTTGGGATATTAGGAAGCAATACCTAGGCGAGGCTCATGTTGATACCTTGAAAAGCATGGGTTTATATGTCTGGGCATTGAGCTTCCAGGGCGAGCCGGAAGCTGTTGAGCCTGGTTATCGTTTGCTCGAACTCCGCCAGGAAATCCTTGGCCCCAACCATGCCGATACTATTGACTGTCTTAGTGATCTCGCAACAGCTCTAGCCAAGACCAACCAATATGCGGAGTCTATTAAATTTCACCGGGATGCTGTGAGCCGTGGCATAGCGCACCTGGGGATTAACGACCTGGACACCCTAAATTGCCAGAATGCATTAGCCTCGACTTTAATGGATGTGGACGAATATCAAGAAGCTTCGGAGATATACAAAGAAGTCTACGAGATAAAGAAAAGCATACAAGGACCAGATCACCCCGATTTTCTAGTCATAGAGTCAAACTTTGCATTGTGCCTTGTCGGACTCGGCGAAATACCCAGAGCAATAGAACTAAATCAGCATTGTCTTGCGTCCAAGGAAAAAGTCCTGGGAATCGACCACCCAGAAACGATCATCTCAGCATATAACTTAGGTGATTTGTATTTCAGGGAGGGTCACAGGGAGGAAGCGATAAAACTCTATGATCGGATTATAGATGGTTGCGAAGCTGGTCTTCGAAGAGAGACTGTCGATGGCAAGGAATACCTTGATCTTATTCGGAGGCGAAGAAGACCGATTTCATACGGACGACTCCCACCGCTTCCCGAGTAAAGGGCATCATTGCCTTAGGGAATCAACTACATACAGTGTCCTTCTTCTTGAGCTATCTCAACCTTGAAATGCTGTACCCAGCTGGCACTTTCTTTTGGTGGATCTATGCCATCAATGACCCAGCGAGGACCATCGAGTGTCTAAACGATAATATTCCATCGTTTTCGGATCCGCAGAGCAGATGAATCTACTTCATACGAACACTCCTAGTCGTTCTGAAGTTTCCCGATAGAGTCTATGTGGAGATGAAACTGGTGGGCCCGGAAGCGTTTAAGGACTTTTCGTAGACGCCAGGCTCTTGCATCTAATAGGATGAGCCATTTATTACATATATACGCGGCGATTGAGGGCCAACTAAGCCTTTATACATACCTTTACGGTATGTTATCGTCACCGAGCTTGTCAACCTAGGACGCGGCTCGGTTAGGTGGCATTGGATCCTGCGAAAACTCTCTTCCGCGGGAACATACATTTATGTACATAGCCACATGAGGAATGAAAAATCTCGTGGCAAGAGATCTTGACCCACTACAACGGACATCAAACACGACGAGTAGAGTTGAAACGAAACATTATTAGTATACTATATAAATCTAGTGTATCCGCATCTTCTTCCAGGACTAATCCCCTTTTTAGAACTATTGACTACCCTACCTAAGGTAGGTACCTAACGTGTGGCATGCATATTTATTTATGTCACCATTGTAGCGCCTAGGTCAGTAGGTATACGGCGCATCGTCTTGTAACCTAATTGTGGGTTTAAAGCTGCGATTTCGTGGAGTTGGATGCGGACACTTCCATATTGAGCATTGGTATGAGAGGAGGATTCGAATCTGACCCAACTGGTTGGGAACCACGTGTATTTTCCCTAGTTCAATAAATATTCCGTGGGATTCACGGACGATACATAGGTACCCAAGATACCTACCTACCCAACTTCTTACCAACCCAACGATAATGGCGCGAGGATGGCGGAAAGTTGGTTAACAGCGGCGCTTTTTCAAACTCGAGAGATCTTGCAATAATCATTCCATCGCGTCTAAACACCTAGGCAAAACTCAAGTATTGAGTAGGTAGGTTGGTTGGTTGGAATCAAGGCAAGGCAAGGCAAGGCAGTATGTTTCCGCCCCTGCTACCATTGCAATTTCGCCTTACTTAACCGATGTACCACCTTGGAATCTATAGGGACAGAAAAGCAAAAAAAAGAAAAAAAAAGAAAACAAAACTGCCCATTGTGTATAGGAAGGTAGGTACGGCGGGGCCTAGTAAGCTCGACAAAGCTGATGTCCTTGTTCAACGTTGCGCCAACCGTCCTTCCTAAAATAGTTAAAACACCATGCCCTCATCGCGGGCAGAGTCCTGTTACGGGTTGAGTTCCTATGCTTGCACAGACGGGACGGGCTAGGTACTGGGTATATGCATGCAGTATCATATGTATTCAATAGCTTCAATGTTGCTAATATGGGTTCGCGCATCTATCTAGGTAGTAGATCGAGGGGCATTGTTTCATACCCGGAGTTCTGGGTGAAGTTGATCGTATATCTCGAGGGGAGACTTGGCACTAGTGTAGGTAGGTATGCAGGAGATACTTGGTGCTCGGGGAACACAGCAGGTGTTTTCTTGGTCCTTTGAGGGTTGGATTCCTGGGGAGTACGGAACGATAGCCGGCGGGAAACACTCCTGGCTTTGTGTTGATTGAGGCTGAGCCTCCTATTGTGTACTACTTACTAGGTATAATATAATGGTGGTACGGCACGATTATGTGAATCGTAATGAGGCAATATTCATTACTATACCTATACCTGCCTTGGTTACGATAATCCAGTTACCTCTGTAGATATATACCAACCACCCAAGGCCCTAACTAAGTACATAGGTAGACTGCCAGATCTGGGAATTACGCGGAATTTTTCATCGACTTCTTCGAAACAAAAGCCATGTTGCGCTCTACCAACAGACCAAATCCTTTGGCCCTGTCTAGATTGATTGGTCTTTTCTTCCCCGGTCAAATCGACTAGGCTAGAGTTGCATTGTGTACCTAACATAGGTATGTATATAGTTACATGGTGTACTAGGTAGTGTACCTAGTGTAGAGCGGAAAGTCGCTTGCTCAGCCAGTCAACGACGTGGTTGAAATGAATTCCCAACCACCCTGTCACCCAATACCAACCGTGACTGGCCGCTTCTGAGTGGGCAAGGTGTCTAGGTTGGACTACTACATACATGAAGGATTGCGGCAGCGGCAGGCAGAAGACAAGAAACAAGTCCCTCTCTAATAGCCGCGCCCCTTGGCTAGAAATAGTACTTACCCATTACACACCTAATCAATTTGACGGTAGCCGACATGGACTGGATGCACTTTTCTTCATTAACTACTTACTTAATACCTAACCTAATGTAGTACATTATTAATAAGATGAGTCTACCTGCGTCTAATATCTCCTTGTATGAATTATGTAACCGTCAAGCGGCATTGCGTTTTGTTTTTATTCTTTCTCATTATTCTTGTACTTGCAGCCTGATATGTAACGGGTAGGCAGGCAAGACGAGCTAAGGTCGCATGGCGTTAGCCATCTCGCTTCATGATGCTTCCACTCCGATACCTTGTCAGGCTGACCATCCTTTTCGTAAGGCTTAGACCTTCTAGCGGTCCAAGTCATGTCAGAGAGTCCGGAGCTAAAGACGGGAACCAACACCTTTTTTTTCTCTTTTGAACTTGTCTACCTAACATGTTTGCGGAGTTCGTTTTTTTCATCATGGGCCAGGGGCTTGCAGGAGAGAAACATCGTCAACCTTTCAACCCCTCTCTCCTCGCCCCCCCCCCTCTATTATATGTAACTGGCACGTTCTAGTTGTGTGTAAATAGAATATACCTCATGAACATCGACGCCGCATCTTTTCAATCTACTAGAGGATTAGGTAACTATACAACATGCAGACCAACCACTTGCTAACGAAGCACATATCTGCGGCCTCTTGTGCCACCTAACCAAAACGGATGGACGGCCGCAGAAAATGCCGTTCAGCTCCCACTATTGCTGCTTTGCAGCTGTAATGTAGTTACATACCGAAGGCAAAAAGCAAGCATCTCGTCCCTCCCCCTCTAGAACCCCCGATATGCATGGCAAGCAAGAGGGTCCTAGCTCCCCTGCCCGATGATACCCTGACCATGCATTGCAAGCCATCGTGAGGATCAGTCCATGGATTGCCAGTGCACATGGTCCCCTGTTAGCAGCCCCCCCCCCCTAGCAGAGGCTCCAAAAGGGGGGGGACCCGAACTCAAGCCTGTTTCCGAGCACAGACGATAGGAAACATTTTGCACCAAGAAAAAGAAAAAGAAAAAAAGCCATATTTGCTTTCAAGCCTGCTTTTTTGTTCTGCTTTTAATGAAGAAGGTATGTACCTATTCTTCCCGTCTGCGCCACGCCGTTGCTAGCATGGATTGACACAGACGCCATTTCAATGTACATAATAAACATAGGTAACCTGCAACCGGGGTCTAGGTAACTGCGCGGCAGTAAAACTGGGTAGGTATAGACGACTCATGTAGGTAACTGGTTTTCTACAACTGCTCTTCCTAGGTACCTATGGAGATAAGTTGGTTGGGTGTGTGGAAAGAGGCACATATTAGGAATAGATAGTTTGTGTTGTGAGTCTGATATAAACCCGTATTGACCCCTTCGAAAGCTCGAGATTGTGGCCATCGTCACTTTCATGCTCATAGCACTTTCTTTTCATATCTCCTTATAGATAGAACTCCCTCTCTTACGACTTATAAGAGATCCTCTCGTTTCTTACCTACATTGCGTCCAAGCTTTTCTCGGCTTTTCGTCATTGATAGAAAATCTACACGTCAAATCTCGGCTCCGGGAAAAGGAATCAAGCTAGCAAGCACTTTCTTTGTTTGTGTCCCATCTCTTTTGCATTGCATATATATACCTACCTATCCTTCTACTTAGAGTAAGTACTCGGGTATACAGTCCACGGACGCACACACACACACACGTAGGTACCGCATACGAAATATTGCATTTTTCTATTCTAAGCGCCGGCCAGCCAACCAACGTCACCCACACGACACCGGCCACGGCCAGCCAAGAAAGAGCAGATTGTCCTCAGCTACCGCCTGCATTGTCACCGTAATATAACTACCTACTTACACATGTGCATGTAGCGAGCGAGCGAGCGAGGAAGTACTTCTGTACACTGGTTCCCACCCACTTGGTTATCTTTATAATACATACAATCTCTTTGGGGGCGGACTACCTAGCTATCCACTTTCTTATCCCACGACCTTTCCGTCCAAGAGGAGAAGAAGAAGAAGGGAAAATTGAACAAGAGAGAGAGAGAGAGAGAGTAGTGAAGAAAGAAAAAAAAAGAAGAATGCAGTCCAGGAGTTTACTCGCCCTGCTCTCGGCTCTGGCCCTGTCGTCTGCCTCTCCTATACGACGTAGGTGCGGCAACAATACCTCACCGGCTCCCACTAATAGCACGGCTCCGGTCTCTCCAGCTGCCAGCAGCGATGCTCCTGCCACTCCCGCGCTACCCAGCACCGGCTGTAAGTCTACTACGCTTTTTATTCCAACCTACCTACCTACCTCCCTTCCTCCCCATTCGTCCATCTCTACCTACCCACCTCCATAAGGCAACGATCTTCTCCCTCAAGCTAATCAACCACCTCCCCCACCCAAAGCCGGCACACAACTCGACGGCCCCGGCACCGCCACCCTAAAGCACATCCTCATCGGCCACGGGATCCAGAACTACACCTGCTCCTCCACCTCTTCCGCCGCAACCTCCATCGGCGCGCTGGCCGTGACCTGGGACATCACCTCTCTCTACCCCAACACCTCGCCCTCCTCCCTCTCCGCCGCCGACTTCAGCGCCCTGTCCTCCAAGGTCCTGCGCACCACGCCTTCACCCTTTGACACTCCCCCCTCCCCCCCCTCCTCCTCCTCCCCCTTCCCACCCCCCGCAGACCTGACCCTCGACGGCACCCCGGAGCCGCTAAAGTTCATGGGCCACCACTTCTTCGACGCCGCCGGCGTCCCGACCTTCGACCTCACCGCCGCCCCCTTGCTGTTCAGAGGGCACAAGGACGCCGGCATCCCGGCCCCCGCCGACGCCGACGCCGGCATCGAGGACCCCCCGACGGGCGCGGTGGATTGGCTGAGGCTTAGCGATGTGGGGGGGAGCGTGGGGGGCGCGAGTCTGGTGTATAGGGTGTACACGGCGGGCGGGCAGCCGGAGGCTTGTGGTGAGGGGGAGGGGGAGGGGGAAGGGGGGAAGGTGATGAGTGTGCCGTATGCGGCGCAGTATTGGGTTTATGGGAACTGAGGGAAAAGGGGGATCGGCTGGGTTTAATCGGGGGAGTGGGTTAGGGGGAGGGGTTTACGTATCTACGTAGGTTATCCAGGTACTCGTGAGAGCTCACCTTATGATCATGGTCATGGTTTTTTGGTATGGCTGGATTGGGAGGGGGGGACATAATGGAAGGGTTCGATTGTGCGGACCTATTTACCTAGTTAGGCACCTATGTACCTACTGCCTCCCAAGAAACTGGGACGGACTGGCACATCAAAAGGGGAGAAGGGATGGAAATCCGGGCGTTTTGGGCGGTTCTTTTATCCTTTTTTCTTTTCTGTATTCTAACTATAGGACGGCACAGGGATTTCTATATACCTACCTAGGCTAGGTAGAGAGGTAGGCAGGTACGGAATATGGGGATGAAGTTTCAAAGGTTGTGTTTCGGATAGGGGCTAGCGACGTCCTTCTCTCCCCCACCCCCTTTTTATCTTCTACGTTGTTTAAGTATCTCTCCCCGATGGGCTTAATCCGTGACCGCAATGATGGAATAAGCGAGAGACGTAATAATACTATCCATTCTGCGATTATAGTTATCTCGATAGTGTTTTGTTTGCCCAAGAGCAAGGACAGGATATACTCCCTTTCCCCCCACGTTGAGTCTCCCCCACTCCCAGTAATAGGGGAAGCTCGGTCTACATAGAAACTACCAAGTTCCTTCTCTCTCATTTGGCATTGAAAAAGATTTCGGGCCTACAATCTACCTGGTCTAAATCTATCCATTGAAAAGAAGAGAAACCTCGTAATACGATAATGTGTTAGGCTGGTGCTGAGCGCGTAAATATCTACTGGGAGGTACCTAGGTCCCCACATAAAACTTCAGCTCGGCTCTTCGTTGCAGAGTACAACTGGGTAAGACTGTTATGGCCCTTATGGGCATATACTTCCGTGTATTTGCACGCCGTGGTCCTAGGAAGTTACGCGGTCCCCACTAGGTAGGTACTTATAGACCCTCAGCTACGAGGAGTGCAACATCATAAACTCAACACCCTAGCTACCTGGGTAGGTACAGTATGTACTCTCACTAGCACGTGTGTGTGGGAAAATGGGACTCTTGTGTACCAATGCACTCTTAAATCAGGCCAAGGCTAGTGCTACAATAAAAGATGAGGAGGGAGGGAACACTAGGGGGCTGATGGCGACGGCGCCACGTACATACTGTAACAACGCACGTCAGTAAAGTAGCATCAACGCTCCGACTTCATCTCCCCCACACGAGGCAAATCTGCACATCAATCACCATGAAATTTCAAGATGCGTGATATCATTTGCATGACAATAAAAAGAGACATCGCAGAAAGCTTCTTTTTTAAGGACATCATCTCTTCGTAACCCGAAACTCGTCAATTAATAGTACTTCATGCAAGCCTCTTCTTGGCTAGCAAGAATAAGAGTAGAAATGTCTTCTCGTCTCCCCGTTCTTCGTCGTGAGAATCTTGTCCACTGGGTTGTGTCATTTCGCTTAGCTGCTGAGCGTATCGCCCATTCTATCTTGCCCATTTCCAGGGGTGTGAAAAAAAAAGTTGAAAAAAGATGTATATAACCATCCGCGCGATTTTGGCTGGATGGTACGTCAACCTGACTGCGCTCGCCACATTAACGGCAAATTACGAAAGGTAGTTTTCCTTTCCGAAGTTTCCGTTGTAGCGACTAAATCGTCGGGCGAAATTTTGAGGTTTTCTGAACGTTACGCTCGTTTCCTTATCTATGGCGCTCCAAACCATTCGGGGGTGTTGGAAGTAGAGATTCTATCTCCTGCTGGCATCCAATCCACCCTGCAGCTCACCCTCCAATCCTATTTGATTCATGTATTCCTGAGGGCGTGGGTCCTCGGCTCTCCATTGTGTACCTCCACCACTTGGTAATGGTACCTGACCCGCCCCCGCCTGCGGTCCGGCCCCTCCGCCGATACTTCCGGGTACCGTGCGTACTAATTGCCGGAAGCGGAATACTTCGTCTTTGATCATCTCCCGCATCTGACCAACGTCATCGATGACTTCGAAGTCGAAATTGAAAGTGGATGGACAGTCAGGCTCGTCAGATGCATCATGCCAGATGTGTAAGTAGGGGTGCTCTAGCGCCTGCTCGACGCTGATACGCGAAGAGGGGTCGAAAGCCAGCATGCGATCGAGTAAGTCCAAAGCGTCCGGGTTTGCGTTAGGGAATAGGGCAGGGAAGGGCTTCTTAGGCATGAATGGTAAGTTTCGAACGTATTCTTGAGCGCGAGAAGAGCCGATACGGGAGAGTGTCTCTTCGTTAGGGGTTCCAAGTATGTGGAGAATTTGGTTTAGCTGGTCAACATAGTCGCGACCCTTGAAGAATGGTCGTCCTCCCAGAAGTTCAGCCAGAATACATCCCACAGACCAGACGTCAACTGTGACATGTTAGTTATCCATAATGGGAGAGAGACGTATTGCATACTGCAGAATCTTCACTTACTAGCTTTGGTATAACTCTGGAAACTCAACATGATTTCGGGCGCACGATACCATCGTGTAGCAACATACTCAGTCATATATCCAGCATTCTCCTCAGGGTCCACGGAGAAGCCACGAGCCAAGCCGAAATCGCAAATCTTCAATTCACAGTCGGCATTGACGAGTAGGTTGCCTGGCTTTAGATCACGATGTAGAACGTTGGCCGAGTGAATGTACTTCAAGCCGCAGAGGATCTGGTAGATGAAGGATTGGAAGTGGGCGTCGGTAAGGGGCTGGCCTGATCGGATGATGGCAGCCAAATCACACTCCATCACCTCTGTGAAACGAATTAATGAGTATAATGGCTTGTTAAAAAATAAAACCATGTTCATCTCATACCTTCGTATAAATAGGTCTCGTTAAAGTTCTCGGGTCGAGGAATGTCCATATCGTAAAGGCAGGTGATCTAAGAGACCAAAGCAAGTCAGTTCGTTATTCCCTTCTTTTTATTTGTAGTTTTACATTTCGAGCAACTCACATTTCGATGGCCTCGGAAGTGTTGTAGGAGTTTGATTTCGCGCAAAGCGCGCTTGGCCAGGATCTTTTTGCTGAAGACATTTGTGACTTTCTTGATGGCGACGCCCTCGTTTGTCTGGTTGTTAACAGCAGCGCTAATTGAAAAGACGGAATCGTTAGTTGGATAAGTTATACACTGTCTATTACAAGAAATGAATAGATGAGCGCATTCGTAGCGCCCTGGTGGGAAGGGTAGTTGTTCACGCACCAGACAATACCGTAGGCTCCCTGTCCTAGCTCCTTGGTGACGGTGTATCGTTCATCAACAATGAAGTCTTGGTTAAAAACCTTGAAGACCTTACGTCCCTGTAGGTCTGACATTGTGGTATTTAGTGGTGTTTAGTCTTTGGTATGGCTACTTTCGAATGATGCAGGTCGTAGATTTGCGATTTCGGGTAGAAATTAGTTGGTTGGGTCGTGATGCGACTCGAAGCTAGCGAGATACACAAAGAGCGACGGATACCAATTGGAAACGGATGAGTCTTTGAATACAAAAGTATAATATCCAACTACTACCAAAGGACTTGTTTATATCAAAGAACGCAAGCCGACTCTTAATGATGTGAGCTTGTCAAAGCTGACGAGAGCGAAATTTCAGCGATGGATAATAAGCAAACTTGAGGCTGATGGGTCGTGGGGGGGGGAGGGATCAACGTTATATTCTTGATAAGATAAATAAAGGGACAGTTCTAAAAGTGTATCTAGACAAGGCTGCCACTTCGAAGCTGTGCATATGATATAGAAGCACGATAGCGATGCGATACAAAAATAAAAATTCAAAGAAAAGAGATTTGGTTATGAAGTATGCGCTGTGTAACTTAAACAGGCAAATACGGCTCGAATGAGTTTGAAGGAGGGGAAAGTCTGACAAAGCTACATAGTACAGGCATCAGGGGTGGAGGGGTGAAGGGGTAGAAGGAGGGGCGCGGTCCATACCTGGAAAGGCAACATTGAATTTTGACAAGGATGTAACTATCCCCCGCAAGGTGGGCAGCGATACGATACAGCTTCTTGTTGGCTAAATATCGAAATAAGGCCCACTCTTCTGGTTCCAAGATAGCGCCAATTGAACGTCAATTGTACCCCTGCTCGCCCTGTAAGCACTCGTTGCCCACCACTGATTGGGCTGAAACTCAATGGTAGATATAATTATTAGCATCTATGGATTACGTATGAAGGATAGTTTATACTCTTAGATATCATGCTACCTTATTAACATACTTAATGCGCTTGTCCGGAGGGCTGAGCTGAGGCCAAGAACAATGGGCACTGCAAGATGTCCCTTTCAATGTTGAAGTTGCTGCATGTGGCCCCCAAAAATCAGGTAGGTACTCAATTCCTGACGTTCAAAGTTCCTGTAAGATGACGCCGAGTTGCTATTTCTGTCTTTACTACCAACTAAACTTACTACTACCTACCCTGGTTACCTGGGAGTGTAAAGTTTCTACATATTCAGCCTTGAACGATGCATTTCGTGGAAAGAACTAGGTATCCGAATTTCGGATTTGACAACTTCCGTGCATGCTCACTACTATTATTGACCTGTCTATAATCTAAGATGAAGAAATGTCTACCGGGTATCATCTAACTATGCGTGTTCATGCCGTCTAGTTCGCATCAGGAAATGTTTGCTCCAGGAAATTAGTCGAGAACCGTTTGCACTGCTCAAACGCCTTCTCAAAAGCTTCGAGCCCGATGTAATACGGGTCCTGCACTACTTCCTTACGGCCCGTGCCGGAGAACTCGCCAAATAACATAACTTTGGCTTTGATAGGTTTCTTACTCCTCTCCTTCCATCGCTCGAGATCCATCAGGTTTGCAGTATCCATCGCAAATATATAGTCAAAATCCCGGAAGTCGCTATCGCGGAGCTGTATGTAACAAAAGTTGTTGGTCAGTTTCAATGTCACTCAAAAAGCTTATCGGCCTGTTCTGCTACTAACCTTGCGTGCGCCATGCTTATAATTCGTGATGCCGTTATCTGCGAGAGTTGACATCGTTCGCTCATCCGGTTCATCACCAGTATGATAGCCTCCTATTATGCAATGCAGTTATTAGCATGAGAGAAAGATATAAAAGATATGAAAGTAGAATATTTCGTACCAGTCCCGCAAGAATCAACCTTATCGATGAGGTTGTAGTAAGGCGAAGACTTATCTTTCACAATGGACCGAAAGACGCCTTCAGCCATCGTTGATCGACAAATGTTTCCTAAGCAAACGAATAGCACTGAGGCCTTTTCTGAATTCGCAGCTGAGCTAGACATCATGAAGTGTTATGAAGTCAAGAGAATTAGAAAGTCGGGAAGTGAGTCGACACAATGCTGCACGATATAATGATGATTTGATACTAAGCAGTAATGTTATGCCATTCAAGGCTTGTCAGATTAGCGAGATTGAGTTTGGAAGATCTTCGGGAACAGGGATTTCATGAAAATTGCCCCGCTTTGCCAAAAGCTCAATGTTTAATGTTAATAAATGCGCCGTGTTTTAAACAGCCCTGGAGGTTTAGCATGTTTAATGTTAAATAGCTTCAAAATGCTGTGAAACCTTCACTTGAGGGATCCACATGACGTGTGAAATGAGCTTGAATAAGTACAATAGAAGTACAATCATGACTATTCAGCGATGACGGGGTGAGTTGCTAAATTGAGTTGCTAAATTTACGACAACCTTACCGATAACATCGTTGCCCTCACATTTCATCCTATTGTCACGAACTTGGCCACTGGAATCGCCCCAAACTACCTATACTCAGTTCTGCATCACCTTGAGATGTACTACAAGACGGACTTTGGCTTCTTACGCGAGGCATAGAACTAAAGATGAATAGACACTACGAATAAACGGCGGGCTTGGTATTTCTTTTCCTTTATTATGCTGATGAAAGGATACAGTAGATTCCTCCGGAAAGAGGGCAGCAGCCTAATTCTTTGGGAGGTACTTGACTCCTGTGCTAGGGCAGTTACCGTCGTCGCTGTTATCCGGGCTCGCCGGTACGAACTGCCCGGTAGCAACTGAGCCATACACGTTGTAATAGTAGTAAACCTGGTTGATGGCACCACTACTGCACCCGACGTACACGGTCTCGCCATTATGGTTCTTGGACAATGCTGCCTGGATGTCGGCCAGCTTGTAGGTCTTGCTTGAGCTGGGCGTGATACCTGCGTCAGCGAGCCATTCATACGTCGGCAGACTCTTGAAAAGGCTGACTGTCGTGTTGAAATAGCTGGGGACCTCTTCGGTAGGTTGGTAGTCGGTGAAACAGTCCGGCTCAAGAGTCGAGACACAAGTACCGTGCTTTCCCCACTCGTGTTCCCAGAATTCCTCCCCGGTGCTGTCATTCGGCAGCCAGTAGGTCTCCATGTAACTCAGGAGATCATCGTTCCCAAAAGATTTCAAAATGCTGGTTATGTTCTTGTAGGCGCGGCGGCTGTCGCAAGTGGAGTCGTATGTGCCGTCACAGTGGTCTGGCCAAAGGCCGTGGATGGTCCATGAATCATCAGGCCCAACTACAGGGTCCGTATCCCAGAATTGGGTCTGTAGCAACGATCCTCCTGGATAATTGAAGCAACAGGTGTCGGCAATCGTGGTGGTGTTATGGCATGATAGCTCTGTCGCACCTGCGCACTGCTTGGGAGCACCGCCGAGGACAATCTGGGCCAGACATAGCCCAGCCAAAGCTTCGGCAGTCAACTTTCGAAGGGAAGTCATATTGTCGATACCTATAATACCACCATTTCCAACAAATATTGGGCGGGGGATGAGACCCTTCTTTAAATACCTACATTTTCCCTTAATCTTTGGCGTCTAGATCAGGGGAATATCGTGAACACAAGAGGGTGTTCTTCCCCACTGATCAGCGTTGCGCTGCAGGGCCCTAGGGCAACACACCTTCTTATCCAGGCATTATTCCCGCCCTAATGATTATCGAATCATGCATCACAGCACAGCTATCTTCCTCTCTAGCTCTCGGTCCGAAATCACCTCAATTACCTGCTGGGTCAATCAAAAGCCTGATAGCTACAGCACGTTTCAAAACGATTGCTTAAACCAACAACATGTGTTTTTCATTGGCACGTGCAGGCCCCCTCCCCACGCAAATCTCTTGACCTGCTAGCTACCAGGTAGGGAGGTAGATGTTTGAGATCTACCCTGGGTATCTAGATCACCTACCTAGTTACCATCTCTTCGCGACAATCGCCAGACCGAGGCAAGATAAGCAGACCGTCAAGTGTCAATTATTTATCACCTGTTCTCTGTACCTTCTCAAGTCAGTTGGCCGAAATGTAAGTCTTTGGAAAAGGAGGTGCCGGTCTTCTTACTAAGAGAGGAGGGAGTCCTTAATAGGCCTAGAGGTCGTTATATTGCTAACCACAAGCAGGCACTTGAATGGATAACGTTAACTATCTTCACCAATATCTTCATCTTACGGCATATATTGGCCGGCCTCGTTGTCTGTCATATCTCCGCCGCGCTATTGATTGGAGCTCAACCCTTAATTGAATGATTACCATCGAGCCCGTGATTGAATTCTTGATGGGGCTTCGCATTATTCGTTCCAATATTATGGCCGTTCATCGTAAATGGAATCTTCAAAATGTCCATACGTTCGATGTTGTCTGACCTGGAATCATCTTCATTGTTACTTCAAGGGTAGGGTCGTGTACCACCGGCCCTACGATGAGCTCTAGATCTATTATAGGAGATCCGGAGTCAGATTGTTGGACTGGATACCTATGGGCCCGTTCATTTACCAAAAGGTCTCATCCGTACTTTCCACGTGGGCTTGGTTGTGAATATAAATGAATCTAAGGAAAGGTCCTATCGTCTCTTTCAATGGCTATCTTTCAGGGGCTGTGTCTGCGCGATGTAGCGTATCCTATTCGCTTGTGGGATTGAAATACAATACGAAATACATAAATGAATGACGTCGCGTCTCGTGTCGAAGGTCTATCAATGAATGCGAGAATTACATAGGTACCGTGGGATATATAGGAGGAATGGGCGGGCCGTAATGTACAGAGTTGAACGGATCGGGGGGCCTTTTCTCGTGCTTTGGATGTCGCCCAGAATCGAAACGCAACAATTTATAATCTCGAAGAATGGAGTGACTCGTGAGTCTGAAGATGATGAGGTGATCGTTCAACACGAAGTAGACCATAGGCTTCGGGGGCGAGGTTAACCAAATGATCAAACGATGGGGGCCAAAAAGGGGGCTCTGAGTAGAGCTCTTGACAAGCCGCCCGCCAATGAACTAGATAGATGATGGTAGGTATATTTCCTGCCTCGGTGGCCATAACAGGCTTTTCTATTCCAAGTTCGTAATATTAGGGGTGATTTCTAAACGTAACCTAGGAGTTGCGTATAGTTATCGTTATGAGGGCCGAATTGCGCTCGCAGTGCCGCGATCTACGCAGCCATCGTTTTCTAAACCGAAGAGGTCTAACATACCTAGGTAATCCAACTTGGAATCAAATGATCTTTTGATTGTAGCCAAGATGGCTGCCCAGATGTTTATGGGTGTATTAGACCGTCCTCGGTGACATCCGCTCTCTACGTCCCATACTACTAGGTAAGCGCCTAGCCTTGGAGGTATATAGAGGATCCTGATCCTTGCCAAATCTCCAGTATCTCACCCGCGGAGAGTGTTATGATCATTTCAGCCCTATAGGAGATGCTGCCTATAACTATCGAATCATTACCGCAGTAGCCCATACCTCCTCGCATAAACGTACGGGAACGAGAAAGCACGGTGGTAGTATAGAGGGTACTAGTAGTAGTAGAGGGGGGCCATTGACTAAATTATGTAACCAAAAGCAGCCTCTATGTTCCAAGACTACAAGATAGAGTTGCAGAATTAAATAGAAGTTTATAAGTTGTACCTATTAAGGTAAGCATTACTTCAAGGCGGCGATTGCTGGCAAGTCAGACAAAGATGCACCCTTGGCATTGGCCCTGGTTCTTTCCGGCGGATCTTAGAATCTTTTGCTCGTGTTGTCGTCGCTCATGTGTATGTATCACCTAGGTATCAAGTATCGTCTTAATGGAGGCAAATGCATAGACAGCTACTAGGTACCGAGGTAGGTAAATCTGATGGAGCTTTTACAGTTGCCATCACATCCTCGATGCTGCCTGCAGGTGGTGGGTGAATGCGTGGTGACTCGTTTTACATAATGAACCACCTCCCTACTGTCCGACCTCATTAGGCCCCCAATGTTCCAATCTCGCGATGCTGCATAGCGAAGGCAAGAAAAAAAAAAAAGGCATTTAAACTCGCATAGCTGAGCCTCGATCCTGCCCAAACTTCTGCCTAGTTGTATCGGTGAGAATCCTAGCCACATTCCGAATTCGTCGGGCTTGTCGCCGCTAGAGCCAATCGGATAGATTCGATCTATACGATCTAGGCTTAAACAGACAACATTACCATGTCAAATTCCACATTAATCTTAACCTCATCGAATAACTTCTACTTGATCATGCGCTTGGAGTGCTTGTACTAAGGTCTAGACTCGGATGCTGCCTACCGGCCCTATACTGTCGAAAATGGTTACAGGGAGGGGAGAGTCATCTGTAGAAGAATCCCATGATGTTTTGTTTTTTGTTCATCTCTTCTTTCAGGGGTTCACGGGGAATAAATACTCTCGTTGCCTCTGCTCTTGTCGATCGTTTCTATAACCTGTCAAGCTCTACTAGTTTATTCACTTGCCTATATCTTCAACCGCAGCATCAAAGAGATCCGTCACAATGCTCACCAACCTCGCCCTCGCATCCCTGCTCGCCGCGGTGCCGTTCGCTCGCGCAACCCCGGACGTGACCGTCAAGGCCCTGCCCTTCGAGGACTGCTCGTCCTTCCCGGGCTACGACGCCGCCGCCAACACTGCGGGTCCCTGGACCATCCAGCTAGTCAACGCCGACAACACCGCCATCGAAGGCTTCAGCGACACCTCCAACTACGCGGTCGCGTTCAACCCTAGCACCGACCCCAAGCCGAGCATGCGATGGGGCTACGTAAGTACTTTCTGTTCGGGAGGCCTCGGTAGGCAGGTGAGAATAGAATGGGCTCTGACCGAACGTGCCAGATCACCTTCCCGCAGCGCAACGACATCGCCAAGACGGCCATCAAGTGCGACGCCGGCGTGCTCAAGGCCTGGGTGTCGACCGACCTGACGGCCGCCGGCGCCCCCACCAACGTGCAGTGGTCGCCGCTGGTGCTGTCGCCGTACCCGTACGACGCGGCGCTGATGTGGAAGATCGAGGGCGACGCCCCCCAGATCTTCGAGCACTACGTCGGCGACGTCAAGCAGGACGGCGTCTTCCTCGGCGGCTACAACGGCAGCACGTCGTGGGGCCTGCGGTGGACGCTCGCCGACGGCGTCTCCACCCGCCTCGACTACTACTACACTCGCTTGTTGGGGCCCAACAGCGCCGACCCGACGACGGGACAGCCGTTGTACGCGAATGAGACTACGGCGTTCATCAAGATTTCCGCGTAGAGGATGCAGGAACGCGGGTTGGCAGGCTTACCTACCTGCATATTGTAGGATGGAGGGTTGAGAGCTTGGCACGTTGGTGAAAGGGATGGACACAAACAGGAGGACTCGCTCGTTTCTTCACCAGGGTACTTGAACTAGTTAAGGATTAACCGCTTCAATTTGTGAGACTGGTGGAAACCCATACTTCTAATAGGTATTAGATACTAATGCGCTAAGATACAATATCGCTATGCTTTATTCCTCCAACACATGCTGTTACAATGTGGCGAGAACCAAAACAATTTTGATAGTCGAGTAAAAACAAAATCTCCCCTAAAAATGACAGTTGGGTGAAAGTCCAGAGTCATGCCTAGCAGTTCTCGGCATGGGGCCATCTCTCCCAGGGCTCTAAGCCGCCCGTATTTATTCCTCCTTTTCTTTTGTTGTTGTTTTCTGAAGCGTAGTCTCCGTGGCCGTAAAGGTTACATTCTAAATTTGCGAGATAGACTTTGAGCAAATCGAAAGGTCGATCAGGTAGACGAACGCTAGTCAGACATCTCTGCCGTGAGTTCTTTCACGTCTACGCGCTGCAATCGTCCACCATTACGACGAACAAATACTTGTGTTCGTGGCCGTAGTCGTGGCCAGGGCCACCATCCTCTCAGCATTAAATCGTCGTAAATGGTGTTGAAGCCGTCTTCAGGCGCTCTGGCCTCGAATTGGTATACCAAATTGTCCAAGTGACCCCAGGCACTGCAGGACACAACCATGTTTGGGTGCCAGCTGTCGAGGCGAATGTTGGATACGATATCCAGAGTCAGGGCGTGGACTTCCAAGTAGGCAATCCATCGCCGTGGCCGTTGCATATCTTGCAGGATCCAGCGCCTGGTAGCTCTACAGGGGGGTTTTGGCTTGTTTGATGAGCTATAAGCTGGCGAGGTGTAGTTATCGACGACGCCTTCTTCTTTGATCACGTTCTCCACCGACCAGTAGAAACCCTCGCGCATCATCTGGGGCACGTCATCGCATTTGACGTCCATTTTTCCAACCCACGAGCGCCCATCTGAGGGCATGATACCGAAGCTTATGGAAACTTTCTCGGGCGCGTCTAAGTATATCTTTCCGTTTCCGGCACTAACGGTCGATGGCTCAGTTTCCACAGCAGATTCGCTCTGGTCATCTGCTGTGTTGACTAGCTCATAGGAAAGGGATGGACCTGAAGAGACATCATCGTCCTCTTTGGTTCGGGATTCTGATACTGTCGACATTTTTGTACTGTTTAAAGAGACAAAAAGGGGAGTTTTTTTTTCTCTATTTCTGTAGATAATGGGAATGCTTTTAGAGAATTGGAAGGAAGCTGGGATATATTTATCTTAAGTAGTATGTGATGAGATGAAGAGAATGTTATGTAGACAGGTTAGCATTTGAGATTAAGTATTCAGCTACCGTGTGACAAACTTTACATTCATCGAGTAGAAGAGAAGACGTGCTTACTTTATTGACTTTCAGTTTAAAATAGACTGAATCTTAATAACTAGGTAACTAGGCAGGTAGGCAGGTACCCGTCTCAATAAGCTTCAGCAGAATGGCCCTATGGACGATATGGGAATGTATTTAATACTATTCAGGACAGGTGCGAGACGGGCTACATGAAAGGATGGGCATCTAACACCAAAGGAATGTAGTTGCCCACAGGCTTTACGAAGGCTTGAGCCTCACGCTACGTAACTATAAGCATAACTATAAGCACTTAACTATATATGATATTTCACAGCATCTTATGCTTCATCGCTTATATCTCGGCCTGCATGTAATTGCACAGTTTAAAGTTGCTGTACACTGTATTAGTTAGTAATCAAATTAGGTACCTTATAGCAACCCACTCACTAAAGCATAGGTGGCTTACCACTATATCTTAGGGATTTTAGCTACTACTAGTAGTACTTGTGCACGGTTTCCAACATGGATCCTCCACACTGTGTGGCTACCCTTCAAGCAAAAGGGGTGGATGTCACGTGGGCACCTTAAGCACACACAGCCAAATTGGCAGTACCCCTATTCTAGTAGTTGACAATATCCTTATATGGCAGCCTTACAGTAAAACCCAGTAAGAAATTTGTATCAGTTTTCTAAAATTCTCTTCCTCAGTTCTGCCAGGATGTGGGCGATGAATGATATTGTGGGACTAACTAATTAGATGCACTAGAGGTAATGGACCCTAACCTAGTACTATATAGTCCATACTTGCTAGATATTCTACCAAGTGTCGGGCTCACACCGTAACCTTGAATAGGTTATGAATACCGGAAGCCTTCCTTGGCGCAGTTGGTTGACGTTGGTTGACCTTCGTCCTCTCTGGTTACACGAGCCCGAGAGCTAGACTTGGTGTACCTAGCAGCGAGGCAAACAAACAAACAAATAAACACATCGTTTCATGGCGCAACAACAGGAAGTCGTACACGCATGGTTCGATTCTGCTTGTGTGCACATATTAACACAAGTTTTCGAGTGACGTGCTAAGCCAATACCACCAGAGTTCATAAGTGCCACACAAGAGCCACTCCAGGAGTTAAGCGCTATTCAGCCGACTCAACAACACCACCACTACCACGATAGTTGATAACCCTTCGTCACTCGAGGGGATCCGCTATTCTTTCCGACCTGAGGGGAACTGAGGGAATACCATTATCATCCACGCTTGCCAGGCAATCCGCCGAGTGTGGGGCTCCACACTTCACTTTTTGCCCTTCATCAGGAGGTAGTTAACAAGATCATACCTTTGATATAAGCTAATGTTATAGGAGTCCTTCGTGGCTGAGCTGAGATACATAAGGACTTGGTTACGAGAGCAGTCTTCGATCCAGCGAGATAGAGAGTGCGTCCCCTTTTGGCAACGAAATATCTTTATTCAAAACTGTTACTCTGTTTTAAATGCTAGCAGTATATTAACCAGAATGCTTACTCCCTTTACCACATAGTATCTCTTTCATCTTTCAAGAGATACCTTAGAAGTGAGCGGGGGTTTCCATCAAATTCCATGAAACTCGGAAGTATCTACCCTTCTAACTCAAGGGTGTTTGATCATGGGGCAAGAAAATTCCGACGAGGCGCTTGTATGCAATAGGCTGTAGGAACTCACCCCTTCCAATCAAACTGTATGCCCGAGTCTATGGTGTTCAGATTAACATAGAGAAGCATCCCAAGAGGCTTCCCCGCATCAAATCGGGAACAAGAATCAAATGCCGAATTCAAACGTGATAATAAGTTATAGAATGGTATGATATCTTTCGTAACAGTTCCCGATATGTGTTATGTGTTCATGCTCGCTTCATAAGTGGATAATATACAAACTGCTGTCAGCATGCATACCTACCCAGGTGGTAAGCAATGCCTTAGGCCGGTGAGAAAACAAAAACAATCTGATAGTTACACATCACAATTACTGGCTGAAAACACACGATAAATGAGTTGGAGCATGCACTGCTGTCCCAGTACTAGCTGAATACAAAGTTCAGATCCGGACTCGGGCAAAGAAAGTTCTTGGCAAGTTTTCCCGATCCTGCCCGGGTACCTATGATATGTCTGCGATACCCTTGCACGAAGGGTAGATACTGTCACGAAGGGGCAAGACAAAATAGTGGCGAGTATCTTTAAAGCTGAGAATTTCTAAGGGTGGTAAAAGTCCATTCGAGAGGGGAATGGTCGCTGATAATGAGTATAGTGTCATTATCCAGGACCCGAACGACCCGTGTTGGTGGCCGCTGGTACGACCAACCAGCTGGTTGGGGAGAAAAGCTGGCGCGGCATTCCGCTTATTATAGGTTAAATTATAATAAATTCTGGGTCATGCGGATGTGATCAAAGCCACCTACCTATCTACTAGGAGCCATCATCTAGTAATCTAGTACCTAGTCTCTGACGAAACTGGATATGATGCCGTGTAAGCACTCGGAGCGCCGATGATATCAGGTGAATGCTATGGACAACGGACTGTGTTTGATTATCATCAGCTACCATACATTGAGACCGGTCAGATATGCTGTGGCGGTGGAACTGGGATCTCGATCGAGTTCGATGATCATGCTATTCATGGCCTACCTTAAACTTACTTGCTTACCTAGGTAGGTTGGGCACCTATGCAAAACATGGAAACTCACTAATAGTGATAGCCACCCGAGTTCGACCCCGCTGAGGATATCGTGACGGAAGCTAGAAAGTGGAATTATGTTTTTGACTACCAAGATCTGCCCGGGTTGGGATTTGTAACAGTACTGGTCGGCTGTCCCTGATATTCCACTTGCAAGTATCACGATGCGGAACACAACAGGACCAGTAACTAACTCCCCAATGGGCTTTAGGAAGTATTCCATGAGAATCCACACTTGACGACGTTGATAGCTACCTGTTCTGTGGCTGCCTAGAAACAGTACAACTAACCATGATTTTGTAGAGTGTGCGGTGGCGTTTGTTGTTGGAGCTGCAGCCAGGTTTGTCGTCATCACCGTTGAGTTTGTTGCCGTATGAGAACAAGACGTAGTAGAATGGGGGTTCATGTCGAGTGGCATGGTGGTGTAGTTGGACGAAATCTTAGTTATTCGGAGCGCGTGGGTACGATGATATTAGAGAAACGGAGGCAATAGATTTCATTACAGTGCATATGAAATATAGTGATGTGGTCGGCATGGTACGGTATTCAAGCCTAGAGCTGAGAGCACACCGACAAAGCAACCTGTTAGATGGACTCTGACTTTGCGATGAGGTAGAATGCCCTTTTACCTACAAGTTTCGTGTTTTTACTTGCCCGGGTCGTTGTTTGGATAGCATAGACAGAAGTTCCACAATGTGGTGTTATTATGGTTAAAAGGGGGCAGAATGATGGATATTTTAACGTCAAATTATATAAGCAACAAGATTTTAAAAATGCATCTGAGGTTCGAATATTGTGATTAGAATATGTCTAAATCGCAGACAAATGGTAGACATTTTCATCAATATCCGGAGTGATCTAACTGTAGTAGAACATCTCAACTGGGCATGAATACGAAAAGAAATAATTTTATTTCAATCTGGGTACAAATGTAAGAAATTGTGTTCAAGTGCTATAATCTAAGCGACATTCGTGTAGGATAGACACTTTGGTTGCCTTTAAGCAAAGAAATCAAAGGTGGCATCTGCCACAAGACCCTTCCCCAATGCCAAATACTCCTGGTCGAACGTCTGTCCATCAAAGAGCCTTTTATTGATTCTTGCTTCATATATAGTCTTGGAAATCGACACCACCTTAGTAGACTCATCAGGGTGCTTGGTTGTGAAAGTAAAGGTTATCACACGAACCCCTTCATTCGCAGGAGAATCAGTTAGCCCAAATATGTACCTAGTTACACACATAGTTCATATTAGCACATACCTGACTGCAGGGAAATGCCAGTTTCGATCATCAGTGGGTAGACCAGAGCGAAGCGAAGGTCTTTGTCTGTTATATCTTGGCCGAGCACAATCGTTTCCGTAATGTATCTCTCAATGATTTGCAGTTTCTCCACTGGAACATCCGCGGGGAGATTCACTTGGAGATAATCGGAGACGGCATGTTGGTAGATCATTTTGTCATGATGGTATTCGCCGATCAGCTTTTCATCCGAGGGGGCCGCCGAGTTGTCACGAACCATCATCAGCCTAAAGACGAGTGTTAGCCAGTTTCATATAAGATTTACATATCACCATTTGCTAACCAAGGAGTAGTCCTCGCGAGGTGGTCAACGAGTCTGACACGGTAAGCAGCTCGCTCCCAGCTTGCTTTGAGGCTATGGTGTTCGTGAATATCATCATTGCCAAGTTGCTGTTGGACTGTTTGCTCAATTCTGGGCGCCCAAAAGTAGAGAGTGGTCCATATATCCTCTAAGGGGGTGTCAATGGCTTGCTGCGATGAGGCCGCTAAGATACGGTTTAGGTAGAATATCGTCTGAGGATCGTTGTCCTCTTTCCCCTTATTAACATCATCTCCCACGCTGCTGATTGGTGTTGTGTTTTGCGTGGAGGTAGACATATTGAAATGAAGACTATGAGAATTTGGGTTGAGTAGGTAGGTAGTGGTGAAAATGATGAAGAAACGCAATGGTGCTACTCTATGCTATATAAAACCAACATGGTCAGCAGTCCTCGATTATTATCTTACCTAGGTACCTAACTAGTATACTCCTTAGAGAGGAATGATGCCACAATCTTCGCATTCTCTTTCCATATATCTCTCGGAGTAGATGCCAAGACAGTGCTACATCTTTGGAAGGATACTGTTCGAAGGATTGATTTGGAACTATCGGAAGACATTCAGCTAACCACTTTATACTGACTCCCCACTTTAAAGTCGGGACAAGACGAAATCAAAGAATTAGGATGGAACGAAAATCCAAGAGATTCCATGTGGCAGTACGTTAGATTATACATGTTTGCAAATAAGGGCGTAGAAATACACAGCGCTCATTCCTATAAAGCCTTACAACATCCGACAACTCGTAGACATACTTTTCTATGTTCATCATCCCTCCAAACTACCTAACACATTGACCTGACAAATACTTCTACACAGAGGCCACCACTACTTGTTATTTCCATACCGCAACCATGTCTAAAGTCGTAGACCTCGGAACACTTATCAACCTTGCTAACGTTGGTGTCCAGCCGCCTAAAACCTATGAAGGCATCAATAATGCCGCACAACGCGCAACAATGTCCGACGACGAAGTCGCTCGGAGGGCCGTCGAGGATTCTAAAATAGTTCCCTCCGTGTGGTTTGTCAATTTTCCCACCGTGTTAGCTCAACAGCAACAACACCTGTTAAGACAGTATGAGCAAAGCATCATGGACTACCGTTCCTGGGCAAGTCTCGTTTGGTGGCGTACCGTCTTCAGTGCCCCGGAAGTTCCACAGGATGCTAGCCAGGAGTCAATTACCATCCGTAGTGCATACTGTGCCAGAGTTGCTACACAGCACATGAAGACCACCCCATGGTATGTAATAATTGAATCTCTTCACATCTCCTAGAAAGATGGGCTGACCATGTATAGGCTTGCAATGAACGTCGATCAGAATCAGTCTCAGACTATCGAATGCAGGGTCGAGGACTTTCACAAGGAGCTGATCAGCGCCGTCCTTGCAGGATTCGTTGCAATTCCAGCAGTCATTGAACCCCTTGAACAGATCTTGCAGTCTTTGACACGCACGATCTCACAGACTAGTAGCAGCTCTCAAAACAAGACAATCGTACTTGAGCGTTACGAGTACATGTCTCTGACCAACGAAATCAGATCATGTAAGCACAGGGCACCTAGGTACTGACGATGAAGAGAAAGCACTTGCTGATATATATACATAGATGTTCGACTGGTTTCCTTCGCCGTGACTGAGGACATGAGAAATGTCCAGAATGCTAAGCAAACGGAGGCTCGGGTCAGGTGTACAATCGACTACAATGACTACGAAGCAAACTTCAATCAAAGGTTGTGGAATAATGTAGCGGCGACAATTGAGGCGCAGCAGATAGCGGCCGCGCTTGACTTCGTCAACCAACAAACTATAGACTGCCCTCCTTAAACGGGAGTTGTCAATCCAGAACAAAGTCTTCTGAGGTATTGGGTAGTCACGTGGTATAAACGTCCACGTGATACCCTGATGGGAAGTGCGTTTACATTGAGAATTTGGAATTCGCCGTTCGTTACATTGGGAATTGGGATTTGGGATTTGGGAATTTGGGAATTTTGGAATTTGTCATTCTTTCACACTATATTTCTTACTTTGTCAGTACAACTCTCGCTACAGCTTTGGCTAAATAAATATCGAATTCCAAATCGCTCTCTTGCTACATATGTACCTACCCAGTAAAAAAGTTGTCAAGTAGACCACCCGATAAGTAACTACCTCCTCGTTATAAAATTTGGTCTTGTGCTGCCAACTGTGAGAAGAAAAGGAGCACATCACTCTTTCTCATCCAGATACCCAGAGGCCACCACACCAATATAATCCAAGCCATGCCGCAGTCTTGGTGGCACAAGCTGATAAATCGCAGCCACTGGTTGTCGTAATTGGTCAAGATGAAAGGCAACGAGGTAATGACGCAAGGGATGTCTCACAACAAGGGGGATAGAATCGGCCGACGTGCTAATACGCGCCCAGTAGATTAATATCAACTCGATAAACATTCACTCAAACACCTTCCCAAGATATCTCTTCCTGCTATCCTCAAGATGCCCTATATCATAGATCAGTTTACTCAATTGTATCCCCCAAAGCCTCACTTCACTGAAAAGGACCTCCCATCTCTTTATGGCAAGGTGAGTTCCTTCAAGACTAAGCTTACCGACCTACCTACAATCAACCCGCGTTCCGAAGCATCCCTAACTATACCAGGTCTACATTGTCACCGGGGCCAGCAGCGGCGTAGGCAAGGATCTGTCTCAACTACTCTATTCGAAAGGCGCCAAAGTCTACGTCGCGGCCCGCTCGCATAATAAAGCCACGAAGGCGATCAACGACATCCAAAAGGCTGTTCCATCCCCCGGGGCCGGAGAACTCGTATTCTTGCCGCTGGACCTGTCGGACCTGGCTACCATCGATGCATCCGCGAAACAGTTCCTCGACCGCGAAGAGAAGCTGCACGTCTTGTTCAACAATGCGGGGGTGATGAACCCGCCACCAGGGTCGAAGACGGCCCAAGGCTACGAATTGCAACTCGGTGTTAATTGCATCGGCCCTTACCTCTTTACGAAGCTCCTCACGCCTACACTGGTTAGGACGGCCAAGACGGAGCCCGCAGGTACCGTCCGCGTCGTCTGGGTCTCGTCGATAGCCATCGAGGGCGGCTTCAGCCTCAAAGGCGGCGTCGACATGGACAACCTCGACTACCACAAGGAGGTCCCCGCCGGAATCCCGTACGCAATCAGCAAGGCGGGCATGTTCTTCCACGGGACGGAATACGCGAAGCGGTTCAAGGCTGACGGAATCGTCAGTGTTCCACTCAACCCTGGCATCTTGGACTCACCCCTTTGGCGCCGACAAGGAAAGGTGGCCAACTTCATCTTTAAGACGCTTCTGTTCCATCCTACTATGTTTGGTGCATACACGGAGCTATTTGCCGGTTTGTCTCCAGACGTGACGATGGAGAGGTCGGGACAATGGGGTAAGAGACACTCTACTTGGGAGACCTTGATGATGGAAAAGTTTGAGCTGACGTTACCTACCTACTCATTAGTGATTCCGTGGGGCCGATTCAAACCTGTGCGAGCCGATCTTTTAGCTGCATCTCGATCTACGACAGAGCCTGGGGGGACAGGAACGGCCGAGAAGTTTTGGGAATGGACAGAAGAACAAATTAGAAAGTACCTCTAAGGAGGTGTGCACACTTGGAGTGATATTGTAAAAGATATCGCATGTTAGCTGTCTATATGTTTCCTAGGGCGAGTTGAGACGATATTTCCGATTGATAACCTACGAGGTATCCTTCTATCATTCGTCTCTATGACGATAATAATCTCATTGAAACCTAAACTTCAATTTCGCTATCGGCTTCATAGGTTACAAATTCTTGCTGTGAAGATTCTTGGCCCCACCAACATCGCCTGTCCCAGCAGTACGGCACCGTAAGGTAAGTCGGGGTTAGCTAGTGGGACGAATCCACTTAATCACCATCCACTAGAGACAGGTCAGGAACAAGACGCACGAACCATTTCATCCTCAATTGTAGAAGAGAGACTGATGAATAATCATGGAAGTAACGAGTTCAAGATTAAAGTCATTCTTCCGAAATACTTATTATGTGTTTACTTGAAGTTTATCACTCGGTGTGAAGTTACACACAATAACATAAAAAGGGGGGCAAACGAAAAAGAAAAGGGGTAAAGTTCTAAGGTTAGTAAAAAGCCGCACAAATAAGCGAAGGAAAGAAAAGCGAAAAAGGGACAAAAAAGATAGAGAGGCCCCGCCGAGGATTGAACTCAGGTCTCAGGAAAACTTGAAATTAATCAGATGTCACTAGTAAACTGTTAGGATCATAATTCGTTTGGGAGGAATTCATTTTTTTTTTTTGGGAACTTACAAATCCTGCGTGCTAACCACTACACTACGCGGCCGTTTGTCGTCTGGTCTTTTCTGGTGCCAAGACATGCGAGTACTTGTGTTAGTTTGCCTTAAGCCCTAGCTTCTGCCACCAACGACACAACCATACTTAGGTACCTTTGACACCATTGAACTCACATGTCCTTGTCTCGACATCGTGCTTACATCCCCAATATGCCATGCTATCAGTCACACAATAGTGAAAAGGGAGGGGGAAATAGCGAAGCACAGCAGATACATTCGGTACCCTAGCTAACTAGGCACTGACCAACGAACTTCAACCTAGATATCTAGCTGGTAAGCTAGGATTATGTTTCACAAGCAATGTAATCGAACAGTACGCCACCCGAGAGGATATTGTTTTCGTTAACTATCTACCTACTAGGTAAACTGCACGCCTTTAAACTAGAGTTATCAAGCACAAAGAAGCCAAACCCCTAAAACTAGCTAAAATCACTGGGTATGTGCTTATCTTCGAGGGCGTCTGAGGGCTCTGATCCCGTAAGCTTACTGGCCTAGTAAGTGTCCGAGAAACTATCGCCTCGCCATAGGCAACGCGGAATAACCCTGGAAGAAGGTAGGAACTGTGAGTGAGTGGGCAGTAACTACCCCTAGCTTGGAGCGCCTATTTCTTGGGGACCTTGTCGGTGATAGGCCCGCGAGACCTGGGAAGAATCTGAGAGAACCCGCCACCGCAAGTGACGTACCGCAGGCTGAAATCCTCTTGAGGCTCTTCAGTCTGGTATGCAAGCCTCTGCCCACGGGGACCAACGTTGCCGGCTGTTAAGTCGCCGGGAACATTGGCGTTGGGGCTATTTCTACTGGTCTCCTGTTTAGTGGGAGTTATGGCATCCTCCTCCTCCTTCACCACCTCCTCCTTCACCACCTCCTCCTGCTCCTCCCCCTCCTGCTCCTCCCCCTCCTGCTCCTCCCCCTCCTGCTCCTCCCCCTCCTGCTCCTCCCCCTCCTGCTCCTCCCCCTCCTCCTCCTCCCCCTCCTCCTCCTCCTCCTCCTCCTCCACTTCATCCTCATTCACGACGATATCATATTGGAGTTTGGCTCTGGCCTTCAATTCCTCAAACCTTTGTGTAAACTCCTGATCGTTGAGTTTCAGAGCTTGGAAAGGCCCGCCGAACATTGCCGTCCCGAGATGGGCATATTGAAATGGTATTTCAGGTATCTCGCGCATATACCGAAGCGCAAGGACGGTCATCTTGATGGAAGCAGTAGTGCGTTCTGTGTATTTTGTCAGCTAGTTTTCATAACATACCTATGTTTAAGTACTTCGTAAGGGGGAGTGGACATACCCTTTGGGCAAGTAAGGTGCTTAAGGATGTACGGTGGGGTATTGTTGAGCGCGGCTTCAAGCTCGGCCAGGGCATTCTGGCAATGATCAACTTCCCGCTGCTTTTCGTTCCAGATTGCCGTCAGGGGGAAAAGTACGTCGTCTGAAATTGTTGTCATTTTGAATGTGGTCGTTGTTGTCGTGTAATATTTTCTTTCGGTAAATCAAAGGAGTAAACTAATGTCTGTTTGAGATATTGGAAGGTAGAGAAATCGATGAAGAGATTGCTGCAGGTGGCATTCGACACGGAAATTTTAGTAATTTATTCAATTCGGTGCCGAACAAGTGTTTTGTCATGTCTAGAAGTCGTCACTAGAGCGATGTCTATGAATCCCTTATGGGATTATTGGGTTCAATGAATCTGTTCCAGGACGACTGCAAACAAGAAGAAGAAAGATGGAAAGAAGAAAGCTTGCCATATTCTAGACTACACTGGCGGATTGCCAATATATGACTGTCCCAGTGGGCTTAGGCACCTGCAACAGAATCAGTTTCACCCCTGTGACTTGTTGGCTGGAGTTTGACAGAACGATTTCGTTGGAACTACGGCACTCTCATATAAGAAACAATGAATTAGTTTCCCGACAGTGCCAATCATGAAAGGAGTAGCAGATTGATTTCATAACAATAAGACAAAAAGGCCCCGGCGAACGTTTCTCATTGTTCAGACGCCCCAATTCGCTACAAGCCTAACATGCAATAGAACATCACTTTTCTAATATAACCACCTGGGAGATAGGGGCAAACTCATAGGCTAAACGCAGAAGTATGCTAGCATCCGGTACAGTACTTGTCTAGCCAGTGAATGAGTTTCATGAAGTTTCGATCGAGTATGAAATTGTTGACCGTAGCCAAACATGTTTTCGCCTAAAAGTGGCTCTAAACAGCAAAGAAGAGAATAGGTATTATCTAGGGAAAGGGGGGGAAGAAGATTAAAAGAAATAAAAGGGGGTGGAATGTAGAAATGCAACTAAGATTCCGTGATTTAACCGAAAACTACTTCTGTTGAATTATAAATCGCCTAAATGCGGATCTAAACCAATCAAAGTATGGTGGCATAACCACCGTTTGGTGACGGGCCTGTAACTCAGTGGTAGAGTGCTCGCTTCGCAATCCCATCGTAATATCTGCGAGAAGTCTAGGGTTCGACTCCCTACTGGTCCAAATCTGCTTTTTACTTTTTACTTTTTCTTCTTCCTCTAGTTCCATTATCTTGATCTTATAGCTACATATGTATGTAACTACCCTAGGTTAGATACCTACATATGTAGGTAGATAAGTTTCATTTTTGGATTGATTGAGTTGTTTTTTAGCAAGTCGTATGATATCATTTAGATATAGGACTACACCTTAACATATGCGAAACTGACTTCTAAGGCCCTTTCGCCAAAGAAAAGGAGATACGGAGGAAATTAGACTTGCCCTTTAAGCCTGCCACGGTTTATGGCACCTACTAATCACGCTGGCCTATACATTCAGGTAGTCAAGCTTACGATACTGTCACCAGTCCCACCAAATATTCGCTGCGCGACTTATCGGAATGACTGCTTGCCCTTTGACGATTGCCACGACAAATACAGTACACCCAACGCCAATAATAAACATCCGAGCCAGCATCGAGTCCGAGAATGGGCCATAGAAACGATTTACCAGGGTTCCTCTTCCTAGCCATGATAATCGAAAACACATAGGCATGTAAAAATGATAATACTAGGCTAAACATACATACATACCGATGGGCTTGATCAGGTCCGAATAGAACTCAAGTCCCATGGTGCATTGGTGGCATGTTCCCATTCACTTCTAGCTAAACATCAATCCTCTTATGGGCAACACTGATATACGAGAAGAACATGTGCATTGACTTGCGCAACTATGTGACAATTTACTTCCCGTCCGGCGTCAAGTTAGCCTATAAGACTCATGTACGACTCAGCAGTAAGATCCTCGACGTTCAACCCGGCCTCTCCTTAACTCAGAGTTATCGAAGACGTCCCGTTGCTCGTAGTCGATCCGCTGGTATACCCTTCCGTGGCGACAATCACTGCAAGTAGGACCCGTGAGTTAGCAACCTTACACCTTACACCTTGCATCCATCCATCCATCCATCCATTCCACAACCCTAGGTACGAGAAAGCAGAAAGCAACTTACTATAATCATGCCCCCCCAAGTTCAACCCCAGCTTCTTCCACTCCTCGAAGTGTCTGCCGGTGGTAATGGTGCCGCCGACCCTCTGCTCGGAGCGGACGGACCAGTACTGCTGGAAGGTGGTGGTGCCGATGATGGAGGGCTTGTTGACGCGGGTGCTGGTGAAGACCTCGTACGTGCCCTCCTCGAACGTGAAGTTGCCCTTGGACGTCCACGGCTCGTTGGGCAGCAGCTCCCCGTGCGCGTCCATGATGTAGTACTCGATCAGCGGGTTGCGCGTCCACCCGTACACGGCCAGGTAGCTGGGCCCGTTGGGCGTGTAGGTGCCTTCGTATTTGACGGCTCTGATGGGTGGGGGGGGAAAGAAATGTTGGTTAATGTTCCTCGGGTCACCTAGGGAGCCATGCTTCCTTATACAACAGCATCCGACTCCAGTTGATAACTCACCTGTTGCCTCCGGGGCTCCACCCCTTTCCACACACGAAGCCGCTCGAGCCACCGCTGCTCTGCCACGTCACGCTGTAGGCGCCGCCGCCGCCGTTGTTGCATCGGAAGGTGCCGCCGCCCTCGGACCAGGAGGACCAGAAGTAGCCTCCTTGACGGGCCTGGATCGCGTTGCCCTTGTTCTCATCGCCGTGTAGAAGATCTCCCAGTTGAGGCACCGATCCCGAGGGTGCGCCAAAGACCGTTGGGATCAAGGCCATGGCGGTGAGGAAGAGTGAGGACAACATCATGGCAGTAGGTGTTTGAGATGCGTTTGTGATGCGATGTGGTTGACGATTTTAGTCTTCTTCGGTCAAACAACCAACCTTTTTCGAAGCAAAACATTCATTCACTCGCTCACTCATACCAACTTATATATACTTCTCCATATATTTAGGCGCCTTCCAACTTTCTCTCACCCCGACCCTAAAAGGGGGAAAACACATTTTAGCCTGAAGACCTCGTGGCCCCCTTTCCAGGGTTAGGTAGTCTCGGGTAAGACCGTCGGACTAAATTGACTGCAACTCCCCTCATTCATCAGAGCCAATTGGGAGTTTTCGTCTATGAGCTTGGTATGATGGGCTCAGTGTTTTTGATGCCCCCTGGGCACGACAGAGCGGTTAACTTGCTGGATCTGGCCCCGGACAATAGGAACGAAAACATGGGGTGCAGCGTTCGAGACCGAGTTGGACACCACCAACCTCTCCAGACTGGCCCGCGTTATATAACTCGACAAGCAGACGTGATCTTGATTGGTGGGCGGGCTGGGGTATCTGATGTTCAAGTATATCTAAATATGTGGTTAACTTCGGCGAGCAATTATCTGGATGAAGACTACCTAGAAGGTCAGGCACCTGAAGACCTATTTAGTTTTATAGATGGTACGTTCTAGCCCAGGACCGGACAAGCGGCACCAGTTTAATATTATAACTACTTACCTAGGCAGAGAAGACTGGGTAAGTCTTTGAAGTAGGAGTAGGCTGGTAGGTACTAGGTAGGTAATGCGGCTCAAGATAGAAGCTTGCCAACTTGAAGTGAAAGAGAATGCTGGAAAGTTCCTCTGCAGACCACCATGGCTCTGCCAATTGTCGACCTACTCTGACAGCTTTACACAAAAATAGGTATCTATAATAATTGGCACTATGAACGGAGTATGTAAGGTTAGACAGATACGTGGCTTAGAGCCATGAAAGACGTATTAAATGATTATTCCATCCACAACGCACATCACCTGCCCTTCCACCATCCCGCCATCTCTGGGTTCGAACACGGACCAACTATCAACTTGAAACGCATTCCTTTCCCTTCCCTTCACTCTACCTCACCTCAAGCAACCCTTAACCTCGTTTCATCCTTTCATCATTCATACTTCATCACTCATTCACAAAGAAAGAAAAAAGAGGGGGTTGCGTATTTCATGGTAAATCAAAGTCTCGGGATATCAAATCTTCATCATCCTTTTGGTATCTCTTCGCGCAGCCCTAGGTACCTAAATTACCTAACCAACCATCCCACCGACCCAAATCAATCGTCTCGTTGCCAAGCTCAGGCTGCAATACGTGCCATGCCGTAGGCAATGCCAATGCCAATATCTTGCTCTTATTTCAATCAATGCCCTGAGAAATCTTCGTAGAAAATCAAAATGACCGTAGTCATTTACCTCCCCTTATTACTATGCTCTTTTGCGTCGTCCTTTCTCTATAAAGAACATAATACAGAAGAAGGGAGAAAGGTATAACATGATGTACTAAAGAGTCCAAACGCCTGCGAAACGTCGCAATTAATATATTTAATGTTTACGGCCGACCCGGCAGCCGTATTGATGTCAGCCGTCGATTCATTCGTTCATCCGTCCAACTTCTTGAACTCAACGTGGAATGGTGAAGTAGGCGATATAATGTCAAGGTACCGAGCACGCTTCTCCTAAAAGGTCTCGGACTCTTGGCTAATAACGCTGGAGGGACTGGCAATCGAGCCGAATGTATCTGGGATTAGTTAGCAAACCGGGCCTCGAGTTCAGGAGCATGCTATGGATGCCGACTGACCTCGCTTTCGCCTTCTCTCCTCCCCGTCCTCACTGCCCCGACTCGGCGTCATTGCTCTGGGCCCACTAGGTCTTCGTGCGGGTACTCCAAGGGCTCCGCTCAGATTTCGGTTCTCCAACTTCGGGCTACTGGAGTGGTAGCTTCCGGCATGCGTGGCCGTGGCTGTACCGTAGCCGCTCTCGACACTGTGATAAGGCAGCGGGCTACCTTGAGATTTCTGTAGCTTGTTCACTCGGTCGTGTTGAGCAGGAGTCTGCGAAAGGGAAGGGGATTGGCCATCTAGCGGCTCCTTGGGAGGTCGTGGTGGTCCCTGATGGTTAGGCGATATCTCTTGCCAATTGTAATCATCGCCCCCATGGCCAGACTGCATTGCGCTGTTGTCGCTATATCTGTTGGCGTTCTGCCTGGTAAGAGAGCTGACCGAGCCAGCCCAGTCAGCTGATCTCGGTGACATAGGCGTGTCGTAATCTTGCGCCGACGTCTCGAGTGCGGTTCGGAACCGTTCCGTCTGCCCCTGTCTAGGTTGGGGATGTTGCAAGTTCAGAGAGTTGCGATGGGCCCTATATTTAGGATCTTCTGGAGTGGCGTATGGAATTGGTGCAAACGCTTGCTGCAGTTGGGGGTTCTGCATCTGAGGCTGCTCCATTGCGGGAGTGCTCGGCGTGTTTTGCATGTTGCCACTCGCGGGGGCAGGGCGTAAATCTTGCTCCGAGAAACCAGAGTGTAGCTTGTCATTGTCATAGACATCCCGAGGCTGGTATTGATCATAGTTGACTAGATCTGAACCTGACCTTGAGGGAGGGTGCTGTAAGAAATCCTCTGGGGGATCATGCTTCTTAGAAGCACCACTACTACGGAAAACTCTGCCGAGGCTTGATGTCGTTGTCTCTGACCAACGCGAAATCTTGGGGAAGAAGCTAGAGGAACCCCGAGATTTGTGCTTCTTGCTCTCTCCAGTCTGAGGCGTGTTCTCATTACTCATTGAGTAGTTGTGCGCCTGCGAGCTCTGCTGAGGCGGTGTGCCCAGGGGCACTGACCCACCCCTAGGCCTCTCTTCGCTGGGAGACATCATCCCGCCATGCATCTCGTATTGACTTGATGGCGGCATGGGATGGTCATTGTACTCATCCTCATCCTCAGGCACGGTGCTAATGCGGTGGTCTGAGAATTTTCGATCATTACCCATCTTATTAGAAGTTCCACGAGACTGGGGTATCGAGAGGTGTCCCGATTGGCTTGCATGGCTAGCGGTCGATGTTCCAGCATGGCCCTCGGGCTCATAGCCTCGATCTTGCTCATACTGAACCTCTGGCTGGATGTTATCAATCGAGTGAGCTCGCGTGCTTGATGGGCCCATTGGGCCGTTGCTCTGATCTTTGAGGTCGTGAACATCGGTAAGTAGCTGGTTCAGCATATCCTCAATTCTGCCCAGGTCGTTTGCACCCTTGGAGCCGAGGCCCTGAAGTGCTCGGCGGAGAAGATTGCGCTTCTTGACATTAGTGTCCTCGGTACCGGCTTGGGAACCCTGGATAGATCGTGCACTGCTTCCAGGGAAAGGTCGAGGTCCGCCTAGGTGACGCTTAATTGACTTCTCGGTATTGTCCTTCACCTCATTGACGATCTGGTCCTCGCTGTCTACTAGCATTCTCTTGATATCCTCAAAAGAGTTGCGCATTTCTGCCGCAGACCGAACGAGAGTAACCAGGATCTCAGTATCACGAGCACTTCGCTGCGCATCGCGAACCATAAGCTGCACACAAATTAGCTTTAATCTATTGTTGTCAATCAATATATGTGGGTCTACTTACGTGCTCCATCAAGGCAATGATATCTTTTGATTGAATCCTGTCGATTCCGTTTCCAGTAGCGGAGTCGTAAAGGGGGGATCCCATCGCCTGGGAGAGCCCAGTAAGATGCCTCGTATCCTTTGGTGCGTAGAACGGATCTTCATTTGATCGGTTTAGCATGCCGATATCTTTGCCTTGACCATCGGATCTATCGCGTGCGTCATTTGGTGCTGCAGAGATATATCCTTCATCACCTCCACCTACTCCGGGACTGCCGGTGTGAAACCCGCCTCTGTAGGCATCTGCTCCATATCCAGAAGCACCTAGCATGTTGTCATCTACTCCAGGTAAGTTGGCAATCGGGCTGGTCCCCTCGTAGGGGTTTGTGACCAGTGTATCCCGCTTGCGGTCGACAGATGTTCTCTGCCACTCTTCATCCTGATCCTGACTAGGCTGACGGCTGTGCGATGTAGCGAGTGCTCCTGCGGTTGCAATAGTGGCAGCAGCAGCAGCGTCTGAAATCCCTAGGCCTTGGCCGTTATTTGCCTTGGGCGTTACCGCACGGTCATAGGCATGAGACCTATCCTGCACTGGAGTCTGCACTCCTGACCAGTTTTCCCTATCGTGCTGGGATCCATCTAGTGGTCCCTGAACTACTGACGGGGTTTGCTCATCATAGCCATAGCCGATCTCGGGCATCGGATCTTCCATGTCAGGAAGGCCACTAGCTCCTAACCTGGGCTGAGAGTAATCCGAAAGGCGATCGACGCTGTGACGTGGGGTGGCGTCTGGTCGGTACCCAGTCTTGGCCCGTTCTTTGAAAGATCGGTTGCGTGAAACGCCTTCACCAACAAACTCGTCATCCTTCGATTCAGTATTTGCGCCTTGCTGGTCTTCATTCTTGCGTTTGAGAGCCGCAGCCGCGGCTCGTTGAAGAGCAACACTTGTAATGGCGTTCTCGGAGGCTGTGGGGGAATTGCGGTACTTAGATAAGGGTACCTTTTGGCCGTATTCATTAAGCTCGTACTCTGAAAACTCTCGAGATGGAGCCGGCGAATGCTCTTGCTGCTGTTCGAATGCTTCACGGCGGCTCTCCACAGAGCGTTTGGTTGGGCTCACTCCCCTTGACCTGGTTCTATCGTCGTAAGATAGAGAGGAGTCGCGATAGTCTTGTCTGGCACCCCCAGATCCGCTCAAGAGGGAAGGATCCAGCTGCGAACCCTCTACTAGAGATGCGACAGCAGACTCGGGAGCAAAGTTCGGGTGCACCATTTCGGGGTTTCCACCGACAACATGAACTGCTTGTCCTGATGTCACTCGATCCAACTCGCTGTCTTCGGTATATGTGGTATTCCTGTAACCCACGCCTGAACTCATGACGCTGCTAGCCTCGTCTGCGAAAGCATGACCTCGCAAATTACTAGGAATTGAACTTGGAGAGTGGAGATCTCGGTCGTGGTATAGTGATTTCTCTGGAGACGAAACTTCACTTGCAGTGTGCAACGTTCTCGAATCCCGGTTAGCGTGAACATCACTCTCCCCCTCGGTGTAACCTGATACACTCTGAATGGGACTTAAACCACGCCTCTCTTGCTGATAGGGAACGTAGCGCAATGGTGCTGGAACGTCCTGGGATCCGTAGAAATTTTGCATGGACGGGTCATCATCGTACATGCCAGGCTCGGCAAGATGGCCCGCATCATCATAATCATCGTCATATTCTTCATGTGCAGCATAACGGTTCCCGAGCTCATCAGTTCTATAGTCTTCTCGGTATTCATTGTTTGCTCTGCGGGGTAGAGCTTTGAGATCGCCGTGAGATATGTTGGCATGTTGAACTCCTAAGGTCTGTAGTGTGTGTGCAGGAGATCTTGACGGTGTAGGAGTTCTCTGAATAGAATCTGGTGAAGCAATATCTCGAGAGAGCTCTCGGCCCGGGGTCATTTCTTCACTGGCAGAGTGAGGTCGGTCCGTCTCTGCTGATAATATCGAAGTTCGGGTTATTTCGGAAGGGTTGATTTCGCTCTGCAGAGGCATGGGTGGCACTACCTCATGATCATCATCGTAGTCGTCGGCATATCGTTCACCGTTGTCGCGCTTTGGCGTTTCTGCGCGTCTCCTCCTTCGTTGCCTCTTCTCATCGCCTCTGGACCTAGATCGTAGGGCAGCACCCGTAACGGCGGCCCCCAGAGCAACATCTGTAAGCTTGTCGATGGTGTCGCGGCGTGGTGTGAGTTCTTCATCAGGGATGTCATCAACAACGGAAACAAGCTCAATGCTACTTTGAGGCGATAGGTCGTTTCTAGCTTCTCTATCTCGTTTATCTTTTGCCTTGGCTGCTTGGGTGGTATCGGCAGGTTTCCTCTTACTCGTAACCGCTATATCCTCACGGGATGCAGAGGTGAGGCTAGACAAAGATTCCCGATCTCGTGGTCTTCGAGTTTCTCGTTGACTTCGTTCTCTTTTGATGGCATCTAATTCGGGTAAAATGAGTCGTCGAATAGCATCTTCGACAGTCTCGAGAAGCTTGGGGTTATTGATCGACACCTTAGAAGAGGCATGTGAATCATAGGAGCGGTGGCTGGCGGTAAATTGTGATGAAATGTTGCTGGAGTCAGCGGCTGAGACCAAAGATTCCTTGTTGTTGCTGCCCTTGGATCTGCGTCTTTCATTCTCTTTTTCACCGGAACTGCTTGTTCTACTCTTTGACTTGTGTCTTCGTTCTGGCTTGCTTGCCTTTTCAACTGCCTTTTGCATGACACTCAGATCGTGGGTGGAACCTCGAACCTTACGGTTGACCCTCTCGGTTGTAGCGGGAATTTCGGGGCGTGTTGGGCTTCTAGCCCGCTTCTCATTTGCCGATGTGCCACCAGAACCATCAAGAAAACTATCAGATGGGATTGCTGATATGTCGGACATGTTAGGTGCCTGATAAGTCGAAACTTTGCTATCCGATGCAGGTATCAGTGGGCTCGACACCTTTCGGCGGCGATGATGGCTTCTGGAGTCGATTTCTACCTCGATGGGGTTACGCGAGACATTAGACTCCTCAGTTGCAGACGCGTAGGAGTGCATGCTCCTTGCATCTTCTGGGTCCGTCATGATGTCTAATTCACTCCGGGTCATATTAGGGCTTGCGGTCGCCCTTCTAGACGAGGATGCTTTTCTCGTACTCTTAGTCTCGGTGATCTGAATATGATCGTTCTTCCCACGAGTCTTAGAGGGAGTTACTCGCACACGAACGCTGGGTTTGCGCTCGGCAGAACTTGAACTACCAGAAGGACCGTTCTTGCCGCCTTCGAAATATTCAATTAGTAGTGAGGTTTGAGAGCGATTGGACCTGTGACCACGGGTCTTGATGGTAACAGGTGTTCCGTCGTCAGGAAGGGAATAATGAGATATGTCGTCGTCGGCAGGTTTTGACACATCGGAAGCAGCAACTTCGGTAGGTGTGCTAACGTGGGACTCGGTCTCGGTCGGGGCGGGCAACGGGGGTGGATTTTGCAAGTCGACTCCCATTTTGCTGCCCGAGAGTGCGTCTAGTTGTCCAAAATATGCGGCCTCGCCTCAACTTGATTGGCCGCTTCCTCCCTGGCCAATCCTCTGGTTGCTCGGTTATGTTTACCCCAGTGAGTTGGTCAAGCGGTGAACAGTGTCGCCCCAGTATTTAGACCGGATACAGACTGGTATATGCAGATGGGCAGAGGCGGAAGAGTCTGCGCAAGTGTCGATCAAAACATTAGGGGATGAATGAGAGGAAGATGCGAAAACTGAAGCGCGTAAGTTAGATATGAGGGTATTTCAAAATTAGAAAGAGGTTGGTGGTTAGTGTACAAGGGAAGTATTATGCCGTCTTGTTTTTCGAAGATGACAATGATAACAATTGACTAATGGGGATGACAGTGAATTATTATTATGATTTGAGACCCGAGGTCCAAAAATTAGAGACAGGGCATGGGAAAAGAATAAAAGAAAATATAAAAAAGGTGAGTGGTAGTTATCAACATGTAGAGGTATTTTGGTGAAGGGAAGGGAAAGGGAAAAGGCTCCTCTCCTAGGTAGGCGGTGATTTTTTTTCTTTTGGTGATTCTCTTCTCCATCCCGTCACATCCCAGCCCCCTCAATTGCGCTGGGTCGGCAGCGCAATCAACCTTGGAAGGTTGCAATACAAGAATCCATACACTTACACGAACTCCCGCGCTAAAATATAATAATCACAGAACAGTTGGAATTATGAAAAATTGGTATACATACTTACTTGAATGAATAAGGATATCAATTTGAATAGAAAATAGACGGTGTGCCTATAGTTTGGATCGGTATGTTGCTTCCAACCCCAAGATGCGCACCTGAGGCACCTGAGGCACCTGGAGCACCCGGGACTAAATTATTCGATGCTTCTCTTTCGAAATTGAGTGGATAGGGCTGGTAATGCAATGCTGAAGTGGATGAACTTGGGTGAGACGCCCTCTTTCTTGCAGGACTCATGTATGTCAAACCACCTGGCATCCAATACGATCATAGACTCAAAATGTATGTAGGCAGGTATTATACAAGTACTAGAAGTACTGTTGCAGGTGACAGTCCAGGTGTTGCTTATTTCTCTCTAGGGCCACCAGTACAGTCGTCAGACGAGTGCAAGCCCTCGAGGCTTCCTCCTCGATATGGCGGTGGGGATAGAGAAGGACTGGATTACGAGTCGTATGAGGTGAAGAAGGATGAGAAAGGGTGATAATAGGCTTATGAGGCTTTGTTATATTGACGAGTGGGAAATAAAAGCTGGAAAGGCAACAAGACTGGTTCGGAACTGGCAGGAACTAGTTGGACTGGAGCTTGGGAGGGAGCTTGGGAGAGGGGGGGGGGGGGGGGGGGGGCTCTGCTAGGTGGTAAAACTTGCTGGGGTGCTAGATTTGATGCGTTGGCCCTGCTTCAAGAATCCGACCAATGGTGTCACGATACGGAACCCTGACTACTAGATAGGTAGGTACTATGCAGTGGTGTAGAAGCTGACAGGGACAGACCGGCTGTAACGACAAGAAGGTCGGGGTTGCCTTAAGAGGCTTTCAATTCTTCCAATGTCGCTTCCCCTCGAACGACATGTTCTTTCTTCAGTCAGATTTTTAATTGCAGATTTTAATTGATTACATCCCTACCTTAGGTACCTAGGGCATACTAGGTATAACTATTGGGACGTTGAGTTTGTTCATAATCAATCGTTTATCGTTTATCATTTATCGTCATGGTCATCGTCATTACCATTGTCATGCACTAATCAAATGCGACCTTCTATTTAAGTTCTATCAACTTCAATACTCTTACATACATGCAGGTATATCAATCGTACCATTCATACTGTACTCGACATCAATTACATATATGTAATTATTACATCCAACATTCAATACATCGCATTGCTAACCTCGGTATCCATTACCTACAGCTAACATTTGAAGTCTTAAAATAGGTAGGCTATCATTTCTCAACTTGAAGACCTTGTTTCCGTTTCCTTGGTATTGAGTACCGAAAAGAAGAGGTTGGTAATTAGAACCTGAACTGCACATAACTACATTATTACATGTAGAACACACATGATGGCCAAGTACCTACATATGTACGCACTATGTAGTGTCAAGTGATTATGAGACTGTAAAAAAAAAATCGTTTACCAAAGACCCGGTTCCTGTTTGCTGCCCAATATCCTCTTCGTTTATTTTTATTTTTCCTCTCTTTATTTACGTCTGACCCAAATTGTCTTTTGAAACGGTCCTTGGTCCCCGCAGAAATTGGCTCCTGCGTCTTTGGCTGGGCGACGATCTAAGCTTTGGCAACGGCGCGATGACATGCGCTCCACAGGGAAACAAGGTCCGTTTGGATCACAACTTGGCCAAACACTTTGCTCGGCAAGCCCTACAAAGTACCAGCCCAAATAACTACACTACACTAACAGAACTCGGTCCAGTCGTATCCGCCAATTGCTAAGTAGCCGACTTGAGCCAGTGACAATGCCATCCTGGAGGCAAATCGGCTCAACCAGCTGTTAAACATTCCCGACTCGCCCCGTAATTTTACCTTGATTTTTCCCCATATGGAGCACCCATTGATCGTATCGTGATTGCTATCGGGGCTACGAGAGCCTCGACGCTCACCGACTTCTTTTGCTCTTCTACAAATCCGACGTCTATATGCCTCTTCACTAAACAGCCGGGAAAGAGCATATAGAGGTAAAAATATACTTCAATCCACCTAGGCAGATAGGCACTCAGGAAAAGAAAAAAAGAAAAAAAAAAGAGTCGCATCCGCAGCCGTTTCGTCCAGAGAGATATAATATGTGGAAAGTATCAGTCCCCGAGCTAATCACGTTGCCCGGTGCACAATTACGCTGCCATCCGATCTGCATCAAAATCCGCGTAATACGACTTGGTGGAACCGGCGGCATCTACAATTGCACATGCAATATATGTACATGAGCCTAAAGGACCCCTCTCCTGCTTATCTGCTCGCTACATATATTCTCGCGGGATATATCGCCTTCAACTTCTAATGGTTCGGAACGAGGAGTGCAAGGGGCTTTGCGTTTGGGTATAGTATAGACTGTGGACGGTGAGATGCCTTATCACAAAGCCACACCGAACGTATCCTACGCATAAGCATATAAGAGGTCCCTAATCCCCTCTCGGAGTTCTCTACGGTGCCAGTGATCTACGGTGGCGAATAGATGTGCGTCTCTTCGAAGTAGTTTCTAGTCCGAGGCTGACGCCCCTATCCTTAGGATGTCAGGGTATTACGCACTGCTGGAATCTTGCCATATCACGGTTCTCGATTTGCTATTTATCAAGCAGAATAAGACCTCTACTTAGGTAGGCACTGTAAACGAGTTACATATGTAGACGTGAATGATGTCTCTATAAGGTTGAGAAAAAATACATGTATCAGGCAACGAAGCAACTCCCACGATCGCCGTTAGTCTGCAGCCGGATCCACTGCCCACCAACAGATATTCCGCATCTATCCCTCAGGGCATCTTGCGACATGCATGCAGCTTTCCACTTTGGCATGCAAGGAACTAGCTACCGGAGCCGTCGACATTGGCATTACAAACGGTGCATTTGATCGCCAGACCTACATATCTTACCGTACCGTACCTAGGCATCTAACAGCACCCATACACTTCGTAAATACATAGGTATAAAATATATATCTAGGTATGTAGATAAAGATAGAGATAGGACTGGGAACTGGGGCGCAGATTCTCAACGCATTCGCTTCTTGTTTCCCCTTACACACCAGACAGTCGTTCCTCGCCATCGACTATCAAGTACAATACAGTAACCTAGGTTAGACACCTAGGTACTAAAGCATGTTGGTGCGAGCACTGGCACTTAAAACACTGGTAGATCTCGATGGCCGATTATAGCTGGGCCATATATATCGCACAAGGACGTAGCACAAGTTATGCGGTTAGCCGCGTTTAAGTTACCTCCCCTAGGCAGGTCTCCTATTTCGGTAGGCTGGTACCCATGTGTACTATAACAAGAACATGGGAGCGTCGTAATGGAACAAACGAATATACTGTGCCCAGGTGTATGTACGTACATATCATAGGTCCCTAGGTACGTAAATATAGTGCATACCTAAGTATGTATCTAAACATGATCTTTTCGGAACATGTAGCCTACATAAGCTACATATGTATCTTGCTTCATTGGCAACATTGAACGTCTACATAACAGCTACATACTAACCTTAGGTATGTATGTAACAGCTGCATACATACATAGGAGCATTGTGTATATGCAAATTTTTGACTTAATACTACATATATGCTATATATCTAAACGCCAGACTACTACGTGATAAGATATTTGATTGCTTATATATGTCCACTAGTGTGAGCAACGAGAATATATACAGGGTAGCGGGCACCAGGTACGGTTCTCGAAATTAACACAACATTAGGTAGGCTCCCAACGAGCGTAATGGTTCAACTATAATAAACAAAGTCGGAGGGAAAACCCCCAGAAGCTTACTAAATATTCAGCTAGGCTACCCATTGATCCTCCGGTGTTGTTGGTATAGAAAGTGGCACACCAGGCTGATATCTTGTACTTCAATCGAAACCACCCTTGCTAGTACTTCATTGGAAGCTTCTTTTTCTTCGGCGGAGCAGAAACATACTCAGTCTTAGCACCGCTCAGTAGGTCTTTCACCACCGGGTTATTCAGGTAATGGCTGGCGAGACCGCCTCCAAGAATAGACTTGAGCATTCCTAATCGGGCCGACAAAGACCAAGTGTCTATGACAATGCTAATGTTGTTAATTCGAAGCTTTTGTCGATAGCCGTATTCTTGATAATCACCTTTGAAGTCAACTCTGTTGCCTCCAGTATGAGGATTGCTCTGAGAACGTCGTGCAGTTGAGTATCCTGGACCTTTTCCAAGCGTGAGAGAGGTCACCACGCTATTGAAACTGCTGTGAAGCTGTCTTCGGTCCTTCTTGGAAATTGACTTTGATGACTCTCTCGTAAGAGCATTCAACCGTCGAAGAAGCCTGTCTTGGTCAACACGCATATTCCAGGGCTGCCCTGTCTCCACCTCATATTCGCCCGCAGTTTCAAAGAGCAAGGCGATGTTGGATCCAGCTGCAATTTGGACATGGACGTCACTGCTATCAAGCTGCTCAGTGAATGCCTCTAGTGCCCGCGAACTCTGTTCCTCGAGATCATCAAGACCGCTAGCAACAAATCCCCATACAGTCAGCGCTGTGGCGACTACCGGTCCGTTATCGCCCGCCCCAATGACATGTCCATCACTCTCGATAATATCAAGAAGGAATTCCAGAAACTCCTCTGCCGCAGTAAAAGAACCCCCACCACACATCACAGAAATGCCCATGGCTTGGATGGCTGCTACCTTGATCGCTTCGTCATCATCGTCGTTATCTGAATCTTGAATTAAGGCCTTCAAAGGCTGGTATACGTCGGCATGAATATTCTCAGCGCCAGTTGACAGGATGGTTGTCATAAGAGCTTTCAGGGACTGTAGCACGCCTTGGGAAGTTCTTCGTCCGCGCACACCCTTTATGAGCATGGGAATGATTTCGCCCATTTGCGACTCAACTTCCTCGGCACTTGGGTGATGTCGAATCAGCTCGGTATACGCTGTTAACTTCTTCTCTCGATCTTGCCCGCTGTCACGCTTCTGATCTAGCAGGTCTACAATACGGTTGTGAAGAGCCTCAGACGGCGGCGCCGGATCTGCTTCGTCGCCATCTTCCGAGTTTCCGAGAGAACTAGCCACGCTCTCATTATATTCGTAGTCGCTCTCATCATCTTCGTCGGAGGCTTGCTGGCTGGTAGCACGCGAGGCACCCCGTGAACTAGCCGGGGATGCAAGTGCTGACTGTTGTCTGGAGCGCGCCTTTCTGGAGACGGTCTTGCCGCTCTCGAATATCTTCTTTCGTAGATCCGACATTTTGAAATGTTGCAAATCAAAGGTCCTATTCAAAGAATCTTTTGACAGTATGAATGATTAGGTTTGGTCGGTTCGGGTCGCGTCGTGTCGTTACTAGGCGAAGTGTGGCAGTATTAATTAAATGTACAGCCTAAATCAAGTTTTGAGTTTTCTCGTTCGTGCACAGAGAAATGACAAGGAAGTTGTTCGTGACTTGGATTCCATGAGGATGGCTTGAGAAATATTTAGTGATTGGTGCAGGTTCTTATATATGCAGTTGGGAAGCTTTCGGAGAAACGCTTTGTTTACAGGATTGTTATAGTTGTCCTGATTCTGGGACGAAAAACTGTATTGGATACGCGTGCTAAGTATAATAAGCACTTGAGAACAATGGATAAGCACTTGAGAACAATGGAAGGTTAGGTTTAATAGGTAGGTAGTAACTAGAGAAAGGTGGCGGCGAATTATTTTGGGAGCGCACCAAGAGTTTCTTTAAAAAATGGAATGACAATTCGGAGATAGGAGTATGGAACGTTGAAGGCTAATCATTAGGAAGAACTTTAGAAGGGATGTGTAATCGCAACACAGTGAACACACTGCAAGGAACAGTCAGGTTGTGCAAAAGGTGGGCAATGCGTCATCAGGTAAAATGAAACCCCGTCACATGAACAAATCGCGGGGCGTGCAGGGAAATAACGTGACGTATCTATTAGAGCGCTAATAAGTCCTTATCGCGATACTTGTTCGGTACTTGCACATACTATATGCAAGCACTTAAAGCCGGTTGACTACTAATTAACTTACCTAGGGTAGGTATGTAGGGACCTGGGACCTAGAGTACTACATATGTAGGTAGTTTCCATGGATAAATGTAGTGTCTAGGTACATGTAGCTATGCACAATTACATGGTAGCATCTACCTACCTATACGCAACATATAAACGTTTGACATGAACTTATCTTTAAGGTCATCAATACCGATGTTGTTCGAATTGCTATCATCAATATCGAGGGAACTTTCCCATTTATCTGGGGTAGATAGTGCATAAGTACACACATCATATGAGCCTATGTATGTAGGACCTAGTGTACCTTCAAGGAAGGTGTGACCCCATATCCCGCATTTCAATCCACCTAACCTAGCAGGCTAGGCCAAAACGTACATACATCCATGGATTTATTGAATGGCAACAGCAACATTGAATGCTAACATTAAGCCCAATGTTTCATACCTTTAGGGTACGCAAATGAATGTGTGTATCTATGTAGGTACATCCATATACAAGCTTACGTCGAGTACTATGTATGTAACGGATAACATGCTGCTAACTTGTTACACGTTAATGGTTTGATAATGTATACCTAGTAGTTATACACACTGAGCAAACAATCAATTATATGCATTCACTGTATGTCAAGGTATTCAATGTTGTACACATGCAGCCCGTCTAGTACATGTACCGTGATGTACGTAGGACTCGGCAATGAGTCGGCACACCTGAACAGTCAAACATTGAATTTGAAGCATCCATGGATGTATCTTCAAGTACCCCGCCATCCCACCTATCGACCCCACTAGCTGAACTCTGAATCCTTGCCATAATTATCGCATGTCAGACAAGGGGAATCTTGAAGTGCCTGGTTAAACCATTGAAACCCCATATACATATATCAATGAAGTAAATAACAAGTGACTCTTTCAATAATGAAGCTTTATCATTCTTCAATCAATTAATCCAACAATAAAGTAGTTATACGGAACTATGATAATCGATCAATCACCATCATCATTATCATCATTTACGCCGTACTTGAAGAACCTCAGCCTTGAAGGTGGGACTTTTTCATAGTATTAGGCAGTCACAGCCCCGCCAACCATTTGCCTAGCAGCCTACCCTTAACATATCCAATGTAGTTGAATTCCAAGGCTGCTAGGCTCCAACTACCTACAATAGTACGCGAGTGTCTGCCCGAGTGTTTCCAACTTAGAAGCTTAAGCCCCCTTCTTGTCTCATGCGCCCTGAGGACGGTACAGTGTACATAGTATACTATGCACATATAGTATACACGGTGCTTGGTTGATATGGAGGCAAATGATAACATAAATCCCCTCGATACATGGCTATGTACATCCATCCATGAATGGATAGGTTCCTTAGGTATATATGCTCTACACAAGACAAACATTGAACTACCCAAGGCCGCCTTAGGCAGCCTAAATAATACATAACTCGTCTATGAAGCACGCTTAAGTAGGTATTGCCTAGGATCTAAATGTATTTATCATTGGTCATTGGTCATTGATCATTGATGTTTGTGTTTCCTACATATTGACCAGGCTTAAGCATACTATGTATGTAAGCATTGGAAGGTACATACATAACATATGACTGATTTAATTGACGGCCTAACTTTATCTACTCGATCCCCCGTTGCTCTTACCTCAGGCTCCGTATGATAACATTTGAACTTCAACTACCCCGCCCAATCGCACCTTCAGGTCTACCTATATTACTGGCAGGCAGGTTGCGTTACTAACCAAATACACCCATCTTCCTACTACCATTAATGATTACGCAGGGCTGTCATATACCCTTAGGTATTGTCTGCGCCTACGCCTGCACCTATCTCTTCATATGGTGATTACCTGTGAGCTGCACCGCTCTTGATTTCTGACACACCACTTTCCTCACACCCCTCCTTTCTGCCTGTTCTTCTTACCTCCCCCCCTCCACCACTACACACCACACACTACATCTCGAGAACACACACACACACATGCGTACCCATTACTTACCTACCCAGCCTACTCTATCTCACGGTTCTACCATTTACCACCTCTCATTTCATCTTTCATACTCGTACACTAACCATCTGGCCTATGAAAGATCCTAATTAAGTTCGGTCTTCTAGGGATTCCGATCCTTCATATCCTCGCCCTGGGAAGATTGGGCATCCCCTCGATAATCTCGAGGCTGAAAGATTACTCTGTTCCCGCCGACCCATCATACTAAATAGAAATGGCGGATGTCACTATCTCAACTGACAGCGACGACAGCGGTAAGGATACGCACCCTTCTCAATCCATTAAATTTGTTTATCTTCTAACTTGGGATCAACCTTGTAGTCGTCGTCACCTTAGTTGCGCGGCCTTCTGGTACTCATGCATCTGTCTTTCCCAAACGCCAATTTGTCCTCAGTCAGAAGGAACCTTCTATTCGAATCGGCCGAGCATCCAAGGTTCCCACAAAGGGCTTCATCGCCTCGGTGGACAATGCTTGGTTTGATAGTCCCGTTATGTCGCGCGGCCATGCGGAGTTGTACTTTGATTATCATTGCAATGTAAGCTCCTCCAAGGTTTTGTTTTGTTGGGCGTCATTTCTCGTCACACATATGCTGACAGACTCAGGCGGTGTTCATCAAAGACATCGGCTCTCTCCATGGTACCTTCCACACGCCCAATGACGGAATTAGCAAAGAAGAGAGGCTGCAACAATACAAGCCTGTAAAGTTGTCGAATGGCGATACCCTCCGATTTGGCACCGATATTTTCAGGTCCAAAGAAACATTCCCCCCCTGCTCTCTTGACTTCTTTGCGATAAGTGGTCAGGGAATTGAGTCGTCAGTCTTAGATCTTCTCTTGTGTTTGCTATGCAGATTCTAATCCCTCACACAGTCTTACTCCAATTATGCCAAGTGCCAGTCGATCAACAAGCCGAGTCTTTACCATCCCAGATGACGAGGATGACGAGGATGATGATGATTACGAAGACGATAGTGTAGTTGAGACAACTATGCCATCTACACAAGGGATTAATGCGAAGCGAGGCCCATCTATAGACTTAACTCATGATGAGGCCGATGAGGCCAACGAGCACAGCCACGCTTCAAATACCACGAGCCGTGCTAACATTAACTCTGATGTCATTGACCTGACCTCCGAGCCTTGTGAGCCTTTGAGCCCCAAGCCATTTGTGGAGTCGACCCAAATGAACTCTGCTGCCGCCTCCCCTACACCACCCGATACCTTTTCCAATACAGTTGGCGCATATTTGTTGGACTCTGAAGCTAATGACTTCGTGGAACATCTTCTTAACGAACATGGGAATGATAATGTATATGAGGATGATCTTCTTAGTTCCCAAGAGGATGCCCATGACTACGATGAGGAGCTCAACAGTGACGATATCCGAATGACCGATTCCGAGGCGGATTCCGCCATGACGGGAGATTCAGGGGACGACATGAGTGCTTCAGCTGGAGATATAGATGACGACGACGACGTCGACGTCGATGACGATGACTACAACGATGATAACGATGACAACGACTCTATATATAACAACCTGCATTATCAGTATATCAGGTCTGCTTGTTATAGAAGAGGTAGGTGGCCATCCATGCGGTTGCTTGCACATACACAGACAACTAATAATGATGACTCTTTAGGCGATGAGGGCTCTCCGATTAACGTTGCTTCTTCGTCAAGCGTTAGCATGTCAGATTCGGGATCGAGCCCCGTTCCGACTGGCTTAGATTCGTCACTGCCGTCATCACCGGACCCTCCCATCTCGAAGGAGCTAACTTCCGAAAGTGTCGAAAAAATTAAAAGCGCTGAGGCAGAAACTTCTGATAAGCAAAATGGTCCCTTTGCCACGCCGTACTTATTCACTGCACCCGAACAAACAGCACCCCCAACCCTCAATATTCGAGAGCCAAGTCCATCGGACGCTGCGATGTTCAAGAGTCGCCCAGTACTTGACAAGGCCATGAGTTACTCCAGAGCCCAGGCTTTGGGTGAGAAGTCCGGCAAGTTTGAATTTTTTGCTGCTAGGGAGAACAATCGCGCAATCCTCCCTGACAGTAATTCTTCATTACCAGTCTCTGCAATTCGAGAGACGTTGAACGAGAGCTCAAGCCAACATGCTTTTGGCACCCCAGCAGATCATCTCCAGCACTCGCCATTACTACCCTTACCCTTACCAGCAGGAGTTGATTCTACTAGCATGAAACATTCGGAAGAGGTTTTCGATGGTGCTGATACTACACCCCGCCCATCTCCCCTTCTAAACCCCACCACCCTCGATCTTAGCGCTACAAATGAAGCACAGAGTTCTGCGTGGTCGACATCTGGAGAGAAATTTATTAACAACCCTCACAGCGTGGATCTTCCTGCTCCGCACGAACGCCCCCAAAGTCCAGAGTTTGACATGTCTAGTGCCTATGCGTTCCAACTTAGCAAGATGGCAACTGAGGTCAATGTCGGCCAGAACCTCCGGCGTGTTGGGATCGAAGACTTACTTACCCAAGAGCCCAAAGGCATACAAACTAAGATACCGTATATTCATCTACCACCGATAGATGTCCCGAGCCCTTTGGCGGACCTAGTCACTTTAAGTACTCATGGTACTAAGCGCTCATTCGAGGATGCATTCATCGATGGCAATGAGCCAGCCCAACAAGACCAAGGGCACGACGATGCAATTGACGGGACTAACAATTCCGAATCTGCCGATATGCAAAACGACAGTATTCCCAAGACTCCTGCTCGGGAGCAGTTTCGAGGACATGAAGAGGGGGAAGTACAACCCATTCCCCCATCAATGGCACCAGTTGCCACGCAACCCTCAAAGAGACGTCGCTTCGCCGAGGCAGCAGCATGTGTTGCTCTTGGCGGTGCTGCAGCATTTACCTTCTTGGTCTCCACCGCTCCTGCCCTGTAGTGGGCATCACTGAATTATCTACCCAGTCCTATACTTGTGGCATTTCTACTCGGACGACAGGTCAGGGTATATTAGTGGAAATAATGCTTTCATGTTTCTAACGGCGTAGGCGGATTCGGAAATGGAGTTATGGTCTCTTTGTTCAGATGGGGGTACTAAGGCTGATACGTATCATTGCATTGGGGTTGTCCTCGCGAGGGAGGAAATGCGGAGATGGCTGGATGGCTTTGCCTATGGATGGGGAAATGGTGTGCTTACGCCACCTACTATGGAATGCATACCTGCTTTCCGAAACCAGTGGTTGCTATGATTTAGCTCAACTTTCTTATGTTTATTTCTCGAGGTGAACTTCCCGGAACTGCTCTACCGGAAGCTTGACATAGGTATTAGGCAAGTAATGCATGATGCTTTCATTAATGGCTCGCCGACAAAATCTACACGATTAATGAACCATAGCACTCGACTTTCTCTTTACCCTTAACAACCCTATATAGCCATCCCTCTCAGTAATCAAGCAAAAGAAGATTTGTAAGTCTGGGCGGCTCATGGATGGGGGTAGCTACTATGCCTACTAGGTAAGGTTACCTCGGTAGGTAGAGAACAAAAGAAATATTGATTACAATTGAGCCTACCCGCTCTCCTTTAAAGTTAATATGCGGGTAGTCTCTCAAATACCTAACGTATCTAATGTAAACTGGACCCCTTCTCAGGATGACAAAGTGCTGATGGGCTTCTCGCATAATCATCCAAGGCAGGTAGCCTTTACGAGAGGAGATACTGGGTGTTTAGTTGGATCCCTAGGTAGAACGTAGTACGTAGTAATAGTAAGCATTAGGGGGCTCTTTTTCTTTCTAATCTCTTCATAATAGGTAGGTAGGTACCTACAGGATGATGGAAGTGAGCTGGTGGTTCTAGGTAGGTATGCGAGTGCTTTGTTCTGTTTGTGTGCTGGGTATCTTTTTTTTTCGCGGTTGGTCTTTCGATATAGGTAAGTACCGTGTATTCGTGTGCTCGTTTAGTGTTTTGGATATATATATATATATTTCGTGGCTAGGTTACCTACCTACCTATGGTGCGTAGTCCCTTCATTGTTGGGACTTCAAACCAGCGGGTTTCTCTGGTGGCTACGACATTGATGGTTGGTATCGGAGAACGCGGGGGCCAGTAGGAACTTGGAGGTTTATTCCAGTTGGCTGGCTCCCTTGAAACGACGGAGAGTTTTCCTGCGGGGAACTTGGGGCGTGAGTCGAGCAAGAGCCTGCCTGTATTGAGGTATCTAGTCTTGTTGATCTGCTGCGAGTAATACGATATATGAGAAGTTCTCCTTGGGAGGGGAACTTGAAGGAATAGTCGGAGATGACGTGCTGTACAGTATACACGGCACGAGGTTAGGTAATAGGTAGGTAGATGTGAACGACTGGTGTAGATGCAAGGTTACAATGTAGGGTGGCAGTACCGGAACGCTGGATATCTGTGTAACCAACCTCGCCTTTGCATTCGGTACCGTAACTTGTATGTGCGATTCCGACATCATGAACCTGAGACTCCCTTACGCAATGACACGGAACCGAGGCTCAAATCCCCGTAACCTTTGTCCGTTTCACGATATATACCAGTGTCCTTCCTGCTGGGTACATCGGGTAAGGCCAAACGTGTCTGTAAACCGCTTGAGATGAGCAGAGGGAAACTATTTAGAAGTGAGCTTCGAGATAACACCTTTCGAGGTGGGAGCTGAGTATCGAAGGAGATGCGACAAGAGATTGGTGTGCTCTCTTGAGGAGCTGTAGCCAGCATGATAGCACAAGTGGCGCACATGGCGTTGTCGTTTAGTTGACCAATCTTTTATGGGATTTAATCTACATCTAGGTAGTGAGGTGTGGATGTCTCAGCTTTATGTAGGCATGATCGATACTTGGCGTACCTAATCACTCATGCAGTTGCGCATCTGGGGTCCTAAGTAGGTCATCTAGCGTTGCCCATTTAGAGGCATGTATGGCTTCAGGTTGTTTGGTGAGATAGTTGATTCAAATCTGAGAAATCTGTTAATAATATGTACCATCAATTATGGTATTGCCAATATTTATTAGCTGTCCAGGTACGTACCTAGAGATCACCGCTTTGTATCATTCTAATCCATCCCTAGTTTCTCTATTATCCCTTCTCAAGTTCCCTTTCTTTAAGTTATTTGGTTCATGTCCGATATTTTTTAACCCCAGTCACCAAATAGGACATCCTCAACTTTTATACTCACCATGAACGCATCCTGTTATGACTTTATCGTTGTCGGCGGTGGTACTGCTGGTTTGGTCGTCGCAGCCCGCCTTTCCGAAGATCCTAGCCAGCAGGTTCTGGTGTTGGAAGCTGGGTCCGATGCCAGTGAAGATCCACGTGTCAAAACCCCAGGGCTTTGTATGTCCTTGTTAGGATCCGATCTCGATTGGGGCTTCGAATCACAGATTCAGGTGGGTTGCATTGCATTTCTATAAAAGCCACAGCTCTTAAATATTATTCAAGCCTCACCTCGATGGCCGAGCCGTCAGTTTGAATCAGGGTAAAGCCCTAGGTGGTTCGAGTGCCATCAATTTCCAAATATTCGTTCCTCCGGTCCCTTCTATGGTGAACGACTGGGAATCTATCCTTGGGAATAACGGCTGGAATTGGGAAACTCTTAGCCCTTACTTCGCCAAGGCTTATACCTCTGCCCCCGCCGAGGAGGGCTCGGAAGAGACACTTGGAATCGATGGGTGGACCAATAGGGGTACTACTTTCGGGCCAATCCGCACGTCATTTGCTGGTGATCTATCCCATCCGATCAGGAAGATCTGGGCCGATACATTCCGAAGTACTGGGCAGTACATGACCCAAGACCCACTTCACAATGCCTCTGTGGGTAGTTTCACTTCCCTTTCATCCGTCGACCCAACCACACAGGAGAGAAGCCATTCCGCAGTTGCCTATTACCATCCAATCAAATCAAGAAAAAATCTGAAAGTCTTCACCAATGTCCACGTAGAAAAGGTGCTCCTTGATGACCAAAGACGAGATGGCAAGGGGGTAAAAGCGATCGGCGTGGCGTATCGATGCAATGGAGAGCTGAGAGAAATCACCTGCAGCAAAGAGGTCATCATGGCGGCGGGTGCACTACAGACACCCAAAATCTTGGAGCTCTCTGGAATAGGAAACAGCAGCCTCCTTCGACAGCATGGAATTGACTCCGTTGTTGAGCTCCCAGGAGTTGGAGAAAACCTTCAGGATCATCTTATGTGCTCCATGAGCTTTGCGGCGGTGGACGATCTAGAAACATTTGATGCATTCTACCGACAAGAGCCTGATGCAGTGAAAGACGCAATGGAAAGGTATGATCAGGATCGAAGAGGACCCCTCGCTTCGTTTGGTGCCTACACCTGCGCATTTCTCCCTGTTCTCGACCATATCCCCGCCGAAGGTCGACAAAGGCTTACCAAGTTGCTGGAAGCAAATCGTCCTGCACCTAGTCAGGAGACCACGCCGGCTCATGCCCAGGCTCGGGCGTATTACCAGATAGCCGAGACCAGTTTACTCGATCCTAACCAGCCGTCTTGTGCGTACCTGTCCTTCATTGCTCAGCACGTCGGGTCTTTCGAACCCAACACGAAATCCTTCTCCATCAGCGCGATGCATTCACACCCTCTGTCCCGCGGAACTGTTCATATCAAATCATCGGATGCGGCAGTGAGCCCAGCTGTCGACCCCAACTTCCTATCTAACCCAGTAGACTTGGAGATATTTGCAGAGAACATGCTTCAGATCGAGACGCTGGTTCGCACAGCCCCTTTGAGTCAGCTTATCCAGCAACCCGTCGTCCACCGCGATCCAGACTCAAACTTGACAGACCTGGATGCGGCCAAGAAATGGATTCGAAAGAACGCCACGTCTATGTGGCATTATGTGGGCACTTGTGCAAGTAAGTGGCAGAAGCACTATGCGAGATTGAATCTCTTGTTTAGCTGGAATCTTCAGTTGTGACCATGACACATGGCACATCTCCCACCCCCCCTTTTAAACAAAGGGTCAAGCTTACAGAACCCTCCCAGGTCTCTATTATTTTCGCTTGCTAATATTTATGATGAAACAGTGCTCCCTAAGGAGTTGAATGGTGTGGTAGACAATACCCTGAAAGTCTATGGGGTGGACAATCTTCGTGTCGTGGACTCAAGTGCCATCCCAGTTATTAGTACCGCTAATATTCAGGCAACTGTCTATGCCTTTGCCGAGAGAGCGGTCGATTTGATCAAGGAATGCCATGGGTTGAAATGAATCGGTTGTTCGAGTAGGGACATGTGAATATTATTCCTAGCGGCAGGCAAAGGACTCACGACTACTTAGAAATCATATAAATTTTATACATGACTGAAGGTAGAAGTTAAGATTCTTCGCCTCGTTTGAATTATTTCTCCTTAAACAAATATTCACCCGATAGTCACGTGATAGGTCCTAGGGATTGAAAACTTTGAAAAAAATGGGAACTGTTGCACCTAAAGAGGTACATTCGCTTACTCAATGTAGCTCATGTATACTCCCTACGAGGTAGGCACTATCCCATCTTCATTTCATTTCATTCCAATTCACTGTCACATTTATTCCATTTTATTTCCTGTAAAAAAAAATAAGAAATAAAAAATAAAAAATAAAAATGACCGGACCCAAAGAACCACCATGTCGGATTATGGTCATGGCCTCTGGCTTTGGCTCTAACTTTCAGGCTCTCATAGATGCTACCTCAACTGGCCAGCTTCCAAATAGCCGCATTATCTCCCTCATCGTGAACCGGAAAAATGCACACGCAACTGTCCGGGCAGACAAAGCAGGTAATATATCATCCATACACATGTAAATGCAGCATGCAACTAATTCACGACCAGGTATTCCGTGGGAATACTTCAATCTAATTAGTAACGGGTTTTTGCAGAAGGGAGAAAAAGACGAACAGAAAGTAGCTGAGAGTCGTCGAAAATATGATGCTGCATTGGCCGCGAAGATTTTATCAGCAGAGGAAACGCCCGAGTTGATTATTCTTGCTGGTTGGATGTATGTCTTCTCCACTGCCTTTCTAGAACCCCTAGACAAGGCAGGAGTGCGGATAATCAACATCCATCCGGCACTACCTCGTAAGTGTCTAAGATAGAATTCTCAGTCTGCCCAGCTATACATGCTCACCATTTGTATAGGGGAGTTCGATGGAACTAATGCGATTGAGCGAGCTTTTGACGAATTCAAGGCTGGGCGACTAACACGCACTGGTATTATGGCCCACTACGTCATTGATGAGGTGGATAGGGGTACTCCTATTCTGGTCAAAGAGATTGAATGGAAGGGAGAAGAGCTGGAAGAGCTGAAGGAAAGGATCCATGTTCATGAGCACGAGCTAATCGTGAAGGCAGCGGCGAAGGTGGTAGAGGAGATACTGAAGGCTAGGGGGAACGTAACTCCTGAGTCTCAAAATCCTTGAGCTGTAGGTATATGTCTACTTCAGGGATACACATGCTATAAGCTCTCCCCAATAAGTTCGAGACATCCGTTAGCCACGCGACTATTGCGTCACAAACGTTGGTACCTACGTGATCACATCGTCTACATCGCAAGGTAGGAAATGACCCTTAAACTTTGTCCTGAACTGAACAACAGTGCTGGCAAGCGCAATAGGTCGACACCCGCATAAACACCACAGGCACTTCCCTCACCTATTGCAAAGAGCCTGCACTAGATTCAGAATCCCCTCTGTGTGACATCCATACATATATTGAGACAATATCGGCGACTTGGCGAATCGAATACGCGGTTTATGCATGTATGATCAGCTGGACTGCATCCGCGAGATAAGAAGGTAACCTATGACATAGGCGATGTACCCCTTTTGCGACCACGGGCCGAGGGTTCTATCCTATCCCGACTTTTCAGTCACATAGAAATCTGGCGGGGAAGCGCGTGGGATCTAGGTCCGGCGACTAAGCGGGAAGCTACTCCCCCCCCAGGGCGTATGTAGTCCCCTCGAGACTCCTTGGCAGAGCGGACATGGATGGCAATTTCCGGAGCCTCGGGAACACCAGAGCGAAAAAGCTACGTGGCTCCCATGAATTGCGTTGGGGGAATGGTGCCCGAGCCCGGCTAACCGCAGCTTGCATGATCCTGCGTCGGACCGGAAGCGCCACCCCCCGACCCCCAGAAACTTAGATTAAGGAGTTGCCAAATCTAGAACCTAACCCAGCAGAATGGCTTAGTATACCGAGCCGTCTGGTTGTTCCCGACAGTTTGGTTCCTCAATGTATTGGACGGGAAAAGGCGCTTGCCTACCTATGCTTAGGTGTGTATGTATGTATGTGCGTGATAACGAGAGGATTTCCCAAGAGATCGGTATGGACGGGAGGGACCGTGGAATCGGGTCCCAAATAGAAGAGCCACCTACCTAGGTACCCTATATGATGTCTGCGGTATTCCGTGCTCTTGAGCATCGCGATCGAACGCCAGACATATAGGGCGATAGAAGGGCCACGAACCTCCGCCAATGCGTTCACCGAATATTCCAAACGCGTAACGGTAATATATCCAGGCGAATAGGTACGCCTTCCTGAAACCCGAGAACGAGATGTCGGTAGGTAGGCAAGGCAGTTACTTTATCAGATCTTGCCCCAAGCCACCCGGAAGAAACTGACGGCAGTGTGTCGTATCCTGATCTGATCTGATCTATCTATCTATCCCCTACCATCTTTCTCTTTGTGGCTGGTTTCAAGGAGCCGTGACGTAGGACGGACGTCCTCTGGAGAGGCGGTGAGTTTCGGGGCTCGGAATTTCCTTGCTATTCGGGTGGGTTGGCCGAGCCTCTCTACCGTACCTAAGCTTGATCATTGTCTATGCATCTAGGCTACATAACCCTCGAGCATCTATAAAATGGGCAATAGCTTTATCCGGTTTCTAGGCGGTTGGAAAGAGATGTCCATAGCCACTGATCTAAACCAAGCCACCATCCCATCTTCAGACGACTAGCTAGTACTGTTGAGACTTGATAAATTCAACTATGGCCCAGCAGAAACAGAACTCATACGGATACTACAAGGCGACGTACTCGCTCGACGAAGACCGAGCGATATACGGCCTTGGGCAAAACCGCGACATGCCCTCCCTTTGTCCGAATTGCAAAGGCAACCCGAGAGAGTAAGCACGAAAAGTCCATCCCTACCTAAACCTCCGATACCTACCTACCTACCCCGGAACGAGATGCTAACGATGGCTTAGTCGAGTACACTGCACCCGGTGCGGCGCAACCGGGATGTTAGGAGTCCCGGGCATCAGCGCCGGTGAGAGGCGCCGAGACAGAACCCAGGCAGCTTCTCCCGGGGGCCCTAGTCCAGGGCGTGGGAGCTCTAGGGGGGATTCGTCGGTTTTTCGAGAGGCGAGACGGTGATGGTTGGGCTGGATGTGGGACTCGCCCGGGCTTGCTTGATTGTATTGTATACCTACTAGGTAATTTGAGGGGGTGAGTTATATCCTTCGGGAATGAGTTGGGCTGTATCTGTTGCTAGGGGCTACTTCGCAAGCAATGACATCTGTTTAGGTGTGATGCTTGCCTCGAATTTCTGTCGTTATATATTGTTAGGTATGGGGGACGAAGTCTGCTGGTATACTATCTCCTCTCTTCGATACATGGCACTTGATAAATGCATTCACAATTCCTGTGATGATGATAGTGTATCTACTTGTTGGTAGGCGCATCTACATGATGATTTTGCGGTCTTCGAGAGTTTGTTACCCCTGAGACATAGTTAACCAACCAATGTTGGAATTTACCTACCCGAACCCCGAACCCCGAACCGAACTTGGACTCCGGGATCGATGTCTTATATCGTGCCGCAATCAATATAGCGTGGATAATGAATATTTGGCATACCCTAGCATTTGGGAATATTAAACGGAAAGATAGAAATCTTGTAGCTACTCATCTAAATACCAAGCTAAAACGCTTTTTGAAATCTATTAACCTTTATTGAAGTTAATTCATATTCACTTAGGTAACCAGTAGAAACTAAAGTGACGATGAGTGGGATAATATCAAACCCTCTTGTATTGCATGAGATGCTGTTAGTTGCATATCAGCTACTCCTAGTCGCTCCAATAGGGATATACTTGGTGGGTAACTACTAGCTATCCTAGTCTATCGATAAGAATGCTATCAAACACATCCATAGTATCGGTATCGGTAGATCAAGAACTTGCCGCCATATTCAACAGCCAAATGCGACGTCAAGTTATCACAAATCACTATATTTCCCCCTTTCAACTCCTAGGCTGGCCTGTCTCTTGGATGGGCCACCGTTGAAGCCATCATGTCTGTCATTCTGTGCACCGGTAAGATAAAAATGCAACGCTTATATATATGTCTCTCCCTCGACGGTCTCTAGCTAACATGCTCTGTTCGCGATAGCTGGTTACGACCATACGATCAGGTATGCGCCGATTCTCGACATATCTAGAAACAACCCTGTCGAGATATATGGATGTGATAGTCGTGCTGATCATGTCAATTGACGAAATCAAGGTTCTGGGAAGCTCTTTCGGGAATCTGCTCTCGCACGATCCAACACCCAGACTCCCAAGTCAACCGTCTGTGCATCTCCCCCGATAAACGGTTCCTAGCTGCCGCCGGCCACCACACCGTGAAGCTCTACGACATCAAATCCACGAACCCAAACCCCCTGCTTACGTTCGAGGGCCACACTGGCAATGTCACCGGAGTCGCCTTCCATTGCGAGGGCAAGTGGATGGTGACGAGTTCGGAAGACGGCACTGTCAAGATCTGGGAAACGCGGTCTGGCACCATTCAGCGAAGCTATAACCATGGCTCCTCTGTAAATGACGTTGTCATCCATCCGAACCAGGGCGAGATCATTAGCTGTGACCGCGGTGGTAGTGTTCGTGTTTGGGATCTTGCCGAGAACAATTGCTCGCACCAACTCATTCCCGAGGAGGACGTCTCTGTCTCCAGCGTTACGGTAGCGAGCGATGGAACTTTATTATGTGCTGCCAACAACGCCGTGAGTCTACCTCGCCATTGTATTGCCTGCATAACATTGGGTGCCTACTTTATCATCAATTACTCGGGTATAATGTAACTGACACGAACATATTTATGTATACAGGGCAACGTCTTCGTCTGGCAACTTATCCAATCGTACGAACGCACGAATCTAGTCCCCGTAACACACTTCTCCGCACACAAGGAATACATCACGCGCATCCTGCTCTCCCCCGACGTCAAGAAGCTCGCCACCTGCTCAGCCGACCACACCGCCAAGATCTGGGAAGTCAACGTCACCGTCGCCTCCTCGTCCTCCGAAGAGTCATCATCCACATCCCTATCCACCACGGCTGCACCGATCAACGGCATAAACGGAAATGACAATCTGAATGGTGGCGGGGGGCTTAACATAGGCATGGGCTTAGGCGGTAGTTCCGTGGCGGGGGGCTTGGGGGCCGCGGTGGGGGCAGCCATTGGAGCTAACGGCGGCGGTAATGGCATAATTGGCGGAGCAATGGGGATAGGAGGTGGAGGAGGTGGCAGCGGGGGCGGTGATCCGAAACCGTACCCCCTCGAGGCCACCCTCACAGGCCACCAGCGCTGGGTCTGGGACTGCGCCTTCAGCGCCGACTCGGCGTACCTCGTCACCGCGTGCTCGGACCACTACGCCCGCCTCTGGGAGCTCCATAGCCAGCAGGTTATTCGCCAGTACAACGGACACCACCGCGGCGCCGTCTGCGTGGCGCTGAATGATTACTCGGAGGCTAGGTGATCGGCCCGGTAACTGTAAGGCGCGCGCGACATGCCTTCCCCCTCACTAGAGGAGGTTGTAAAAGGGATATTTGAGAATAAGACAGCGTACAAGAAAACAAAGGAGGACGGAGCGCAGGATATATGAACAGCCCCCGCTAGAACAGCTCGGAAGCTTGCATCGGATATTGGGATTGCGGATTGCGGATTGCGGATTGCGGAATTGTTATATACCACATTAACCCAGCGTGCCAACATACCTACCTAACCTAGTGCCCACCAACATATCCTACCCAGTAGGTACCTACTACCTACCTACCTGGATGCCCTACTACTTCTCTAGTAGCAGTGTGTATACTTACCTAGGCATGTAGGTAGGCATTGAGGTATTCATGTATTGAAGCTATGGCGTATAGGAGTTTATATCGATAGTACCTACGAGGAGTTTGGGCGGAGGTTTTTTTTTTTTGCTTTTTTTCTTTTTCAGGTGCCTAGGTACCTAACCTAGTTTATTAATCTATAAGGTTTATTGCTTACTACGTCCTAGTACTGTGTGTGTAGACACTTATAAGGCTATCTATGTATTGACTGCTCGGGGGTATGTGACTAATTTGCTTGTTAAGACGGCTACATAGAGAAGGACTTGGCAGGTAGGTAGTAAGTAGCCTTGCAGTAAGTAATACTGCACGTATCGTATCGTATCTACCTAACCTACCTAGGTAGGCATGATATGGTTCCCGGACGACCAAACAGCAACAAGGAGAATAATAGCTTTTGTATATATATAGAATTAATTTCCATATCCATACCTAGTTCTATTCCATAGAGCTACGTACCTAACCTAGGTAGGTAGACAGTATGCATGTATGTATCTATTACTAATTAATACAGCTAGTTCACGTGTGTTTTGCTTATGTAGTAGGTAAGACAGCAAGCTCCAGAAATATCTGGTCTCCATAGTTACGTAACTATCCATACCTATATTACAAGCGCAGCTGGCAACCCTACCTAGGTAGGGAGAAGAAGCAGCGTGAACCTCACTCCTGAACCGATGCTCTGTACGCCGTACACCGGAAAAACACCGTGCCTTCGTTTTGTCTTGCTTCATTACCTACCTGCGTTCTACTAGCCCCACTTAAGCCCTTCCTTTCATATCTCAAAGATACTGGCATACCTATACTACCTAACTCTACCACCCGTCGCCCCACCCGTCATCATCGTCCGTTTCTTTAGGCTTCGTGTCGATCTTCTTGGGCGCTACCGGTTTGGGCGCTGGCCGCGCAGGTAACGGCTTCTTGCTGGTCGGCGTTGATCTGCCGTTCGATTTCGCGAGGCCCTTGGGCAGGGGTTTGCCGCCGCCGGGACCGGTCTTCTTCTGCGCCTGTGCTGCGAGCCAGCCCGCGAAGTCGGGTTCGGAGCTGTCGTCGAAGGGCGTAGGCGGCGATGCGACTGGCTCTTTCTGGGAAGACTTGGTGCGCTCGGCGGGCGCATCGAAGAACGCGTTGCCGTCATCGTCCATGTCCCCCATATCTCCCCATGCGTCGCCGTCATTTTCGGTAGGTTCAGGATCCTTGAAGTAGGTCTCTGCGGGTGGTGGGTTCCACGCTGGCGTAGACACCTGAGGGGTAGATGATGACGAGGATACGGTTCGTTGAGGGGGGTTGAGGCCTGTAGATGGTGGTGAGGTAGGTTTTGAACTTGGGAACGGCGATACGTAGTTGGCGGAAGTTTGCATTTCCCCGGAGGCCGCGGACAACTTATTAGTGAATGATGAGATAGCCCATCCAGCCCATGAAGACGCTTCGCTCGCTTGGGGTGTGCTCATACGTGGACCGGGAGCCTCAGTTGTCTGAGGTGGCGGCTGAACTGTATCGGGCATGCTGGTTGCTGCTTTGCGAATCTTCTGCAGATAGACTTCCATCGTTTTGTTGGCCTGGTCTCGCACTAATTTCTCCTTGTCGAGCAAGGATGGGCATATAGCAGGGAGAATTCGTGTGGCACATTCATCGTCACTAAAATGGTCAAGGGTGGCTGCTAGTGCCAGGAGGGCTGCATTTCGGGCATGTACAAAGGGGTCGCGCAATGACCGAGTAAAAGCGGCTGTCAAGACTTTGGCTCTTGTCGATGCCGAAAGATTCTTAGCTATCTTGCCAAGACATATGGTAGTATTCGTTCTGATCCCAGGTTGCTCATCGTTCGCAGTCTTGGCTAAATGCCTGATTAACTCGCCATTGATTGTACGATCTGACAGCTTCGCTATAATGACGAGTATTGATTTCAACGTCTGTTCCCTCACGACAGGGGCAACGTCTGTGAAACCAGAAACTAAATTGGGGAAGATCTTGTCATTGACCATCTTTTGAGGCAGTCGGTCAATCATAATCGGTAGATTATCCAAGAGACAAACCCGTATCGCCCTATCTGGGTTTCCAAATAGCTTAACAACCATAGGCTGAACTCTGAGCTGAAAGTCTTCGTCTGTTAACTTCTTGGAGATTTTCATAATTAGACTAAATGCCTTGGGGCCGCCACCGCCAAACTCGACTGATTTCAATAACTCAGGTAACACCTTGACTTTGAAGAATTCCTCGGGATAGTCGTCGGTATGTTGCTCGAGTTGATCCAAAAACTCTTGCCTCTCACTCTCGGATTTAATCCCTATGACTCCAAGGTTATCGATTCCTTCGGTTAGTCTAATTATGGGAGAGTCGAAAAATCCGCCTGACCGGCGCCCCTGTTCCAAGAATGTTCCTACTGTAATCCTGGCCTTGGGATCCTTGTGGACAAGTCTCTTGTAACTGACATGTACGTTGGGGGGTATGCCCTTCGTCTGTCCTGCCTGGTCTGGCATGAAAGACCCGTTGAATATTTCGAACATGGTAGTTCCAAAGTTGTAGGCGTCAACAGCAGAGTGTGGCCCTTTCTTTACGATGTCCCAGCCTGACCGTTCAACTTCTGGTGGTGAGTACGTCCTAGGATCGGGCATCAAGCTACCAAAACGATATATTATAGCTTCTTCATCCTTCACATTGCTCAGGACTTCAAATCCGCCTAGCTTCCATTCGCCGCTCTCAGATGTATATATAGATCCAACATTGAGATTGCCGTGGATAGAGGAGCCCTCGTCATTAATGAATTTGACGGTGCGCGCGATGCTATACAATCCCCACTTGATGGTCTCCGTATTAAGAACCTTTCTTTTGATTTGCCATCTTAATGGCACCACCTTTTCGGTTGCGATATATATGTAGGTATCGGTTTCGACAATGTCTAGGACGGAGATGACACCGGGGTGTCGCATAGTTCGTAGCTTCTTGACAGCATTTTTGGCAAGCGGGAGGAGTCTGCTATTGGCTGTGATATTGAAGGAGAATATACTGCAGTCGGATCCATTACTGTGTCGCGTGCCATTGTAGAGGGTCCAAATGGATGCATCGGAGTCGCCTGACACTTTGTCGCCAAAGGTATATGGGAATGGTGGCCCTTGGGCAATAGCAGACGCGACTGCTGATTTGAGGAAATTCATAATACTGTTAGTGATTTGTGCGCAACGCAAACTATGCTCCAAAGATATGCGCGACAGGTAGACAGCAAACAGGCAGACAAGCAGACAGAGAGACGTCGCCGAGTTGAAATAAATTTGGAATTGTACAATGCGATACTCAAATAATTAATTATGTACAATTGTACGTTAGCACGTAGCTTGCACCGCCGTTGGACTTTTGCATTAATAAAACAGCGCTAATCACAAATCCTGGTTAGCACCTAGGCACTAATACTAATAGGTTACTGGCTAAGCCCCGCACTAAATTCTGATTAATTCTGATTAAGTATGGTGACACTTAGGTATCTATAATAAAGGGGTCAACGCCAACTGTTACTGTTCCCAACCTTAACTTTAAAGTGCATTTGAACTTTAGGCAGGTCACGGGTACTACGGTATATGTACCTAGTACCCTTGGACTCTTTGAATTTCTTTTCACTTCTTACAATTCAAGTTGAATCTTACAATTGCCATACATACATACATACATAGTAGGCAGGCATACATCAATGATCTCTTCGTAATGCTCACCATCAAGCAGCCGGTATCTTGAAACCCCCTGTCCTATCCTTCCAGAATCCATCAGGGTCAACTTCAGCTTGAACTTTCTGAGCGAGCTGCAACTTCTCAGGCCTCAGTCTCCCAAAGTAATCCTGAGGATAGAAGCCATCGTTCATGAAAATTGGCAGATAGACATCCGACTGCAACATGCCACTTTGCTGGTATCCTTTAACAATGTCTTGGATGCCATCGTACGTGGCTCGCATCGTTAGGTCAATCTTCTCATAGTCGGACTTGAATAGGAAACTATAGTCCAGCTCAACGATGATCCGGTCGATGTCGTCGTCGAGGTCTAGCATATCTCCGCCCTTAGACTTCGCAATCGTTGCTACCCCCTTCGGTAGAGGCTGAAACGCAATGCTAGCGATAACTCCTGGAACAAATTTAACAGTGTCGCTGACATTTACCCAATGGTCGTATATGGATTGCATGATTTCTGGCCCGTCCTCCTGGCTAGGTAGGGGCATCGTTTCCGTGCCAATGGTATAGACACTGCCCTTGACGACAGCCCAATTGTTCCCGCTGAGAAGCTCGGAATACCTTTGCGTCTTGCAGGTATTGATTATCGGCCCAATATCGAGGAAAGCGTCAAATACGCCCTGTGGTGGTTCTGGGCCATTATAGTATAAGAACATGATCCAGATGTCTAGGAGGGTGCCCAATGTTCTTTCAGCTGTCAGTATGATACCAGCTTTCCCGTCTGAGTAGTTCTCGGTGAAGTTTCGCACAGCAGCTAAGATGGCTGCAGTGTTTTTTGGCGTCGCGTCGAATTCGAGGTTACCACCCCAGACATCGCCTTGAGCATATGCCTGGAGGACATACGAAGTAACGATGCCAAAGTTGTTACCGCCACCTTTTAGAGCCATCCAAAGTTCGGGGTGGCTAGTTTCTGAAGCCGTGACAATCGATGCGTTTGCTAGCACTATTGTTACCTCAAGTATCGAATTGGCTGCCCAGCCATACTCCGTGCTCATAAAACTTAGTCCGTCTAACAACGATATTAGTAATAGTCTGCTTCAAGGGGATGGTTCATCCGTTTTCTCACTTCCGAGCAGATAACCCCCAACGCCTACATTGCCAATGCGTCCACCAACAACCGTGTAACCGGTAGCATCGAGCTGTTCCCCAACCTCATCCCATCTGTTTCCAGGACCAACCCTTACTGTTTTCGAGCTAGCATCAAATATCACCTCGTTTAGTTTCTTGGTCGAGATCAGCGGCCCACCGTCAACGCTAGCGAAATAGTTGTTGGGGTTGTGACCGCCTGACTTGATAGCGAATGTCTCGTTATTCTCGCGGAGGATCGATACAATGGCAGCAACCTCCTCCGTTGTCTCTGGCTCGAGAATGCACGCGGGCTTAAGGTCGCCGCAAGCTGTAGACCAGTAATGCGATTGCTCTTCGTTAAAGTCTATTGAAAGCAGTTTCAATGTCGAGATTGAAGTACGCTCCTCCACTATTTCGCATGTATTCTGGGCGATGACGGAGGCCGCCAGCGCAGCAGCCCAAGGGGCGATTCTTTTCAAAGTCGAGAAGGTCATGATTCCCAAAACGTTCCTGCTTAGGAGGCTCTTGAGGTTATCACGGTGTGCCGCGAGGAAGTCGAAAAACGGACCAGTGAGTGAAAGGCCACATGCAATAGATGTAACCTTAACCCCTCAGAAAGGGGCATATCTGACATTTAACTGCTCTCCGTATCTCCATCTTCACGGAAATGACGTTCGAGCCGAGGCACTCAGGGGCAGTAAGGCTAGGAGATCAAGGAAATAGAATGGAACCTCGTGATAATAGCTATCAACCTGCATGTCCAAGTACTATGCCGTACCTACCTAGCTACTTACCCACATCTGCATTAACCCACACATGTGGTTAAGATCCGAATACGATAACAAGATTCTAGGCTGCCTACATATCTAGTCCATCTCGGTTGCTGGCATCTACAAGGGACATCCATCAGAAGAGACACTACCAGTACCGAACTCCCACTACCCCCCTCATTCTAATAAGGTTATACGGGAAGGGTGGATTATCTTGACGATATGCCGGTACACGCATCCCCAACTACCTACTATGTAACTACACAGTAGGAGATGTATATCTGACAGACAATTTTAGATGCATATACGTTCCAATCTCCCACAGCCGCGTGAGGTCCCGGGAATAAATTTGCAGATACCAACAGAAAAGCTGGCTGTTTTCTCCCTCAAAATCGCGTAAATTCTCGACTCCGCCCCCCTCTTACATATAATAGTATCTTGAAGATATACACCTACGAGCTGACTACCATAACCGTGCTGAGATCCGGGTCGATCGCCATTCTAACCTAGCGGAAGCGCAGGCCAAAGTGGGAATAGCGTCTCAGCCAAGGCTACCCCCATTTGGTCTCCACACCTCCCATCCTTACTATGTACAATGATATGGTGGCTTTTTAGGGCTGCCACTCGGAATGGTTTCCTTGGTCAGCACTATGTATGTGTGTATGTACGTCTGGATTACATAGCGGTTCATTCCGATTTGTTTGCGGACACCGATGTAGGTGCACGTACGTACGTAAAATTAACCGTAAGCTCATAGGTACGCGTTGAACTTGCATGATAGTAGGCACCTACATGTATGTAAGTACCCCGAAATTGTGGCATACGTACCTATATCAGTTCTCATATATCTAGATTAGGGAGGTAGGTGATATGTGATGTATTAAAGGTAGTAATCCCGAGGATTCTAGAACGAGCTTTGCTATCCTTGATTTCTAGGTTTGTTCCGTGGCCTACATACGTTGATTCTGCCCGACTAGTTAGAGGCATCCACGGTTAGTAAGCACATATATATCAGGCACTATATAGCTTGGCGGCAGGTAGCAAGGGATATGTGATAATAGGCATGCTAGCCGAGATGGAGGAAAGCCGAGTCTCGATACCACCACATCTGGGCAGGTAACTATGCATATTCCGGGAAGTTGGACCCGGCTCAGCAGCGGCTGTCTACATTATGTACCTGGTCACAGTAGTTATTGAGCAGGCCCTCACGATTCGTCGCCGCCGTTCGAAGATCCCCGTTATGAAATGAAGGAAAGGTGAAGTTTCTTCTTCAGCTCTACCCCCTTTCATTTTGACGGTAAGTACTGTAGATAGGTACGTAGGTAGACGAAGGTTTATTTTATTATACCTATTGTGGCTTTGCTTATGGCTTTCACGCGCGGCTTTAGAGATTGGTTTATTCATTGTTGGGATCGTGCCCTGGGTAGGGAGGCATGCGACGAGGAAATTTGAAGTGGAATTTTGATATCCTGGCTATCGCCAACCGGTTCTATTTAGGCAGATAGGTGATTATGTAGGTTTCGATGTGATCCGATGATTATTCCACCGAGTTTGAACTCCGCGGCGACGCGCGACGGCGTGCGTGGGTATTAAACCTTTGGCTTGACGTAGATGTCTATGCTTGCTCACACACTTCCTTTCTTCCTACCGATTCATTCACTACCTACCTATGGTAGCGCTTTTTTTTTTTTTCTCAATCACCCTTGCTTCACCGAATAACCTTCGTCCCCTCAGCCGGTTCCAGAATCAACCACTGGCAGTCGATGCCCTCGCGGCGGAAGCGGGCGATGATCTTGTCGGCGATGGCCTCGAAGTTGCTGGTGGCGAGGGCGAGGATGGTGGGGCCCGCGCCCGAGAGGCAGACCCCCAGGAGCCCCTCCTGCGTGCTCGGCGACATCGACTCCACGATTTCGCCCAGCCCCGGAATCAGCGTCTGCCGGTACTGCTGGTGCAGCTTGTCCTGCATCGCGAGGTAGATCAGGTCCGGGTCTGGCGGGGATTGGCCCAAAGCGACGGGGAGCAGGGCTATGCGTTGGAGGTTGAAGGTCTAGGAGGGTAGGCGTTAATGTTTCATTCTATCTTATGTACTGGGTAAAAATAGGGGGTTGTGACGTACCACGTCCTGTCTGGGATACTCCTTCGGCAGCACCTCACGTGCTTTCGCCGTCGGCACCTGGAAGTTGGGGATGACGGCGACCGCCTTGATCTCCTTGGCCCACTGGAACTTGATGTGGTGCCCGATCCCGTGCGGCGGCTCCGGGGGCCGCTCGCCGGTATCCAGGCCGCCGGCTGGCATGGGCAGGACCTCGCTGAGCGGGATCTCGACGCGGGCCACGTCCTCGGGCGCCAGCGGCTTCAGATACGTGCCCACGAATCCTCCGAATAATGCGGCTCCCACGTTGTCGGGATGGCGCTCTGTAGTGTGAGATGGCCCGGTTAGCTTGACCAACGCAAATCAAGTGAGATATATGTGCGACTCTGAGTGAAGTGAAAAATGTTATAGCAGATAGCTGCAATAGCAGCAGCAGGACTCACCGATCATAAGGCAAAAGTCGAATAGCCGATCATCGGTCAAATCCAGCCCGCCGACCTCCTTGCCCAACATGACGCCCGCCACGACCGCGGCGCCGGAGGAGCCCAGGCCGCGGCCGAGGGGGATGGGGTTCATGATGTGCACGTGCGTCTCGGAGGGGAAGGCGCGCTGGTCGTGGCACCGGAGGACGTACAGCGCGACGCGGGTGATGAGGTTGGCGGCCGGGTCCAGCGGCACGTCGTCGGACCCCTCCCCCTGACCCTCGTAGGTGATGCGGCAGTTCAGCGGCTCCGTGGACTTCTTGGACCGGTCGATGGTCACCTTCAGTTCTAGGTAGATGGACAGCGCTAGCCCGATGACATCGAAGCCCGGCCCGATGTTGGCGGAGGAGCACGGGGTGCGGATTGTGAAGGTTTCCATTTTTTTTATTTCTCCTATTGTTCTCTTTCCTTTTTTTTTTGGATTTTGATTTGCTTTTCCCCCTTTCTCTACACAACGGATGAATGAAAAGGTTTGTCCGGGTCAAGTGGGAAGTTGAACTCCGTAGGATGGATGGATGTCCGTTGCCGATACGAGGAAAGATAAGAAAGAAAAGAAAAAAAAAACCCTGGGCCGAGAACAGTTCAATATCCAATTGACGAAGTAGGAATTGAGAAACCTCACTATTTTCAGATTTCCTTATTCCAATTCTATCTCCCGTATATCATTATAGTTATTAGGTATGATATTAGGTATGATACAAAAAATACTGGACAAGTTGCTGATGACTAAAATTGGAAATTTTCAAATATTTGTGCTACCCAATTGCTAGCCTACGCGCCCGATGACGGAGCTGAAAGGCGCTGGCCAGGTACGCAGGTAGTACAATGCGATGGGCTGACATATTGCGGGGTAGCTTGCCCTAAAGAGAACTCTTGGATCATTTGATTGGTCAGGTTTGCCACTAACAAAAGGTACACTAGCCTATAACTTGGCTTTTGAAGATCTCCAATCGAATGACCAAAGATTAATAATGTCATATAAATTCATATAAATTCAAGTTCTATCTAGATGGCATATGTCCTTAGCTGTGATATTTTTTCAAGGTTGAACACTAAATCCCCTTTATCTGATTTATATGCCTAAGTAAATCACCAACCAAAGGACTCGGTATGTAATGTGATGATATCAGCATCTCCCGCCAGAACTTTCTTCTGCATGGTAGACACTGCATTCGCTAAATCCGTCCTGAGACTTTCTGGGCCACATCCTACAAGTTCATCAGGTTAGTTTATTAACATTCTTTTTTTTCCTTGACTTTGAAATGTTTCACTTACCTAGAATGAAGGACCTCCGCGCCGAGAGAAGACGAGGGAGCAATTCAGGCAAGTACGGTCGCTGTATATGTATTTGCCCGAACTTCAGACTCACTGCCGTCGCAACATTGTCACCCTCTTTGTTATTAGCACTGCCAACTTCTGAATTCTTTTCCCAATCCGCGCTTGAAACTCTCGACGCGCTGGAGTCTGTAACGAAAAAGTCAATGTGTATCAGATCGGGGTGGGCATTGACGAGAGTTTCCAGCTCCTCCGTTATCCACTCTGTCTGATTGGCATGTCGTACCATCCATACCAGATGGATGTTCTTGGTTATGGCGGAACCCTCAGCGATGCGCTGTGCCGCGTGTTGGATCCATGGAAGACACGCGGATACACCACTTCCACCAGCGACGAATATCTGCGATTCGTATAATGCAGGTATATCCTCCACCAGACCGCCATATGGACCGTCAACGTGCACAGATACAGAACGGCCGTGCTCTTCGGCCACATCGTGATCTGCAATGGACTTGAAAAGTTCCAAAGTCAGGCCATGGTGCGCCCGGATGTAAAAGGTCATCTCTTGCACGTCCGTGGCTCTGGTGATCGCTCCAGGCTGGTTCTTCGGTATATTCGCGATGGTAAAGGGGTGGTTCTGAAGCATCGATATGTGCGGCACCCGTAACCAGACATGCTGTCCTGGCTTCCAGTAGAAGTCCGCCGGCGCGAGGACCGTCACTTTAGACATACCTCCGGGGAGTGTCTGAAGTCTTGCTGGGAATCCTTGGAACCAATCGCGAAAAATGCTGAAAGTCTGCCACTTGTAGAAGAGGCGTGCCAGGCAAGAAGCGAGCCAAATACCAAGCGTCGCATATAAGTAAACCCAAGAGTCTCCCTCGTCTTCCGTATGCCAGAATAAGAGGCCCAGATACGCAATGTACATCGGAATATGCAATCGGTAGAAGAAATTGTAGAAGCGATGGCGAATCCACGGAATGGACAGCACGACGAGACCTACGAGTATGCCAAAGGGTGGAGTTCCAGTGTACTATCCAAGCAGAGTGTCAGTATTAACGATTTATCATTTCGTGAAAGGATGGACATATATATCTGGAAGGAGATCAATGATTACTTACCTCCATGCTATCTTCTTTGTAGTACTGCTTGCGCAGAGCCTCAGGCCCGCCTTCCTTCAGGGGCTGTATGATGAAAGGTGCTGCGTGAACTATTGCCAAAAATAGGCACATGTATGAAGTCCATCGGTGGAAGACGTTCAGCTTCTCGTGGCTGATCCCCGTGAGCATGGTGATGAAGTTGACCTTGCCGGCAAGTGCAACAATGATGGGTGTCAGCGCCTGCGCCATCAGCCCCGTTCGTATAGCGAGAGGCGGAGAACCGAAACCACGGCGCCCGCGATAATACGGATGAACCAGGAATGTTAGTAGGAGTAAAAAGAGAAACGTCAGAGCGACGAAGACCGAGGTTCCGAGAGACAGAAATCCGAAGTAGTCTGCCACGCGCCCCTTAAAATGTCGGTAGTTGATCATACGGATGACGGCCAATGCCTTGTGCGATAGCGTTGTTTTTCCAGGGGCAGTGGCTCCTCGTCGAGCTCTCCGGTTTCTGTTCACGTGGTAGAGATATACGAACATGGCGACGCCAATGGCAGCCAGATAGTACCAGGTAGTGAAGTGGCCATATTGGAATTGGTAGTAGTAGGAAACAGCAGCCTGTGACGCCTTATGAGCAGCTTCGAAAGCAGCGCAATCATCACTATTACACTGAGGATCCGAAAGGGGAAGATTCGTAATGTTCACCGAGCTGGAGTCGGAGCCCATATCCATCGACATCGCCTTGGACGCCATGCTGACCAGTATCGTTGATTGTGGTGGTGGTTCTTGCTTTGGCGTGTAGGACAAGAAAAGGAGATCAGAAACCGGTCCGCCTATGACCACATGGTTATTATGTATGTGTCTGTGTATCTGGCCTGTTTTTAAGGTTGATAATCGGAATTAAATAATTGAGTTCTTCATAAGTTGGTACCGTTGGTAGGTATACATAGTCACCGGCTAATTAATTCTGGTAAAATCTACGCGACTAAGGATAATTTGATGGAAACTTGCTCAACACTCGGCCCGGGAAGAGCCTTGAAGACATTCTAGACCATCGCTAGGTATAGTGACAAACATGTGGTTGAAGACCTCCAAGCTTCAACGGGAGATAGTCACAGTGCTAGTCACGATAATGGTAAAGTGTCAGTGTTACCTATCTCGAAAACAAACCGTACTACCGGGGCACACGAAACACAAGCACCACAAGAAGTGTAAGTTCAACTGAGTTGAGTGCATTTTATAGTATGCAGGAAACACATGGATGCATACTAGCGTAGTGTATAAGAGATCCATGATATTTACAGTATGAAAGTTGGTGAGGAGCAGAAAAGAAGTTGAAGTGCTGCATGTGGCGTTTGAAAAAGGTATCGTGACTGTCATAGCTCCAGCTCAGCTCCGCTAGACAACCGCATTGGTAAATATTAATTAACTCAAACCTGCTCTCCTATCTTTTTTAACCCCTGTCACCTGTCACCTCCATTCTATATCTTTTGAATAACATGCGATTACTTACTTATTGAACTGTTCAAATACCAAACCCCTTACCTGCCAACTTCTATGTAGTATTTAACCTACTGTGTCATAGTCAATATTTAACCTGATAACTAGGTAGTTACATGGGAATAGACGAAGCTTTTTCATCTTCAATTTACTAGTCCGCTCTTGTGTTCTTGTCTAATATCTTCGGATCCAGCCCCCTGGGATTCTTGTCTATCTACGGTAGGTGTAAAACTATCTACGGTATCAAGTATCTGACGGAGTTCAAGAAAATATTTAAATTTTCCAGCAGACACGCGCCCGCACTGACAGAAACTCAAATCCTAAAAGTCTTTGAGGTTCTGTATTACGCGTACCCGACAGAAAAATACTATAAGATGGATATGTCCTCTATGACCATGTCGATGACCATGGACATGTCCTCAACCACCACAACAGCAAGTGCATCGTCACCGACAACAACAGCAGCTATGTCGATGGATATGGGAGGGGAAAGCGCCTGTAAAATATCGGTAATGCTTCTCATCCCATAACTAACCAACTCCCGAGCGAAAGAAAAAGAATGACCACTAACGCTGAAGCAGATGCTCTGGAACTGGTACACAATCGACACCTGCTTCCTCGCATCATCATGGCACAACACCACCACCGGCATGTTTGCCGGCTCTTGCATCGGCGTCCTCCTGTTGACCATGTCGCTGGAGCTCATGCGCCGCACCGTCAAGGAGTATGATCGATATCTCGTCAAGAAGCACACCTCGGCTGCCGCTTTCGAATCCAGCGCACCTGGGGACAACGGCAATAAGCCAGCCACGACGGCGGGTCCCGGACCATCTTGTCAGAGCGCAGCGCAGCCCCAGAGGTTCAGGCCGAGTGTACTGGAACAGGCTACCCGGGCGTTGCTGCACATGGTCCAGTTTGCCATTGCCTATTTCATCATGTTGTACGTTGTTCTTGTCCTATGGTTCCACTCGCCTAGGTGATCGAGAGAAAGATCTACACTCGGATTTTTCTGAGGGGATGTGCTAACTGGGTACGACGGAACAGGCTTGCAATGTACTACAATGGCTACATTATCATTTGCATCTTCATCGGCTCGTACCTCGGGGCGTTCATATTCCACTGGGAACCTCTGGATATAGGGTGAGTCTCATTCTGCATTATCCTAGCTTTTTCCCTTTTTCATTTTGTGGCAAGATGCTTACTTACCGCTCCGAGTGATAGACGTGGTACGACTAGTGCGACTCAAGAACCAACAGTATGCTGCGGATAGGCTCGGAGGTGTTCAGGGCCAGCTAAGCATGTGCCACGACAGCGATTAGGCTACACGAACTTCGGGGGAAGGTCACTGCGACGAGGGATTGGATTGGATGTCCAATCTTCATGGATCGGAAATATCACGAGAACGCTTTATACCAGAGATGAAAGAAAACATTGGCAAGCATGCCAAACTACCCCTATCATCTATTAGCCCCTATCTATTAATACCACAGCTTCATTCCTCATCTAATAAATATCAACAACATCTTTTTTTCTTAAGAAGAAGGCGGGAAACTTGTCTCCACACGCGGAAACTGAGCATACCCCTTCCCCCTGACGAAGGTGTAGTACCACGCCCTCTGCTTGGGGTCCGCCGCCAACTCGTAGTAGGCGTCTGCGTGCGCGTCCCCGTTGAGGTCGAACCACATCGGGACTCCATCCTCGTGTCTCTCATCGGCGTAGTAAAACCTATTTGAATAACTGGTAAGAATTTGCCATTCGTGAAGTTATGTGGAAATTATAAGTACGAGGCAGGTAGACAGATATGCTTGGCTTTTACTCACTTGTACGGCTTATCGAGATACGCAACAAGCGCAAGATGTTGGATCAAGTGTGATGCTGCGCTCTTGGCCACTGTGACAGGAAACCCGCGTTAGTACCTACCTAGTACCTAGTCTTCTCTTTGAAGTATTAAATGCATTTGAGTGCGGGGAGAGCTCCTTTTTTAATCATGGGCGTTTATACATAGGTATATACCAAGGGGTGGGCAGGGAACACTTACTACCGAAGGCCATGAGCGACGGCGACGCGGTATGGTTTAGCCCGTTTCCGGTAAAGATGAACGTCCCGCCCGCGGGGCCGAGTCCCTCCGCGCCAAGCTTCTCAAAGCCCTTGACGGCCTCCTTCGCCGCAACGTACACGCTCACGGCATTCACGTCCATGATCTCGTGGACGGTGTCCAGGTCGTTTGCGAATGGGTTATCCGGCGGTGTCGCTTGGTTCATCGCGGCTGCGAGGTTTGTTTGTTAGCATTTCACTTAAGTGCAGGCACGGAAACAGAAAATTGATGGAAGCCGAGAGAGAATTTTTAGGACGCACCGTTGAAGATGACGACGCTGGGTATGCCTATGTCCGAAGACACTTGCTCGAAGAGAGCCGCCAGGGTTCCGGGCTTCGATACGTCTACGGGGTAGTGCCGATACTTGGGATCGAGCCTTTGGGTTCGTGATGCGGTCGCGACTTGGAAGTTGGCGTTGGTGAAGATCTCGGCGCAGGCGAGGCCAACTCGCGGTCCGGCGCCGATGATAAGAACTGTTGGCATGGTGATAAAAATAGTAGGATTAAATTGTTGCGTGTATGTTGATGATGATTAATGTTGGTTAGAAGTCGCTTGTGGAAATTTGTTTTCATTGAATACCTAGCTATATGGCTAATATTGTGATACTTATATACCTCCTGATACTCATCTCTTCCAGGTCAATATAACGGCGGCCTGGCGACATATACTCCGTCATGTCCATGGGATGGGTAGATGGTAGAATTGCATTTATAATCAGAGCGGACGAGCCGGCCCAACTCATTCGACCTTCCCGGGCACTAGCTGGGCGGGATTATTACCTAACCAGCCTATGTCTTTGGAGAAGGTATATCCGAACAATCCGTGCCGGTGATAATTTATTACTAATTGCTATACATTGTTGGTGTTGCGACAGATTTGAGGTAGGTAGGTAGGTATCAGATGAGGCCGGGCTGGTTGATGCTTACGAGACATTGGTGAAGACGTCTGCTCCTAGCTCGGGCACGCGCGCCACGGCGATGTGGTCGTGGATGGTGCTGGGTCGTGCCATTGAAATGCGATGTAGGTATATACCTACGATTTATGGTAGTAGGATGAGTGTAGGTAGTATCTAGGGAAACTATCATAGAACTAGAAAGCTCAATGTCTAAGGCGCGGATAACTACGTTCCTAATACACCGAATGGAACGATGAGCACCAAAACCTCTCCGTGTCAATCTATCCTTAGGTAGAGAACCGGAAGATTCTGCAATGCAAGGAGGCGGCACTCGCTGCGAGTGCACTCCCTGAGGATCCACCGCTGCTGTGTGGCCGGGCTTATGACTCCCAGGTATATCCTTATACAGGACAAAGTGCCTGGATTTCTACCTTATGCTAACAAATATTCAACGTAATAATCTGTTCAATAATCAGTAAAGCTTTATGCCAGCTAGAAGAGTAATGTAATTAACGTTCATACAATTCCTATCCTAAGGCAGGTACCGAGTAGTTACCCAGATATACAATGAATGCTCAATTAACCATCTTCTTAGCAATAATCACACCCTCCCGAGCATCCTCTTCATAGAACACGATATCCTTCACCTCTAAGCCTACTTCAGATAGTAGCTTTTTCCAATGTGCCTCAGTCCTCGCTTCCGCGTTGAGCACTGCGAGCATTGTCAAATCGAGTTGCGTCTCATACCTGTGGGCTCCTTGATCAGGCAGAACTAGGTCGTCAATTAATAGAAGAGAGTCACCATCCATGGCATCGCGGATATAACCAAGGATTGTGCGTGAGGATGGATCAGGCCAGTCTTGATGGTAGGTAAGTCAGCATTGGGAATCATTGGAGGTACAGAAAAGGGGGGGGGGGGGGGGGGGGGGGGATACTTACTCCGTAACACACTCCTAAAATAGTATGATGCCGCGCCTTCGCAAATTCACATTAGCTGACATGTCATAATAACGACGCATAGAAGCGGATTGGGATACACTTACCTTTCACTGGTTGGCCCTGGAGAAAGTTGACTTCCACTTTCTCGATACCCTCTCCTGGCTCTGCGGTCGCCACGACCTCTTTGAGATCTTCGAGGACAATCTTTCCCTTGAATTCCGGTACCTTCGTTCTCAGAGCCTGTAACAATCGTGTTAGCTGGTAGAAATCAGGTCCCTAAAATGATCAAGCCAACCTTGCACTGGTGTCCGATCCCACCGCCAATATCTACAAACGCCACGCTCTTCTCCTCCCCTTTCTTCCCCTCGGTGATCTTCTCCAGCGCATCTTTGATCTCGCTGATAATTTCGGGCCGATCCAGCCACGTCCGCACCCCAGTCCTGTGGTACTCCATGTAGACGTTGAAATCCCTCGCGTTCTGCGGACGCTTCGCCAGCCACTCGTAGAAAGTCGGCTCCTCCGAGCCCTCGCGGTTCCCGATCCCGAAGGGCGTGTCTTCATGGGCCTCCGGCGGGTTGAAGGCGTGGCGGCGGAGGTACTCCGGGATGGCGAACCCAGCGAGTACGCAGTTGTCCATACTAGGGGGAAGAAAAGTAAATGTCAGTACCTATTGTCGGAACACTGTGCAATCATAGAATATGCGGTATGGGGATTGTGGAGAGACCTAGGTATGCTAGCTTACGTGCTCTTTATCCCGGCGTACTCCCCCTCCCCTGAGAGGTTGTTCCCGTAGTGGCTTGAGCTCCAGACTCCGGTCCCGGCTTCGCGGACCATGCCGACGGAAGCTAGGAACCTCAAGATACGCGTGAGCAAGTGCGGGTTTGGGCTTTTGCCTGTCCGCTTCGCGACCTCTTCTGTGGATAAAGGGGTGGGGCTCGCTTTGAAGATATTAAAGAGGTCGAGGTCTACAGCGACACGGGCTGCGATGAGCTCTAGGGGCTTATATCGAATAATGAGTTAGCGGAATCGTATAAGGGTTGTTGCTGAGATATCGTACACTCAACCAACGGAGTCATGGTAGTTGAGTAAAACATTGATAGGCGTGGTCTAAGAGATAACTAGACTTACGCTGTAGAACAACCTTTGGCCAACTTCAACCGGTATCTCAAGCTCAGGGACGAGCTTAGGGATTGCAGAGAGTAGTCTCTTTCGAAGTTTATCATCTTCCCGAAGAGAGGCAGGGATAGAAGACGGGTTGGCAGCCAGGTTCTCAAGGAATGAGACAACAGACTCCACCGATATGCCTTTAGAAGATACCATGATGTAGGCTATTATTTTTAGGGCTCTGTTAAATGCAACCCCAGGAATGGGTACTTGGGCAGTTCTTTGAAGGAAATGGATATATAGTAGATACAACGACTCTCGATATCTGAAGAAATGCCATGCGCTCAAAAGTCCGCAGCCTTAAGCCTTAAATACCTATGCAACCACCTACCCACCTCCTCCGCTTCTTCACTATTTTAACCTGTTTATATGCCCTGCTCAAGGATTTTGAAGTCCCATTAGCCCCGATCGGAGCTTCGCTCATACTTCGCCACATATCAACAGGAATGATGTACCTACCATTAGTCCTCCAAGAGAGAGAACCTAAAAAGTCAGATAATCCGGCACTCTGGATTGGCTCTTATGGGGATCTAGAGGGTCTAAAAGGGGGTGGGTGCATGATCGCGAGCACCGCTGACGCTCTCGGTGCCGAGTCGTAAATCTGCCTTATGGTAGCCCCAATGACACACCATTTTTATCGGGCCTCCGCGGGTTATCATGCGTGTTATAGGTTGGTCAGCCGCAGGCCAAGGGTTTTTTTTGGTTCAATCTCACCTACATACCTGGGTGTCTTTGTTTTAGTGAGATTTCCTTTTCGGTGTGTGGTCATTATTCGAGATTCGGGACCGGGAGAAGAGTTGACTCTATATACAGCTGACCCCCCTTTTTTGACATTGAGTGCATAGCTGATATACAATACCTACCTAGTACCTACTAGATAGGTAGCTACTATCTGTTACAAACCACACTTACTTCCCACTCCACAATCCTTTGGATGATCTAAGGATATGAATGCATGTCAGATTCAAGTCATGTGCCTTACTAGACGGTTTCTATCACGTACCTAGCAATACCCCTACAAGCACTGTGTTTGCATTTTGTCTAGTTTTGAATGGATTTTGATTATTTTCGACTAATAATTATCTAGCCCGCACGCCACCTGAAGCCAGAGAGTTCACATTCTGAGTCTGAAGGGGAATCTCAGCTATCAAGCAGGCTCCCCAATTTCAAAGCTGTAAGCAACAGGGGTTCCGAAGTCCGGGGACCCATCTGCGTTCGTTCCCATGACCTGGACCATGGTATAGCGGCTGTCATTGCAAGATCCCGCGCTGTTCGAAGTGGCGTGGTATGCGTTCCAAGTCTGGTTGCCGTCGGGGCTGCGGAAGAAGCTGTTGTGGCCGGTGCCGTAGTGGCCGTTGACGCCGCCTTTGAAGACGCAGCCGTCCGACTTGGTCCAGGCGTCGGGGGAGATCGGGTCTGTCGTGCCGTCCCACTCTAGCGTCGCCAGGCAGTAGTCGGGCGTCCAGCAGTCGTTGGCCGAGTAGGTGATGTACGTCTTTCCGGTCGACTCGATGTACAGGGCCGCGGGGCCCTCGTTGACGGGTGTCCGGCTTTGCTCCCACGCGTTCAGCGGCTGGGAGATGACCCCGATGCTGCCTAGTAGTGATACGTTGTCATCCCCTAGCTTCTGCATGCATAGGGATTGGTATTGGACTCCGTGGAAGCATGAGTATGCTAGGTAGTTGCCCCATGTGTTGAACCGCACGATGGTCCCGTCAATGGCCCACTCGCTGCTGAGCTTGCCGACGTAGGTGTAATCATCCCAAGCAGAAGCACCACCTATCAATATGTTAGGTAATGACCTCAAAATTATCCGTTGCGCATCCGATATGCTTGAGATATCTCAAGTATAGGTAGACAGCGGTGGGAATATCACTTACCCTTTGAAACGTGCAGGTTCTGTCCATCGAGGTTAGCTGAAGTCCCCGCCGTAAAGTAGAGATACCAGGTTCCGTCAATGAGGTGCGTCTCAGGGGCCCAGACGCTGCAGCAGCGACTCGAGTCGGTTGAACTATAGATGACCTTCTTCGTCGCCGTCTTAAGACCCTCGATAGTTGTGGATCTCGCAATTTGTACATTGGTCCATGAGGTAGTTAGAAGATAGTAGTACCCGTCCGAGTATGACAGCTGCGGATCGCTGCCGCCTGGCTGGCGAATTGGGTTGGTGAAAGCTGACACTGGGCTCGCCAAGAACTGGGAGGTGAGGCCCAGGAAGGCTGTGAGAAACCTTCCGGTGTTGAAGAACATGATGGGCTTCTGTGTTTTCAAGATGATGATCAAAGTATCATGTAAATTGCCAGGCACTGACTTAACCCATCAACAAAAGCTCTGTTTAGCCTGGAAGTTCTGGCTGTTCTTATAGGCCTGTGCCTGCTCATGGTATTCATGGTATCGACCGCTTCATAAATCCACCTGCCATGCTGCTTCACCTTCAATCCATAAATTCCATTGGGGAGGATACCATCGTGAGGGGTGACTAATACCCCATTGGAGCGCATCCAAACCACCTGAGTAGCCTCATGATTAAGCATAGGACGAAGCTCGTATTTTCCGGGCAGCATGACTTGAAAAGGAATGGGCCTCCCGCTTTGAATAGAGATGGAGGGCATCACATTTTCCGATTCGTGGAAATCAGGGGGATCCGTTTCCCCAACTTGCCAAGAACACATCACTCCAAGAGGCCCAGTTACATCATACCATGAGTTGTACAGATCTGGTTAGGTAAACTGGGGAAACCATGAACATACGACCTTGGAGTACACTTGGAGTATCTCTGGGGTATTCTCCTTCATAGACCGTATTCGCGAAGAATGTTGGAGAGTATTGCGGGGCTGCTTTCTTGAATACTCCAACTTGAGGGCTCACAAATGCCATTCGTGAATGGCATTAAGATGGTTATTCATGATAGCATCTTGTTCAAAGACAAAAAAAAAGTACCTATTTATAGATCAGGTACCTAGGATCTAAAGATGTGATCATAGATCCAGGGGTGCATGAAAAGGGGTGGGGTAGAGTAATTTCACTCAAGCCAAGCCTACGACTTCACAGTTAAAGCAAGTTCTTCCTTAACAAAACAACTTGTATTACTTCTTTTCCCCCAGATTCCGAAGTCTTGTCGTCCTAATACATCTCGTACCTAGCTTGTAGGTCCTGACTGAGATGATTGTCACAGTCAGGGTATCATATCAGCCTTGGTTCAGATGATATCAATACTAGGTAGTTACATTTTACTGTATTAGCATTAATGCTGGTATTTGTAAGTCGTAGCCCTATCAGAGAATTCCGCTGAGTCCGCAACTGATCCATCCCGATTCTCTTGCTTACTCGATTCGCGGCTGTAGTAAATGTACCTAAGCACCCACCATAAGCAAAAGGATACGCATATCGCTCCAAGACTCCAAGCGTGCCCAAGAGTATAGCCAGGTGCCATAGTCTGCGGATATATCTGGCCCGAGATAATGCCGCCAACGTTACCCACAGCGAAAGCAAGTCCAAGTGAGGCTGCTCTCTTGCCGTCGGGTGCGGTGTTAGTTGAGAGCCAGGCTATGTTCGCACCGCCCATCATCCAGGCGCAGGTAGCAATCAGGAAGCACGCAAAATACTTCACTCCCACAGAAAGGTGATTACCTCCTAAAAGCATTGAATAGCCTACCATCCCTAGTGGCGCGGCGAGGACACACACTAAGAATCGTCGTGCGAAGCGATCCGACAGATAGCCACACACACCGTATATAACAGAGCCCCATAAGAACACCGGAATGCTGAGGTACTGAGACTGCTCAACACTGAAGTTAAAACCATACCTCAAGATAATGGGTAGGAAGACACTAAATCCATATAGGATTGTGAGACACATAACCTGAATCAAGGTGTGTAACCAGGTCTTGACGTCCTTGATAGCCATCATAAACTCGGCGCGTGTGTAATGCCCCTGTCCACCGCTGTATGATTCAGTTATTTCCGCGCGCTTTCGCATCACCGCTCGATCGTCCTCATTGAGGAAGTAAGCAGTGGTATAGGACCTTGGAATGATGAAGTAGCAAAGAAAAGCTACCGCAACGGTTACGGAGCCCTCGATGATATATAACCTAGGTTGAAGTTATGATTTAGCCCCATGTGAACCATCCTCTCAGCCGATCTTCTTGAAAAGTTGAGCTCACCATCGCCATCCAGGGTACCCCGCCTTCCCGTTCATGAATAGGATGCCGTAAGCAATCAAGCCGCTGAATGCACTTGAAATGGCCGAAGCGACTATAAACCTTAGGTTAGCAACCCCTATGCTCAACTTCAGCTCTCATGGTCCGGTCTTACTAAACAAGTAACTGATCCTAAGCCCAATTTCCTCCCTCTTATACCAATTCGCCAACATCAAGGTAAGACTCGGCATCAAGAAGCCCTCAAACATGCCCATCAACAAACGACAAGCCGCCAGGTCGCCAAAGTTCCTCGCGAAGCCATTGCCCAAGCACGCCAAACCCCAGCACGTCGCCGCGGCGGGGATGACTCTGTAGAAGCCGACCCTTTTCGCGATCAGCGCGGCGGGGAACTCGGAGAGGATATAGAGCGGGTAGAAGAGCGATATGGCGGTGTTGAGCTGCGTGCCCTGCAGGTTCAGGTCCCCGATCATCCCCTGCGTCGCGGCGAACCCGATGTTGCCCCGGTCCAGGAACGATATCAGCTGCAGCACGATGAGGATCGGGCAGATGTACAGGTCGAGCTTTGCGACGACGCGGATCTCGCGGCGCTTGAAGTCGGCGTCTTCGCCGGATATCGTCGCGGTCTCGATCTGCTGTAGCTGCGCATCGAGTTCGCGCTTCGCGGGGGCGTCTGAGGGGTCATGGGGGACGGCCATGGTATTGATTGCTGTGCAGGTAGCTAACAAAACAGAGCCATATTTCCGTCTCGAAGGATTCGATCCTTTCTTATAAGAACCCTAATAGGACACAATTGTAGGGATACCGAACTACCCCGACGTTCCATCCTTTCAGCTCGGCAATAAATTACGTAGCATTGTCCGTCGGCAGTCCATTTTGGTCCAATCTAGACAGCTGCCAAGCCCTTAACCTCTACATATATCGCCGCCGCGGAGGTCGACCGGACGGGGGTATATGTACTATGTATGTACAGGTCGCACAGACTGGTAGCCTCCTAACCTAATATGTTACAGGAGCTAGCTGGAAATCAAATCCGCCAATCATTTCAATTTGGTGACGCTGTTGAGTTGTTTGTTTGGTTTGAAGCTATTCGCAAATGGAGGGGTAGTTATTGAGATGGGCACGTGATACCCTACCAAGTACATCACCAGGGTTACCTAATAAAAGGTTCTCTTTAATTCGAAGTTCGTCCTACCGCCTCCAATGTTGGAGTGATATGCTTTTGGCCACTGCTGGCATACTGCATTTCGTCCAATCCTGCTATACTATTTATGGTCACTTGGGCAACAACAAACGTACTCTCCCTTACTTCCCTCCTAATAAAAAACTCGGATTAGCGGCATGGGGAATAATCCGCACCTGACCTGTCTTTGGTCTACTTCTTCATTGTTGGCCTCGTCCTTTATGTATCTGCTAGCCTACCTAGTAGGTACTAGATACGTAGTATTCATCTTCTGCTAACATTATGAGGTGTAACTACCACTAGCAGTAGCAGTAGCAGTAATGGCAGATAAGTTCAATATCCTCCACGATCTCAGCCCCTTGCTCTCACCTCAGGCATCCATTGTCCTTCCTGGTGATATTGCCTTTTCCAACCTCACAAGCAGATGGAGAGAATACCGAGCGCCAAACATCTCTGTTGTCGTGCAGGTGGCTACTGAAGTAGATGTCCAGCAAACTGTGAGCGATTCTATAGAAGCGGGTTGGGCATTTTTCATTTTCTCACCTTTAAGTAACCATAGGTCCAGTATGCAGCGAAGCACAATATCCCGTTTGTTGCCAGAGCCGGAGGCCATGGCGCAACTGAGGCTTTAGGTACCGCAAGTCATGCCATCCAAATCGACCTTCGCGCTCTGAACGAGGTCATCCTGTCAACGGATGGTACAACTGCCACCATCGGCGGAGGCGCAAACGTGAAGCATGTCGTCAATACGCTGGAATTATTAGGAAAGCGGACGGGTAAGCTTCCTCATATGCGCCAATAAGACTTCTCAGGAAAATCCTGATGATGAATCTGCAGTGACTGGGACTTGTGACTGTGTTGGAATGTCTGCACCTATCTTGGGAGGAGGCCATGGCTGGCTTCAAGGCCAGTACGGTCTCATGGCTGACCAAGTCGTCTCGGCCCGCCTAGTGCTCCCGAATGGTGAGCTCATCACTGTATCCGAGAAATCCGAGCCAGATCTTTTCTGGGCCATCCGAGGCGCTGGGCACAATTTTGGTATTGTGACGGAGTGGGAATACCGCGTCTACGATGCCAAGCCCAAGTTGTCGTACGAGATATTCATTTACTCTGGAGACAAGCTCGAGGCGCTGTACAGTCTAGCGAATAATATGCTCAAAGACCAACCACCAGAGCTCATGCACTGGGGATACATCATCAAAGTGGCCGAACTTGATCCCGAACATGTGAGTAGAGTCTTGTCAAAGTCTATCGCACATACGTCCTACATTGATTTCACTAAACTGAGTTCATCGTAGCCCATCCTCTGGTTTATCATCATCTACGATGGCCCCACGGAGGCGGCGCGCGAACACACCAAACCATTCCATGGCATCGAATCCATTACGGTCCAATCTGGCGAAGCAGCGCTATCCGAGCTTTCCGCGCTTACCTTTCAGGATGAAGACGGGCCGGGCTGTGCCTACGGGCTGACCTCTCTCCGCTACCCAATCGGGCTGAACTCGTACAACATTGCCGCCGTCCGAAAAGTATACAACGAGATCGACTCGACGTTCCGCGCCGTCCCCGAAGTCGCCGGCTCCTTCTTCCTACTCGAGGGCTACTCGACGCAGGGCGTGCGAGCCGTCGACCCCGCCACGACAGCGTTCCCGCACCGCGACGACAGGATCGTGGTGACTTCGTACATCCAATACAAGCCCAACCCGGCCATTGACCCTGTCGCGCAGGCGTTCGGGAAGAAGCTACGGCAGTACTTGCTCGATGGGAGCGATGATCCGGCACACCTCCGGGCCTACGTCAACTACGCCAATGGCGACGAATCTCTCCAGGAAGTTTATGGCTGGGAGGGCTGGAGGTTAGAGAGGCTGAGGAAGCTGAAGAAGCGGTGGGATCCTAAGAATGCGATGCGGTACTACGTCCCTATTGAGTAGGGACGTCTGAGCCTAGGACCCCCACCAAGGCACTGCAGGAGATGTAGTAGTTAGTCTACGAAGTTTGATGCTTTATATTCTAGCATTGACCCCTTTCCTACACAGGTCTTTTTCATCGTCGTCTACTGTGCTGATCTATACGCACTTGGCAGCTACAGGTGGGTGAGACTGTGCTCAAAGACTGGAAATATCAGGCATGGCTTCTCGGTTCTTTGATAATAGGTATATTCCAAAGTTATCTAAAGCAATTACTAAATTGATTTACATATTCAAATGCAGATAAGGTGCCTAAATACATGAGTTGTATGCTCCAACCTAGTAGGTTACGACCTCCTGATAGTCAATTTTATTCTGCCCCTAGCCCTACCCCTATCCCCACCACTATGTAGTAGCTACCAAGGATCCATTCATAGTTCTTTCTCCTCCTTCTCCTCTTCTTGTTTTGGATAATCATATTCCTCTGTCGAGAAATGACATTCGCTACGCTCCTCCAGATCAACATTCAGTTCTTTCAAGGAATCGAGCCGAGAGCGGAAACCCTCATATCCGTGCTCCAGTTCTTTGCTCAGTTTCAGTTCAGTCATGGGTGGCAGGAGAGACATCTCCTCGAGAATCTTGTTGATTTCCCCTCCAGCAGCTCCCAGATACGACGTCGCCTTTTCCATCCGTAACACATTTCTATTGAGTATAGCAACGTGTTCTGGGTCTGCCTCAGAAAACTCGTCCTGTGGGGGCTCTGGGGAACTAGGTGCCTTTTGAGCATACGGCTGCCTGGGTGAGTGGTAATCTTGGGCTTCGCGATCTCTTCTCCTCGCTCTCCTATCTCGTGGCGTTTCCAATGACGAGTCACTTTGTTCTTGAAAGACAAGTTAGCAAATAAGTCTGATGTGGTTTACTTTATAATCGCCTACCTGAAGGGGTTTCCTTCCGCCTCATCTTTTTTATCCGTTTGGCTGTATTCTTTAGTTTTAGCCCAACCTTCGTCATAATCATAGCATGAACATTTTCGCCTTGCATGTTGAAGATTTGTTCAAACCCGTCAAGACGTAACTGCCGAAGCAAGGGGGCCTTATCGACATGCAAGTAACTCAAGTCATTCCTGTAGAGAAAATCCTCAAATATTTCATTATGGTCTTTATCCCAATAGAAGGTAATGCTGGAGATAAGGTCTTTAGCCTTCGTTCGGCCCCATACAATCGAATTGGGAGTACGGATCGGGGTGTCCATAGATCCCTTAGAATTTGTAGCCATTAGCAGATCTACTATATTCGTACTTGGAAGTGACTGTAAACTGCTTAACCTAGGTACGTGTCACAGTATGCTATGTGAATTAATTTGAGAATCGTGGAATTCAGCAAGTTGAGGAAAGCCTTCTCTCTTTATATGGGCTGCCTGTTCAATGCATACCTAGTACCTATTAAAATCTATGCTATGTGATATGTCAAGATCAAATTCAGACGAATAGGCCTGGTAATGACACATCATGAAACTTGTTAGGCCAATATTAATACTCTTTCTATTAGCAGATATATCTAAGTCTTACCCTACCTAGTATGTAAGGACTAAAGTGTCAAGAAGAAAGAGCCATGTCTGAGACTGCGATTGGGATGAAAGAGAAAGGAGAGTAATGACACGATAACTTGAGATCATTTATGTCAGAAGCATTTCTTATGTTTTAGGTATATAAGTTCCATGAGATTTCTTGTCGTTAATTGATCATCACCCCCTTTTTCGTATCTCAGTAAAAGAATAACTACATCCAGTAGAATAATTTTGTCTTGATATATGCAGCGATCCCAGATGTCCAGCTTAATGAGTTGGCGGGTACCGAAGTACATTGAAGCTTAACCTACATTGAATTGTTGACCAATCATCATATTCGGTTGCCAACTGTTATTCTTACCTCATCAATCCAGGCATAAATGGCCCCACTATAATCATATTACGTTACGTCGCTTCCGATTTCCGAACTTCTCTGATACATACCACTCTACTTTTTACCCATCGCAACTCATTCTATGCCTCTTCACTATTCCGTTCCGTTGTATCCTCTCAGATCAATCTCAAACTAACTTCACACTATCTAAATGACATCTAGAGTAGGCAAGGCCAAGGTTAAATCCGGGTGTCGCACTTGCAAGTAAGTCGCGTTGTCCACCATATACCCATCTGCCCTCTCGTTTGATTTCATTGTTGATATTCAAAGAGTTCGGAGAATCAAGTGTGATGAAGGCTGGCCCGTGTGTACTCGGTGTGTCTCCACAGGCCGGGTCTGCGAAGGCTACGGAATATGGGGCGGGGGTGGGAATCAGCTCGATCGACGTTCCGTCCGTGCCAATAGCAGCACAAGCTTGACGGGCTTCTATGCACCAACGCTCCTCCATGCTGTGAGCAAGGAAGAGAGTCGATCCCTCGAATGGTTTACCTACCGAACCGCCTTCAAACTCCCAGGTGCTTTCAGATTTGACTTTTGGGATTCGCTTCTGTTCCAAGCCATATCGAACGAGACCGCTGTCCTGCAAGCCGTTCTAGCCCTAAGCTCAGCTCACAAGGCGGAGCGCTTCACTGTTGCCGCTTCAGATGCGGAGCCTGTTCCAGATGAACAGGAGCAACGCACCTTGCGCCATTACAGTAAAGCGATTTCTTCTCTCCAGCCTCATCTTTTTGCCAGGAATCATTCGTCTACCCGTGTTGCTCTTATTACGTGCCTAGTATTCATCATAATGGAGTTCCTCCGCGGCCATTACAGGACGGGCAACCTCCATCTTCAAATTGGCTTGAGACTTTTGAACGAGTCCCAGGCTCGGTCAAGTGCAATCGATAATTATAGTTTATTTCTAGAATCATGTTCCAACTCAGTCGATGCCTCGATTATCCAGGCCTTCATCAGGTTCGATGTGCAAGCAAAGTTCTTGGGTCATGGGTCGGAGTACCTAGACTTGATGGGTGATGATTACACGTCCGAGATTCCCAGTCCAAGCTTCACATTTCAATCCAACAATCAAGCAAGACAGCATTTAGACAGGCTGCTCAGCCAAATATTCTTCTTAACGAACAAATGTCGTGGTCAAGAGCTGCACCTGGGTCGAATATATCCTAGTGCCAACTTCCTCGACCAACAGAAACGCATTAAAGCGAGCCTTGCCGCGTGGCACCAAGCATTTAAGGTCTCCACAGCAGTCTTAAAAGACAAGAAAGTAAACACGAATATGATTGCGTATTTAATACTCCATGTATATTACAGGATCGCCAAGATCATGGCCGATACTTGTGTATGGCTATTGGACGAGTCGAGATATGATATGCATACGCGAGAATTCGAATCAATAATGGAGCAAGTGAAACAAATACGCACCTATGCAGACTCACCAACCACTGGCGGCATAGGGCACTTTTCCGACATGACTAACTCTGTGTCCGACCTAGGCGCGCTCCCGGCCGTCTATTATGTCGCTGTGAAATGCCGGGTCCACCGAATCAGACACGACGCTCTTGAGTTTCTAGATGGGATGACGCATAAAGAAGGGATATGGAGTGCCCCTTTATCTACTTGTGTTGCCCGCGAGGTCATCAAGATGGAAGAAGGTGACTTCTATAATGAAACACATGGAGATAACGACGTGACTTTATATGGCGACTCCAATAAGGAAGGTCCAGACCCTCCTCCTCACCAGCCGACCCTGCTTGGCTTATACAGGTTGCATGATGTTGAGATTGACCTACCAGAAGGGTATGGAGGGTCAAGTATGGTGAAATACAAGAGAAGATTGCACGACTGTACGTGGGAGATAATTGAGAGAGAGTACGTGTACGATATGCCAACCAACAGTTGGTTACCGAAGTAGAAAGGGACCAAGTTAAGACGATTAATGCAACCGTCAAGTCAAATGCAATTGAAGAAGTTATTCTTGGAAGTATTTATTGCAACAACCTGCTCTGAAGTTTCTCAGCCATCCTGCAAGAGAGCAATGAATACTATTAAAGAAAGAAGTGATCATCTGAATATCTTCCACCTTCGTGCCTGACATCATTCAATCACGCCCCCCGGTTTCCGTTCCGCGATGTTCTGGAAAATGCCCTTGTGTATGCCGGCAGTGCACACGCAACTGAGTCCCACCTCCTTATTTAGTCTCGGACAAGGCTGGGTGTCTCCTCCACCCGCTCCGAATGCAACCATAAAAGGGCCATATCAGGGAGCTCGAATCTTACCCCATCCACCCAAAGGGAGCTAGCCCATATTCCACTTACCGGTTTCATCCACCGCAAACTTGGCAGCTAACGCTACCTAATGTGGCATGTAGGTCAACCTAGCCCTTTAATTCGGTATTGTATTGTACCTAACATGCCTACTATATGCCTAGGAAAGGTAGGTCAGTAGGTACTAGGTAGGCACCTACTTGAAAAGTAGGTGTAGATGTTTTACTACCTACCTACCAGGTGAGTATGTACCGCTGTGTGCCCCTCAAAGGTATCCACAATCAGTACCGGTTGGTATGCACCTACATATATAGGTACCTACCTACCTAGCTTCGAATAACTATACTCCGAGAAGCCCCTCGGGCTTTTTCCTTGTCCATGGATATAGATACTAGGTAGGTTAGATAATAAGATAGATACCGACCTAGGTAGTAGATATAGATTATATGGAGTCGACTGAGGCATGTCTAGCTGAAAGACGAATGTCGGTCTATGAGTTTAGTAATGTTTCATGGCTCTGATTAGAAATCCGCGCGGTGGTTTCTAGTTTAGATTGATTAGATTACAATGTGGTTCCAAGACCTGGGGGAGGAGTAGTGAGTTAACGTTAGCAAGTGGCCCAGGTGGGTAATAAGGCATGACATGCGATGCGTGTGAGTCTTGATTTAGCATGACCTCAATCTATTGGCATGAAGAAAGGTCGTTCGGACTTGGGCAAGCGTTAGTCACAGATACGACTTCACCTTACCATATACAATGCTACGTGCTAACTAATAGGTAGGTATCATGGAATTTTATCAGGACCGGAGGTAATTATCTAGGTAGGTAACTTGCAACTATGGTAACGGTTAGTCAGGTAGGAAACATACATACGTGCCTGCCTGCTCACCTCACCTAGTCTGAGGTAATAGGAGATATCTCTGTTCTTGGCTTGGTGGTTGCGGACTTGGGTTCCAATTCATACCAAAATTGCGTCGACCAACACCCGAATTATCATCGCCAGTCCACGCTGCCTATACCAGATTCAGATCTCTTTACATGGCCCGCCTTTGGGTTCGGTGCGGAGCAGATCTTAACATACTACCTGCACTACACTACACCTAGGCCTCCTATGACAGCTACACTCCATGCATGTTTTATTTATTATGAAGCTGTTTGTAAGCGAGTGAAAAGCTTGTTGCTACCGTGGTGAAGGCAAGTAATTAGGATGAATTTGACGATTGTCTGGGCCAGACGCCTTAACACCTCCAAAAGCGCCAAGCCGAAGTGTAGTATCCATGTTAAGGCAGAGAGACCTATCAATAGGTATTCTGGCCCTCGATTTGAGTGCTACGACCTATCCAGGCATATACATGAACAGGGATGTATCTCTGTTATAACCTACCGACTAATCATTTGACAACCTTGGAAAGACAATATCTGGTAAACCTCACAGCAACCACATTAACAACAGCATCATGATCGAGCTATGTACCTGACTAGTTTGCATATGCCACCTCCCCACCCCGTCCGATTATCAGATGCTTACGTCTCATCCTTCCAGCTGCTTAGAAGAGCAGTCGTAAAATGGAGAGGATTCTTTTTATTAGGATTCCTGCATCGGGGGGCTCAGAGGGTAGCCTGGCCCCATAGAGCAACAATACACCTCGGCTACCCGCGTCGTGTGTTCTAGACCATTCCTTCAAGTCACTGCATACCTGCCAGGTATATATATATATATATATACTTCCATGCGCAGGACCCTGATCTCCCAGGCGGCAGTCAACGGAACATTTATCACCACCTATTACCTACCTTACCTGCTGTCGATCATTGGTACGGCACCAGACACCTACTTGCCTACCCACATAGCACAACCAACCCAAAACAACCAATCATGAAGTGCCTCAGCACCTTCTACACAGCGCTGTACGTCGCGGCCTCGACCTCCGTCGTCAGCGCACAAGACTTCTCCGGCTCGGGGGAGATCCACATCATCAACAGCACGGACTTCGGGTCTGCGACGCCGGCGGAGAGCATCGGGTGCCTGGACGTGAACGGGGCCTTCACCACATCCCTCGACTCCGGCTGCGCGACCTTCACGCGCCTCGCGCAGTCGCCCGGCACCGTCTCCACCGACGCCGGCAACTGCAGCTTCACCGACGCCTCGCAGCCCGCCAACACCGACAACCCGTACGGCGCCAACTCGTACGCCTGGCACTGCCGCCCCGACTTCGCGGCTGCGGCTACCGATTCGCTGTATACTGTCAAGGTAGGTCTTGCTTCTCCTCTCTCCTTGCCCCTTCTTCTTTCCCCTATCTCCTTTTTCCTTTCCGGTTTTGAGTGGTATGATGAGAGCGAGAGAGCTAACGAGAATCAACACAGGGCTTCAACTACCCGTTCCTGTGCCACGGCGACATCAACTGCTACTACGACGTCAAGAACAACATGATCAGCAGGAACGGCACGGCGCCGGTGTGGGGATACGTATGGGGGTCGCGGCAGACGACGATTCCGGCTGGACACTCGCAGGTGCTATGGTACTGGAAGCAGACTTCTACTGATGCTGCTGCTTCGGGGGAGTCGTAGGGTTTAAGACGGTTTTTTTTTTGCTAGCTTTTCTTCCTTCTCTCCCCTTTTTTCTTTTAGGGTAGTTAGGGCATTGTAGGTACTTTTGGTTGTTTATTGATATAGATGGATTACCTAAGCTTTGACGTTGTTTTGATGACTTGAGTGTGACTCGTGAGGTACCTATATACAGTCCAGTAAGCATTATTAGGTAAGATCTAGGTGTTCGATAGGTTTTTTGGTCTTCGTTCTTCAACAAAAAGTTGTTCTTGAGGAAAACTTGTTTCGCTGTAACCTTTCGCCCCCTGGACCATATAAGTGATGCCCGGAGAAACATATCCCCCCTCATCAACGTTTGACCAAAGCTGACTTATTGCATAAGTTTTATAGGTAATCAAGTGGTCTAATGTAAGCGGTATATTCAGCCGCAAAGTAACCTTGACCACATCCATAGCCCTGTTTGTTGTTTTCTCGGGAGGCTGCGGTGCCATTTCTTCTTCCTTCGCCAACTTCCCAAGCTGCCTGGTCCCAATGCTACGGCTAGAACTTTCAACCGTGCCTTTCAAGGTGTTGGCGCGACGGGTACCGACTCTCTGACAGTGGTGATCCTGTTCAGGTAGTCCCCGCCGAGCAAGTACGTAGTTTATGGCAGTGGATCTGTGGCAGTGGTGTCAGTCGCTAATGTACTCGAACTGGTCGTCGGTGGATTGATCAACGATGATGGTTCGTGTCGATGAGCTTCCTCTTCATGTGGGGTCAGCCCAGACAGTCTAGTACCCTCGTTGCTAACCGTATGTTGTAGTTTTCATTTTGGCGCTCTCTTCAGATTGTCTGCGCAACCAAACGCCTAAATCAACCCGAAGGATTAGTATGGACATAGGCGAATTTCGGCAGATTGGATTTTCTTGGAGCGGTACCCGTGGTTGCAGCACCCATGTTGTTAGTCACTGTGCCGCTCAAGGCACGTGTTTAGATTGGATGGAACTCGGGCCTGACTATTGACCTTCTCGTCTTCTCCGGCTGCGATGGGTCGGATTCCTAGCTTGGGAGCGATTCATTACGAAATAGCAATAACCAGAGTCGATCTTTCCACAGACCTTCCTGTTCAACACAACAGTCGTGGGAATGTTTGTGTATGTTCACTAATCACCATTCCTTGTGTATTCTCGCTAACTCCCCACTGGTGTTGTTTGCAACTAGTGGGAGTCGCTCTGCTGTCGGCATTGAATGGAATCGACTTTCCACCTGCTAGCTTAGGGTATGAAGCCATAACTGGGCAGGGATACCTACCTAGACATCACCTTCTCCATTCTTCTCGGAACCTCGTTCGCCATAGAGCTACGAGAGATCGATACGTGCATCCAGCACAGGATGGTATATACATTCTAACATATCTCTAGGCTACTGGAAACCGTTGCTCGCAAATGTTCTACGCCCGGCGACATTCGACTCGGGTACGATACGGCACAAGTTCAGCTCAATACCAATGAGCTGTAGTAACCCTGAGGCTTGAAAATCGTAAAAGCCTTAGAGACTAGTTAGTCATTTTCGTCTTTTATCAATCATTGATTGATTAACGGTTCTGTTCCAAGAGTTATAAGGGGCCCTAGACTCGACTCGGTGTGTAGGCTCCTTGTTAACTTTTCAGCTCGCATGTGAGTTAGTTAATCGTAGAAAAGTATAAGAGTTGAGTTCCTCTGGTGCTTGGCAAGTCGTTGCTAAGACTTGTGCCTCATCAATACGTCCATGGATCCTTAACCTGTTCCTCTCCAAGGCTGAACAACAAGCAGAGAAAGCCTGCGTATATTGTGGCTACTAATTTGAAACTTTTACGATATGGATGAAATCCGTCCTAGAAGATACCAACTACATTAGGTAGCTATAATGTTGACGAAACCTAATATCGTATCAACCGGGATAGTACCATAGGCCATCAAAGATGCGATGGTCGATAGGGTATTGGCGAAGGTACGGTACAAAGTTCACATATCTCTAGGGTATCCCACGGCCCGATCTCGAGCCGGCTTCGCTCTAGACCTCTTTTAAGGGTCGGTGCCGGAAGCACAAGGCTGAGCTCTCGACGCTTCATATGACGTTGATGGGCCGTAGCAGGTTGGTTAGGTAGGGCGCACGTTTCTATCGAGTATAAGCGTATAGAAGCGAGATGAGAGCGCAAGGCTTCAAAGCATAATGATACATCTATACGAGTACCCACCGTAGGTTAGACATGCATTTATTTGGTATCCCATAAATGAGCTATGTATGTACAACACCTTCTACAGAATTCACAACGCGTTATTGTCGCGTCAAGGTAGGCTTCAATGCCTACCTAGGTACTACCACGAACTGCGTCTATATAAATTTCCAGGTCGGGTATCGCACAGATCGGGTATTGAATAAGTTGTAGGTTGCCATGGTTAGCCTCAACTTCATAGGCCAGGGCCTGAGTGAAAGGAGTGGAATATGGTATCTCGAATAGCGAACGCGCTCAAGCCTTTTGACGGGCGAACGCGACGCAGCGTTACTCTAGGATATACCGGCGAGAACACATTATAACAGAATATGCTCTATAATGGCCGAGCTACCGCAGCCATCAACTCCAAGCTAAACTACAAGGTAGTAGCTGGAGGATATGCTGGGTATAGATCCATAATGTGTAAAAGAAGGATCAAAAAAAGAGAAGAGAAGTTTGACGAGATTTTTATAATCGGTAATCTACCGCGCTTACTAGCTCTCCCGAAGTTAAGCCGAGTTAGCCTCTGGCTTGAATTTTCTTGGATTTTCTTCGGTCTATTATTAGTCCGGAGGATACTTAGACTATATTTACCGTGGTCTGTGCGCTGATACAGTGCATCTTAACTGTCATCAAGCCCCTGAGTAAAAGCATTTCTCTCCTGCTTAACTCTTCCAAAACTCGAATCATCAAGAGACAAAATTGATGTAAAATCACAAGACAATATTATGATGATATGCGCGGCCTTTAAATTGAAGTAAAATAACAATACGACAATACTACTAGCCTCAGCGTTAAAGTAGATATGACTCTAAAGAGACAGGAGGCAATGTTGAGCAAGGTACCATGACAAGGTCAGCTCATTTCTATCCGTCTTTCGCCCTCATCAGTATCCCAATTATTCACACTCCACGAAGCGCCACGATACCAAAATTTCAGTGGCAAGGATTTATATTCAATAAATACACTCTGCCATATGATATGGAGTCAGAGTGTATACAACTGTTGTTGTACATAGCAGTAACGTATATCAGAGGTAGCGTAAACCCCGAACCACCCCCCCTACAAACCATACCATGAGGCAGGATCCCAACACAAGCACCGCTTTTCCCTTTCCCGCCCGCCATCACACCAGCCGCCTTGGCTAAAGTACAATATCATTCATATCAGACTTAGCCGTCCCTCCAAAACCGACTCCAATCCAATACTCAAACCCCCTAAACACCCCCCAGAGATCATTTATCCTCCGAGCTAATACTTGATAGGGTACTTTATAACAAGCCTCATAGTTCATAGCTCATAGCTCACAGCTCATAGCTCACAGCTCATAGCTCATAGCTCGTTGTCACCCCTCTTAGAAACCATTTCGCTAAGGGGTCCCTTCTTGAGCATAATGCTCATGATCTCATACAACGCATCGGCAGCAGCCATGGTGGTGTGTTCCGCGTTGGTGTCGTAAGCAGGCTATATCTCACGCGTCAGAAAAACCCTCCTTAAAAGGGGAGAGAGGGAAAGAAGAGAAAAGCTAGGTACTCACAGCAACCTCCACAACATCCGCCCCAATCAAATTAACATGCTCCAGCCCTCTCAGAATCGTTCTCAGCTCCCTTGTGCTCCACCCACCCGTCTCCGGCGTCCCCGTCGCGGGGGCGAAGGCCGGGTCCAGGGTATCGATGTCGAGGGAGAGGTAGACGGGGTTTGTCGTGCCGACGCGGTCGATGATCTTCTTGATGATGCCCTCGGCGCCGATGGTGTCGATCTCGCGCGCCTCGACGATCTCGAACCCGCAGTACCCGTCGTTCTCGTAGTCGCTGGGCCCGCTGAGCGTCGTGCGGATGCCCGCGTGCACGTTCGTGTCGTTGGCCAGGAGCCCTTCTTGCGCGGCGTGGTAGAAGTACGTCCCGTGGTTGATGCTCGCGACTTCGGAGGGGGAGCCGCCGAAGACTTTGGGACGCCCTGGAAGAACGGGTTAGTGGGTTCGGCTTTTTGGAGGGGGGGGGGGGGGGGGGGGGGGGGGGGGTGGCTTACAGGTATCCAAATGGCTGTCGAAGTGGATAACCGAGACGGGACCGTATGCGCGGTTGATCGAGCGCAGCAGCGGCAGAGTGATGGTGTGGTCACCGCCGAGGGTAATGACCCGCGGCAAGGTCTTGCCCTTCTTCGCCGGGCCAAGCTTGTTGGCGGCTGTCTTCGGTGCGCGAGACAGGATGTTGTAGTGGCCTTCTTCGATCTGCTTGAGGGCCCATGAGTTGTCATACCTAAAAGCCGGTTAGTATGAGATTCAACCTTCTAGATTCCCTTGGAAGGGAAGATCGGAACGCTTAAGCCATACGATGTCACTGGGATGTCTCCACAGTCGAGGACCTTGGCCCATGAGTTAAAGGGGTTCGTCTCGAGAGGTACATTGTATCCTCCGCTATAGAGTAGCAACGTGTCAGCTCACCATACACGTTCATATGGATGAGGAGGGGTCTTTACTAGAGATTGAGACGTCGGGATCCTTGGCGAATACCTGAAGGACCAAATCGTGCGCCTGGTCGGTACGAAGTGCCAGTATCGAAAGGAGCACCTTACTCTCCGTTAGCTAATATGTATCAGTGGGGGATAGTTCAGACAACGAACCAATGAAGGCGAGATCGTAATCAACATCCTCGAGGGTTAGGCAAGGTTGGTACGGCAAGCGTCCAAACGTAGAGATTCCAGAGAACACAGAGTCCGCCTATACTAGAGCATTAGAGCTAAGAATATGTTACGAATCTCTGCAAGTTATTCTAACCTGTGTTCCACCATCTCCGGGTAGAGTGTTATACCACAAGGACTGATGCGGACCAGCGAGGGTTTTCTGGTCGTGTGAGCCGTGGGCGGCGGTGGAGGCTACAAAGCCGAGGGCAAGGAGAGTCGTCAACATTATTCTAGAAGCAAAGGGTTCTCCTAATGGTCTAGTATATACAAGTCTGTACAGTCAATGAACTTGGAATTCACTTTTGGGGTTTGGTCACGAACACGCATACTATATACCTCTCTCAAGCTTACTGCGAGAGCGGCCGTCCAGACATTCGATTGGCAGCATATCATTATCAAGTCTGTTATGACATCAAAGCTAGAAGCAGGACTAGACCAGGGGCTACGAGGAGCTTATCGCCGATGATGTTCGTCCACTAAGAGAGAGATGCTGCGATCGACGTGTATGTATCTCGACGGGATGCTGAAGCTAAACATGCATGGTGGAGATGTCATCCAGACTTTTCTCGTTATGTAACAATAGCATTCGGGATGCGGGGGGGCCTATAGATAAAGCTTCAAAAGCCGACTGACTGGGTCAGACCTTGCATCTTGGACCTCTTATATCATGGATGTACTGTTATACTCCGTTTTATGTATGCCAGTGTTTGGCACGGCCTAAGAGAACTTGAGGATAGGCGCAATATGGTGAACGTATATTCCGATGTTTGGTATACTTTGAAAGACCTCTGACCGTGAGATAGATATGGCATGTCTTGAGTTTTGAACAGAAAGTGAGATGTGGTAATCCCACGTGGCAGGCTAAACAAACTTGGCGAGCAGACAACTAAGTAGATTGTCAACTGCCGGATCGGCCCCTCCCCGGCCGGCGTTGGATATATGTATGTAGGTATGTAGGTAGATATGTAGGTAGATATGTAGGTATGTATGTGCTGTGGTGATGATGGTAGCATTATTGGGACTATTGGGTAAGTCCTAGGCATTGAGATAAGGACAATGATTCGTGTCCACAACAGAATGATAGTATTAATAAATAGTATTTACCAAAGTTGTTAGGTAAGGAGGTAAAGATAGCTCATTTCAGTCTCACCTATCTCGCAGGATATGTTGAATTTTTGCAGTCGTCTTCGTCGATCTACCCGATTCGCAGTGTTTAAGTGGCATTCCCCAATCATGAAATACAAAAAAAAGGGGGGGTTAGTTCTTGGAGCTCAACTCTTATGCGGTGCTTGATGAATAATTGCCAAATTGGTACTAGCAAATCAACACGCGGGGCCTCGAACTCGACTTGTTAAAAGATTTCTAAAAAATATTTTAATAAATCTAGTTCCAGAAAAGATCTGAATGACTTATCATCCTTTCTCTTCCTTCTTTCCCGACGCTCATACATTGTGCAGTTCAGCCCCCACCACTGCCAAAGTATTGGGACCCGGGAACTTCCAGTATTGCAGTATTGCATCTTTATTCAACTGAGCTGATTGTGTCGCATTGGTAAATTGAAGAGGAAGTGGCGCACATATGTTCGGTCTGTGCCCAAGATCCTACTAACCTAGGTACATAACCTAGGTCCTGCCCGATTGACGAAGGCGATAATGGTACATGTGCTTGGGGGTTGTCCGGTGTTGCGCTATCTGATTCGCCTGGAGTTGGCTGCAGGTCAAAACAGGGTCTGGCATGAGGCCGAACAGCCTTGTGCAGCTCAAGGAGCTGATTTGTCCTGCTGACTTGGATGGCTGCAGCAGATGCAGCAAGATGGCTCATGATCCACTCAAAGCCCAGAGTTACTGCAGATGGAGAGAAGCACAGCAGGTGAAGAATTTCTCCCACACCTACTATACAACGTAACAACCTGCTTGCTTGGCCTCTTCCTTTTGTGTTGTCTTTGTAAGGGATAAGTTAATCTGCCCACCTATATACCTGCAACTCTCTCTATAGTATGGTACGTTTACCTACCCTTTTTTTTTCTTCCTTTTGGTTTGAAGTGTGTAATACAAACGACACCATTTCCTTTTTCTGATTTTCTAATTTTCTGATAGAGGATGAATCTTTGTACGAAATGCTTGATGTAACCAGATCCAAGTACATGTGTATGTGTAAATGTAAGTAGGCCAGGCTATAGATGTCAAGTATTTCAGTCGGATCAATTTAACCTTATGTACATACATGTAGAAGTCTCGATGTCCTTCAATGTTCTGGTGGCAGACTGTGGCAGTACATACATATGTAAGTATGTACACTATAGATGTGGGTACTAAGTACTAGGTATGTCTAACCACTCAAAGGAAAGAAAAACAGGAAATAACAGCGTACTAATGCTCATCCAGACAGTTACATATGTACTGAGTTACTACTATGTATGTACATACCCTACCTAAGGTACATTAGGTAGGTAAGTTAATGTATGTACACACTTAAAACTACATAACTTGAACTGGGATTAGCTGATGCCGTTTCCAGCCCCCCGATCTCCGAACTACCTACTACTATAGTTATTGTATGTACAATACATAGTACTCTGTATGTATGTAAGAAGGCAGGGGGTGTTAGAGGTCAATGGTAAATTCTGAATACTCCAGGCCTCTGACGTTGCTTCCTCGAGCCATTTCCTCCAACATACTGATTTACAAACTGGGCAAGTTCACTCTGTAGCCGCCGATACAGTAAAGCATTTTTACTGTCCACTCACAGTTGCGCATCTCATTTCATTCCTCCATCCGTCTACCCATCTATCCATCCATCCATCCATCCTTCTTCTATTCATTATTCGTTCTTTTTTTTACATCAGTTCAACTTGTGCACTCAAGCAAGCAAGTCTTCACTAGCAACAACAAATTACTTGCGTTTATTACGGGGCTATACATAACATATTGTCTCATTGTTATGCTTTTTATTTCACTTCCTTTTTTTCAAATGTTCCAGGAATAATACATCCAATGATTCTATCATGTCCTCCCACGTCCTGAGCCACTCACCTCTGAATCTGAATCTGAATCTGTCCCCCAACTAAGTTTGATTGCTGTGAGTGGACCAATAATTGCAGGTGCCATTAAATTCAACCGACCAGTCAACTACTAGGTAGTCAGCCAGTCAACAGTCAACCAGCCAGCAATTTCTAGGCAGGCAGGCAGGCAGGCAGGCAGGCAGGCAGGTCAACCTTTGCGCAGACCACGAAGCGTTGCCTTGCTTGTTTTCTGCATCGCGTAAGGGGTTTGCATAGGACAATAAACCACCCTCGGGGGCTGCGTCCGCAGACAAGAAACTCGTTTTATTACAATATACTCCAAAGCCTTTACCTTATTCTTTTCAAACCTACTTTGTCTTCTACCGATCTTTACAACCACCCTTACAACAATGCGAAGGGTTTTCTGGTCTGGTGCAACCCAGTCAAGTAGACATTGAAGGGTCGCCAACAATGATAGATACCGTTTCGTCCCAATCAACAATGCTCGCCTCTACTAAAACCATTCCGCCTGTGGCTTCGACAGCTCTCTATTTCGAACCTTTGCATGATCGCCCTACCCTCGGCAAACCTGATCAGCGCGCGTTCAAAAAGCACAAAGTACTCCCACGCCCGAGAGATGATCAGTCAGAAGTGACAGATACAAATCGATTTTCCGAGGATCTGTCTATCGATGCAACATCATCTCCAGACTCTCAGATGACAAGAAAAGCACCTACCACTCCGCCAAACCCACGACACGACGATAGCCCCAACGTCAAAGCGCCTGGCCCTGCTCTTCCACCTACCCCACCGGCGCATTCTCGCACGTCATCCGGTAGCCATTCGATCCGACCCTCTAGTCCGACATATGTTAGCACTCCGGTCCAGATTATTGCAAACGATTCCGTGAACACGACGCCGAGAACACCACCGCACCAAGCGAGCCCGCCTACTCCAGATGCCACCCCCCCGCAGCCCGAGCGCCAACCGAGAATTGCCCGTCCTGTTCTAACAGATCGGATTCCGTCCAAGGCGACAACTGATTCTCGTACAAATTCGTTCAGGACAGCACGCGAAAACCTAGATTCATCAGAGGAGGATGACAAGCTGTCAACTCCTCGGCCACCATTGGCTTCTAGGAGAACAAATTCTGGCCGGACATCTCAGAGCGTAGGGAGACAGATCTTTGTCGTGAAACAAAGGAAAGCGCCGGATGTAGGACTTGGGTTGGGCATTGAGCCGGATGACGATTTTACACCTAAGACGAGGCGAGAATTTTCAGCTTTTGACGGTGAATGGGGCTCTGCTAGCAAGGCGGATCAAGAATGGGACCGTAAATACGAAAGGAATGTCAGGGTGGAGAAGCAACGTGGCCAACCAAAAATCAATGGTCAAAAAGAAGAAGTGGTCGAGGATGTGACAATCACTCCCACCAACGCAACAAAGGCTTTACGATCCATGCCCCTGTCAGATCGACTACACTTGCATCCCTCACCACCTCCGGAATCCGCCAACAGGGATAAACGCTGGGCCGCGCCGTCTACTTCCGAGTCTTCGGCTGGTACTGACGTTAAGCGGTCCTCCGGTATGTCCTCAAAGTCTACTGTTTCTACGGTTGTGGAGGCTATTCTAGTTGGAACGCCTCCCCAGAGGCAGAAAACGTTGCGTCATGTCAGGAAGCAAACAGCTCTTAGAGATTCTGGCTCTGAGATATCACCTTCAAGCTCGTCGGCAAACACATCCTTTCGTCAAACGGAAAATATTCAACGCGCCAGGGTTCCCAGAAGGAGGGTCGATGACACTGTCCGAACGGAGAGTTATGCATCCAGCGGGACAGCCCATTCCATTGTAAGCCGAAAAGCTCGGCGAGAAGTATGGAAGAGCGGTGGGATTCCCGTGGTAGTCATTCCTGATCGAAGAGCCTCCATGAAAGGCCCTGGAGTACCATCACTCAGATCGACAAGCAGCCATCATTCCAAAAGAAGCAATAGTCTCGTTTCGGCTCCGTTATCAAGTCATTCTAAAGTGAAGGATCTAACGCCTTATTTTAATAAACCATCTCGGAGAGTTAGGTCAATGTCAGAATCAGAGAGATCGGTGATGGTGGTAGATGAGCTTACGATGGACTATCCCCCAATTGTTCCTATGCGCAGATCCTCCCTTTCAGCGCCAACAAGCAGAAATGGCTCTAGAACTGGGTCTCGAGCTGGGTCACTGACTACAGAGAGCCTGAAAGCACATAACACTTTTCTAGAGCAAGAAACCAAAAAACAGCAACACCAACCACCACAGGTTACTGTGAAACATGCTCCTCCCGTCGAGTATATGAATACTTATCCCGATCAGAGACATCTTCAACCGGCCCCATCCGTCGAGTCGCACAGAGATGTTCTCCAGGACCACAGGCCACTTGTGGATAACAACGGGGACCCCTTCTTTGGCAAACGGCTTACAGCGCACAACACCCCGTTTTCACAAGCATCCGTCGAAACAAACGGGACTCACTCTGCGGCAGATATTTCGGAAGCAATGGCGGTCAACATTTATCCACACCAAAATAAATCCGTTTTGATGGTTCATCATATGTCGAAACCCGTCGACCCTGTCGCTGCCGCAAACGCCCTGTTAAATCCGGATGCGTTCCAGACGGGAGACGCTACAGAAACAGGCAAAATCATAGACAATCCTAAGATTACGGCAAGTGGGCCAGATGGTGCTCCCGTGACACCTCCCCAACCACAATTTTCTATGGACGATGTAGACTCTCCTTTAAGGAACCCGCGTGCTCCTCCCGAACCGCCCGTGATCAAGTTCATTCCAGCGACGCCGTCTGGGCTTACTCCTGCTGGTGAAAAGGACAAGATGGTTGGAAACTATTTTGAAGAAACCCAAAAGCGGCCTTCTCTGGTGCGTCGAGCTTTCAGCCTTCGCAAGAGCACAGATAATATTCGTCCCTCTGGAATCCTGTCACGAACTCTGTCTCTTTCAAAGGGGATCCGAAAAGAGGCCGCCAAGAATTCGGCGCAGGATAAGAGCAAGAGTACGCAATTGCCACGGTATCCGACAGCTGACGATCCGCCGGCTGATGATTCGAAATTACATCCATACTGGGAGCCCGCCTTCGAAGATGACCCAGACGAGGAGGGTCACTGGGTTCATGATGTTCCTCCAGAAGTGGATGGAATATACCGATATCCACCAGCCGACGATTACCATATTTCCCGACGCAGAAGTATAAGCGAGCGAATGAAGCGTACTTTTGCTATATTGCCCATTGATGATGAGAATCATTATATAGCTTCCGGCCAGCGCAGCCCTGAGCGACGCACCCTCAGACGCACGCCAAGTGGTAGACTTCGAATGACGAAGTATCGTGATAGTTATAGCAGCCTTGATTGGAATGTTCATCGGCGCTCTCGCGAGTATGATTCCGAGGGAAGGCCATCTACTGCACCCGATGAACCTGATCGACGCATGTGGCAGGACGAGAAACGTGTGGACGACCGAGGACACAGGCTATTCCCCAGCTGGCAGGATAAACTCGAGCAATACCGGCCACAAAATCTACAGCGTCGACTCAGCGAACATCGCCGTCAAAAGCGCACCGAAGCCCTCCGGCAGAAGATCAGCAATCCACGCGAGGTGCGAGATGGTGTAGGCGAGGTTATTAAACGCAACAGTTATAAGGGCCCCTCGTACCAGACCGCATCACACGTACGTTCCGATCGAGATCTTAAAACACGTCGCCAGCAATCAGGGGTCCCATCACGCAGAGACCCCATCCGGATCTAGTCATATCTTATGCCCTGCATTTCCTATTGGTTCTAGTTCACACAGGTATATTGAGAAGCAGATTGGGGTCGATCTTTGTTTGGCGTAAGATCAAATCTCTGCCAAGTTCTGATACAGTCTATTATCACATCATGTGTTTTATTACCATCGCGGTCACTACCACTACAACCTACACAACGACCAACGTCCCCCCCTCTCCCTTTTAGTTTTAGCCACAATACCAGGAGCAGCCTACTGTTCCGCCTACCTTACGATGCATACGAGTTACGATACAAACGACACCATCATATCCCCACATTACGATTTTTCTATCCTAATTATTTTTCCCTTTGATTTTCTTTACGAGAGACGGATGCATGAACACTGGGCTAAAATGGAGGGAGAGGGACATGGTTATTTCCTTCAGGTTCTATCATGGATGATGCACAGGAGATTAAACTTGAGAAGGGATATGACGGGCTCATTTAAGAGAGACGGAATAGGAGAAAGGCAGCATGTGAATGATGATCTGTAACGGAAGAGCTTCCTTTTTTTTCTATCTCGTATCCCCCTTTTTCCACGTCAATAAAGTTAAGAAGAAGATGCGTACTGGGATACCTTGTAGCGATGAATGTTTTGCGTTCTTTTTTCTTTCCTATATTATGGGATTAAGCGTTTGGTTTTTTTTGGTGTTATTGTAAGACTGTTCCTTTTTTTTTGCTTTCCCCCCTTTTGTTTCTTTTCTTTTTTTGAAATAGCCTTGATGGTTATTGCTTTCATATGCGATTATACTTGTTTTCGTCGTCGTCGGTTTTTTTGGGGGGGTTTTTTTTTGGTAGTTGATGTTGTCTTCTTCCCTAGGCACTTACCCATCTCTCTGCCTGGCGCGTCATGTTTGTCTTGTTGGGAATTAGCTGATAGAAGATGAAGATGAAATGAATGAGAGTGAAATATCCACCTAAATAAATAAATGGATGATTGGGGGGGGGGTTGAAGTGTCTACTTACCTACTTCGTTGTTGTGGGCTGCTTTGGTGCCCAGGCAGGTGCTTTGTGTTTAGGTATCTTTGTGGTTTTGTGATGTGATTTGGATTTGAGGGAGTGTGCCTGCCTAGGTTAGGTGGTCTTGTGGGTGGGTGGGCGGGTTGTTGGGGGTTAAAGCTTAACTATTGCTGCTGCTGCTGCTGTTGTTCTGGAACCAGCTGAGTAGGTAGGTATATCTTATACATCTGATACCTACCTACCTATATAAAAATGACTTGATTACGTTTACCGTGATATATATATATATATATACCTATCTATCTTCCTAAGCCAGACTACCAAATGCAATCTATCTGACAGATGCGAGTCTTGCTTTTGGGAGTCTACCTTAGATTTGGCATGTCTCCCTATATATAATCTACTGGCCTACTTGGTATGGGTACTAGCACTAGCTACGAGGTAAGTAGGTATGTATATAATACTCACTCACTCACTCACTCACTCACTCAATTAATCAACGAATCAATGTAAAAACATCGTTGGCTTGGGGGAAAAAAAAAGTAGGGTACGCTATGTAGTTACCTATGTATGGTACACTCCTCTCTCCTTGCCTACCTACTCTACTCGTAAGAGAAACAGCGTAAAAGAAGAGCAGAGGGATGAGAGGGGGCGACGAAGCTCAAGGCATGCCGAGCCGAGCCCATCTCTTCTTCTATCCTTCGATGGTGGTGGTCGTGGTGGTATTGCATGCATATGATGGGCGATAAAAACAGCCCAAACCCAGCGAGAGACAAAAATAAAAGCAATAAGAACCCTTGAAACGCCATGCCTCGCAACCAAGCCCTTCTCCCATTAGCTTTTAGTGTTGATGTTGTTGATATCTTATCTCATCGAGTTTCCTGTCTCCCGTCGTTCCTCGGTATTGTGCTTTGGTACATGTGTCTATCTAGTTCGGATCTCGCCGTTCTCTTCTTCGGTGGCTGGGGGAGGATTAGGGGCTAGGTTAGAAGCTTAGTTATGGCTCTGCGTTCTGCGTTCTGTGAGTAGAGGGAAAGTCCCGAAAGACCACGCTTCTCTGCTTATCTCGATAGCGAGCTGGCTACTCTTAGGCCTGCATGTCTGTAGGAACGGCCGCGCTTGCTCGAGCCTCACACGCCCTTTGACTTCAATGTGCTTGTTCAAGCTGTGGTTGAGGTTGAAAGGTATGTAAACCTTCTTCCGCGGAATTTCATTGTCATCTATGTTCCCCTGATCCACCACCCCTTCCTCCGCCGCGTCTGCCACCTCGGGTCCCTAGAGGCAAACGATTCGCGCCACTACTCGCGCCGCTGATGGGACGGTCCTAGCGTCCGGGAGGCCCAGAGTGTCCGGGAGGAGGCGGGAAACCACCAGCTCCAGGCGGTGTCGGTCCACCAGGAAAGCCCTGTCCAGGTGGAGGCATGCCGGGGAACGCGAAGGGAGGGGCGTTGCCACCGAGTGCGCCCGGAGGTGGGAATGGGAGGCCACCCGGTGGCGGGAAGGGAAGGCCGGCGCCAGGTGGTGGGAGGGGTAAACCGCCTGGTCCCGGAGGAAATGGTGGTGGCGGAAGACCTCGACCGCCTTGGCCTGGAGGAGCTGCGATTTCGCGTTAGACGTTAGACTGTGGCATGGCTCAAGAAGGTCTCGTGGTACGAGAGTACGGTTAGGGAGATGAGAACTACTTACGAGGCATGCCCTGAGGAAATGCACCAGGTGGGGGTGGCAAGTTACCAGGCATTCCGGGGAAAGGAGGTGGCATGCCGCCCGGGAAGTTGAATGGAGGTGGTGGCATCCCAGGAAAGCCAGCCTGTGCTGCGGCGGCTGCGGCTGCTGCTCCTCCGGGTTGGTTTTGAGGAAGCATAGGATTGGCATGAGCCTGGCCCTCAGCAGCGTACGAAGAAGTGATGGAGTCGATGACGGACTGGGCCTTTTCGTGGCCTATCTGTTGGTAGTAATCGACGACATTTCGTAGATGGTTTCGACCGCTGTTGTGAGCCTTGCGCACGCTCATGGAGTCGTGGGTCAGGTAGACGTCGCAGTAATCGCAGAAGACTAAAATATTGGTATTTCCATTAGTTGATTGTTCTACTTTTCCTTTCCTTATTCGGTTGAAATAGCGGAAGCAGGTAAAATTCAGTATTGGGGTTGGAACATACATTTCGGCATCGTGACGGTTCGATGGTTGCTGCAATGTAGACTACAGTGTCAATATTGGTGACGAAGAAAAGGAAGAGACGATTGAATGCAAGTTGCGGATGCGGATGGAAATACAAAAAAAGATACAAAAAAAGATACAAAAGATGCGCGAAGGTTCAATTACTGGAGCTAAAATAAAGCTTGGACTCCACTGTCACTCCAGTACCTAACCTAGGCTACTACATGTAGGTATCAAGCCACTAACACCATCATGGTTTGATTGGCTTATCAGCTCATAGGTAGGTACACTTGAACACGTATTGCAAGCCGATACAAAGGTACAAAGTTTAAATGTTCAAATGTTGTTTAGTTGCAATTCCAAACGTTGGACACTTGCATTTCTCCCTTTTCGCAAAGAGAATCTCTTCGCAAAGTCCAACTCCCTCCCCCTCCACCTAAGAACCAGCAAATCCCAGGTTCGATAAATACAAATACACATAACACCATGGCTTTGCCACGAGGATTGCTACAGTATGTCTGTGGCCTCGTGCTCCTAGTCGCTTCCGTCAACGCCTTAAAATTCGACCTCCAATCCCGTGGACCCAACGATAAGGCCTCCGAACGATGCATACGAAATTTCGTCGCGAAAGACACATTGGTTGTTGTTACGGCCACAGTCGGTGGGACCAAGGGAGATGGAATGGTTGTCAATATGCGCGTATGTTTTCAGGATATCTACGAACGAGCAAGGATGAAGCAAAGTTTGGTTATTAATGAGTGTCTAGATCATGGATAACGTTGGCAACGAGTACGGCAAGCCCAAGGACGTAGTTGGCGAGCAGCGAACCGTCTTCACCTCGCATGCCGACGCCGCTTTTGATGTGTGTTTTGAGAATGTCATGACACATTGTAAGTCTTTTTGTCCACCTTCTTCTGTCCCCTCCTCCTTTCTTTTATTTCTTATTTTCTACTTCTTGTGGGAAAAGGAAAAAGGGAAAGGCTAAATCAAGTTATACAAAAACTAAAGCTTTGAACCAATTCAAACCAGCGCGCATGAACAACCCAACACGGAGCGTAGAACTCGATATTGACATTGGCGCCGACGCCAAGGACTGGTCCGCCATCCAGGCCACGGAGAAGCTCAAGCCCGTCGAGACAGAACTGCGCCGCATCGAGGAGTCCATCGCCGAGATCGTCAACGAGATGGATTACCTGAGGGCGCGAGAGCAGAAGCTGCGCGACACCAACGAGAGCACCAACACCCGTGTTAAGTGGTTCGGTATTGGCACCACCACGCTGCTGATCATCCTATGGGGATGGCAAATCATGTACCTTCGTGCCTATTTCCGATCGAAGCATCTAATTTAAGGGGCATGCAAGAGTCTAGAGTTTAGAGTCTGGTATTCAATCATGGTCTCGAATACTGGTATCAGAGTAGGATCAGGTCGACCACACTCGAACCGAAATCTTTATCTCTACTACCATGTTTAAGGAGTCTTGGATCTGTTCACAGAATATTTAAGAGGGGGGAAAGCAAAGGCTGGCAAAGGCGTGACACGAGTATTCTGGAGGGTTTAAAAATGGACATGGTGGCATGAAACAACGATATTTCATGCTTTGTACGCATAATATGTACTGGGCATCTTTCTGATGCCACGAACTCGGGAGGCGAATATAAAATAAATGATTCAATACTGAAGCAGTCAAGTTTTGACGGAGTCACCCATAACTGAGTGGATTGATGTTACTAACCCAGGCGAAATATTTTAGTAACTCCGGAGACTAGGATTTCTTCGGGTGGTTTAAGTTAGCTGGCCAAGGAAGTCCACCTACTCTAGTAGTAGAGAGATATTGGTTCCAAGACGGGACTTGATCAGCAATAGATTCGGAGACTAACGGAATTATAAAGTTAGGAATAGAGGTAGAGGTAATAAAGCCAGTCGTGTACGGGGACAAAACGGAGAACTGGGCATAGATAACTCCGGCCGAACGGGCATGTGGCCGGAAACAAGCGGCTTCGGCAAGTGACACAAGGATCGGCGAATGGCAAAGCTTTCATTGACAAGCTAAGCTTTTAAGCTTTCAGATGTTACCTAGGAACACCCAGTAATACTTACGTCAACCAATTCAATTCATTCATATCTACATATGTACTTATAAGTCTTATATCTCTTATATCTCTTATATCCATCTTATTAGCTTGTACCCAAACTCAATCCAATTCTCTACTTGACCAATTTCTACATCAGACAGCAAGCAGCAGACAGCAAGCAGCACAGCAACAGGGAGTCTGAAGCAAACAGAATGGCAGCATCCGCAATGGTCCCGCGCACCCTCCTGCGCTCGGCGCAAAGGTCTATCCCGAACACTCGATTACTGGTCTTGCACCGACGACCTCTTAGCTCCACACGAGCTCTAAGAGTTAGCCTCGGGGCCGTCAACTTACCACCTCTGGAGCCGCACAAGGCGTCGTCGTCGTCGTCGTCGTCGTCGCACAATGGCGATATGGGCGTCGGCGAGCTCGAGGGCACCGAGTTCCGCGTGGAGCCCTTGCGCCGGACCGGCGAGGACGACGGCACGATGCGGGCACGGCTCGTTTGTACGTTGAGCACCCTTTACACACACACACCTAGCTATATAATAACAAACCACTAACCCCACCCAACAAAGACCAAAGCCGCAAGCGCGGAACCCTCGAGTCCGACCTCCTCCTCTCCACCTTCGCCGACCGCCACCTACCCACCATGACGCGCGAGCAGATGTCCCAGTACGACCGCTTCCTCGACGAGAACGACTGGGACATATACTACTGGGCGACGCAAGAGCCGCCGCCCTCTGACTCTGCCACCACCACCACCTCCTCCTCCTCTTCTTCGGCAGCAGACCCAGCACCTTCCATCGCCATAGAAGACACATCCTCCCCCTCCTACGCCGGCGGCATCGAGGCCGCCATCTCCGAAGCCACCACCACCGCCACCACCACCGCCACCACCACCGCCACCACCATCAGCAGCACCGGCGGAAGCGCGCGCACCGGCGACGAGAGCGAGGGCAAGGAAGAGAAGTTCCCCGTGGGGAAGGATACATACAGCATGCAGCCGGCGACGGGCGAGTGGGCGCAGACGGTGGGGACGTTCAAGCCGGCGTACAGGCCGGTGCCGCGGCGGTGGCGCGACAGCGAGGTGCTGCGGCTGCTGAGGGACCATGTCAAGGCGAGGGCGAGCGAGAGTGGGGGGATGGCGTTCATGCCGGCGCTGCGGACGGGGGTTTCGTCGAGGATGTGATTTGGAAGGAAAAGGGGAGGGGAGAGGGGGGGGGGGGAGAAGGAGAATTAATGACAAGAAAAGAGAAAAGGAAAGGAAAGTAACGAGAAAGAAAAAAAAAAAAGGTCAAAATGGAAGGGGGCTGTTACGATATCTGTATTCTTACCTACATAGTTATGTACTTATGTATAAGGTCTTCCAAACTAGGAACCTATGCATAGGTATTGCTACTTACATACCTAATTCGCAGGTATCGCTAGTTCAAATGTTTGGAAGAAAGATCACCAGTTGGATGTTTTTTTTTATGAGATATGTACCTACCTACCTACCTACGGTATGTAACCACCCACCTAGCTACCAACTCAAGTTCTCTGATTTCAGTCAAACACATAACTAGCATATGGATGAAGACTTCCGAGGTTTGCATAGGTAAGGTATCAGGCCCGAGTTGTCCAACCAACCTTCGGACATACATACTACTGGTAATATTTCTCAAGAGAAGAAGCCTAGGTACCTAGGTTAAGTACTGTAGGTCCGTTGTAGTCGATGCAGACATCCATACCTATGTATCATATCAACAACAACTGTAACAAACCTAGGTTACCTAGGTACTAAGTAGGTAGGTACCTAGTAATCTGGAAGCACGTAGGTTAGGTAGGCAATACTAGGTCCGTGATAGGTATAACCTAGAGCATTGAACTACATGACTCCCCTACCCATATATGTAAGGATATCAAGCACCTATCAAGCACCCATCAAACGATTAAAACGAGTGGAAGTAAAGTAGTTACCTAATTAAAGTAAAAAAAAGAACAAAAAAGGAGGCATGCGAATTTATGGTATCTTGAACTATCATTTCATTTCAATTCATTCCCAACCCCATCCCCATCTCCACCCCCTTTCCCTCCCCGTCCATATTTATTTCCCTTCCTGCTGTTATAAACTCCCGACTCCAGTCCTGCTTTCCTTACTCATTGAGTAGGTTATGTACAGGTTCCCCCCCTACTCTTGTTCTCTCTCCGCCATTGTCTCTGCCGAGAACGGCGAATACGAGAAGAACAAGAACCTTGAGAATTTCAAGAGCCTCAAAATCTCAAGGACTTCAGCGACCTCAAGGGCCTCCAAAACCTCCAAAGCAAAAAAAGCAAAAAAAGAATCCCCAAATAAAAAAAAACGATTGAATGAACAAGAAAAAGGTATCTTTGTTTGCTTCTCTCTTGTCTTCATCTCGTTTCCTAATCAACAGGTAAAACTAAGTAAGTAGTCCGGGACCAAAACATTTGTATGTATAGCCATTCAGACGTTCGTTACAAAGTTTTTCCCTTTTCCCTTCCTCTATATGTAGGATAGGGTTAGGTTAGGTTAGGTCAGGTAGGTCAGGTAGGTAGGTAGATAGGTTATTCTCCCGCCTCTCCTCATCTCGTCTCTCCACACTCACTCAACTCATCCTCCACCTTCCGGCGGCAGCAACCTGCCTAAACTCCTCAAGACCTCCATGACGGGCATATCCTTAGTGCCCGCGCTCGCCCTCTCCTTCTCCTCGCGTTCTTTTAATCTCGCCGCGCTGAGGGCCAGCACGCGGTCTGCCTGCTGCCCTCCTGTCGTCACCCGTTGTTCCAGCTTGTGCACGTTTCCTGCGAGGTGGTCGACCTTGAATTCGAGCGATGCCTGAAGGTTTTGGAGCTGAGATTTGATCTTCTGTGGTCGTATCGACGCCGATGTATTAGTGAGGGAAGCGAATATTTGTGCTTCTTCGGAATCCAGGAGGGAGGCGTCTGGTAACGGTAACGGATCTGTCTCGGATGATGGGAATAGTGGCGGTAATTCTGGAGGTGGTTGCTTCAGGGTTTGCCATGTCTTCTTTTCAAATCTTAACCTGTCATATTTGTTAGTGCCTGCAATAGATCATCTATCATTCAAGAACATACCTTTTTATCCTCTCTTCTAATGCTACAATCTTCTCCTCGTGCTCGATATTCCGTGGATTTGGCTTCACTATGGCCGGCGGTCGTGGAACCTCGTCTCGTGAAAACCAATCCGAGAATTCTGACTTCGTAGAGAAGTCCTTCAGGAGCTGATCCTGAATCGCTCGGGCTGTTGCGATACGAGTGTTAGCGTGAGACAAAACTGTAGGCGTAATCGACCTTCGAGATTATCCTTACCTCCAAGAATTTCGTTAGAATTCGTAGAACCCAGCGGTGGCTTCTCCGATAGCGATCGTTCACCGCACCACGTAAGGAGCTGTTTCATACGTCGCGGCTCTATTAAGTCGGCTTCGATATGCTTGTAGAATTCGGCTGAGTCCACGGCTTTGTGTGGTATCGCATTATGGCCGTTGTCGATTAAGGAACTTGCTCGCCGACCACGCATACCGAGACTACTCCTACGAGCACCAGTCTTCCTCCGCATCTCTTTATTCCGGTTCATAATTGGTGTATCACTGAACGGGAGGGCAATCTTCTTAGGTTCCGACGAATTGTCTCCGCCTCGCGTTTTCAGCACATCCACAGGGGTCAATTGAGCTGGTTCCTCCTCGGGAACTTCCTCTATCCGTTTCTTCGACTTCTTCTTAGTGGGCTCATTCGCAACTTTCACCGGCTCATTTTCCTGCTCAATTACTTGTTTCTCTGCAGATGGACGGCCTCTTCGACGTGTACCCCTTTGCGGTGGCGCCGGAGGTGGTGGCGGTGATGGCGCGCCATCCTGATCAGATGTTATTTGACTGGACCTTCGCTTTGCATTCCTTCTCGTTGCCGGTTGTGCTGGTGCTTGTGCTGGTGCTGGTGGTGATGATGGTAGTGGTGCTGGTTTTGTTGCTGGTTTTGCTGCTTGGCGTTCTTTCTCCTTATTTTTGCTCGGTCTACCTCTTCTTGCTACTGGTGCGGGCGCAGGTGCTGGAGCGGGTGCTGGCGCAAGTTCATCCTCTGGTATTGGATCCGGTTGTGTTTTTACTCGCTTCGAACCCCGGGAGAAGAGAAAATCACCATCCTGCTCATCATATGCTATTTATAACAAAACTGTTAGTACTCCGAATCACACAGTATTGGTCCTAAGTCTCTACACGCCCACAACAAGTTGAAGGAGTTAAGCCACCTACCAGCAAGGCGCGAGCTCCTGCGGCGCTTGGGCTGATTGCTCATGCTCAGGACTTGTAATGGCTGACGGGTCTGCACGAGAGTAGTCATGGACGCTTAATGTATGTGCGCATCGATTCGATATTATGAGATTCGGATTTTGACCAGTAAAAATCGGTCGCGCGAGAGAAGACGTGAGGAAAACAGAGACCAGACAAGACGAGACGAGACGAGAAAGGGTTGAAATGAGCTCGCTCGTCTTTGCAATTAAATGATGAAGCGCGGAAATGAAGATTACAACGCGTCAATCAATTGGCCAAGTTTCAATTATGTCGAATTACGAATTATATCATGAATCGCTAAAAAGGTGGTTCGGGGGATGAATGTATATCGATGTTGCTTTTTTCTCCTTCTTTTGAGTATTTTCGGTTGGCGGTTTGGCGGTTTGGTTGAGTTGGGAATGGGATTTAGTTCGTTAGACAGGTTAGACATGCAGGGTTTCGTTGATGAGGCGCGATGTTCCTTTCCTTCATCAATTTGTTTACATATGTTACCGTGCACAGACCACGTGCAATCGAGTTAGCGTACCTAGTAACTAGTTTATGTAGACACCCCACTTTGTCATCTAATCTTTGCTGAACTCTCTCAATACAATCAAACCTTCATTTACTACATACCTAGTACATGTATATACATACTACCTCCTAATACTATGCCACCTGGAACAAAGCAACCTGAACTGACAGACAACTGTAGGTCACCACCAGTAGTCCTCTACTACGTTCTTGAATAATTGCTTCTATTCCCACTTCATATAAGAGTAATTCAACCCTTAAAGCCTATCAATCTACGTAGTAACATTCCTACCCTTCCAAGATGGACGCATACTCATTACATTATCATCATACCAACCATACTTAATAATGGCACGGCAAAATTGAACAAATAGAAAACATACACATGTAAATCACCAAACCAAAGCACTAAAGTACTCGTGCAAAAGAATGGACCGAATCATTATGTAGAACAAGCGCTTCGTTTACATCGAGCGTACGTGTATCAGCTAGCTAATATAAACGGTCGAAGTGAAGTCCAAAAACTCCTGAGAAGGATGAATACGGCGTGGACGCCCCTGGTTGCCCACCTCATCCTCCTCAACGCCCTTGAATTAAATCATAAAACACTTCCAGATACCCCCGCGAACACCGTTTTTGATGTGTATGCCCAGCCAGATACGTACATATATCAATATCAACCGATAAAATGGCCAGGCGCTAGCCTATTCGTCTTCCGGCAGGGCCGCAGACGTGCCACAATGTAGCCATAGCCTCAAACGCCCTGTCGTGCTCTCATGAGTTTCAAATGTTATTACAGACACCAGAGTATAACGAGCAAGCGCTTCCTTAAGCCGGACGCGCTCACATCCCCTCCCATGTCGTGAGAAGAGCAAGAACACCACATCATTCCACTCAGCACCAGATACCATTAAGAGGCCCTTTTCCTTCTTTTTTTTTCCCTCTTCTCTTTTTTTTTCTCTCTTGCTTTGATACCGGACCCATTTCGCCGGCCAACCAGTGCTCTCGAAAAGCCTGACTTATTTTTTACTTATCAATACCTCCAAATTTCATCATAGCTCTTGTCGAAGTTCAGTTGCCCCCCGAAAAGCTTAGGTCTGGGGGAGCGGCTCCATCATCCTATGAGAAGCGTCGCTGCACTCCCTGTCCGGCCATCACTGGTTGGTTAGGGATGGGCGCTGCCATACCATAAGGGTTGATTTGAGGGTTGTAGGTTTCCATTGCCTGCTGCATGAATGCTCCGTGTAACCCTTGTTGTTGTGTAACTGGGCAATCCTTATGTGCAAGCAAAAGAGTCTTCAGGTTGACAACTTCTTCTCTAAGTTGAGATATCTGAGCTGTCAACGCGTCGTTCTCACTGCTGAACATCTCCACCTTGTTCTGGAGGTTCGCCAGCCACTGTTTCTTACGCTGCCGACATTTTAGAGCAGCGACACTTTATTGATGTCAGCGAAAAATATTCATCACGTATAAATGCAAAACAACGTAACATACCGGTTTCGTTCAAGGAAGTTCTTTCGTTTTTCCTCATCAGTCATCTTAGACTTAGGATGGCCATCAGCATTCAACTTATCATCATCGTCCTCGTCCGAAGAGTGGTCATCGTTGCTATTTATGGATGACGATGCTGTCTTGGTCTTCTTGCTAGCAGGTTGCTTCGCTGGCGCCTCATCAGCTTTTCGCCGTCCGTTTGTGGAAGCAGGTGCACCGCGCTTGCCCTTGCCTCTGGCATTGGGCTTGGCTAGCTCGCTTTCCTCCGACATACCGCTAGCCGCTTCGCTAACTCCTCTCGCAGGAGTGGGTGCAGCCGCGCCATTCCCGTTCATATGTGGTGAAGTAGTTACAACCTGTGTAGGTTGGGATGGAGCCGGGTGCGCGTGTACAGGTTGATTACCGCCGACGGGGTATTGTGCCTGTGCGCTGTTGCGGCCCTGTGCACCCTGAGCCAACATGAATAAGCCGTTGGCAGCGTCGTTGTCATGGGGGTCGAAGACACCCGACGCCGGCTTGGCCTCAGCTTTGATTTGAGCCCCATTTGTCTCCGGCGGCTGAGCCGCAGCAGGTTGGGTTTGTTGCTTGTCACGGTTGGCTTTAGCAGCTGCTGCGCTCATGGCGGTTCGATGGAAATCAAGTGTGCTGGGAGTTGCTGTACCGCTTGCTAATTGGGCAAAGATGGCTTGGGAGTTGGGACTCGGGGCAGGGAACATAGAACCACTTCCACCCGGTGTCAGACCTGTTCGTAGTGAACTCTCATTAGGTGTGAAACCGCCTCGCAGTGTATGCGACGTGTCGCCAAAGTAATCATTCGTGGGACCAGAGAGCATAGCTGGGCTGAGTGGTCCCGTCCTAAGGGAGCCGCCTCCCCAGTTAAACGGTGTTCCCCCGTTTCCTGGCAACAACGACGACGGCGAAGTTAGAGCCGCCACGCTGGGCAACTTGGTACCGCCCGGGGTTTCTACTGTGCCACCCGTGCCGAATGATTGCTCAAACGGATTAGGTTCAAGGCTTAGATTACTCGAGAAGTAATCTTCACCAGGTTTGGGAGGTGGTGCCAATGGTCGACCAGGCTCGTTGTTAGCGGTGGCTTCCGACTTGACTTCGGGTTTCTTGTCGCCGTTGGTTTCTACGAAGCGACGACCAATGTTAGCAATGACGTCCAATTGAGCGCATCCCTATTTACACGGGATTCTGCGATGATGCTGATGTTGACAGCGATTACGGAGATGTGCACGAGCAACACGAGCAACAACAAGCCAAGGACACGGGATGTTGTGACGGAGTGGAGGTCGGTACGGTGCAAGGCAATCCGGTGGGCTCACCTGACAAAGGATTTTCTGATGTTTTGGTTTCGGTCGGGGCCATTGTGACGACGATGACGAAGTTGGTTTTATGGCGTTGCGTATGTATGTCTTTAGGGGAAGGAATATGATGTAACGATACGCCCTGACGTACAACGGCTGCTGACTGACTTGGGGAGGCAGCGTTGGTACGAAAAAAAATAAAAATAAAAAATAAAAAGAAATTAAAAACGGCGGACTACCTCTAGAGAATTAGGTGCGAACGATGGTGCCTACCAAGGGTATCGTGGCAAGTACGAGTAATTGATAATTGATGAATGAGTGACGGTATAGGCTGGGTCTAGCTTAAAATTGAATGAACAGAAATGCGATTGCTATAGTTATTGCTATTGCTGCTGCTGCTGCTGCCACAAGGCACAAGGGGGGAAGGGGGGGGGCGTCGTGCTATTGTTGTGTATGGGTTTATGGACAGTATGGGCATATGGCATATGGGTATTGACGCAACTTTTTTGGATTAAACAGTTAAGTTTGCGGGTGTATCGAAGAGATGTTGGCGATGAGGTCATGAGGGAAGAAGTGACATAAGGGGTGGTTTTTGGGAGAAAAGGCAGGCACAGCAGACGTAAAAGCCCCCCGAAAAATGCTTGGAGCCGAAGGTGGACAAGACCCGCAGAAGACATGGATGAATCATCCAATGGTTGGATGGAAGGCGTGATCGAAGATCCCAAAGTACCCATACAGTGCGCCTATCTAATTCTCCGCTTACTCTAACCATTTTAGCATTAGGCTAGACCGCTTTAAACCTGTTTAGGTCATTTTTAGATGACCTGTTCATGTATCTTACCTACCTGAGTATTTAGTAACGTATTAGATGGTATTAGATGGTGGTATGATACAAAATGATCACTGACACGCTGTCAAGGGAACGGTGCAAGTACACTCACCTATGATACTCAAGTGAGACGGTGATTCGTCCGGCTACTGTAACTGGACGGGGCGCGAAACTCCATTTTACCTTACCTCTTTGACCCGTCCTATGTAGCCCCAGCTTCATTCACTTTGTGTTTATTACATGTATGTGTATTCAACGACGGGTTCAGCCTTTGTTTCTATTCAAAGATTGGATTTGGGATTTGGGATTTAGTAAAACCAGTCAACATACATACATACATACGAGTCACAGCTTTATTTTTTGTGTTCATCAGAAAGCAAATTGGCCGCCTTTTACATGCCCGTACATGGACATGTGTCAACTCTATGTAGTTCTTGCAGTGTTCACTTATATGTACATGTAATAACTACAAAACTATCTACACACGATATACATATGTAGGTAATGTGTAGTACTATACATGATGACTGGATTACATCGTCATCATATTTAAATCTTATCTTTGAAATCTCCGGTTTGCTAGTCCTTGCAACCACCAGCTTCTGGTAGGTATGTGCCTACATGCCTACATGCCTACGTACCTAATTATACCCTTCACAATGCAATCCCCGTGTGTATCAGAACTTCAGAAGTGGCTGATAACGATTATGATCTTGAGATCTGATTTCTAGATGTTTTGCCTACCTATGTACACTATCTATGATTAGTATGATATGATGTATGTATGTATACTGTAGTATGTATGTATATCATGTACTGTAGTCGGAATCAATGGAGAATAATACCGGAACAAATTCATTAGTGCAATTAGGAAAAGAAGCGGTATGGATGTCGAAGACCCGATAGTTAGTTGGTGAAAATACAACATTACAAAGAGCATTAAACCGAAAGAATTGTTATTGAGATCGCGATCCAGGACAAAAACACAAGAAGAGTTAGAAAAAGCCTAGAAAAGTGGAATACTCCATTACCATGTATACCAAAGAAGTTGCAAAGACCATTAAAAAGAGCTGGTCGTTCTGATAATGGAGGCTCGAGTGGTACATCTAGTTATACCTAGTACTTATACATAAGTACATATGAACAAGGTCTAAGGAAAAACACTTGAGTCTAAAGAAAATTCTACATGGACTAAAATGACGCTAGTTCAGTTGCGGCAGGCCCATTCATAGCATCCTACCCATCGAAGCAGTTCCGTCCTTCGCGAGGTGGCAAATGTGTGCCTTCCTTCGAATCAAACGTCCCGGTTAAGATGACAAAGATCCCAGTCACTTTTTACCACCCCATGCATACCCCATCGCGTCTGGCAAATGAGAAAGCAACAAACTAAGAGAGGCTCCGCGGGAGAGGATTAGACGTACGCGATGCATGGAAAATAAAATGAAATATACCTAAATACGTAACTAACATGGTATTATTAATTGATGTTCGAATGTTCAATGTTTGTTTTTGCTTATGATTCAGATTTGATTTTTTTTTTTTGTCCACTCCGTATTAATGTTTTCCTATTCCCATTTTCCTCCATCGCCTTTTTATGGAATTCAAACTCACAATCGCAACTGATTACTTAACTAACTTTTATCCCTAGACATCACACACCTACCTAAATTGGCTCAGGAAACAGCGAGGTTCACGTTGTGTTGCGTGGTTGCTATTAAAAAAAAAATAGGAGCAAGTGTGGGAAGGTGGCCAGGGCGGAAGATTCGCAACGAATTACGTCACTCCATGAAGTACCACACCTAGTGTAATTTGTATCTTGGCAAACTGTGTCATTTTTCTTCTTTTTTTAATTTTTTTTTTCTCGCGTTTTTCTTTTTTTTCTTTTTTCTTTTGCCAACCCCCCCGGAACCAGGATTCCTACCATCGATAGGCTTTCCACAATTTTGTCTCCATTCATTTGCAACGTGGATTACTATCTTGACCTACCTATCTCGACCTATCTCGACCTATCTCGCTTTACATATCATCCGTCGTGTTACGATCCAAGATCGTGGGTAACTTGTCGCGCACATGGTAATCGCCTCATTTAGTATCTGCCATCTCCCATCTCCCATCGCCCACCTCACTACTAGAATCGTACGTACATACCTAGGTAAGTATTTATTACATAAGGGATGATATCTGCATTCTTCATGGGCGATCTGTCGAACTGGAACTGGAATATCAGGCTGCTTTTTGTTTTATTCTACACAGTACAATCTTTTTTTCGAACTAGTGAATTTCGAACATACACCCCCCCTCATTCTTTGTACTGTCGTGTAAGAGAGAGGGAGTCTTTAAGAGAGGGACATATACATATGGATGTCTCTGTTCCAATGACGCAAGTCTTACGGCATCATGGAAATGCCCCCGCTATCCCACGTTGGGGTTGTTTTTCTTAGTGTCACATTTTGAACCGAAAGAGTCTTGAGATGTGTATACTGCATAGTATGCACCATTATACCATTATGCCATTAATCGACTTTAATTTATACTTACATGTATGTTTATTGTAATGGTAGGCTAAGTGCCGAAACGAATATTGGTCTCTATCCAGATTCAGTACTTGTTTGGTGTCTCCAACGCGCGTTCGCTCTGCCGATATCTCACCATACCTTGATCCCTCAGCTATATACCTGGGATGTATAAGTAGGTTTCCATATACACATACAGATGTACGCAGTCGCGGTAGCATCGATGTAAATACCTATTCAAGATGCTGTATGATGACTTGGGTGCCTACTTTGGGACACCTTAGCGTCGTACTGCTCACTACCGTCCTCTCGGCATTCAACTCCGGGTAAAGCGTACCACATGTGCAGTTAGTATAGAAGCCATTCGGAATTTAACCCCAAAGGGTCAACGTCTGATCTGCTGTCAGCCAGAATTCACGATTCATTAGACGAAAACTTAATCGAGTTATCCCAACTTGGAAGGCGTGAGACTATCAACACTGAAGTCAGGCTGACAACGTGGCATGGGTGGGTATTACATACTAACCTAGGTTACCTAAGTGCACCTTGATTACATAGGTAGGTAAATATACTAGGTTAGTACCTACATGGTAGCTACCTAGGTATGCTATATATGTAGCTAATTCGCATCACCAATCACCCGTCTGCTATATATGATACGAGTCTATTCATATCTACCTGTTAACTCACACAGATATCTCAGCTCTCACAAGAAGCAAGAATAGGTATCTACCTAGGTAGCATGTCCAATGGAAAGAATAAGTATCCTGATATATATAGTTTTTTAGAGCACTTGCGATTGGGTAACTTAAGGTATCATCAAACATGTAGATGTTCATATAACAATAATCGTCTATTTTGAGTAGGTACCTAGTTAGAACTTCACCTGTAAATCTATAGGCTTACCGTCTCATATGATCACGCACATAAGATACCTAGACATATAAATACACGTAGACTCTCCATACCTAGGTTACTCTACAACCTACTCTCGCCCTCCCCAACCTTCGCAACCTTAAACCCCCGCCTCGGCGCATGCACCCTCACCGTCCCCCGCTTCCCCTTTACCTCGACCACGAACTGCGCATCATCCACACCCACCAGCGTCCCCGTGTCCTTGTGCGTGAACCCCCAGTCCGTCGGCCACATCCGCACCTGCACCCCCTTCCCCAGCCCCTCCGCCAGCACCACCGGATCCGCCGCGTCGACCCCCGCCTCCGCCTCCGCGAACGCCGACCCCGCGATCAGCGACGCTGCCTCGGCGCCCTGTACTACTGCTGCCGCCTCGCCCGCCGGCCGCTGCTCCGCGGCGCGGCCGAACCGCTCGACCCACGCAAACACCCCCGGGAACACGCGGCTGTCGACGTACCCCGCCGGCAGCGCGCCCGGGATCTGCCGCAGCCAGTGCAGGATCCAGACCGCCTCGATGTCGAGCAGCGTCGGGCCCCCGGCGCCCTTGACGATCCAGGGCCGCCCGTCGGAGAAGACGGTGCGCTCGAGGAGCGCGGCGTACGCGCGTATCTCGACGAGGGCCTCGGGACGGCGCGCGGCGAGGGTGGCGGGGGAGAGGGGGGAGGCGGAGACGTCGGCGGCGGCGTTTGGGGAGGAGGGAGAGGAGGGGGGCAGGTTGACGCCGGACAGGTCGGCGCGGTCGCGCAGGAACTGCGGGGTGCCGTTCCCGGGCGCGGCGAAGAGTTTGGGGGGGAGGAGCTGCGCGGCGCGGAGGAAGAGGCCGTTGGGGGCGATGATGGTGCGGGAGAGGAGGGCGGAGAGGAGGGCGTGTTCGTTTTGGAGAGGGGAGGGGGTGGTTAGGCTGGGGTGGGAGGGGCTAGGGGGGAAGAGCTGCTCCAGCTTGGCGAGGATCAGCCGCGTGTCTAGGTACACGTCCCGCCCGATGGAGAGGATGGGGATGCGCCGGTAGGAGATCCCGAGTTCTTCTTTGAGGTCGGGGCGTGGGAGGATGACGGGCTGGAGCTTTGGGGGAGGTTAGTGTTGAAGTTGGTAAGTAAGTGGGTGGTGGTAGAGAAATGAAGGACGCTGAGCAAGCTGAGGGGATGAAATAGGTACGCAGGTAAGTTGATGGGCAAGCGTGACCAGTCACTTACGCATTGAGAATAGGGGATCTGTCGTAGATTTAGGTACCACACGATCCGTTTGGCGAAAGGCGAGGTCGGGTAGTGGTAGAGTACGATGGGGGGATGTGCCGCCGCCATGATGTTCTGACACAGGGCCTTAAGTTAGGAGGGAAGGTATTTAGTAGGCGGAGTTGTTCAGTCTCACTCAAGGTAGTTATGAGATAGGTAGGTAGGTATCTAGTAGTTAATAAAAAGATATGAAGATACGCGCAGTATAAGTGAAGATATTCCCTGTGTAACCAATGCTTATATGTCGTTTCTACTATTATATCTTCCCCTTCGCGATATCAAATACATGTATATAAGCTTATGTTAAATTCAGGAACAGGTTAATGATCCTTTGTTGGTAGGTAATCGGGCTAATTAATCACTTAGACCGTCTTGAAACTCGTCGTGCCTCGGCACCTCGGCCAAACTACTATGCATGTTGGTAGCTAGATACATGGCTACTAGGTAGGCAGCTAGGTTATGATGACGATGCGTTGATGAGCTTACATATCACGGTGTTTTTTAATACTTGGAATAGAGAAACGTGGGATAAAAAGGAAAGGGATAAAGAAAAGAGAAAAAGAGAAAAGGAAAAAAGAAAAACATCGACAACGACAGGATTCGAACCTGTGCGACCGAAGCCATTAGATTTCGAGTCTAACCCATTAACCACTCTGGCACGTTGTCTTATCCGTCGTGCCATTTTTTGGCACGGAGTGATGTACTGTATGAAACTGGACTTTAATTGTGTGGTATATACTAAGGTGCGTAGGTTTGCAGATACGCGAAGAGATGTAATACGCTAGAATGCCGAAGCGGCCCCAGATTTCGGAGCCAGTAGGAATAGAGCAGCGTGAATGATCCACCCCCTATTTAGAATATGTATGTTTGACGCGATGAAGATGGGAAGGAAAGGGAATGGTATACATGAATATCTCATGTGTGTAATACTATGGTATAGATTTAAGTAGGTAGGTAGGTAGATACTAGGTAGGTAAGCATTGCGAAGTTGCCTGTCGTGAACAATATTTGGATTGTTTTATGAAATAACAAGTAGTAATTATACTAGGTTAGGTATTTTACGTAGATATCTATATTGTGTATCATACGTTACTTGTAAGAACAGACTTCTATGGTTGACATGTATCCAGCACCGCAACACTTAAACACATACAGCCAGCCATTTTTATAAACATATCTCACCTACGCTAGGAAGTATCTGAGCCTTCTAGATTAAGATACCTACCTACACAAGTAACCCGGGCCGGTAGGTAGGCAGTTATGGAGTAGGACAATTCATAACTCCCGAGATCCTCAACACATGCAGACAGATATAACACCCAAGGCTCATATCCATTCCAAGAACTGTCTCCCCACCTCACTGATTCAAGATCTTGTGACACAAGACATACATAGTACAGGATCTCTCTCTCTCTCCCTATCCCCAGTCCCTTATCTTCTCACCTAATCCCCCAAACTTCTTAGACATGCCCCAGACAGCCAGCCAAATCGATCCACCCTCCCCTCCACTCGTAAGACAGGATCGATACCGAGCTCTTCTCTCGTACATTACACATATGTAGGTAGGTAGGTAGGTAGGTAGGTAGGTAGTCTATATGAACCCTCCGCATGCATGTCAGCACCGAAGGCGACGTGACACCAAGCGCGGGCGAGACACTCGTCCGAAAGAAGGGAAGGGGGAGAGGGAGGGACAGACCGAGGGGGAAAATCCCTTGTGTATCTGTCTGTCTGTCTCTGGCAACCTTACCTGTTATCCTAGGTAGGTATGTATGTATGTATGTATCTATCGGTATTCAACTCATTGCCACCACCCTCGGTACTTTGACCTTGTGGAGGTAGCACCAAAATCTGTTCGGAACCTGTAAATTCAACGTACCTACCTCTGGGTAACCTTGGTAGGTACAGCATGTAAGTATGTAAGTAGGCATGTAGTTACTTAGGTACGTACGCCGAGAGCTTTCCTGGTTTTAATCAACAACAGACAGGCGACATCACGGAGGTGGCTTGCTGGGTAGACATTTTCATTCGTCCCATACATACCTATCTAGGAGGAGAGATTGACAGGCCCATGGAACAATCTGAAGACCTCAGGATTTATTTTTCCTTTGCTACTCGACAGACATATGTTTTGATGTACGCTGCCGAAGGCAACGAGGACTCGAGTCGGGGTGGCTGCATAAGTGCCTAGGCATTGTAATCTACGAGACAACGAGACAGCGACAACCCTCATAGCAAGGAAGGGAAAAAAGATGCCGTTATATCCATATTATCAACGGCGAGCGGAAATGCCACTGCTTGCATGGATGGGCCCTTATCCTTTGCAGCAGCAGCTTCGTGCGGACGCCCTGTCTTGGTGTAGCTAGCTGGTAAATGTCCACGGCCGAAGCCTGCCTGCCCGCCCTGTCTTACCTAGGTCTCGAAGCACGTCGTATCACGACGACCGGTGCATGTCTTGCTGCTTATCTAGACATGTGCGGGTGGGTGGGTTGGTAGGTTGGTAGGTATGGGGTGATATGTTCCTAGGTATAACTGATACCTGTCGGCATTTGCATATATATATAGGTGTGGGATCAGTTGCCTCACATCTGTATACCATAACCCATACACAAACTCGACAATATACCTGCCTACCTACCCATTCGTGGCATCTGCTCAAGAGTGTAACCTCACCTCACCTCACACCGACCGAACATGGACCACAACATAGGAAGAGACGAAGAGAAGCACGGGAATGCCATCGAGGGGATCACGGTCGACTCGTCCAGCGAGGAAGTCCCCACGCCTTCCAAGACGGGCATCCTGGCCAAGTTGCGCGGGTTCGAGGCAGCTCTGGATCGCAAGCTAGGGGTTGAGTCGCAGAGCATCCAGCGCAGGCTGCCGGAAGACAGAGACCCCTTCTACGCGCGATGGTCAAGCCAACTGGTGAGCGTTCCTCTTCCCCCCCTTTGGTTTTGGATATATACCTAGGTACCAAGTATAGGTACGGGGTATGTATCATCGTAATCAATACACGTTACTGACCCGGACCTGTGCTTCAGACCTTGGTAGGGTTTTGGGCTGGCGGCTGTTTTAACTTGGGCTCTTTCGCGACGGGCTTCCTGGGTTGGGAGTTGGGCCTGGATCTAAAGCAAAGCATCTTGATCATCGTGTTCGGTACCTTTCTGGGCGGGTCTGTCACTGTAGGGTTTTCTCCTTAACCACCCCTATCTCCCTACCTCCTTTATAGCATATATCATGACGCCGAGCGACAACTGGCTGACTCCTGATGGCAGAGTTGGTGCGCAACTATGGGAGCCCCAACAGGCCTTCGTCAAGTCTCGATCTGTCGATACTCCTTTGGCTGGTACCCATCCAAAGTCATCGCCATACTCAACGTCATCCAGCAGATCGGGTGGTGTGCATCCGGCTCGATCACCGGCGGACAAGCCCTTTCAGCCTTCTCGGACGGCAAGGTCGGTACTCGAGTCGGTGTCATCATACTCAGTGTAGTGAGCCTGATCTTCTCCTTCTTCGGGTTAACAGCAGTGTATCGATTTGTGAAGTACGCCTGGGTGATTTTCTTGGCCATCTTCCTAATCATGCTGGGGGAGTCGGCCAGGTCCGGCGATCTTTCCGCTCCGCCAACGGCTGTCGGGGTCTCCGGGTCCGGAGCTGCGCTGTCATACTTCGGCATCATGTACGGCTCAAGCGCCTGCTGTGCGGGATATGCGTCAGACTTCTATGTCGAGTACCCGGCAACCGTCTCCAAAGTCAGGATTTTCATGCTGACTTTCGTAGGTCTTTGTGAGTTCAGCCTTCAAAAAAAAAACTAAAAAAAAACTCCTGAGACGTTTATATTCTTACCTACTTGACCGCTCCAAGTCACATCGGTGGTGCTCGCTACTGTGGCTGGCGCAGTAGTCGCCTCTGCCTTACCAAACAATCCAGATTGGAATGCCGAGTACGAAGCTGGGATTGGATTCATAATCCAGGCCATAATCTACCCATATGGACTCGCCAAGGTGATCCTGTTCATATCAATGTTCACCTCGGTGGGCTTGAATTGCGCATCAATGTATAGCGCCAGCCTTTCACTTCAACAATCAGCCCATGCGATAGCTGCAGTACCAAGGTTCATTTGGACATTCCTCTGCTTTCTCGCCGTGGTTGCGTTGAGCTTGGCTGGCAGCGATCGGCTCTTGGTTTTCCTCCAGAATTTTTTGAGCTTATTGGGTTACTACGCCACAGCCGTTTTTGTCTGTTTAATCTCCGAACACTACATATTCCGCCGTGGCTCCTTCGATAATTACAACCTGGAGGCTTGGAACAAATCTGAAGTGCTGCCGGCCGGTTATGCTGCCGGGTTGGCTTTTGTTATTGGTATATTTGGAGGTAGGTATCACGGCCACCTCGACCTATCTAACCGCAAATTGCTATGCTAACCCAATATCCAGCTATTCTTGGAATGGACACAACTTGGTATACTGGCCTTGTTGCTAAGTTGATAGGAGACTCTGGTGGTGACGTTGGGAACGAACTTTGTTTCATGTTGACCCTGATGGTATATGTACCGGCTCGATTCATGGAAAGGAGACTTGTGGGGAGATAGTCTACAAGAGATCAGGGACGAGATTGGCAGGGGGGATGGCTTCCTCAATACGGCATAATGCATATCTGTATCTGCAAAGTTGCGTGGTGGGTGCTCGATTCGCACAGGATCTCGATAGCAATACCGCCTCACAAGCGCCTGCGTCGTCTGCCAAGCCTGTCTACCCATGTCAAACTCGTCACCTAAGAGATTCAAGGTGTCCTTCTGTAGTAAGAAGATCCCCGAAAAGTGCACATACTGTTGGTCAGACCTAAACCAAGGCTGGGAAGTTGGGTGTCTCTGCATATGAAGCCTGCCGGATTGGAAATATCAAATATCAAATCAGAGTGACTTCGTTTCCCAGACTGATATTAACGATCTTCATCTTTCTAGGGGATGAGCCCTAGGGTGCTAGCGCCTTCACCAGCGACGGTGACGTGCATACGCCAAGCATATCTCCCACGGCTAGAGAGGAGAGCTCTCACTGACGAGAACGATGTGTGCATTTTGGGTGGGGGCTCGACCTACAACTTATACGTACCTATATCGAGTTCCAAGGTTAGTACAGCTCTGACTGACGATGAACGAGCAACTTCTAGTATTTATGGAGGCATCAAGGGAAAGGGCGCATAATTTCGGGTAGTCGAATGGTATACTCTGGGAAATGGTAGTTGGTGATCGGTCAACTAGATCGAATCGAGTGAAATATTCACCCTACATAGTAGCCACCTGGGCACAGATCGAAAAAGGTTTTATGCTTAGTGGACGGACTTGAACCACATACTTTACGGTAGGGTTAAGAGGCTCTATCATGCAGCCCCATAAGACTTCACTGCAATTGCAACTAACGAACTGACCAATAATGATAGCAACTTACCCAAATTCAAGCTCCTTATGAGATGTATGTTTCGGGCTAGGAAGCAGGCCCATGGTCTCCCATAATCCATGACGTAGATATGGAACCTCCATACTATGTAAATTCTCTGCTGGCTTGGCTATTTGAACACTCAAGTTATATGCACTGTTACCCCATAACTTGGTGTGAATGTGGCGGGCTGTTTAGATTGAGACATGCAACTTCCGAGCTTTCGGCACTATGTTGAACTATTGTATTGTACTTCCAAATGAACAATTCCAAATGGATATGGTACGTGGTCGGATGTAGAAAGACAAATAGGACTTCGTATTCTACAAGTCCGATATGGCACAGCACTACTCCGTTATTCCCATAGGTGTCCAGGGCTGGTGGTGAATGTTTCTATGGGCCCCTTTTCGGGTGAAAAAGGGGAACTCATGAGAAAAGCTATCGTAAGCTTTGTCAGATCAACAATGGCGATAATGAACCATATAATAACGGATTATATCTGGAAGACATGTGGCGGTGGGGCCGGAAGCTCATTATGGCTGTCCATAGGATGATGAGCAAGTCCTATTGAGAGAGATGGTGAGACTTAGCCAGCGTCTCGCGTCAGTTGGCGGTGTGTACATGTGTACATACGTATTGTACATACGCACAACAGAGGCGGGTATGTAGCTAACAGGTAGGTAGGTAGCGGGCCGCTGTGATTTGTGACTACTACAGACTAGTAAGCCTTCAACTTCAATGAGGGAGTCTGACGCTAGAAGTCTTTAATGGTAGCAAACTGGATAAATTGGTAGAAATGCCGGACCGTCTGGGCACGGCACTGCGCTGCACTGTTGTTACCTAGTATTCTGTGGAGAATCGATGACAATTCGAGTCTTCCCTTCTCCCTTGTCTCTGGTTGTTAGGAGTATTCAGCATCGATCCCGCCTTAGGCAAGCTCGGGGATGAAAACGAATGCCAATAACCGAGCTTACTATTTGTTGTAGCGCTTTCAACCTAGAATATCTCATCGGTCTGCCGGGTAGGCTTGAGAAGCTCCTTTCTAATCTCGTAACAAGATTAATCAAATTTTGTTTAATGTGACAGTAGGTTATTGTAGGTTTTATATGGCTTGTACGGCTACAATAGATTTGGTTGCGGGAGGAGCGCTGATCAGTCAGTGATCGACAGTAAGCCTAGGTTAGGTAGATGCTTAGGTATCGTATTGTATCGTATCCGTACGTGTCATATCCATCAATAATGTAGGTAACGTTAACTACATCAATGATATGTAACGATGACCAAGGGATATATAGTGTATAGGTGTTGGCGGCGGGAGGGAGGAAGGGGAGATGCAGTTTAGTTGTGAGGTCGCAGATAAAAATCCAGGGCTAAGGGAAGAAGGAATTCAATGTTTTTTGAAGAAATTTATTTAAAGAGAATATTGAAGTATGTATTGTATAGTTCCTAGGGTACCTAAGAATTAGGCATGTAAGTACCTAACCTAGTGTACTAGGTAATGATTTAATCTATGCTTTATGTCGGTAAATCCACTTGAAGATCCACATCTACCAATGATAAGTCCTTGCTTCCACATGGCTTTTATGTTTCCTTCCCCAGGCTCCTCAAAATTTTGGCTCTTCCAGCTTCTTTTGAGCTTCCATTCCACCACCTAAAGTTCTTCTACCCCACACAAACCCCACTTGATTAGACCGGACAGCCCGGGGAAGACGGGACCAATCCAATCATTTTTAACTCTATGTATGTACAGGCTGTCAGGTACGTTAGATAGTACCTACACTACACTACACTACACTACACTACACTATACGGGGATTTGCACTGAGGTCCCTAAATAAGATCATAAACTTTTCATCAATGCGAAGCGCCGCGTAAATATCCCAAGTTCTAACAACCCCCAAACCTCGGTTCACGTTAACCCGTACTTATGTATTGGCTTGGTCAACTATCATTTCGGCATAAAATCTACACGGTTACGAGTAGTTAGTTGAGAAAAAGAACAAAAAACAAAAATAAACCAAGCTTGCTTTCCAAGGGTTGAAACTTGAAACCTGGTTGAACTGGGGATCTTGTCGTCCAACCACACTTCTACACACCGACAAAACCTTTAACCGCAGTTGCTATTTGCTTGACTGGTAAATTTGCATCTATTCCCTAACCATTAACAGCCCGCTTTGGTATCCCCCCAATCCCCCCAATCCCCCCTTTTTGTCCCTTTAACTTTTAACACTCCACCACACTTTCGTGTACGTCCGACAGCATGGAAACGTGACTTTTAGCGTCTGCGGGTTATTTGCCTATTCTAGACAACTGATGAGTTTAAAGTGTACTTTAATGAAAGATAGAAAATAAAAACTGCCTTGGCATTCTCGGAGACAATTTACGGCTTACTCCTTACGGTACACGTATTTTTCGAAAAGAGAAAAGAGAACACGACGACTAGCGGCACTTTTTTCTTTCTTTTTCTTTTTCTTTTCGTTTCAGCCCTGAATGACTAGGCTGGCCCCTGAACGTGTCATATTCCGAAGGCTCGGTGTGTAGCATGCAAGGACATGTTAGGCACGTATTACAACGGCCCCCGACATCCTGTCTTTTCTTACACCAGATAGCTTCCGCAAAATCTCGCCTCGAATCGATCCTGACGGATCATATACCCAGTTTATACCTCGGCGGATGTAGCCTTGTCTTTGCTACGTGTTTGGACCTCAAGTCTTACGATACTCCGAAGGGAAGCTTATATTGAATCAGAGAATAGTCGCAGGAATCTTACTATTATGACTCGTTGCCACGTAAGGCACATGAAGGGGAGGTGCAAAATAACCTACATACAATAATATTACCCAAAAGCCTCGGATTCTTGGGGGGAAACGTAAGGCTTATGTGATGATAGGGCCATTCCTATTATTGTTGCTGTTGTTAACCAAGTAATATACTGGCGTGCCAGTTCGGAAGATTCCATTGATTTCTAACAAATACCTGCCTCACGATTCGTAACAATTCGTAACAATCTATTCATCCCCAGATGCCTATTGTGCTGAAAGGCACGCAACCGCATGTATTCCCGCAGGTGTAAGTACTAGTACATACACGTATACGTGTACAGGTACAACTTGAACTACACTGGGTACCATGTATGTTTGTACATGTACCGCTACGATTCCAACATGAACATTGAAGTCGCCTCTTCAGCATTAAAATGCGTGACTGGGTCCCGTTGTCCCCAAGTTTTAAATACCCCGGTTTCAATTCCCCATACTTTAAGGACGTACATTTGGATGTATGTCTGGCACTCTAAGAGTACGTACATCCATTTATGCATTACTCAACTTGGCAAAATCATCGTATTAATATGTTGCAAGTTGCCTAAGACAATTGTATCAAACGAATAATAATGCTGGGGTGACGGGCCCCCGGAATGAGCGAATCTGGGGTCAGAAAGCTGTTTGTGTTTGACTTCCCCAGGTATTAATTTATCAGATATTTTATGCCTACAGTACCGGGTACATATATAGATACATATATGTGAAGCCTACATACCTCCTCTGTAGTAGTACTTTGCATATAACTACATGTAGGTATTTGTAGTTGGTACCTGCGTAGCAATAATGCCGGGGAAACCAACATTGAACATATCATATTCGTCTCGTCTCAAAATTACGGATGTTGTGGCTTTAATCAATAAATATCAGTGACAGCTTCCCAACACCGATCCCTCTCCTACGCAGCCCCCTTTCCACATATAACACCCCCAATATATCCACGTCAAAATTGAATAGTCTTTCATATCCAAATCACTTGGAGTGCGACCACACAAGCACATACATATCCAACCGACTGCTAATTTAGCTTCGGGATCTAACATCTTGTGGAGTTGAGACGAGACGAGACGGAAGCACGCCAAACAGCATAACATTAAAATCGCATTCATATTCCGTCCATCTATTCATCCCATCGGCATCAGCTTTGCTAAGAACTACCTAGGTTAGGGTACTATAAGACCATTATACTATTTGATTCGTGGGGTGAACACAAGCTTGCCTACCTATCAAGGGTACCTAGGGTAGTTAAAAAGGAGTCAGGGAGTCAGGGACAAGACAGGAAAGCCTTTTATTATTTATTTTAGTTTTTAGTGGTGTGTGACTTACACATACACACGCATACCCACCGCTCTTTCCGTTGCCTTCTTGCCTTCTTGCCTTCTTGCCTTATTAATTACATACATACCGAAGGTTTTATTCCTTACTCCTTTACTCCTTCCCTTTCTCTGGACGCCTCTACTTAATACCCCCATCTCGCTCCTACCTGACAACTTGGGCCACCTACAAAAATTTCAACCTTCGCAAAGTTTGACTGTGCGCACAAGCACACACTCGCCCCACATCACCCTTTTTCTCAACCAACCTTGAACTCTTTTCAACACTCGTCACTTACACGCACGTCTAACAATAACACGTTACAACTTCACACTTTCCACTGTCCGCACATATTTGTAGCGGTTATAACAGGTATCAAATCAAGTTTCGACATATCTATTACAAACCTTGTCAAGCACTTTCCACAATCCAAAACAACGTTTAGCTCTTTGCGAATTAAACATCCAACATCCAACATCCCATTTCTACTCTGATCAAATAGTGAGTCGCATCATTTATATTTCCATCGCCATAATATCCTTCTATTGCCATAACTTAATAAACTGACAAGTACTATAGAAAAATCCATTCACCATGCCTAGCCAAATTGTCGCACCGATTCCGGTTACGCCACCGCGCAAGAGCGTCCGCCTTGGTTCTACCATGGATCTGTTCACCAGCCTGAATGCCACTCTTGAGTCGCAGAGCGTCAAGCAGTCTACCCCTATCCGTTCCATCCAAGAGCGTGACTGGGATGTCCCGGCTCCCCCGCCACCAAGCCCGGTCAGCTTCCATCCCGATCACTGGCAACATAGCATGCGCCACTGATTAGTGACTTGGGATGTGGTTGATACCGCACCTACATGAGAGATGCCCTTAGCATCACCATGCTTTCCGTCTTCATCTCTCTCTCCCTCTCAGTATTGGTAGCAAGGGGTTCGTCTGGTCTGGCATTTAGGAGTTAACGGGTGCGTAATAGCGAGGCACAAAGGGAAACAAGATAATCGGTCTACATAAAAGTCAAGGGTTATGGCGTGTGCATTTGGAAGGAGGACTCGGTCTTATGGGAGCATGCTGGTTTCGTGGCTTTACTCTGCGATGAATGTGACCTTCGTGTCTCTATTCAGCAGATGATTTTTACGTTCTGCTTGCCAAGGTCGCATCACCCTTTCCAGGTATGTCTGGTTGGGTCTGGTCCTGATTAAGGGATTGATACCGTTAGGTACCATAATTGAAATCACAACCTTTGGCATAAAACACGTGAAGCACTCATTCAGATAATGAGTCATCTTTCATCGTAAGACTGGTCAGTGACTACCTGACCCTTGGGGAAGATGATCCAAGTCGTCGGAAGCTCGGTTCCGTATGGTTGATATAGGTAGGTGTTTGATTAAGTAAGAGTGTTCCGAATATGATTGAAAGTATGGTAGCCCAATAAGACATCTGTGCCAAAATCAAAAATTAAGATGGACTATTCCGAATTTAGAAATTAAGAACAGTGCTACGAGTACGTGAAAAGAGTGGATCGTACTTAGAGAAGTCTATGGATAAGTAAATATCTCTATATACATATGTAGCTTACACAAGAAGTACATAAGCTACCATACTATTCTGTATGGTAGGCTAAGTACTGGCTCTATCCCTTTTTACTACATACCTAATAGCTTGCATGTACGATGCATTTATGATTTAAACGTGACTTTTATTATTAATACATGTAAGCGTAAAAGGCACTAAGCTACCTGTTACACATACTTCTTAGCCACATAAAGATCCCCTAGCCACATCTCCCTTAGCCACATTTATCACATTTCGTATTAATAATCTCAGGTTTAGCCTCTTATGTTGAATAACTTTCTGAAACATATAGCTACATATATGCAACCAAACCCAATTGAAAGCGCATTCAATTACGAATTGATTGATATAGGTCTCGAATTGAGGCGATACGTGGGTGCAAAGTTAATCAACTAAATAGGTGGCAGGCCGGAAGGCACGTGATCACCCCTAGAGCCATACTAAGAGCCCTTGGAGCCACGCTAGGAGCCCTTGGACTCTTGGAGCCGCACTGAGCCGCCTGGAGGTCACGCTAAGGGGTATCACGTGATTACATGACACACGATATATCTACCTAAATAACCTTTGAATCAGATATCGCACCATGATGCAACCCATACTAATTAATTCAAAATTAAATACGCTTTCAAGTGAAGTAGATTATATAATTATGGCTATATATTTCAGAAAACTATCCATATGAGAATATTATACAACCTTATATAGCCATGTCACATGACTAGGTCACATGACCATGCGGGTCTGTGCAAGTAAAAGATAAGATATTACTAAGAAAATACTATTCAATTATCCAGTATAACTAGCTAAAGTACCCATATACATGCCTTTCTTTGTTAAAAAGTGGGACTGCATACTAAATTCGGCATAGCTCAATCATTATTTTCATTTTGGCACAGCTGTCTTATTGGGCCACCGTAGAAAGGTAGGGATGTGCTCATCAAGATGGGGTTTTTAGTTTGGATTATTGAACTCGCTTAGTAATATGCGGTGCAGAATCATGAATACCAAACCCTACAAAACTTCACAAAAGTGTACTCGGGATTCGGGAATCACGTTAATGTATTACATTGAAGTAGATTGTGAATATACACAAGCTTGCATGTTTGTTGGCTATGAAAGATTGTTGCTGTTTGTTTTGGAAAAAAAAAAAAAAAAAAAAAAATCGACAAAGTCTTGGCATTGGAGGACTTACCCCAATTGAGCCAGGCCAAGCCCATTTATTTACGCGTCTCATTGGATTTGGAGACGCGTCTTGCCATATATTTTGAGAGTGGGGCTTCGCGTCTTCCCTACGCGTGGGTCGCGACTTGGGGCTCTTTCCCTGAATCTGTTCAAGCTAGTTCCTTAGGCCATATAATAATTTAGTCCCTTGATACTTCAATTGACCTGAGGTCTTTCTCTCCTATCTAATCTTCATTAATGCAACTTCACAATCATCACAATTACAATTACATAGGAACTGCTATCCTTTCTATGTCTTACATTGTTCTTACCTTTTCATCATCATAACACACAGTGCAAGAATAACTCTAACCAATTCATTGCCTATTTATCATACCTAAAAGTAAAACAACTTGGTCGTGATATCCCAATCCATCAATTCAACATGGCTGGTCCTGCAGTCAAGCAGCAACGCCGGAAGGCATCAGTCAAATCTAAGGTCACCACTTCCCAGCAACATGCATCCTCGAGTATCAGTAGCTTCGCCCGTGTCTCAAAGACCACAACCACGATCGACGTCAAGAAGGAGCAGCGTACCCAGATCACTACACCGAAGAAGGAACTCAACTTGAAGCCAATCACACCCGCCTCTCGAAAGCGTAAGGTGGTTGCGAGCGTTGAAGACGATACATCAGCAGACGAGACCCCGACTAAGTTTGTATTGCCTGCTGTAAAATCGGCAAGAAAAGTCGCCCAGCCTGTGAAACGTGGCCGTCCTTCGAAGAAGCCTCGTTCTACCGGGCCTGAGCCTTCCCCAAACAAGCGAGCACGAAGCCCCAGCGTTTCGGACTCAGAGGAGTCGGTGAATGCCGGCACACTTTTCAAGAGGTTACGATTGGAATCATCTCCATCCCGTTGCTCTTCTCCTCTTACTGCCGAAACCGCCCTTACCGACTCTGAAGTCGATATCGATCTTACCGCAAAGCCTGGACAACTTCCCAATGAGGTTCTAGCTCTGATCGATCTCCACTCTTCATTCCTAAAAACTCTGACACTACACTACGTCCACAATGGATCGAACGTGCCCGCGGACTTGCGCATCCTGTGCCCTAATGTGGCCCGAGCATGGGGCAAGAAGAAGGTGACGGATGCGGATATTCGAATTTGTCTAGGTGTTCTCAACCTTGCCTCAAGCAACGCATCTCAGATTCAGGACAAACCCCTATTCACGCTTTCGAACTATGGACGCGGCAAAATCTGCGTGGAAACCGACTCTGCCCAACACGGTTCTCGATGTCCGCTAAACGAGAAGAAGCTTAACGGTCTATTCCACGATAACTTGATGACTCTGTGGTCCCAATTCATAACTGCAAACAATGGCGAAGCGAATCCTGCTACGTTCACCAGCACGCTACCCAAGGCCCCAGTTACCCTTTGCGCATCGCTCGCCAAGGCTGCGCCCGTCCTATTAAAGGGCCAAAAACGACTCGAGGAACTGAAGCACGGCATTGCGATCAAGAAGCAGGAGAAGGAAGCCAAGATCACCGCGAACAAATTGCAACAACAAAAACCTCAGGGCAGCGATGCCCCAGCTACGACAACAGCCACCGATGCCCCGAAGATGAGCCTTCTCGACCGCATCCGCCTAAAGTCCCTCCAGAAAGCCTCCGCACCAGCAGGCCTCACACCAGCCCAACTGGAGCGCCGCGCCGCCTTGCAGCGTGCCCCTGAGGTCGCGGCCCTCCTCGGCATGCTGAGCCGCGCCGGCGGCCAAGGTGGTAGCCGTGTATCCTTCACAATGGCGGCGACGCTGATCAAGCTCAAGGACTCCTTTCGCATGGGAATCTCGCGCGAGGAGGGCGCCGTGTGCGTGCGGCTGCTCGCGGCGGAGGTGGCGCCGGAATGGGTGCGTGTCATTACGATTGGGGGAAGGGAGAATGTGGTTATTGAGGTGGATCGGGAGGTTAGTAGGAACGAGGTCGAGGGGAGGGTTAGGGGGTTGTTGGAGAGAGAGTAGAGTAGAGGATGTGGTGGATGTGTAGAGAGGAAGAAAGGGTGTGGAATTTGGTGGAAAGGGGGAGAGGAGGTGGAAGATAGAAGGCGGGTTTGCCTGGTTGATTTTTACATGCATTGCATTGCGTTGCGTTGCGTTATGTTTCGACGCTTTTACATGCATCATTACTCACTCTATCGGTTGCGTTTGCGTTTACGTTTACGGTTTATTCTACCATCGATGGATAGATGGATATGGGTGGCATGGCTGGATATACCATTTCCCCATTCCCCACTCGCTTTCGTTGCATTATTGTATTGCGCGCCACGGTGCGCTGGTTAGGTACCTACGTGGAAGGGGGAAATTCGAAAGCATCCATGGATAGAATGGCGAGACGAGTTACTTCATGCTTGCTTAGTGCTCATGGGACATACGAGTCAGTTAGTCAGTCGTTCAGTCGGTGTTGGCTGGTTAGTTAGGTAGATGGTCAGTTACTAGGTACTCTAGGTAGTTAGTTGGCTGGATCGTTAATACAAGACAATACAATACAATACAATACAGAAACATGGGAAAGATACCTAACCTTAGGTAGGAAAGACGTTTATGCATGTGTTTTAGAGTGAAGGGAGAGAAAGATACTAGGTGTTTAGATGTCTAGGTAGGTACGTAGATAAGTAGGCAGGCAGACAGACATCCGCAGACATATCTAGGTTACCTAGGCAGGGTAGGCATAGTTAGACAGACAATGCAGAGCTGAGCTGCTGGTGTAGTGCGTGATAGGTATGCATGTTTTGTCTAACCTACATGTAGATATTCCTGTCTGATATGGTACCTACCTACCTAACCTAGGCAATGAAAGGGACTACACAGTCTACACTACAATACGATCGATAGGTACCTACCTAGATGGATGGTAAAATGTATGTACTAGGTATAAGACTACTTACTTACTACCAGTTCTTACCCAAGCTTAAGTTTTGTAGGTTAGGTTAGGTTAGGTTAGGTTATAGCACGTTACGTTGCTCATAGTGATAAACATTGAGCTCGCCTCGTTTTGTATATCATATCATATCATCTTGAACTGAGCTGTGCAGACATGCTTTCTTTTCACTCTGGTTTCTTTTTCTTTGGGTATATGGCAGTCGGATGCATAGAGGGAGGGAGGGAGGGAGGTAGGGAAGTTTTGGAAAATCAGAATGCATGAATATTGGTTTTTTTTTCTTGCCACAAGTGGTTGGTTTCCCATCCTTCTTTTCCCCTATCGTGGTTGGCCTGTCGGCCTGTCTTTTTCACTTTATCATACACTATTTGGTGTTAATGGTTGCTTTTCTTGGCCATTACGGTAACTAGGTATCGCCCTGTCTGAGTCTAAGCTTGTCGAGCTATCGTAGAAGCCCCCCCTTCCTTCTCTCTTCCCCTCTGCTTCATCTCTTTTTCTGGGTATAGTCAGGTGTCCTGCCCTACGTGTACCTAGCTACCTAGGTAGATAAGTCAAGCTTGAGCATCCAGATAGGTACCTTTCCTACCTACCCAGGTACTTCACTACTATCCTGGGTAGGCAGACATTTGTTTTCTTTAATTTACGGTAGGCAATTTATTTCTTGGGCTTGAACTTAGGCTCGCCGATGCCGGTGCCGCGCAGCTTGACGTTGAGGACGCGCTCCATGGAGCTGAGGACCTTCTGGTCGGGGGTGGCGGTGCCGCGCTCGAAGTCGGCGACGACGGAGGGCGTCGTGTTGCAGCGGGTCGCCAGGTCCTTCTGCGTCATCTTGGGCTCCATCTTCTGCCGCGCCTGGCTGATGACGTCCCCGACTTCTTTGCCGACCGTGTTCGGCTTGATGATGTCGTCGCTGCGGTCGACCTTGGTCAGACGCTGGCCTTCGGGCCCTTTGCCGACCTGTGTTTTTGGTGGTTGGTTAGTTATAGGTGGGTGGGGGCTCAAGTGTGAGGCTAGGTGGAAATTGGCCAGTCTGTCATTTTTTTGTGACGTAGGGGCTAAGATGTACCAGGGGATGGAGATGGGGAGAAACTTACAGTATTGGGAGTAGCAAACTTCTTCTCTGCTGCGATAGCATTACCAGAACGCTTGGCGGCGTTCAGGGCGGCACTTCCTCGCACGACAGTCTCGCGCTCTGATGCGCCGCCGCGAGCCCTGCTTCCAATCTTGGTAACCGAGTTCCAATCATCAGACATTGTGTATGAATTTAGAGGGGTCGAATTGGTTATGTGTTTTTGATGATAAGACGTAAGGTTGACAAGCTTCGTGGTTGATGACGGTGTTGATGTTGGAGATATGTATTTATAGTACGTACTTTAAGGTGAGAGGTGAAAGAGGTTGAAGTTAAAAGCGCTCGTTTTTTGCTGATGTTATACGAAATAAGAACGGTTTTGGGCGGTGGAAGGCAAAGGAATGATGGTGAAGAAAGTGGGCTGAAAGCGGAGCCTTAATAAAGTGCCCGCTGAGTCAATCGGCGGGGGAAAAATAGTTAGTAACTACTAGTTATGTAAGGTTCAATGTTGCATATCTAACTAACCCTAGCCACTGTGCACCTTTTTAACTCCGATGTGATGAGGCTTATGAGTGGCGAAGTTGGTTCTGATTGATCAATCAATGATGATTATGTACATACATACCTTAAGGTTACTAGGTAGTTGCTAGGTAGGGTAATAGCTCAATGTTGATAGGTGAATCATTCGATGTTCAAGCTTCCAACTTCAACTTCCTTTTCTTGTGATTGCCAAAACATCGCCACTCTCATGCCAACATCTCGTTTTTTTTTAAACATACAGGAATGACAGCGGGAGTTTGCAGGAGTTCACAGGATTTTAATCGGCTCGCAGCATCCTACCACGTTATTTGATGTCTACCGGATAGATATATCAATCTCGGCATGTTCATGCACGCTGCCGCTTTGCGAATAGCCGCATTATTTTATTATTTTATTTTTGGAACACTTGGAGATGTAGAGCTTCTTGTTGTTTGTTTCCTTTGGCGTACAGATTTTTCGCTTTCCTCATATCTTGAGTCTAGCTTTTATGCCCCGTTTGTGCCGCTGTGTGTGGCAGGCTCATGTGCTGTGGCCTATTACAGATATACACGCCATGTTGGCCATGGAGTAAACGAGGCGCCAACATGGGAGGGCCCGGCACGGCCTTTGTTGTTACCTTGCCGTACAACTCATTCTAGGCTTTTCCCAAAGAAACACTCCTTCTCCTATTCCTATCTCTTAGTTGGGATTCCCGTCAATTGGACTGGTGTTGCAGGCAGCATGATATCTCACAACAGCGATGCGAAAGGCTGGTACCATATTGACGCTGCGGACTATCTTGAAAGGGGTAACGGTAAGCTTGGTCTAAGGGGTAAATTGGATGCTTACCTAGACTCACAAGTACGTCAAATATGTGTCTGCTTGAGAGAAACCAAGCTAATATGACTTAGGGCGTTGATGCTTCCAAATACCCATATGCGTATTTGGCTACTGCCGCCAAATTTCTGGGTTACCATTTTAATCCCGTTTCTTTCTGGTATCTCTATTCTGCCGAAAAGCGATTAACAGCAATGATTCTTGAAGTTAATAACACGTTTGACGAAAGACGGATGTATTTTCTAACGACTGATGACGACGCGAAATGCTCAATAGAGGCTCCTGAAACTAACGCCACCTCTGGAGTCTCTCAAGCTTCAAAGCCACTGAGGCAAACTTGGCAAAAGGACTTTCACGTATCCCCTTTCAATTCTAGAAAAGGTGCATACTCACTCATAGCCCACGACCCTCTACTCCCAGAGATGGAAGGCCGAGGCCCAATTAATCATACGATCAACTTAATATCTTCCAAAAATAATGCGAAGCTGGTCACCCGCATTTTCTCTGATGGCGATGCCATGGATCCTACGGAGATGACCTTGGCTCAAAAAGCCAGGTTCTTGGCCTCATGGTGGTGGGTGGGTTTCGTCACCTTCCCACGGATCGTGAAAGAAGCCGCCCTCTTGTTTTTTAAACGAACACTCCACGTATGGTATCGGCCCGAACCACTGAAGACGAGCATTGGTAGACACGCCGATAAGATCGAATCTCAACTCGAGCCGCTGTTCAGAAGTTACTTAAAGCACCTGGTAGAGCAGTCATCCGAGTCGCTCGTGCTGAAATACACTCCAAGTGGCGGCATCGCGGACGCGCCCGTAGAGATCATAAGATCAGCCTCGGCTCAAAAGGATCCCACACGTGCCGAAGAGGTCGAGTTCAAGGTCTTGACACCTGTGTTCTACTCGAGATTTGTGTATTATGCCCATGATTTCGAGGCCATGTTTTGTGAGCTCAACGAAAGCAACACAATATCAGTATCGAAACCAGAATTATTGCCAAAGCTTGTCATTAAGAAGCAACCGCCTCCCTTGCTTCAAACCACGAGCTATTTGGATTATGCTTATTTTACGGCAATAAAGAACTTGAGAAAGAGACCTGAACGAATTGAACGACCAATGACTTCTAGTCAGACCAGTACTGCTCGTTCCCAGGAAGACATTAGGGGCTTTCGGCTTTCGGCCATGGATGGATATGTCCTTGGTTGTGAAGACAATAAGCTGAGACGAGTCTACAGGAATTCTGTTCTGAAGCTGTTCATCGCTGATAGAATTGCCATGGGTAGTGTCGATGTACTAGATCTTGAACATTGGGTTTTCAGGCTGTTGCTAGCTTGGTTTGTAGTATTTTGACGAAGACAGAACCAAGGCTTAATAGTTGATAGAAACAAGAAATCAATCCCAACACTCAGATACGGACCGAGTCTAGGAGAGTATCACCGAGTTACGTCGGAATATACTCGACCCACATAAGTTTGGTTTTCAAATATCAAGGATACTCAGGCTGTATTTGGAATTCCATGGCCAATTTGAGATGTCAAGAGACACAGTGGAGTTGGATTGACAGTAAACCCGCATAACCCGCACAACCCGAGAAGCGGTTGTAGTGTTTGATTAGCATTAAGATGCAGCCGAATCGATATAACGCCGGCTAGATTGGTTCACTAATCTAGTTAATAGGGAGCGAGATAGATAATCCCCGAAGTCTTATGCGAACGGACTTAGGTAGAAGCGGCGAATATTCATAGGATTCGGCGCGGCTATACTAGGTAGTTAGAGGTATGTAGAGAACGGCAGGGCAAGTATTCCAAATACCAAGAGCCACTCAGCATCGGCACCTCCACTTCGGAAGCTAATCAAACATTCGGGTCCTAGTACAATAGGAGGTTGGTGGCTTCGACCGGCGGAGCTAAGACTAGGATCTTTGACAAATACCTCTTCTATCTAACAGTTTGAGCAGTTTTTTTATGTATCACAAACAATGAAATGTTATGGATCCGATCCTGATGTCTCACATAAGTCTTGAAAGCGGAGTCCGGGTGTATACATGATAACAATCTGTATGGTTATGGCCCCCATTACAGATCAATAGCACTGACTCGAACCTCTACTATGTAACACGTAAGTAAGCTGAGCAATAGGATGCATTAATACCCCGCCAACAATCCCTTGGAAGCTATCGACCCCACTGTCAAGGAAGCTCCCAGTGAAGTTAACAGACTTTTCTGTACGCCCTTTTATTTCTATCGGTAACACCTGTGACATGGCTTCGTATTGTAAAGATTCCCCGCAGGTAAAAACAATGAAATCAGAAGCAAGGAGAAAGGGGGGAAAGATGGTACATACAAGTAGTAGGGCTTATCGAGCCAATAGAGCTAGGGAGCTGCTCGAGTTTGATCAGCCCCAAGCTATGTCATAGATCCGACGAAGCAGTATCGTGCATAGGTGCACTTTTGATTTGGTACCTTTTTTTTCGACTTCAATCGCTTCCCCTCACATCCTAGTAGTAATCAGTCTCGGTATATAAAAGAGAACTATTAATCCTCGCTTGTTTCTTACCATTCAAACTCTTGTTCTCCGTCACACCAACAAACTTCAAGGCATAACAAACATAACATAAAATAACATACCTGAATATATATATATTAGCATTTAGCTCCAGAACCGAAAATAATCCTCCATCCACCATGGGTCTTTCCGGTCACTGCCTTTGCGGCGCCGTTAAGTACACCGTCGATGCCGAGCCTATCATCGTCGGCTACGACCACTGCGACGACTGCCAGCGCCAGTCGGGCTCGACATATTGTACGTTTCTCCCCTTTTGCACAGATATAAAAACCCGTACCTTGTATATATATATATATATATATCTCCCTTACGACTTAACATCCATCCATCCAACCCACCCAAGAAGCAAAGTCTAACACAACTTACGAAAAAAAAAAAAACAGCCCTCGTAGTCGTCGTCCCCAAGGACAAGCTGACCATCACGGGCACGACCAAGAGCTTCGCCAAGAACGGCACCTCGGGCCAGCCCGTCCACCGCATCTTCTGCCCCGAGTGCGGGTCGCCCATCGCCCACGACCCCGAGGCCGCGCCGCCCATCATCGCGCTCAAGGGCGGCACGCTTAGCGAGGCGGACAAGAAGGCTTTGAAGCCTGTGGGTTTTTTTTTTTCCCCTTTCGTTTCTGTCGTTTTGTCCTCGTTGTTCTTTTTCCTTCGTTTTCTTTGGGGGACTGGGGAAGAAGAGGGGCAGTGGTGGAGGGAGAAGGGGGGAGAAGCGTGTATGTATGTGTTCGTGTGCTAATGGGGATTTTAAATAACAGGACACCGAGATCTGGACTGCCGGCAAGCTGCCCTTCTGCCAGGAACACCTCGCCAAGCCGTTCGAGCATATGCCCCAGTGAGGGATTGAGCATTAAAGCTAGGAGGGGAAAATAAAAAAAAGAATAAAAAGAATAAAGGAGACTTGGGTGGAATACCGTTCAGATGGATATAAACCGAGCCAAGGCAGTTTGCGGAAGCTGAGAATAGGAGATAGGATGATGGTATGGTATTGTGGTCATCACTTGATAAATAGCCAGCCTACCTGGGTACCTATTTACCTGCAATATCACATCTCTTTCCAAGTTAACTACCTTGAGATAGGTTTTTCGTCGGACGTGCGTAGTATATAGACAGTTGTCCCGCGTGTTTCCGAACCATCGACCCAGTATCAAAGACGTCGTTGTTCCTCGCCCAAGTAACTCGCGGCTGGAGTAGGTATCTGTGACAATGGGACACCCGGCACCAAACTTGCTTCGCAGTCATGTGCCAGAAACGGATGTCTGGTTGAGGCCGGCAGGTAGCTCACCCTTCCTCTTGATGATGAGGTGACGTCGGAAATTCCACACCCACACGTGGCCTCCTCCGCCGCCGCACCCCGGGGATGCAAAACTAACGCAGGCACGCCTGCCGAGCCGCGTGGGAGGAGGGGTGGGATCGTTGCTCGTACCATGTTCTACTGCTAAGGGAAGTAGGTAGGTGTCTATATATTAGCACTTTTGCCTGCACTAGGTAGCTAGGCATTGATTGGCCACACGACGATCGAAAAGGGGGGATTCTGGCCACCAGGGTTCTTGATTGTCCATCAAGGTACATAGGTATGCAGAGGGATGTCTGCAATGTGCACTCCTAGGTACTAGGGGTATACTGGGTGGTAGAAGGGGATGGCGTATATAGGTACCTAGGTTGGCGAAGTATAGAGGTGAGCGTCATTACAGTAATACATAATAACATGCCTGCCCATCTACCGGGGAGGGTGGGAGGGAACGTACTATATTGCGCCATCATGCAAGGAGGCATTTTGCCGGGCGTAAATATATTACCTGCCTACCTGCCTTAAGCACGGCAATATAGTGTGGTGTGTGCCTGGGCAAGTAGGTAGGTAGGTAGGTACTGTGTTTAGGAGAACGTGTCCCTCGCAAGCAGTGTTGCATGAACATATTATTATCCGATGTGCTTATACCCTAACCTAGGTAGGTAGGCACACGGTGTTGACCAACTGCGACATAGAGATAGATACCTAGGTTAGGTGATTGTCCTTCAGAGAGCAACAGATAGCACACACCAGCCGTCACCAAGAACACCCCCTTTTCCACACCCGTCGGTACTCGAGCTCGAGGTCGGCAGTGTTCGGCTCCGGACCCCTAACCGGCGACACCCCCTTGCATTCCCGTGGTCACACCCGGGTCCTCGGGACCCGCGCCCAGTCGACCCCGGATATCAGCATCCCGCAAGCTGCCGGGGAAGCAATTTCTGTTCCGCTCGAACAGCCGAGCTGCCCAGCAACGGACATAGCTCCATGCGCATATGAGTCGAGTGCGGCGGAGGGATTACCCGTGCTGCCTAGTTCCTACATAGGTATCCATGATCCCCTGTGATATAGTGTAAGATAGTGATGGCAGGGGTACAAGTACTAGATAGAGAGGCAGAGCAGCTCCTTCTGTGCCTAGGCAGTAGGCAGTAGGTAGGTCGATATATAAATCTACCTAATCCTATATGCGACGTGCCTCTCACTCCCAAGCTTCTAATCGCCAACCAATACCTACCCCCAAATCCTCATCGCACCATCTAGTCTCTCCTATCACGCCATACGCAAAGAACAACTAGGTACCTATCCACCTATTTCACCTTTCACCTTTCACCCTGCCTCTTCCAGTTACGTCCCGCCCTCTCTAAAAGGGAAATCCAAAAAAAAGTTCATGAGATGTCGCTGTTGATATATGTAACACCAGTACCTAAAATATGGTATGCATGTATGTAGGTATGTATGCACGTATATACTAGCACTACACCAACATCAACTACCTACCCACCACCTCACCTACCTCCCTCCCTCCTACCTACCTATTAACCCAACCAATTAAAACCAGGAGGACATTGAATCTCCAAATATACTCTACCTACCTACATCCGCTCTCCAAACTCCGATGTCCTCAACTTCCACACATGCACATAGCCTACCTTGGTATGTATATACTAAGTAGTAATCTACCAACCTATGTACAAGTAGTAATTTAACCTAACATTAACAATAACAATAACCAAAACCAAGACCCCCTTTAAAAAAAAAAAAAAAAAAAAAAAAAAAAAAAAAAAGGCCCCCCCGAGCCTCTGTAGCGGGGTTATTTAGTTAGCTAAGCTAGTGCATACATACAATGTCATACATACATACATACCTAGGTTAGATAGATCGTAAAAGGTTCGTATAACTAGTTACTAGCCAGCCGTAACTGTACCTACTGTTACGCTTGCCGAACCAAGCGACTCCGACACCTCCGACAGACAGCAGCAAAGCGGAGAACGAGCACTACACTACCGTAGGTAGGTACATAAAGCTAGCGTCACGTCCCGTCAACGATTTATACCTACATAAGTAAGTTACCAACCAAACTTCCTTAATCTGCAAAGCCGCTCATACTCATATATACTAGGTAGTTTATCTACCCACATGAACATAAATAGGTTGTTGTATAAAAGCTAACCTTGGAGCATTGCACGAGTTAACGGTTTACATACTTATTTTAGGTATCTATATACATCTCTTCGTTGAAGAAGTCAGGATTTGAAACTACGAGTTTTAGCTTAACAACGAGATAGTTGACTGAAGGAAAAAAAAAAAGAAAAAAAGAAAACGAGAAGAAAATCATGGCACCTGTAGGCATAGCGATTATCGGCGGAGGCATCTTCGTCAAGGAGCAGCATATTGTGAGTATTCATTTCTATAATCTGCCATCTGCCTACCCACCCGGGTGCTCAGTAGATATCCATTCCGGATACAAGTGCACGGCGTCCGGAGCTCCCGTCCTGGCAGCAAACCGGACAATGGCTACCTGCGCGACAGGATGGCGAGATCCGCACCGTCCTCCTTACGCGCTGCAAGCAAGCTAACACAGACCCAGCCCGCCGCTCTAGCCACCCCCCTCCTCTCCATCAAGGCGATCTGGTCGCGCTCGCTCAAGACGGCCTCGGACGCCGCGAAGCTGATCCCGGGCAACACGGGGTCCGTGGACCTGTACGCGACGGACGCCGGCGCGGGCAGGGCATACTCGGACCTGCTGCAGCGGCCGGACATCGGGGGTCTGATCATCGCGCTGCCGATCATGGACCAGGGGGCGTACATCGAGCAGGCGCTGGCGGCGGGCAAGCACGTGCTGGCGGAGAAGCCGATCGCCAAGGACGTGGCGTCGGCGCTGAGGCTGGTCGAGTACTACCAGCGGGTGTCGGCCGAGACCAACGCGTCGCTCGCCATCGCCGAGAACTTCCGCTTCCACGAGAGCTGGCCGTACGCCGCCGCCGAGATAAAGAAGCTCGGGAAGGTCACGGGCTTCGTCGTGCGCCTGCACTCCATGATGGAGAAGACCAGCAAGTGGTACCTGACGCCGTGGCGCACGAACCCAGAGTACCAGGGCGGCTTTCACCTCGATGGCGGAGTGCACTTCACGGCCGCGTTTCGGAAGATGCTCGGCAGTGAGAATACCGTCGAGAGCTTGATCGCGCAGACCTCCTTGGTCTCGCCCCATCTAGCCCCGGTGGACTCCATCAACGCGGTGATGAAGACCAAGTCCGGGGTGGTGGGGTCGTACATCGCCTCGGTAGGGACTACGATGAGGGCTTTCGAGTTCCACATCGCATGCGAAGAAGGCGTGGTGAAAGCTGAGTCGGACAAGGTGGTCACGACCCGAGGGATTGGAGAGCAGGCCGTGACGGAGGAAAAGACGTGGGAGAGGACCAGCGGAGTCAAGGAGGAAGTGAAAGCTTGGGCCGAGTCGATCCTGTCGGGGATACCTAATCCTGCCCAAGCGCCGGAGTTGGCCCTTGCAGACTTGGAGTTGATGGAGAAGATGCTGGTGAGCGGAGAACTTGACGGGGCGCGCCAGAAATTAGAGTATCAACATTACGTATAAGTAGCTGTAGCTGTAGCTGTAGCAGCAGTATAGGTGATATATCCATGATTGTTATCATTATTATTATTACAATTTGCTGGAATCTGGATATTCCACAAGCAACTTTTGTAGTCCTTGTCGTAATTGCGTATTCATCCCGTTGGTATTTGGCCGTTGGGTCTCTCGGTCTACGAACACGTGAACAAACTCGCCAATAGCCTTGACTTGTTCAACATCTTTCTCGAACAAGGCGATCTCGTAAACGACACTGGATTTCCCCAGCTTGTTTACGCGCAAGCAAAGTTCGGCTACCTTGGGGTAGGAGATGGCCGCGAAGTAATCACAATGCGTGCTGGCCATCAAGGGGTGCTGGGCTGAAGTAGGCGGATGCAGACCGCAATGGTCCATCAAGTAAGAGTTGATTACAGAATCAAAGCTAGGTAGAGCGTATGAGAGACGTTAGACACAAGTGTCTATCCCCGTGAAGATCTTAGGGGTACAGTGGGAGTTACGAACAGGAAGTTGTAGACCGAGTTGTTCATGTGATCGTACATGTCATTATCATTCCTAAAGGATCAAGTATCAACAGTCAGACATCTTAGACTAGGAGTACCTGGTATTGAAGCTACATATACCATGCAGGTACCATGCAGGCACCATACAAATAGGAGGCACGAGTAGAAGTGAACAATAGGAGAGACTGGAGAGCGCACCATCGTGTCCGATATTCTAACATGAAAGGGTAGTCATTCCGACTTCTATTTCGAAGATCTTTGCTTGGAGCCATGATTCGGGCTATTCAAGCTGTCCGTAAATCCGTGCGTAAATCCGGTTCGGTATATCTCGTAAATAGTGCGAGTACGAGCACGGAGATGAATTGGTAGGAGTTGTAGTAATGAAGAATAAATGGAACCTTGAAGTTCAAATTGTCGAATTGTCGAATTGTCGGATTGTCGAATTAGGTGTGGTGAAATCCGAGGATCGCTTTTGTTATGTAAGCAGCCAGATGATTATCAATCTTATCGATCTAATCACATAAGCCATGTTTTATCTTCAGTACATACATATCTATCTTAGGTACATAACTTACCCATAGATAGTCCTATTAAACCCGACATCTCACAAAGTCCGTTGATAAATCCAACATTCCAACCTTGATCTATATCACCACTGCAACAGTACCATCACCAAAAAAACCGCTAATTCCCGGGGCCTGGACTCCTCGGATGGGTCTTGCAGTCTCTCCGTCATAGTGATGAGGCGCGTGCACATAACTACATCGTGAAGAAGAATAAAACCAAAAAAAAAGGGGGAAGCATCGCATTCAGACCTTACCTACCTTAGCCACGCCGTTGGGCATGAAGGAATCCGATTGGCTGCGATTCCGCTGGAGAACGTGCAGCGAAGCTGTGCACGTCCCCGTCACGGAGCTCTGTTTTCCAGAAGCGCGGCTTAAGCTGTTTAAGGAAATCGTGTAGAAGGAGGAAGAAAGCTGCGATGCTGCCCTCCTCTAGTTAGAGGTTACTGTAGATAGATAGATTGGCTTCTCGCCATGGTTGCATGCATTAACAACCTTACGTATACTTTTACTCGTGCTTAACATACCTACAGTTTAACTAACCTGGCAACCTATAACACGCCGGACTATATATCATGCCTGCCTGCCTTAACTGCGTAGGTATTATAGCACACCTTATCTCGACAATGTGAGGCTGTCCCGTCCAGCAGTGCAACGCAACGGTATGGTTGACCTACCTACCTATCCATGTGCGTGCCTACAGGATGTACGATACTGTAGATGCAAGTAGGTATCTAGGTATGTAATGTAAAAAGTTGCGTCCACGCGCCCACGCGCCGCATGACACGGTGCAGCGGAGTAGATTTCCAATCGCAGCTATACCTACAACCTTGATTTTGTTTTTTTCAACACTTTTTCCACGTTTTTTGTTTTTGTGTCTTCTTCCCATTCTACTACCTACCCTTCCCCCTTCTTGGCTTTGGCTTTGATACCGAACGAACCGAAGCCCTCCCTTTGTATTGTATTGGATTTTACATAACTACATCGCTTAGGCGGTTTACCGACCGGACCGGACCTAACCCAACCCAGTTAATCCCAGAACCTGCTTCGCTTGCTTGCTTGCTTGCTTGTCTGAGTGCCCTGCTGCTGGCCTGGCCGGCCTGTCTGCCCCGCGATAATAGTGTAGAACTTCTGCGCGGCCCGTCATCCGCCATTCGGCCCTTCCATCCACCATCAGCCCATGATTTACATACTACCTCGCTCAGTACTTAGCTTAGTACACACACATAGGTAATACGTAGGTACACTATATTATCTACATAGCCCATATGTATGTATTGTATTGTACCATCCTAGAATCTGAATCGCTCATGGCAAGGTCCCCTATCCTATCCTACCCATACAACAACCCCTGCCCCTGCCCCTGCCCCTTACCCCAGACTCACCCCTCACCCCTACCTTACTGGATATAAGTAATTGTACCAGTCTTCACCCCGCTAAGCCATCAGGGGTCGAAGGGGCAGAGGCGCACACATACGTACATAACTCTACATAATACCGAGTAACTAGTTATGTGTGGGGTTATGTTATGAAGAGTTAAGATCGATAGCCATAGCCATAGCCATAGCCATAGGTAGCCACATACCATACGTATGTACCTACATACCTATGTAGTTAATATGTAACTATCTAACAAAAGAAAACCTGTCCATGATACTCCGTCCCCCTACCCCCACCGGAACCTATCAATTTAGAGAAACGCCAACGCGAAAAAAAAAAAAAAAGAACACTAGATTACCACGATGACGTCCCAAGGGTCCCGGACTTGGTTCCGTTTCGTAGGGCTATGTATGTACATACCTAGTATGTATGCCATGTATTGTACAGTACTAGGTTAGGTACCTACCAAGTAGGTATGTAACCTTGGAACTATCCAACCAGTAAGAGTATTGTACAATAACTACATAGTTACCATTTTGCGAAAAAAAAAAAAAAATGTGACGATCTCGCAAAGGTATGTACAATACATGTCGTTCTTGATCTACCTATACTATAGTAGCCTAACCTAGAGGCTAGATAGGTAGGTAATAGGTATATATACAGTTAGGTATTGTACCTTACTAGTAGTTAGTACTGAACCACAAAGATACGATACATGCATACACCACTCAGGGGCATCAAACCCTCCGCGTATCAGACGCAACCTAACCTAGGTACCTAGACAGAAGACCCCCCAACCCCAACCCCCAAAGCAAAAGAAAAAAAGAAAGAAAATAAAATAAAATAACATAACATAAAGCACAGCGAATAGTTAGGTAGTTGTATCAGCGTCTCAATAATAATCATAATAATAATAATATACATTTACATATTTACCAGTGTGCTTCTCTACTAATTACCTACCTACCTAAGTAGATACCTACCCAGGCAGGCATGATGTAGAGGTCCGATATTGACATATACCTATAACAGTTCTGTATGTATGTACCACCTGATATTTCCCTCTTCCCTATTCCTTATCCCTTCCATAGGTACCTACCTATTAGATAGGTAGTTAACTATTCCCTTTCCCATTTCCTTCCTTCCTTCATATCCCATAACCCATAATATCCCGTTTAGGTACCTTCCAGGTAAGTGTTTCCCCCCCCTTAAAGCCCATATATATATAAATACAATTCGATACCGTAGGTACATTCGCGGTGTCCCGGCTCTCGTGATAATGATGTCGATGTCGATGTCGATGTCGATGTCGATGATGTACATACGTGTAATAATCCCATATCCACAGATGACCGTCGTGAAAAAAAAAACAAAAAGGCAATTCGCTCGATAAGGGGGCGTAAGGGCGTCAACGTAAAGTATAGGTAGGGTAGGGTAGGATAGGGTAGGTACCTAGGCAATGTACCCAGGAGGTTGTAAAACGAATCCGGAGATCTACCCGAGTAAGGCATGGAGATCATATGCCATCCATCCCTCCGTCCATCCCCACCATGCTCCTACTATTTTTAAACCATCGCTTTAACTACCTACCCATCCAACGTCAATGCCACCGTAAAAACCCCAAGACGCGCGTACCATCTACGTATTATGTAGGTAGGCCAGGTACAATCCGCGACTTTCGCACCTCACCCCTGCACCCCCGTGAGGAAGAAGTCAATCTCCTTGCCTTGCCCGATGACATGCTCGTTCTCCGCCAGCTGCTCGAGCAGGCACAGGAACGGGTCTTTTTCTTCTCCTGGCCCAGCAGCGCCGGGGCTGTGGTTGTTGTTGTTGTTCTGATACCCCGCCCCCGCTGCTGCCCTGGGGCTCAGTCCTGCGTTGTGCGTTTGTTGTTTGCGATGATTCTGCTGATGATGATGATCCTCATCTCCGCCGTGCCAGGCTGCGGGAGAGGAAAACGTATTCGTAGGTACCGTGCCGAACATGGGGTCGTAGCTGGCCACACCAAGATTGCTTTCGTCATCCGGACTGGGTGTTGCGTACTGGTATGATGCCGAGGGGAAGGTCCCAGCCGACATCGTATCAATGTGTTGCTGAGTCTGCTGGCGAGACATGGACTCGAACCCCGCCGTAGTAGCTGCGACGGCAGCAGCAGCATTGGCAGCTTGGTCATCCAACGATGCTGACCTCCGTTGCACCATTCGACCAGTACCTTCTGACATATTCTGAGTAGCACAAGCCTGTGAGTCAGTTGTTCGTAGTATTGGCGACGGATGAGGGGCTGCTGTAAACGTGAATTGTTGAGAATGGCCACCGGGAGTAGGTAGCCCGGTAGTCACAGTACCGTTATTGCCTATAGTTACCGGCGTCAGACTCCTAAAGCTAGGCCGTCTTTGCGAAAACTCGCTTGCTATTTTCCGTTTTAGGCTTGACCGTTCCGTATCTGTGTTATAGCGAGGATATGAACTAGGCACCGTGTAGCTTTCCGTTGAGATACTGACGAGATCATCTGATAAATTTATGGCCACTGCATCAAATGTGAACAGACGGCTACCTGGTCTGGCGGAGTTTGAATAACGATCGAAGAAGTCTTCCAGATTGAAGGCCGGAGAATAACGCATCGAATTATTCGCAAGGCCTTTGACAAGCTCGGCATGTGCATTGTAGACACTCTGCAAAGTATCACGTTGATGCTGTACGGTGGCCCATGAGTAGCTGAGTTCGGTTAATTGTTGAAGCTCCCGGGATAGAAATTCGGATGAGGAGGAGAATACGCCCATCGCCTCTCCAACTCCGTTCTTATTATAGTGTGCCCCATGTATGTGGACTGTTCCGGCAGTGGCTATACAATAACCGACGAAGGCAGGCCACTCAATGCATGCCATTTGCTTTCCAAGTTCGACCAGTTCAGCAATGGCATTGGCATGGAGGAAACATATATTGGTGGCTTCTATTTGCCAAGACTGATGCTGACCTGTACCAGATAACTCGGCAAGGTCGATAGGGAGGAAAGGCCTATACACCAGACAGTGTATTAAATGATATACGAGCTTGCTGAGAACCAGCACGGTCGAATCAGACTGACCAAACAAGGTATCAACGCTTGAGAAGACATCATCAGTGCCGGAAGCCCATACGTCGAGGTCTTGTCTGATCTTGGATAATTCAGAGAGTGAATGCCATGGGAAATGAGAGTCGCCTTTGACTCCACCTGCCGCCAGGTATCTGTTCGTCGTTCCTAGGATGCGAGTAATGTCGATGAGCATGCCGGTACTTCCTTGTGACTTTCTACCACTCCCTTGTACATGCTGAAGGTTCGAGCCATTTTGAAAGAAATCTCCCTCAACCGGAATAGAGGAGGGGCTTGAAGTCCAACATGGTAAACGTAGAAGGATCATCCTATCACTAATGAGACAGGGGCGTTTTGAGCCACAGGCCATAAATCTGTCAAGCAGATAACACGTCCAGAATAAGCGTCTCCTCGTTTCTCGCTCTACAGTAGTTATCTGCACCTGTAAATTGACCTCTCGATGTAACTCGAGGGCCATGGCCATACCAATGGCGTTCGCTACACGAGGTGGTCAGTAACTGACATCATACCTCGTAGTGGTATACTGAATACCAAGATATTGAATGTTAGATACGTACTTAAGAGCATATAAGCCTTTTTGCCGTTGTTGGCAGCGGTGAAGGCAGTGACAAGGAGCAGCAGGGCTTGAAGTGCATCAATGGAAGGCTCATCTATATCAATCTCACCCCTTGATCTTGATGCATACTCTTCGCTCTGTTTGACTGCAGACTGATAGCCTGCGGGATGGGGGGTGCATCTAATACGTAAAACTTTAGTACCTTCCACATCTGGACCGTATGAGGGGTGGCAAACCTGGTAGCAACAGCATAGATGGCGTGGAGTAGATAACCGGGCAGCTGGTTGAGTTGTATTCGCTGCTGCACCGATTCTTCATCAAGGATATGATAGGGTTTCGCGTGGAACCGATTAAAGTAAGTGTTAATGAGTGTATCTACCTGTATGTTGGGTGAGGCTTCACCGTTGATTGTAGGTGAATATATGGTGGATTCGGGAGTGGTCTCCGTTGACCGAGACATGTCCAGGATTGGACGCTTTGATCTCGGCTCGGAAGCCGATTTGATCACTGCTGACCCAGCATGGGGCTCTTCAGTGGTCAACCGTAGTGGCTGTTCTTCGCTTGGTGAGACGTCTGTAGTTCTGTGGTCTTTTAGTTGCGCCTCTAGACCATCTACTCTCTTCAGCAATGCTTCTAGCACGTCTGTCTTTGGTCCCCGTTTCTTGGGTATCGCATCTATAAATCACGTAAAATCAGTTAGCTGTTTTTAATTCAGATATCATCACGAACGAGGTCACTCGTCAGTCGGGCAAACTATCACGCACCATAGATACATGGGCTTTGGAAGACTTGGCAAGCTTCGCAGGACGGACGTAGCCGGTTGCATTTGATCTATAGAACGTAGACTTGTTAGATGAGAGATTATAATTTGGTGATCCAATTTGAGGGCACTAGCTTGAAAGAAAGGCTTACTTTCCGCTTCCGACATGATTTGCAGTTCATCGCTTCGCGTGGTTCACTGCTCATGCGGCGACTTGGTAGTCGTTCGATGCCGACTTGAGGTCGTGACATGATGATGGGTTGAATTCCAGGGAGAGACGCAACGCTCATATTTACCCGGTAAAGTGTTGAGATGGGTATATTAAATGAAAATTGAACCAATCTTTCCTCGGATCCTTTTTTCTTTCTTTTTCTTCTTTTTCTTCTTCTTCTTTCTTTCTTTCTTTTCCTGTTCGAGAACTCCAAGACGTCGGAAGCTGAGAAGAGTCACTACTGAACAAACCACCACCAATATTTCTAACCCTTCACTCTGAAATAGAGTTGATCGTTATGTCGTTAACAAGTCTCACATCCTTCCTCATGACCAAACTAAGAATCAGTGGCCGACTGTACAGTGCCGGATGTGCTGTGATGTATGTAGGCGTTATATATTCTGGTTCATGTCGTACATAGTTATAGATGTAATACTAAGGCGCCCAATAATACTCTATGTAGGTAGATATTTAAGACTTGGAAAGCGTGGGGGGATATATGTATGGCATATGGCGGAAAGGAACTAATTATAATAGAAGGAATGGGAGAAGGAAGGCAATGAATGTCTTAAAAATACAAGAAGTTACTTAGGACGCGCAATACTTCTCGAATTGATGTATCCAAAGTTCCTTATTGAAATTGGAAAAAAAGGATGTGCCACAGGTTCGTGCGGAGAGAAGAAGCTTGGAAGAGAGAAAGAGAAAGAGAGACATTGAAGATGTTGGAGTTGGCTCGTGACCAATTGAGGCCTAGTAAAAATTACTAGGTACACTAGGTACAATACATACTAGGTCTAGGTAGGTATACTTAGGTAGGTATAGTATTGAACGTCCTAGGTACAGGCCTTGGTTGAGAGGCCTTGGTATTCAAAGACCTTGGTAAGGAACATTGGATTCTACCTAGTAAGTTAGGGGGGGGGGGATCTCGTAGCAAGGGCCTAATTCTAACGCCCTTGTAATTGCGGGACCCGACGGGGAATATGGGGAAAAAGCAGTCGGGAAGCGAGCCAAAACGGGGTTCTTGCAGCCATCAAATCCTGGCCCCTGTTTAACGGGGGCCGGTTGCAGTTGCTACCTAGTGCTATGTGTATGTGTATGTAGGTATGTTATGTTATGGTATGTTATGTTATGTAGGTAGGTATGTAGTGTATATATATGCAATGTACCTACTATATATATGTAATGTGTATGTATGTGTATGTGTATGCGTGTGTGTACACTACATGTATGTGTATGGTGCATGTATAGGTGCATGTATAGTCTCGTCTCAAGTTCAATGATCATTTATCTAGAACATTGAACCTGGTGCCATAATCCACACATACGCACATACATACACACACACGCACACAACTACATGGGTAGAGAAAGACGCATGGCACGGCAATGGAAGACGACATGAAATCTTCCAAGACCTGACAACGGTGGTGGCAACAGAGAATAGATGAAAGACATAGGTTATGGATGTTGGGGAGGGGCGCTGTAACCCATAGACAAAGTATGCCACGTGCTAGAAGCGACGGGACATTGCCATACTTGCGCGTCAAATAGAAATGAGCTGGATTACTGCAAGTTAGTCAGGCATAGGGGACTCAAGAGCTATCAACTCCCCTAATCCTGACTAATGTTCCATCCCGGTACTCGACGCGGTAGGACGCCGGAGTCGGCGTCCTGAACGAACCTGATGAGTGTCGCCCATCGTGGTGATGCTTCTTGCCGCCACCATCTGTTGGGAATCGATAGATAGCTGGCGATATGCGTTTTTTTGCATCGCATTGCCACCTCTCTTGCAGCTCGTTCCTAAATACTCTTAGGTAGGTAGGTGCCTACGAAGGGAGATATGTAGGTAGGTAGGATAATCAACAATGTGCTCTGTCCGTACCTCACTCTACTTCGATTCTCTCTGTATAAGGGGTATGCTGTGTTTTTGAACAGCCTAGGCATGGGATGCCTTCAGGAATTTTCGGATTTTTTTTCGTCGTGGCTTGTTGTCCTTGAGCAAAACGAGCAGAACTGGGACCTTTCCTAAGCCCATGTGCAACTGGAGAATATCAAAATAATAACAAACATAGTTGCCGGCTTGGCATGTGTCGCGCTACCCAGGCCGCAGACGTCACTTACGCATCGTGAACTGATATCGGGTGGTGTTTGGTCCAAAGCGTTACGCAGCCGCAGGGCCCAGAAGATGCGGCCAAGACAATGCCCACCGCCGGCGGCGGAACCGTGGCTGTGAGGACAGACAGACAGACAGACAGACATTATTGCTCCCCTCCGAATCCCCGATATATGAAGTTGAGCCTTGGTGGCCCGGAATATGTTGCCTCACGTCCTACCAAGTGCCGCGGCGATAGTCGGTGGAAAGCACGCAGGCACACGAGCTGTCACTCGGGGAAAGCTGCCGCGAACGTGGTCGAGGCGTTCATCATCAAGGCTGACTCACCAAGGACCATCCTATTTGGGCAAGATTTAGGGAGGGTAGTATGAGCAATGAGCATATGCAGTCTCTCAATAACTTCTCCTCAGGCGTACAAGATTTTCGATTCCAAAGGCTTTGTAAGCTGCTGTCCAGTTCAGGAACAGATTTGATTGCCATCGCCTCGTAAATTCGGACTATTGCTATGCGAATGTACGTATATGTTATGTACGCATTATGTATGTATTATGTAGGTATGTATAAGTGTGTGAGTATCAATCTGAATGTAAGTGTGTGTGTGTGTGTGTGTGTAGGTAGGTATGTCAGAATGTAGCATGTAACTACAACCAACCTGTTCATAGTAGTCAAGATAGCCAAGGCACGGGAAGACCCGAACGTGCTGCAGGTTCAAGCTGGTCGAGCTGGTCAAGCTGCATTCTAGCGGCGAAGAACTCTAAGCCTTAACCATAGATAAGATGAATCAGGTACCCAGGGACGTATGTAGGTAACCGAAGTCATGTTTTGAATTGTAGCTAATAACATTGTGTATTGGTAAGAAAGAGATGCATGTGGGCATGAGAAGTGGGAGGTGGGAGGTTTGCATATAGTATCTAGGTCTAGGGTAGATAGGTACCCAAGCATAAGCATAACTTTTAGTGCGTACAGTGTGTACAGTGTGTGTAAGATATCTACGGCGTACCAAGATGAAGAATTATGTGGATCGTGACGACGACGATAGCACGTGTTGTGCTGTGTTGTATTGTATTGTGCCTTAATTATTCAATCTTTGGGTGGGGTAAATATGGGGTTCCCGTAAAAACCGGGTTAGTCTTCGGCGCTAAAAGACCCGAATTATACTAGTATCTACAGTATTTACAGTATTTACAGTATTTAATATTCAGTATCTACAGTACTGTCAGTACAGGCCTATTTAAGTCCCCTAATCCATGGGATTGATGCATTTAAACGCAACATTGAATCTTCATTATCAAAAAAGAGAGACACTACCTAACCTAGTATCATACATCCATGATACTATCTATGTAGGTACGTACTAGGTAGGTAATTTAGGGGGGTGACGTCTTCCCCTATAACATGCCTACTATATAGGTACCTAATCTAGTACTACATATCCAACCATGGATGTACGTTGGCATACATACGTTGGTATACACATACACTACATACTATAGGTGATATCCAAACTAGATTACTATGAACAGATTAATGCGTCTCTCTATATTTAGAAGCTATATTTGTTCGCTTAGTGTTAACTCAACTTTAAAGAGACGTGAGGGTTTGCCTTGCCTTGATGCCCATGTCTGATGCCATGTAACCACCAATCAATGCCTTGGCTGTGCTACTGAGGTTGGTGACAGATCCGGACCCCTATGTACCTCTAACAACCCTGGACCCGTCCTGTAGGTAGCGGCCAGTGTGGCGTGTGACTTCACAGGTGTTGATACGTTGCACCTGTATCACTGCTTCCATCTTCGGCAAATGTTTATTTACTGCTAAGAAACCCAAGGCATGGCAACCTGAACTTTTGACAGCTTTCCACCTATCTCGGGCTCAGGCTCGGGATCATACTACGGGAAGTGAAGTTATCTCCATACTCTTCAGCGCAGGTAACCTCGAGGCTGGCTGCAGGTGGCTTTGACTCTCCCCCTCCCTCCCTACCTGGTCACTTCGATTATCTGACCTGACACCCATTTCCATGGCGAATCCTTTTAATAGTACCAAGCAGGTAACATTGGTACACGATGCCCTATCGGAGTGTCTCATGCAAAATCCTCCGCACGGCAATATGAATATGAATATGAATATGGCCTTATCTGCCTACCCAGGTACCCGTCGCTTTATTGAGCATGCCGAAAGATCAGATCAGTTTAGAATAGCCCAGCCCCGTATCTGCAACCGGCTGGCCCCTGCGTGCGGTCGAGATAGCACAGTCACTGTTTGGCGATAACCCTATCAGCCCATCGTAGATTTGAATTACTCAGCTCTTACAATTCGGTATGAGCTAAGTGGCTTCCTCAACACTATTCTACCACCTTAATAGGCCCTTTAGAGAATGTCCTAGATTCCAAGTGAGGTCGCACTGACGAAAATCACCTCCCAAACTTTGATAAACGTCCGAGCTGCCCTTGTTTCTATCATATTTTTGACGAGTCTAGAATGACCTGGATGAACGCGTGTTCAGCGTAGTGGCAAACTTTGTTCGTACGTCTCGTCGTTACGTAGAAACGTTTACCCCTGGTCGGTTGAGAAACTGGGTTGCATGAGCACATCAATCCTTGCAAGGCACCGCGGCTCTGTACTAGGTACCAGGTACCGATCCTTTGGTTGTTGATTTCAAGATATCGCCCCAGCACGTCTAGGCGGGTAAGAACAATGCAGGTTGCATGCAGGTGTCCATGATTCAGAGTATTGGAAGTCACTCTTAACCCTATTCGGACTTTCAACTCCTTCGTTAGCTATGATTTTGCAAGATGTGTTCTCTGTTAGATCGTCTAGCCCAACATTGAACGTGCCTAATCTCATCTTACATGGCCGGCAATTTGCGTAAAATCAAGTTCCTCATCATACATCCCAAACCACTCCTCTTTGGGGTATATACTGATATCGCTTATCTAGAACATTCCCTGGCCACTCGTTAGTCGTACGAAGCTATACGGTACATTCTGGCCCACGAGCGACCTCAGAGTTTCCACGGTCGTAAAAGCCGTCGTATCCGCTACGCCGTAAGTAATGAACCCACTTTGTTCTGCGACGGCTCTTGGATCCCCCTTTCTTGGCCCATCAGCAAGGTCCAAGAAAACTTTGCGAATATTCGTAGAAGACCCGCGTGAGCCCCCGAAAACACGTATAAGCACCCCAACAATGTTGGATTTTTCTGGTCCCAGAGCAGATACGAAAACAAACGGGCTTGCTTTGTCCCTCACCATCCTTGCTCGCTGGAGGCTCTCTAAGCTATTGAAGGGCTCAACGTCAAGGCCATGATTTAGGTTAGGGGGCATCTTGAAGCCGACTGTATACACTTTGCTAATCCGAAGTGCTTTCAGCGCATAAATAGTCGAAGCTGCATTGTCAGCATTGCTAGCTGCAACAACGGCAACACGTCCAAAGTAAGCTGATGGAGCAAGATCGCGAGTTAAAGTGCTAACAATGCCTCGCCAATTTGCATTATCGAAAACCAGCGAGGAGCCTGGCGGCAAGCCATGAGAATTGTTAGACCCCAGGTTGAACGGTGTGCTAAAGTTTTGATTAGGAATCGGAGGAGTTGTGGCTGCCGCAGCTGACGAGGTTGATGGCCCAGGTTGAACAACAATGGTATCAATCATGCCAATCGTACGGGCTGCTTCTGTCAACGTTGGACCCGACCCGTTGTTAAACCTCGAGAAGAACAGGCTGTTGTGCATAAGACTAGATAAAGATACTGGTGGACTTAGATAGGCACCCCCAAAGGATTTCTGATTGCACAAGGCTTCTACACAATCAGAACCATTCGGTTGTCTCTCAACCACGGCAAACTGATGTGGTAGTCCGAGCTCGTTAAAGCATTTTTCGTAGAAAGGTGCATATGGTGTTGCGATACGGGCAAACGGACTGCTTATTCCGTAGATGCTCTTCTTCGGAAGCTGTCCAAACATCGATAAGGCTGCGTTGATCTCTGCGGCGCTCATCTGACCTGGAGCAGCAATGATGGGAAGAAGCGGATGAGTGATGGGTGTAAAGACCTTATTTAGTGTCCTCGAAAACTGGCCTATCTCTCCCATGTTAACAGCCGACAAGGGAGGAGAATTTGGATATACACTTCGAATCTTGGAGCGGAAACATTCCAGTTCGAAATTATCATTGCGATCGCTAATGATCGCTATCATTTTCACAATATCAGCGTATTTCCGGGACTCAACGAAGACGGACTCGGCTTGAGCAGACTGCCACTTGAAGGCGCCCGAGAAATCGTGAAAGGCTGACATGATGCGACTGCTTCCCCGTTTCTCGCATAGTCTCCGACGGATATGCTCTGGAAGCCAAAGTTCAACGTCGATATATTCAACACCCCACTGAACGGCCCGAAAAAGATACTCATAGTATAAGTCAGGATTCCCCATGGGAAACCGACCATTCTCCCTTACACATCTTGTCGTGAATATAAGCGGCAGCTCAGTCCTCCGACGCAGCAACATGACTTGTTCACCGACATAGCTCAAACTAGGCACCGGCGCAAAACTACCGTCGCCTAGGGGTTCCTTGAGTAGATCGACACGTAGTTCTACAGCATCGGCACCCACTGTGAGGATATCTATGTTAGGAAGCGCGGCGCGAACATCAGGAAAAGTGGTCGAAATGAAGTAAGTGCGTGGCTTTGACATGAGTGAGTCGTGATGATTAATCTGGCCGAGAATGAAAGAGATGAACCGGGCCAAATCCCGGCGAGACGAAGACACTTCGGAATATAAGAATTCGTAGTCGCACTCTTCAGATATATAAGGATCTGGTGGCATCCCTAAGTTCACACAATGCGCATTGATCGCAACCACGGCACCTCGATTCCGCGAAGTAATATCAATCTTGGCGCTATCCATCGGTATGCCAAGGACGAGTTCCTGTTCCAAAGAAGTAATACCCTGAAAACTATCGGCTATCTTGTACGGCTTCCCCAACACATCCGCAAAGACGGAGACTATATTCTCTTGTCCAGACCCGTAGATTATAACGACAGTTCTGGTATCGCCCTTCTGTAGTCTACTAGAGGTCCTTGTCCCTTTGATAACATTCGGTCGAGAGGCCCGGTCCGTATCCATTTCCGCGGCTGGCGGCGTTGCGCCATTGATGCCAAGTGGGCGGGTCAGCGTAGGAGTCTGGTGAAACTGTTGAACTGTTGCCATAGTGCCTGTCCAACTAGAAAACTTCCTCTGGGATTTATTTCTCAGATAGAAACTCGCGATACCGAACACTATGGGTATCCAGATGTTAATGTTACTTTGCACGGTGGACTCTTCATGGCAGACGTGTCTAAGGCCGGCGACTGATCGGGTCGATTATTATGGGGACCGGTAGACAATGGCGGCGCATTCGGTAAGAGTATGATAGAATCAAGTTGGTATGTTTGGTGATAAAAGGGCAAGTCCCAAGCCGGCGAGGTCACGCTGTAGTGTAAGATATGGCATAAGGCACGTCTCTTAACATCGGGGCCAAGCTGGTAGATTTATACAAGCCCCCCACAACTGAAGGGTGCAAGTAAAGCAAAGTGGCAGGCTAGGAAATGAAGTAGAACGATGTCACAACTGGGTAAGAAATTAGAAGAAATACAAACGGGAAAAATTACATAAGAATGAGAAATAATTGTTCCGGTTATTTAAATTCGGGAATCTAATTGTGGTTCAGCGTGTACTAGGTAATGAATTTAGGTATGAGGCTCATAATTGAAAGAAAGGAAAGATAAGAAACAATTATTTTGGGCGAAGATGAGCACTAGCATTACTAAATCTGGCGTTTAGGCGAAAGGAGTTTAGAAGGAGTAGGTACAATACGTGATCCTTGTACTTACCTAAGGTACAACATTCTACCGAATTACATATTCTGGAGGCACCTAACTTCATTGGCTTCAGGATATCCGGGGGGTTTCATGAGCTAAAATGCTAGCCCGTAGATTTACCCCGATGCCCCTGTCCTAGCCCATAATTTCATTCGTATACCCCGGATCCAAGATGCCAGGTAGGTACTAGTATGTAGTTAGGTACACGAGTTCAAGTTAGGTAGGTGCATAAGGCAGTTGGAATATGAATGTAACCAATTTTAGAAAATTAGAGGGTTATCAACTTAGCGTTCTCAAGGCTTCTATCTTTAAGCTTTAAGTTAGCTAACGGGTATTTTCTCCAAGTTGTCCAACTATCTGGAGTCCCTAACGTACTAAAGTTAGATATCCCAAGGGAACTAACCTAGAAGCTTCAGCATAGGAACACCCTAGCAATTGCCTTATAAGGCAATTTTCCTTTGTATCACAATACCACCTCGGCAGCAAACCCTCCTTCAGCAAATAGGGCGTTACATTTCAGGTTCCCTACCTACCTAGCTAGGTAATCATAAATCATAACACCATCCGGTGGATTAAAAATGAAAGAGACCAACATCTTTATATGTAGGTAGGGGGTTGACTTGACTTTATATCTTCTTTGAACTTGCCCAACGTCAATGAAGAATGCCCTCTTAACAGGGGATATTCAAAGAAGTTAGGTCGCCAACGACCATGGATATGATATGGGTTGGCTTGCTCTGCGGTTTGTTGCAAGCCAGTCTAGCATGGTCCAAAGTCCCCCCCTTCCCGAAAGGAAATGGCACGCCTTTATCATTGCTCAGTAGGACATTCACGTTTAAAGGGGCAGACTATTTCCAGAATCCCGTAATCTACGAGGATTTCGCCGACAATGATGTCTCCACAGGCCCGGACGGCTTATACTACTTTTCTGCTTCGAATATGCATTATAGCCCGGGTGCGCCTATCCTAAGGTCTGGTGATCTCGTCAACTGGGAGCTGATTGGACATTCTGTGCCTAGTCTCGACTTTGGAGAAAAGTATAACCTGACGAACGGCCGTGCGTATCGAGGAGGAACATGGGCTTCTACTATGCGATATCGCGAGAGTACAGGACTTTGGTATTGGATCGGGTGTGTCGATTTCTGGTATACTTATATCTACACCGCGAATGACGTTCTCGGCCCCTGGACCCGAGCAGCTGTTCTTCCCGGTGGAACGTGTTACTACGATTGCGGCCTCTTAATAGACGATGACGATAGTATGTATGTCGTGTACGGTTCTACAGATGTGTCAATAGCCCAGCTCTCCGCGGACGGACTTAGCCAGGTGAAGACTGAACACATTTTCAGCGCCTCTGACGTTGGAAAAGATGGAATCGAGGGAAATCGAATGTATAAGAAGGACGGACTCTACTACATCCTTGATGACCACCCTGGTGATATCACGTACATCTGGAAGTCCAAAAGTCCATGGGGTCCCTACGAAAGCAAGATACTTGTTGATGCCGTCAAGTCGCCGGTGGCCAACGGAGGAGCACCACACCAGGGAAGTCTCATCCAGGCTTCAACTGGAGGCTGGTACTACATGTCTTTCACATGGGCCTACCCAAACGGTCGTATACCTGTGTTAGCCCCTATTGGGTGGGGGGATGACGACTTTCCCTATTTTATCCCCGACGAAGCCGGTGGGTGGAGTTCGTCGTACCCAGCTCCTCTTTCGCCAAAGAATGTGCAAAACTGGACTCACACCGATATGTTTGATGGCGACAGCCTCAGCCCCCACTGGGAATGGAATCATAACCCCGATGAAAGCAAGTATACAGTTGATAGTAATGGTGTGTCTCTATCCACTGCTACGGTAACAACCGATTTCTATGCCGCACGCAACACATTAACACACCGCATCCACGGAGAATTCCCGGTTGGCACTTTGCAAGTCGATTTCAGCAACATGGCCGACGGCGACCGATTCGGACTTGCCGCCTTCCGCGACCGTACCGCGTACATCGGCGTCCACCGCGACGGAGAGAAATACACCTTGTCTGTCGTCCACAACATCACCCAGGAAGAATCCGCCTGGAACACGACGAGTAACGGGACCGTGATCGCGACGACATCAAAAACCCCTACAAACATGACTCTATGGCTTCGAGCCTCGCTCGATGCACGCGCGAGCGGCACCTACGCGGCCAATTTCTCGTACAGCATCGACGGACAGGAGTTCACACAGCTGGGGGGCCCGTATACGATGTGGACGAATTGGGCGTACTTCATGGGCTATCGCTTTGGCATCTTCAACTACGCGACGAAGCAGCTAGGGGGTTCGGTTCGAGTTATGTCGTTCACGAGCGCTTGAGGCCTGTCTACACCATGTAATCGGCCAAAAGGTTTCTATACATTTCGAGTCCCAAAGATTCCTAAACTTAGTAATGAAAACTGCCTGCCCCTACTGAATTAGGTATGTATTCAATATATATCGTAAGTGACCACAGCTTATTGCACCGCTAGAGGTGATTCTCACCTTGTGGATGAAAAGAGAATAGGACCCGGGAGTCGACAACAGCTACTTCCTGTTCGTGGAACGGATCGCGAATTGTCAAGGAGAACAGGTGGGTAGCCCTCAAGAAAGGGGTTTCGTGTCGGTAAATTGTGCTGCAACTAGACCTAAGATTGTCTAATTGCTGCTATATAGAGACAGTAGATGGTAAAAGTTTTTCTCTCTTCTAGTTTTGTATTCGAACATACAACGTGTGAGTGCTATATCGTACCCGCTTCATACATAAAATCGTGACCACTATAATATACAACAAGGCATTGAAATCGCCTAATATACAATCATGAACCAAATGAGCGAACCCTAATCGTCGATAACTTGGATAGCCGCGATATAGCAATTGATGTCCCATGGCATAGTCTCCTTTGATATCGGAGTTTGGGAGGACCTGAGTATTGGGAAATACTGTCGTGTAGTGGGCATCTACCAATCGACCGACGTGAGAATGATTGGCGAGCTTATCGTCGTATTGCATCGCCTATCTTTAAGTCTCTGAAGGGAACTTGACTTGAGACACGTCCTACCCTACTGACCGGCGCGACATGCAGAGGATGCTACAGACATAATTCCTGGAAACACTGCAACAGTATGAGTTAGTAAATATCTCTCCAAGCCAAAGTATTTAGAGCCTAGGAGGGGTTTTCTAAAGGTAGAAACTCCTATTGGGTAGCTCCCGATAGCTCCTAAGATAGGCCAAAGGGGGAAGGAGAAATGAAAGCTATTGGCACATACTATTTCCGCCTCTCGCCATTCCGTCACGGCGCATTGGAGCAGATTCTCCTCGGTACATGTGTCCTGGCGTTTGGCCAGCCGTAACTCCGCCCCGTTCGCGCCGACGCACATCTGCTTGAAGCAGAGGCTGTTATCTCGTCCCGTGTCGGCGATGCATTCTTTGAAACTCTGTATGGAGCAGACGGTATCCTCAGCGGTGCTGCTCGCGTTGACCTGGAGTGGTATTCCTATTGTGCAAGAGGCGTATAGAACGAGGACGGTGATGCCGGGGAGGCTCGAGAACTTCATGGTGCTCGCAACGATGACGGGGTTTCCCTCCTAACTAGGTAGCTTGGGTACTTGAATATAGACACTTAAAGGAATGTTTGGGCATAGGGAGTGACTCGGGAGAGAAACAAATATTCGAGTAAACGACCGGTGGCTGGTAATATCATCGAGAGAGATATATGCCATTGAAGATCTAACCTGCAAGCAAGCAAGCTGCGCATGGCCCACAATGATCTTCCCAGCATCTCTTACTTATACGATTTGGGGGGGGATGTTAGACGGGCAATCTATGATAGGAGACAAACGCCCCGTTGAGCGACGGCAGGGATAGGCGATCGTGAAGCAAGATGGTCTCACTTCCAACTGGTTGGTTGCCTATTAGGTGGCTGTAGGGCGGATCTTGAAACGAGAGGTACCCTCCTCCACGTTGGGAGCTGGGAGCTTGGAGTGCGCCAAGATGAAGCCATGCAGAAACAAGTGCGTGCATTTAGACCCTGAATCAGAACTTCGAAGAAGTCACTTGTTTCATGCACTCCGGCCTTACGTATACATGCCTACCTACCTTCGCACCTGTTGCTTCATCAACATGATATGAGCATGATGTTTTGGGAATTGGTATGAGTACCTACACTAGATAACTACATGTAGGTGCCCAGGTTCAATTACATATGTACTGCTGATTCCTTTACAACGGCGCCGGTATTGTCTGAAACGCCATCGTCATCGCCACACCACCTCGAAATACAAATGGGATCCAAGAATGGCACCGATATCGTAGCACATCGTAGCACACCTCTAACCTGACGGCCCTGTCCGTTTGAAGATCTGCAACTGGGAACAGAAAGCTTGGCCTTGTCACAGCTACCCAGCTAGCTTCGGGCCAATGTCTGCAGAATCATACGCGGAATAGTTATGTACATGTAATCTCGCCTACGAACCCGCGACCATGGCTCATCCTTTTTTATAAATAGGCATGTGAAGCCGAAGTCGACTTTTGTGGCCTCCAGCTAGCACTATGGAGATGGTAGGCAGATCATCGCTGCTAACCCATTTCCATTCCACGGTCCCCTCCCACGTTGGGCTAGCGACACCATAACCGAACCGCGCTGGCGTGTTTCTGTTCTTGGAAAGAAGAGGCAAAGAAAAAGAAGAAAGGCTGTTCGTCGCATCGTTTGACGGGTAGGCCCGCACAGACTTGTTTCTCTCTCTGCCTACCTACCCACCCACCCACCTTTCCACGGTTATTACATATGGGTGTTTGCGAAACAGCTAAGTATACGCGCGCAGTTCAATCGGAGATTACAGTCTCGCCCGTACCTAAGGTCAGCAGACAGAGGTGCAATGCAAACGCGCGATGGGAAAAGTGACGTTATCGTTTCACTCTGGATCTTTCTAACTGGCAACCAACTTCAAGGTATTTATGTAAAACTAGGTATAAGGATCCGTTTTGGTTTGACTTCACAAAGGTACCAACTGCTCGAAGGCTTACTACATAGTAATACACGTGGTGACGAGGCAAATCCAACATTTTGGACAGCGAGGCGTGTCAAGTTTCAGCTATGGGCCAGGGCAGCAAGTAGTTAGCAACCTGCCCCTCGGGTACCTACAGTACCTATGTACCTCGGCTTATCCTGCCGCTGCTCAAGTGTTGCTGAATTTTCTTATCCATCTTTATTGTTTCGAGGATTTACTGGAGACATCGTGGTCACCAACACTCCCAAGAATGACAGGAATCCGGGTTTGACGATGAAGATACTGATAAAATCCATTTTTACCTAGCACCTACCTACTGTAGTAGACTTCCACGCCTTCCTAGCTGGAATTGTAAGCTATGTATGATAAGACCACTGCTACGGCCGACCACTAGAGCCGGCAGATCAGTCGAGGCGCGAGGGATACACGTCTCCGGCGATGCACATAGCCGGCATCCGGAAACCCGCCTACGGCCTAATGTCAAGCATGCTGCAATACCTGCCAAAGCTATGATGACGCTATTACTACCTAGGTTAGTAGCATGTCGGCGATTATTTTCGTTGACGGATTTTAGTCGCGGTATTGTTGTTTGCTTCGATGGAAGGGAGAGGCTCTAGTTGGCGTAACACCTCCATGCCCCTACTGGGCTGGGTCTGTTGGTCTCGTCGGATGGTCTCTCTGGCGGGTTTGCCATTGCGTGGAGTCAAACAATCGCCATTGCTAGACCGGAGGTATCGAGATGCTGTTATCCTCCCTTATCGCCCGAAGGCGAGCATCTAATGAAAATAGGAAATCATAGATGCCGTCGACCTGATTTCGGGAATCGGCTCCGACGTTGAGGAGTTGTGCAGGCGAACCCCGCAATCCAATGTCATCTGCATACTCCCCGACTCCGACGACCTAGAAGCTTGTATATCTTGTGGGGGACCTGCAGACCATGGTATTATTCCCCCAATGCAAGGGAGTACAACAAGATTTACTGGAATACCGACAACAATGGGACCCGGAACTGGCTTAGCGAATGCTGGGGAATGGGGAAATTCGGGGTAGGTATTTATTGAGGGGATGTTGGTAAGGTCATACGGAGGATTCTATTCGGGCAAATCGAGTCGGGGTAGGTGAAGCATAGGCACAAAGAAAATGGAACCTATATAGGTGCCTGCCTGTCTACAGTACCCACCAATATGTGAGCATCATAGTGTACCGAGCTATGCTCCTATGTGATCCTTTAGTTGTAAGCCATGAAGTCAACTTGGAAACACGCTGCTAGCATCTCGGTGCTCACTGCTGGAGCTACCGCAGTAGACGCAATACAGGACTATGCGCAATACGTGAATCCCTTCATTGGCACCGAGGGCCCGATTCCCGGTACAAGCTACATTGCTGGGAATGTCTTCCCGGGAGTCACCCTCCCCTTTGGCGCGGTGAAGGTGGGAATCGACACAAATCTGTCTGTGCTCCTACTTACCCATAGGTATCTTGAACCTTCATGATCAGAACAGTGTTGCTAATAGATGAAATAGACTGAATTACACGTGTAAGTTCGACTTCACTGGAGACACTTAGCTTGAGTAGCATCGCTGCTCGTACAAGTAGCAGAAGAGAGTGACCGTATACGACTCACCAAGTACCTACCCACTCACACACATTCTTCCAGACTCTGCTAACGCGGGCTACACCCCCGACGGCTACGTGACCGCCATCACGATGCTGCACGAGAGCGGCACGGGCGGTGAGCCGACCTACGGGCTCATACCCCAGATGCCCCTGACCACCCTCGACGGCGTCAACGTGCTAGACAATCTGACCTACATGCAGCCGAGGACCGCCGGCGATGTAGCCAGCGTGGGATACTACAAGACGCAGCTGCAGAACGGCGTTACCGCCGAAATGAGCGCCAGCATGCATGTCGGGATCATGAAGTACACGTACCCCGACGATGCGGACGGCCGCTTTGTCCTGGTCGATGTGAGCCATGTTATCCCGAGCAGGGGCAGCAAGGGCCAGCAGTATAGCAATGGGATGCTGGAGCGTAGCGAGGATGGCACGCAGTACTCGGGCTATGGCGTATATCGAGGAGGATGGGCCGGGGGTTAGTGTCCGCCCTTCGGCGTTCTAAGACACGGTGGGCTAACGAGCGGGCATCTAGGGGACGATTATCGAGTGTACTTCTGCGCCGAGTTCGACTCTGCGCCGGCGGAGTCCCGGCTGTTCTCTGGGAGGTCTACGGATCCGTACTGGCCAAGTGTAGTCGGCGTCGAGCCCTCTTTCACGAACAGGACCTGGATTAACGGTGGAACGGTGGGGTACCAGTACGCAGATCGCATTGGCGCTTTGTTCGAGTTTCCTCCCAATGTCACGACGGTCAGTTCCAAGGTCGGGGTCTCTTGGGTATCTACCGACAAGGCATGCCAGTTTCTAGATGAAATCCCGGGTTGGGACCTCGATGAGGTTAAGGATGCTGCTCGGGATCAATGGAACTCGGATGTCTTCTCGACGATTGACGTGACAACGACGAACGAGACGCAGTTGGAGATGTTCTACACGGCAATGTATCATGCTCACCTACTGCCTTCGAACCGAACGGGGGAGAACCCCTATTGGGAGTCCGATGAGCCGTATTACGACGACTTCTACACAATCTGGGACACGTTCAGATGTCTCAGTCCTCTCCTGACACTTATCCAACCCCAGGCACAGATAGAAATTGTCAGGACCCTAATCGACATTTGGAGATTCGAGAGGTTTATGCCCGACGGGCGAAGCCACAACCACAACGGCAGAGTCCAGGGAGGGTCCAACGCGGACAACGTGCTTGCCGATGCTTACGTCAAGGGGCTCCAAGGCGGCATCAACTGGGCAGACGGATACGCAGCGATGAAGGCCGACGCGGAGATCGTGCCGTACAACAATTACGACATCGATGACTCCACCGGCAGCACCAAGGAAGGGCGGGGTGCACTGCAGGACTGGAAAGAGTATGGCTACGTGACACCAAAGTTCGGTCGGTGTCTTAGCAAGACGGTCGAGTACTCGCTAAACGACTTCTCGCTATCGCAGGTCGCGAAGGGAGAGGCGCCGGAGGATGTGGCAACATATCTCAATCGCTCCGCGTAAGTCACTGTCGCTGTAATCCGGATGCTAGGTAATGGCTGACGAAAGGAACAGTGGATGGCAGCGGACATGGGCCGCCAACGTAACATCGTTGAATTTCACTGGGTTCCTTGCGCCGACATACCCGAACGGTAGCTACGAAGAGTACGACCCCTTGGCATGTGCTGACTGCGAATGGACCAGCATCAGCTACGAAGGCGTTCCGTAAGTCCCACCCGCCCCCTATCTACCATACCCACCGAACCCAATACTAACCAATCACCCTCCCTCCCCAGATTCGAGTACAGCTGGACGATCCCCTTCGACATGTCCACCCTCATCACCCTCATGGGCGGCGCCGCCCATACCGAAGCGCGACTGGACACGATGTTCATCCCGGGTCTCTCACGCTCGAACCAGGGCGGCAACGGCGCGGGGACCGCGATCTTCAACCCGGGCAACGAGCCGAGCTTCATGACGCCGTTCCTGTACAACTACCTGCCGCAGCGGCAGCACAAGTCCGTGCAGCGCTCGCGCGAGGTCGTCGACCAGTTCTACCACACGGGGCGCTCGGGGATCCCGGGGAACGACGACGCCGGGGCGATGGGCAGCTGGCTCGTGTGGAACATGATCGGGCTCTATCCGGTGGTCACGCAGCCCGTGTACCTGGTGCTCGCGCCGCGGTTCGCGAACGTGACGGTGAGGCTGGGGAAGGGGGGCGCGGCGCTGAGGATCGAGGCGCAGGGGTTGGAGGGTGGGCCGTTTGTGCAGAGGCTGAGGGTTAATGGCCGGGAGTGGAATCAGAGTTGGGTTGGTCACGAGGATATTGTGCGTCCGGATGGGCGGGACAGCTTGCTCCAGTTTGAGCTGGGGGAGGAGAGGGTCGCGTGGGATACGGGTGAGGTGCCGCCTAGTCCTGGTCATGTAGAGCTCTGATGCGTCAGCATAGGTACCTACCTTCGTAGGGTGTACAAATACAGGTAGCACCTAGCTGAGCAGGCACTGTCCAACCTCAACTATTTTTTTAAATCTAGGTACATAGCTAATAGGTACTAAGATAAGTATTCCATAGTATAGTAGAGACAGCTTGGTAGAACTACTGCTACGGTTCTAAGCTATATAGAATCTTGACATTCCCTGCCCTAGCCCCCTCTTTTCTTCTACCCCTTTACCTATTTGACATTTGTTTACACTCACAGTCAGCTTGGAGCTGTGGTCGAAGTAATCATAACCCCCCTCCCAAAAATGAAAAGCAATACTAGACGCTCTTTTATCTTGTATACTAGGCAGGCACCTTTCTATCTTAACCAAAAAAAATATAAGGAGTCATCCAACGACTCCTCGCATCCTAAGCCCCCTGCAAGGGCGCACGAAGCAGGCCCTTACACCGCAGGGGTCGAGCAAGCACACATCCCTTCAGGCAGGAGAGTAGAGAAGATAGTCATCGTGCCACCTTCCCCGACAGTCGTAGTAATCGTGGATGCGGCCGCCTCGGTTACTGTAACGGTAGACAGCGCGGCGCTGAAGACTGTGGTAGTTTGCGCGCCCCCACCACTGACTGTCTCGGTTGCGGTTACGAGTATGGTCGTGGTTACTACGGATTGAAGGGGCCAGACAGTGACGGTTTTAACTTCCGCCGCGCTTTCGCCGCCGCTGCCGGTGGGTTTGGTGGCGACGGGTGGCCAGGGGCGGAAGATCGTGGTGGTGTATGGAGGGATGATCACTACGGACGTGGTTGCTTCGCTGCCGGTGCCGATGCCCAAGGTCACGGTGACGGATGAGGGGGGTATGGTTGATACTGTGGCGGAAGATAGGGTTTCAGTGGTGGTGGTAACGATAGTCGACGCTCCAGAGCTGGCGCTGATAGTTGTGGTGATAACTGATTCAACTGGAGATATAGCCGAGGAGGAGTAAGGCTGAGTTATCTTCAAACGAGTTAGCGTCTAGCTGCTCTAAGATGAGGGGCTAGCATTTCTCGACTTACAGTGCTGGTGATCATAGTGTTCGAGACAGGGACATTCTCGACGGATATGCCACCCGCTTCCAACGAGCTACTACTCTTCGTAGTCCCGGCATCGAAAGCGAGATCAGTTTCGTTGACTAGAAGAGCAGAGAGCATCAAAGAAGCTACGATTGATGAAGACACTGCAGAAGCTTCAGTGACCGGACAGACAGTGGTGGTGATACCGATGGCTTTTGTCACAAGCATCGTCGATAGCGCCTCTCTGGGTAAAGAACTGAGCGCGTTATAATCTGTCGCCGCGGTACATCCATTGATAGTGGATGCGCATGATATGACTGTCTCTACGGAAGTCAGGCTGACAGTCAACGTTGTCAAGCCTGCTCCCGTTTCGGTAACGTTAGAAAATGGGGGACTCGGGCTGCCTGCTACAGTCGGGATGATAGTATTTCTAGTTGAAGTACTATCATTAGGCACGCCTTGTCCTGGAGTAGTTGTTAGGGCACTGGTAGCTAAGAGGATCTTGGTGGTTTTTCAAAAGGACATACTACTAGACGTTGGATATTTGGTTACGGAAGTGGTTACGGTTGCATTTATGTGCGTGACTGGAAGATCGAAATGATTTCCATTACACTCCGACGAGGACACGATTTTGCTTAAGGAATGGTGCCGTGGCAAGTCTTGTGTTGAGGCGCCCCCTGAAAATAGAAAGAGGGCGAGCACGGTATCTTTCCTTGGGAATATCATAATAACGAAGAAACAGTTCACTGGTTCTCAAAGAGTGTCGAAAAAATGAATGTCAAGGAGTGGATGACCGAATTCCATAGAAGAAAGGCACTGGACCAGGGGGGATGAACGAAGACTACGATATATTATGAGAACTGAGAGAGTCTCTCGGTTTTTATGAGTTTGTACATCTCGTCACGATGCAATTTAGTATATGTGCAAGGTAGCGACATTACTCAGTTTTTACACCAAGAGCCCATTACATACCTAAGTACCTGTAGGATTGAGGGCGTCTTCGGTAAGGCCAAGGATATCTATCATGGGTTCTTACTGTAGGTCAAGGAGGCTGAAGTACTGTATTGTACAATCCATATAGTTGAGACCTGTGTGCCGTTACTTTGGGCTGAGCACTCAATTGAGGCACGAGTTGAGGCTAAACTCTGAGATAACTACACTGCTCATGGTGTACGTTTGAACAAAAGCCATTGGTGCTATGGTTGACCGTATGGTTGCCAATCATGTTTGATTAGCGAAGGCACTGCAATTGAGAGCTCGCGTGAAGCTCATCAACTAGAGGCGTTTCAGAGAGTACGTCTCTATTAAAGGGGTGGAGGATCACATTGTGTTGCCGCAGCGCCTCTTCACTGACCCCTTTAGTGGCCCCTTTAGTGCCTAGCATCCACCTAGAGCACTCCAGAGTCCAGTGTTATCAACTACCTATGTAATTCAACCCGTCAGAATGGCTCAGACCGCAACCTGTGCACTGGAATAGAAACAATGCCTACCTATACAAGACGAAAGTTTGTTTGATGTTTACTGGTCGTAAAACTTGTGTCCGTAGCGATATTGAATGAGAGGGCGAAGCAATAAAGTGAGACAATGAAGAAGAGTTTTACTATCCGCACCCTTAAAAATTGCTATCGGAGGCTTATTCGCACCCTAGTACATTTAAGATTAGCGTTCAAACGCCGATGGTCCGAGCTCTCCAACTAGCTTCAATCAAAAGATCCAACACAACTTCCAATCCAAGAATCGGATTGAAGTGCATCCTAGATAATTCGAATCAGCTCAATTAGACGGTCCAAACGATATATGTTTCAGATTGACGCGACGAGTAATTGTAAAGTTATTCAGAAAAGAGTGAAATAGACGCTTTGCCGCTAGTGTAGCGCTAGCCGGCACTACGTGATGCACGGACCACTTCAACCTGCACCATTTTCAAGGTGCTTCTTGATCTTTGAATTCAAATAACTTCGTAACCACCGATCGCATCAATCTGAAACATATATCATTTGGACCGTCTAATTGAGCTGATTCGAACGATACAAGATGCACCTCAATTAAAGTCTTGAATTGGAAGTTATGTTAGATCTTTTGACGGAAGCTAGCTGAGGCGCTCGGACCAACGGCATTCGAACGCTAGTTCCAGATGTACTAAGGTGCAAATAAGCCTCCGATAGCAATTTTTAAGGGTGCGAATAGCAAAACTCATGAAGAATATTTGAAGGTATTTCAAAATAGAAGATTTTCTCATTCAGTGTTACATGCTGTAGGTAGTATGTAGGTACTATTTTATATGCATGCATACACATACCTACATTAGGTATAGTAGTATCATTGATCAATGATGTATGTGATATTGAATATTTAAAACTCGAATCGATATATTAAAAAGTACGTAGTTACCACTTAAACAGGCAGTGAATTCGGGGGCAGGAAGTCGGTATGCCCCCCCTTTTAACCCCGAAACTTTAATCTCCGCAGCCTTTGGGCCAAAACTTGAGTAATCCAATCCATGCAATGCATGTTTTTTATTGTTTTTATTTTTTCAATGTTCCCTCAACATCGTTCCTCTACCTCTTCTCCTCCTGTTCCTTGCTTTCCTCCTTTCTTTTACATATCCTTTATCCTTCAACTTCACTTCATTCACATGCTTTCGAGTTCCGGCTCACAAGCCAAGCCAAAGCCACTTCGTATCTTTAAATATCTGAGGCTGCTGTCATGCAATGCTCGGTGGTGCACCGTACACCTGCACCTCATTAATTACCTACCTACAGGGAGGTACCTATAGATATGCCCCCTTCAACTACCTAAGAGTCCACCAAGACGACGTGGCGCTGCAGTCCCACCTCGTTACAATCACCCTCATCCAGTGTTTCCTAGGTCATACTTAAGTAGCCCGCTATACTTGGCGCAATCGAGATCCTATCTCCAACCCTATTCCGACTGGACCACTCAGCTTGCTCTGCTCATGTATAGCATGGCCTGCTATGATAGCCTCAATCTTAACTACATCCGTCCCCCGTCCAATTGATCCGCCTGAATGGGGCGGACGAGTTTGTAGACACGGAATGGTTCGGACCATCGCTCAGCTCAAAATGTTGTCACTTAATCAGATGCGAAAATGCAACTACCCGATCTCACAAGTGCCCAGGTGTGTAGTATAACGAGCTGTACTGCATGTGGTCAACGTGGTGTGCACCTCCAGATGTCTATGACGTCTGGTTGCCAGGTACCTAAGTATTAATCTAGGCACCTCGTCCTATCTACCTATATACATACATACCTAGTTATGTATACCAACATGCAGCCTTTTCGCCCGGAACGTGTTCCCGCTCTTCCCTAAGGTCGATTTCATATTCATAATGTTGGGTAGCGGATTGTATCCTAGTCAGCCTTTTCGACGCCCCTTTTCTTCAACACTCTGGAAAACTCGATCTGACGTAGCCAAAAAGAAGTCTATATTGAGACCTGCCTAACTGCGTAGAACGTTACACCTTGATGGAACGAGGCTTTCGGCACACTGGGCATTGGCCTACATAGTCGCAACTCGGAAGTGGGTTGCCAGGTCTAACCGTACCTACCTTGGTACGTAGAGTTAGACAGCCAGTCATATCTCCTGAGACCGGAAATTATCGTCATCGGTTGTCTTAAGCCCATTCACGCCATAATGTAGCACATGTTCCCGGAGAATACTGGTATCTCGGAAGTTGCGTTGCTAATCAGGGGGGCAGTTCGAGATGCGGGTTCACCCTATAAAACAATTATAGTAATTTAAGACGTGCTGATATAACGGTGAGGCTCCTATTCTACCAGGGAATGCTTACAGCAGGCTACAAATCGCAGGCTAATTCAGGGGCACCATATCTCCATTCGAGGTGGCATCGAAAAATTGACATTACGCAAGCTCTGTGGGAATTGTGGGGAACAGTCACGTGACCCACATGGTCCGTGCCCATCTTTGTAGCTTACTTCAATTAAGAAAGGATCTTCGATCTTTTCTATTTTATTAAATAATTTTAATTATACATTCATGATTTTAACCTTTTATTTATAACTTACCGTGATTATAAAATTATCTTATTTATTTTAATATTAATTAATGGTTAATAAAATGAGTTTTGCTATGTGCACTACCTATTTTTGCTATCGGGCCCTTAGGTGCACTACCATTAGGTATTGTACATCCCATAAGTCCACTAAATCTTAAAAGCCGGGGCCCATCCAAGCCATCCACCTTATCCACCCAAATAACTTTTCAACCACAAGTCGCACCACGATGCAGCCGGAGTCAATTAAAAGAGAATCCAATTACCGATTGATTGATACCAGTCTCGAACTGGGGCAATTCGTGGTCGCAAAGTTATTCAAGTATATAGGTGGCAGCTTAGGAGGCACGTGACAGCTCTTAAAGCCACGCTAGAGCCCTTAGGCCACTTGGAGCCAAACCTTACTCAATATTTTCAATCTTGAATAACTCCATGAAACATATAGCTATAAGCGTGCAATTGGCTTTGATTGAAAGAGAATTCAATTACTAATTGATTGATACCGGCCGCGATTTGGGGCGATACGTGGTTGAAGAGTTATGTTGGTATTTGTCTCGAGAACAGTCACGTGACACTTCTTAGCGTGACCCCAGGGGGATCTAGGGCTATTTGGCGGCTCTAAGGGCCCTTAGCGTGGCACCAAGAGCTCCTAGTGTGGCTCTAAGGGTGATCACGTGCCTCCCGTTCCGCTACCTATTTACTTGAATAACTTTGCGACCACGTATCGCCTCAATTTGAGACCTATATCAATCAATTCAAAATTGAATGCGCTTTCAATTGAATTTGGTTGCACGCTTGTGGCTATATGTTTCAAAGAGTTATTTGGGTTGAATTGATGTGGGCAGCTGGGGGCGCTAGAGGCGCTAGATTAGGGCCGGATTTCAAAATTTAGGGCATGTACTGGTACCTAAGGTAGTGCACCTAAGGCCCCGATAGCAAAAATAGGTAGTGCACATAGCAAACCTCAATAAAATAAGTTAATTATAAATAATAAGGAGATTTATATCGAATAATATCGTTAATAATATTAAAATAAAAAAAAACAAAAATTTATAACTTTAAATTTAATTGGAAATTCTTAAATAAGAAATTTCATCTAAAATTTTTAAATTAAAACTTTTTAAAATTTATAACTATTATAAATATAGGAATTTTATATTAATTTAAAAACTTTAAGGCGTTATATTATATCCGCGTTTATAAGTTTACGTTTATTACGTATAAAGAAATTAAATTAAAATTTATCGGTAAATATTCGAGGCGTTATATACGTTTATATTAATAATACCCGAGAATATTACGAGAAAGCTTTTTATATAAACGATTTAATTAACGATTTTTTTATTAAGTTATAAAACGACGTTTATTTTAATAAAATTCGACCGATTTTTTTACTTAAGTTAAAAATTTATTTAAATTAAAAAGCTTATTTAAGTTAATATTTATTTAAGTCGATTTATTTAAAAAATATAATTAAAAATAAACTTTTAAAACAATTACGTTATATTTTAATAATTAAATATTTATGCGTTATTTATTTTATATAAACCTTTAATTTTACGTTATTTTACGTTAATATGCGATTATATTATTAAAAAAAAAAAATTTCGTTAATTTACGACTACATTTTTTATACTTTAACCTATTATTTTAAGTTATACCTTTTTTTTATTACTTATAAAGTTTTTTTTCTTATAAAAGTTTTTTTTAAAAATTTAAATTTATAAATATAAACTTAATTATATTAACGTTTATCCACTTTTTTATAACATTTATACTTAACTTTTTATTATTATTATATCCGATATTTATTTATTATAATAAGCTTTATACGTTTATTATTTTATATATTACATAAGTAATCGCTAAAATAACGAGCTTTTTTAAAAAAGGAAAAAAACGAGTTATTACCTTAATTTTAAAGTTAAATTTTAAACGAAAATATAACCGCCCGATATAAGATATATATATTAAAAACAAATATAACGATAAAAAAATGGATTTAAAAAATATTAATAAGTTAAATACTTTAACGTTAAATATATATTATGTGGAGACATTTTTAATATATAACGA